TAGTGGCTGGGCATATGGGATGATTATTATGTGGGATATCCTACTAGGCTAGGACATTAATTGTTTATCCCAGTATTACTGGTTGTCTCATGGTGTCAGGGGTACATAAGGATGTCCCACTGTTAGCAGAAGATGTATTTTAGGCTGTATATTTGTTGTTTCATCTTTTCATCTACTGCCATATTATATAAAATATAATTACATAGTACAGTAAATCAGTGCTTTATTAACACTTTATATAAAAATGGGACATTCCATTTTAAGGATATCCCATTTTAAAGGACATCCCATTTTAAGGACATCCTAAAATGTGATTTATTTGTATGCTGACAGCTATTCAGACTATTATTTGTCTGAATATATCTGTTAGACTACTATAATTAACTAAAGACCTATACTATTCATTGTATTATTAAGATTGGAGAGTAACAGGTTCTTAAATGGGATATCCCATCCTATAGCATAATGTCCCAGAGTATAAGAAGTCATTGGGTATGTGTTTGTGAATGCAACTTTACTGCAATCTTAGATCAAATGTCTTCCTTGCTTTATTCAGGTACATTCTATAGTAGCAGACTTAACTAAGGTGTCTCTTATTTGCTAGTGTATAAGTAGACTGAGTTACTGTGTTTCTTCTGGTTATTAATGAAAGTTATAGAATATTCAGGTTGGATGCAATATACTAAAGGTGACATCACGTCAATTTGAACATTGCATCAGAAAAGATACAATTACTTTTGAAACACGAGAATAAGAACTGTTGTTTGGCCTGTTATAGTTGTTATTTGATCTAATGAACATGTTATACATACCACTAATAGTAATTAGTATTATAACACTGCAGGTGAATATAAAACTTAGTATGGGATATCCCACTATTTGTGGATCTCCCATCTCATTTGAAGTATCAATAAAGCACTGGTTTATTGTACTATGTAATTAAGGTTTATACAGTATGGCAGTAGATGAAAATATGAAACAACAAATATACAACAGCTTAAAAATACATCTTCTGCTAACAGTGGGACATCCTTATGTACCCCTGACACCATGAGACAACCAGTAATACTGGGATAAACAATTAATGTCCTAGCCTAGTAGGATATCCCACATAATAATCATCCCATATGCCCAGCCACTACCCTATCTATGCCCTGGGCAATGCCACAGAATGCCCTGGGACATAATAGGTATCATGGTCAGTCTGACACTTAAGAAGCTCTTAGCTATGACATACTATAGAAGATCTTGTTGCTAAGAGCTAGGGATAAAGGGTACCCTAAAGTGGTTACATCAGTATTGCATCACAAAAGATAGGTGAGTGTTGGTGTAACAGTATTGATCCAGGCTTCACCTTTTCGCTCAGGATCAACGGTGGTCTCTTTGAATAATTCACGTGGAAATCTGGCCTTACAGCCATACTCTGGATTCAGACATCCTTTATGACATGTATGGCGGTTAGAACGATACAGGAGTTCATCTACAGTGTGTGTGAATTTCTCCCACCACGATTGAGATAATTTACACTCTGAACAGTCTTCAGAGTTACCACACTCACATAAAGGTGGTGGTGCATCTGGCAATGTCTCAGTAGGAGGAATACGATCAGGATTCTCTTCATTCAACTTATCGAGTCGTTGACGTACATCTTCCATGGTACCATTCATAAATTCTCCAATGTGAACACCCTCCAAATATTCTACCATTTTGCGTTGAAAATCTGAATTGGGATCCATAATTCTGTCCCGTATCTCTTGTGGAGTAAGCGCATTCATGATTCAAATCATCATATGCATATGAAGGGTCAGCCGACCCTGCTGTTCAACTGTGCCATAGTAGCCTGCAGTCTCACCATATATTCCAGGTCGATCAAGTCCAACTCCAAGTACATGCTTTAGAAAAAGCTGAACCATCATTTTGAAAAATCTTGCACCAGCAACTGGATTATTTGCAATTAGTCGATAACGTTCATCATACTTTCTAAAGTCTGGTAAGAAGGTCTGTTGAGTATCAGCAAAGTACAAGGCAATTGGGTGATTAAGATCTGCTGGTGCAAATGTAATAAACCATGATGACGCACCAAGGTAGCTGGTGAGTGCCCAAATCTCATTCTGCATGGTCTTTTGATTGGTCATGGAGCCTTGGACTTTGTAACCAACATGATCTAAGTCATTAATAATCTTGAAACAAGCTTTCTCTTCCTCTGTCTCAGGCTTGACATGTCCAGCGGAGAGTCATTTGATAAGATCAGCGAGAGTACTATCAGTAAGATTAAGTAGATGGTTAGTAATATCTGTAAATTTCTGCTTATCTGCAAGAAGATAACCTGCTGTAGTCGTATTTTTAATCTGTTCTTGATTAAATGCAACGAGTGGAAACAGCAGTTCAGTCTGAAATCGCTTGTCATGGTACATCAGCAGTTGCTGCTTACGCTTGGTCTCTGATATGGACTCCATGCCTCGAACATTCTCCATTCCACCAAAGCCATATGGGAATAGCCATGGAAACATCTGTGTGTTCAACTGAGGATTATGATATAGACTTTGCGGTTGACTATCCTGACCGATACCAAGTACCTTGCCTTCTTTAAAGTGTTGTATGGCTCGTGCACGGATCTCTAGTGGCTTCATAGTCATCATATTTACCATAGAAGTGCCTGTCAAGCCATGCACAGTAAATGGACACTGGCCTTCTGTTGTGCCATCATCTTCTGCAGTATCATGCACTGCGGTAGCCTCTGCAACTTTGGTACCATCATAAGATTGGTGATAATTGACAATTACTGGAGGAACATCTTCTAGATAGGTCTGTAGATTTGAATAAGAGATCTCAAGGTCAGCATAGTCAATATGGTTGAGTTTAAGCCATTCTAGGGCTTGCACCACTTTGTTGCAATGAACAAGAAAAGGGGTACGAGCATACTCCTTAGGGGTAGGCTTTGATGGTCCAATATAGAGAAATGCAAGGACTTCATCCAGTTCCTCACGATTAGGTGGTAATGCTGCATAGATTTTTGGCATAGGAACAGAATGACATACTGCATTGGCCTTCATCTTATGCATTCGAGATGATGCTACTCGTACAATACAGTGATTATGTTTTACACGTACAATGAGCATTTTCTCCGTCCAAGTGAGATCCTGTAATTGCGGTGGAATTGCACCAATCCGAAGTCCATTTGCAAGGGCATCTGTAGGCACTTTACCTTGCTGCAAATATGAAAGACAGTAAGTGCATATGTTGTCACAACTTGGTAAAACTACTGGGCCAGAAAGTTCTTGTATAGGATCTTGTTCTGTAAAACATTCTTTTCTAGTTTGAATAAAGTCAGATGTGCACAGCAATGAGAGGTTTGCTCGCACTTCAGTCAGACTTGTGAGCTCTGTGACAGGCTTTAGCAATGCGCAAACAGTGCAGGCCATTTCTATAAATTGAGATGGGTCAGTATCGGTACAAAATCCATTAATTGTCTCATGTATCAATGGTATTGGAGGTGGAGCAGGTGGAAAAGCAGTTGTATGAATAGTCTCACTTGTTTTAGGCTTTGTTTTCTTTTCTGTAATCTTTTTACCTGACTTACGATAAGTCTCACTACGCTGAGCATTGTTCTGAATTGGTTGCACTTTCTGAAAATGAGTAACAAAGTCAGGACACGTAGTACAAACATGCTTAGACAGAATTGATTCAAGATTGTCTCTTGTAAGCCTTTTGCCACTTATACTAAGGCCATGTAACTGTCCAATTGTACGTAGAGTATGCGCTGGTAGTCTTTGTGATAGTATAGAAAGTGGTATATCCACCTGAATGATATCTGGATGGAATTGAGATATCTTTGTGGTGTTTTTCAGTGAGTAATCCCAGAATTTGTATTGATCATCAATATCATATGACATTGCATTATATGCATGAAGCTCGGCAGCAGACCAGGTGCGAGGTTTTTTAGGAGCAATACCTCTACCACGTACTTTATTATTAATAGTAATCTGAGTTTTGAAATATAAGAACTTTGGTTGAGACGGTGACTTTGGCTGTATAGAGTTAGTGTAAGCTCGTAGCAGCACATAGAAGTCATATCTATGAAAGAATGCCCGAATTAGCATCAGACGAGTAAGCTGCAAGTATGAAATCGGTCTGTAAAATAGAATATGTGCAATTGCATATGACAAATGTATGATCGAAGGCCCTTTATGAATATATTTTTTTTTCCAGCATGTGTCGGTCAATATTTTATAGTTTAGCTGCATAGACCTTTTCGAGAGGGTGTCTGCCTGTACCCTGCAGTCTAGCTGCACAGATCTTTTTGAGAGGGTGTCTGCCTGTACCCTGCGGTCAAACCGCACAGATCGTTTCGAGAGGGTGTCATCTGCCTGTACCCTGCAGTCAAACCGCACAGATCATTTCGAGAGGGTGTCTGCCTGTACCCTGCGGTCTAGCCGCACAGATCATTTCGAGAGGGTGTCTGCCTGTACCCTGCGGTCAAGCCGCACAGATCTTTTCGGGAGGGTGTCTGCCTGCACCCTGCGGTCTAGCCGCACAGAAATTTCTGAGAGTGTGTCTGCCAGCACCCTAGCAACATGCTCAAAAGACGTATCTTCTTCAATCAACATAATTTTCTCAGGTATCACAGTTCTTAATCGCCAACAATATAGTTTGCTTACATTAGAATCACAGTTTATAGTTAACTGTGACACAAGAAGGCCAGCTAGCATGAGCTGAAAGCACAAAAAGGCTGCTATTAGCAACCTCAGACAAATTCGATAGGCAAGCATGGTGGTGGTTGATACAAGAGATGTTGCGACGTGGCCAAAAAATATGACATAATGAACACAACAGAGCACGTGATCAGACTACAGCATTCACGTAACAAACTTTCAAGTCAGAGGTCTCAATATTTCTTATGCATATCAACAAACTACGATGCAAAGTATGCTCATAATATTCAAGATGCAAGCATCAGACAATTGTAATGACCAGGTATTCGAGAAGACAGCGCTGTGCAATTAATCCTCCTTCAACAAGATACAAACTGCCATCAGATTGAGCGACACCGAGTCTGTCCCCAGCTTGGTTTTATACTGGCCAGGGCTGTACAGGACAGCAACAAAAGAACCAAGAGGAACCTTATTATTCCAATGCGGGCAGGTGTCGCGCACTGAATTGAAAGAGAACTCGTTATCTCGCTTGCGACTCTCAATGCCCTGGAAGAATGCGGTGCAGTCATATACAACAACTAAGACTCAGACGTATCAGTGTTACGATCAGAGAATATTGTAGAACAGATATACCATCATCCCAATGATCAAGTGTGCTGAGAACTTTTCCCTGCGGTAAGATGAAGCTAGCTGCACGCTTTCCATCAACACTGGTAGAAGGGCCACCATGCCTGCCTGCGACGGCCTTGCTCGGAGAAGCCTTGCTAAGCATCTTGTTAAGTGATGTACTGCCAGCTAAAAAAAGAATAAGCAAAGTGAAAGAAGATATAAAACAGAATATCGGACGTACAATTGCCCGCATAGTCAGGATGCTCCAATGTAGATGGTCTGGTGGACATGGTGATGCTGTTCTGATAGGTGTAAAGACCGTAGTTGTCACCAATGAATGAGCCAAAGAATGCAACAGTCCGCTCCCATTCTAGGCTCATCGGCGCAATGTTGATATCTTTTGTCCACTTTGACATAGAATGTATTATACGAGAGGCAGCGACAGCGCTGAACATTACAGCACCAAAGGTAATGGCCAGCTGACGAGCCCCCAGCCGGCTTTCCAAAGAACCTGTCATCTGATAGTTCTTTATATTTGTGCGTGCAGGATTGACAAACAGACCATCGCTGAAAGCGAAGGTGAGAGCCTTGATCAATGCACTACGATGTAATATTAGACAAATTGCATCTGCTGCAAAGTGAAGTAGTGAATTATGGCTTATTCACCTGATATCCCATAAATCCGTCCAGCACACCAGTGAATGTCAGTGTATTGATAGGCTGATACGTGATTGCATAGTAGGTGCTGCATATTATGAGTGAGAAAATGTAAAACAAGAGTAAAATATAACTTAGACGAACCGTCGAAAGGGAGGCAAAGTCTTGTAGGCATCAGCCTTGAGAAGAATCGGATCTATCAAGGTTATGGATGTGACCTGACACTCAAAATTTTCCTCTCCTTTGTCAGTATCTCTGGAAACAGTATAAGTTAAAGCACAGAGGTGTGTAGAATGTATGTACTCATTCTAAAAGTTAAAACAAATATGGTTATTCTTAGAAATGCATCGGAACAAACAATGACACTTACATTGATCTCCATCTTTCCATCCTTCATGATTGCTTTACTAAGGTGGATATTAGAATCAATGAATATACCAGAAAATATTCACATCCCACTTCAGGGTACCCTTCCGACCTAGCTCTTAGCTTCAACATAATCTATATTGTGTAGTGGCTAAGAGCCTCTCAGGTGTCAGACAGACCATGGTACCAATACATGTCCCAGGGCATTATATGGGATTACCCAGGGCAAAGGCAGGGCAAAGGCAGGTCCAATGGCACAATTATCATATGGGATGTCCTATAGTACTAGGGCATTGATATTTATATCCCAGTATTACTGGTTGTCCCATGGTGCCAGGGGTACATAGAGATGTCCCACTATTAGTAAAAGATGTATTTTCAGGCTATTGTATGGTAGTTTTTTATACTTTGTTCTACAATCATATTGTATAAGCTCTAATTATAAAAACAGTGACTAGAATACTGTAAATAAGTGTCTTATTTGCATTTTATATATGGTGAAATATTTATAGAAAGCAGGATATCCCATATTAAGTATTGTGTATACATTTATAATGTTATAAAGACTATATTACTATTGGTAGCATGTACAACAACTTCATTACCTCATATAACAACTAAGACAGGTCAAACAACAATGTTTATTCTCGTGTTTTAAAATCAATTTTACTTTTTCTGACATAATGTTCAGACTAACATGATATAATCTTTGGCATATAGTATGCATCATAGCTATACTACAACTTTCACCAAGTGTCTCAAGAAATAGAACTACTCAGTCTACTAATATACTAGCAAAGGAGATATATTCTTGTCATGTCTCCTATCATATACTGTATTTGAACGAAAAAAGAAAGGCATTTGACCTAAGACTTCAGTCAAGTTACACTCAGAAATGCATTCACTGAATGACACCTTTGTATTATGGGATGTCCCTTTATGTGATGGGATATCCCTTGTAAGGACCTGTCACTCTTAAACCTTAGTAATTCAACTGTTAGTATAAATCTCTAGATAATTATAGTAGTTAAATAGAAACTTCAGGCTAAAGAAGAGACTAAATATCTGTGAATCTTAAAATAACATCTTAGGATGTCCTTAAAATGGGAGATACCACCTTATATAATATGCAAATAAAGTGCTTGTTTATATCACTATAGTCACTGTTTTTATAATTAAGGGTTAGATAATATGATAGTGGAATAAAGTATAAAAAACCTACCATACAATAGCCTGAAAATACATCTTTTACTAATAGTGGGACATCTCTATGTACCCCTGGCACCATGGGACAACCAGTAATACTGGGATATAAATATCAATGCCCTAGTACTATAGGACATCCCATATGATAATTGTGCCATTGGACCTGCCTTTGCCCTGCCTTTGCCCTGGGTAATCCCATATAATGCCCTGGGACATGTATTGGTACCATGGTCTGTCTGACACCTGAGAGGCTCTTAGCCACTACACAATATAGATTATGTTGAAGCTAAGAGCTAGGTCGAAAGGGTACCCTGAAGTGCACATCCGAGCGTGAAGGCTGGTGAATGCTGTGGTACAGATAGGTTTTAGAATGTATTATATAACAATATAATCAAACATATTTACAGAACATCCTCCGTCTTGCCTTTAGATCCACTGGCGGATTTGGTTAGAGACAAGCGGATGCTATTCAATAAAATCAATAGACAGTTAGATACCTGTGCTATTAACATACTCACGGTCTCTAGGATCGTATTGCTTTACTTGCAAGGAAAAATCTTGTCTCTCCTGCTCCAACATCTTTGTCATGGCAAGGTGCAGTAGGCTATGTAAGAAAGTGAGTTTAAAGTATAGGGAAGTGAGATAAGAAAACAACATACATCATAACATCATAATGATTAAGCTTGGATTGCTCTGTCGATGCTTCTGCTTCAGAGTCAGGCCTACTTTGCCTGTTACGACCTTTCTTCATAGGAGAAGATCTGAATAAAATAGTATAAAAATATGAGACGATAGTCAAACTGAAGTTACGTACTGTTCCGGCTCTGCATCCTTGTCAGAATCACTGATTACGATTCCTGAGGTATGAAGGAATCGTTCTTTATGGGATAGGGCTTCCGCCAAATTTCTGAGGGACAGATCCAAGTGCCCCTATGCGTGAGAACGATTTTTCAATACAAATTTGTATGCATGGGCTGCACCTAGTCCTGGGTTAGGTCTAGGGTTTAACTACAAACTTTGTAGTGCCTGCTCTTACTGTACTACAGCTGGCATACAGTCGGTCTTTCAAACGGATTGTAGTAGAAACCAACACGACTTGTACAAATAGTAATCAATAAAAGTGCCGCAGCAGCCACAGAGGACCAATGTATCATAGTCAGTGAAATTGTAGAAGCACATACTAATTCCAACACATAAAAAGCAGTACCATTGCAATCTGTGAGGGAAATAGAGCATAATGCTCTCTTAAACCAAGTAAATCTGAGTAAAAGTGGCTGAGATAGCTCAGTTTTAAATTAGAATGCTCAGCCTGAAGTGCAGGAAAATTGTATAAATGCCAGAAAAATTTGAGAATGACTCTAAAATGCACATGAACATGTGAGATAGGGTGGCTTATTTTTTACAAGTGGTGCACATTGAAGAAACAAGCAGAAGTGAGAGAAAACAGAGAAATTGGATTGTAGCACTCCAGCAAGTGATCCTGCTGTTCTCGGAGTGACACCATCAGATTCAGCGTCAAAATCCGGTCAGAATGCCTACCGGGTTCATCCAAGTCCGAGCAGAATTGAGTGAGCTACAAGCCTGGCAAGTTTGGCTAGAAGTGTGGGAACAAGTGCTTGAAGCCAAAAATGTCACGTGCCACGTGGGTCACGTTGTGCGCCGTACGACACGTTAAGCGCCCTGAAGCGCTTAACGTTTCATACGGCGGGAAACGTGACCTGCCGGGCATGTGATGTACACATGGTTGTGGCTGAAGACAAAACATGCAGAAAATGCAGAAAAATTGCAGAAATACCAGGAAAATTATGGCATGACCCTTTCATGACATTAGACTTGTAGAAATAACTAGACAATGTTGTAAGCCATTGTAAAGTCCTTACAAATCCATACTAGATGGCATATTAGAATATTGTAAGGCCTTACAAACCAATACTAGAGGGTGTAATAGAATTCAGAAAATGGTATAATAAAGCATTGAAGCAGGGTTACTAAACACTACTAGACATACTAGGAGTCAATACAACACTTTGTAGGCTATTGTAAGCATCTTACAAAGTGACACTAGATGACATATCTCACTATTGTAGGATTATTATAAACATGTTCACTAGGACACTTACAAGAGATTACTAGAGACTATTGAAGGTTACTGAAGGTTCTTACAAAGTGATGCCAGGTAACATTCCCGACTATTGTAAGCTCATTACAAACTAATACTATAGGATCTATCAGGAGCCAGTATTATAGGGTGTTGTTGACTTGCTGAACATTGCTAGGCAATATACTAAGAGTTAGTAGGCAACTTTGTAGACTATTTAATAATGCGGCCCTTATCAACCCACACAACTTATCAATATATAGTGGGACATTGTAGGACACTTAGTACACATTATTAAATGGCGCACTAGGAGTTAGTAGAGAATACAATAACAATTTCTTGGATACATTGTTACAGGCACATCTATAACAGTTTCCGGTGTCATTTTTTGTAGTGATTCTTATAGGCACATTTGTAACAGTTTCTAGTGTCATTTGTTGTAGTGGTTTGTATAGGCATGTTGTTCACATTTCTTGTAGTAATTCTTGTAAGCACATTTGTAACAGTTTCCAGGATCATTTTTTGTAGTGATTCTTATGTATTAAGAATCAGTAGATGAATTTGTAAACCACTGTAAGGCTCTTTAATCCTTGTAAAATGAATATTAATAACTTTTTAGTCATGTTTTTATATAGATTATATAAAATGACATAGTAATATCATTTTGAAGCCATTTTTCAGCTGAATCTTTTAAAATGCATCCTAGCCACTTTTTAGTAATGTTTTTGTATACTTTTTGCAAAACAACATAGTAATATCATTTTGAACCTATTTTTCAGCTTAGTCTTTGAAAATGCATACTAGTCACTTTTTAGTGATGTTTTTATATACTTTTTGCAAAATGACATAGTAATATCATTTTGAAGCCATTTTTCAGCTCAGTCTTTTAAAATTTATACTAGTAACTTTTTAGTAATGTTTTTGTACACTTTTTGCAAAACAACATAGCAATATCATTTAAAAGCCATTTTTCAGCCGAGTATTTGAGAATGCATACTAGTAACGTTTTAGTAATGTTTTTGTACACTTTTTGCAAAACAACATAGTAATACCATTTTGAAGCCATTTTGAAGTCAATTCATTTAGAATGCATACTCATTACTTTTTAGTAATGTTTTTATATAGATTTTATAAATTGATATAGTAATATCATTTTGAAGCCATTTTTCAACTGAGTCTTTTAAAAGGCATACTAGTCACTTTTATGTAAGGTTTTTGTATACTTTTTGCAGAACAACATAGTAGTATCATTTTAAACCAATTTTGAAGGTCATTTTTAGGAGAGGTGTACTAACAATTTTTCGTAACATTCTTATATAATTTTGACAAAAGAACAAAGTGATATCATTTTAAAGTCATATTTTACATAATTCTACTCTGAGATGCCTAGCAAGATGTTAGACTATTATCAGACAGTGACAAATAAATTATTATCTACATTATACTAAATTATCAACTGATATTAAATTGTATGCAAAAAAGTTGGTAGGTGACACAGTAGATGTATAAAACTCATGTGATAGCATAACATATTATTGTTATAAAGTGTGTCTCATACTCAAATACACTATTATAAGATCTTTATAAACTACAATCAGATGACATTTTATAAGTAAGTCAAGAGTGTAATATTGTTAGAAGCTTACTATAGATTATTAAGCAATATACCAGTTATTGAATAATATTATAGACCATTATAATGCTCTCATTTAAAAAGCACTAGGATTTTCTTGTAACTTTTTTGTATAGACATATAAATGACATGCTGAACTATTGCAAAACTGTTACTAAATATTTCTAAGTGAAATCTTTGACAAATAGCATACTAAAACATTGTAATGCAGTTGTTAATAATACCTGGAGTATTTAAATATTATAAGTTATTCTAATACTTTATTTCTTTTTAGTATGTGTATAAAATGAATTTTTACATAAATCTAGTTAAAATAAAAACAGAGTTTCAGAGCTTCAGAAAATAATATGCTAACAAGAAAGACTGGATTTCTTTACACTTATTAGTATAGCATCAAATTTTAGTAGATTTTTGCCTCTGTTTTAAGTGAATACAAATGGTGAAACCTTTAAATAGACACTGAATAAAAATACAACATGCTATGCAATGCAATGAACCATTCTTCACAAGTAATTAACTACTAAGAAGTAATACAAAATAATTAATACATGTGAGAACAATTAGATGATGAGAGAAAGGTAGGAACACAGAACCTCAGGAATTATTCCTGCCATGCAAAGCAATGACTCACTCCCCACAAGTATAAACTCGCTTGGTGGGTGTACGAGTCGCCTTTCCTTTGCTGTAGTAACATATGTATGAGTGAGTCTGAAAATAGTATAAATTGAACTACAAACTTGGGCGAAGGACTAATGGGAGTCGGCAAAAGAACAAATGCCTTATTCGCCTTCTTCTTGGGAGTTTCCGTGATTTCGGGTTCATTGATTGGTAGAGCCGCATCACTACAAGACACTCAGACTTGAAGAATAAAAAGACAAAAGACTATAGCATACCTCTCCAAAGACTGCTCGACATCGGAGTCATTGTCCATGAATACGTCCTTCAGCTTAGCACTACACACATTATAAACAGCGACTTAAGACTCAGTAACAAAATACTTACTTAGCCATCTTGGCAGCGGTACGACCGGACACACATGAAGCACTTGGATAAATCAGAGGATTAAACTAGTCAGCAGTATCAGAAAGATGTACAGATTGGTTTCATCATCATCGCTGCTCTCGACAACCTTCTGATACTTACCAGCTTTATGAGGAGAACTGACACAGATAGTCAGCTTCTGAATAGACATGTTGTATGAGTCACGCACCTCACTGCCATATCCTCATCGCTGTTGTCTATGGTCTTCTTATCCTTACCACCTTTGCGAGGGATAGTGATTGCCTTCTCCCTGTGATCATCGGCTGAAGATATAATCAAAAACAATGTGAGCTGCACGTACCTTGTTACTGTATCCTCATCACTATAGTCCACCATGTTTTTGGCCTTCACATTACGAGGCATAGGCACTACAGCTTTGGGAGTTGACCTGAGTCGTATTAGAGAGATGTCACAACATTGAAATCAAACACGTACTTTACTGCAGTTATCTTCTGCTTTGAAGGTGAGGTCTCATCCATCTCAACACTGTTTATATAAAATCATATTGCTATCATGGCATGAAGTAAAACACTTACTCAGAGTCAGCGACCATCTTATCAGACTTGATTGACTTTCGGCCAGCAGTACGACCACGGTTCCTAGAATGAAACCTATCAAGAGGCTACAAACACCAGCAGTATAGTGGAACACACTTGGTAGGAGTCGAATTGGTGCGAGGAGGCATTGTTAAGAGAGAAGAGGATACCCTGTTCAAATGAAGGATAGGTTGAACATCGATGGGAGCATAAGGTCATTAGCCTTTATAGAATTCAAATGCGGCTGATGTAAATAGAATATATTGTACGATGATCTCAAACATTAGATCTTTGGGGAGGAAATTCTGTTGGGGATGATTGTCCCACTATTTTCAAGTATTATACTGGCCAGTAGGAAAGCGACAGAAGCCCGTGTACTATATAAAGAAATTCTGGAGCGTGAATGAATTGTCACGTGATAGGGAATATACTGCACCTCAGACGTTTTAGGCCATCCAGACTGTTATTGTCTCAGCTAGATCGTACGATATCAAGTTGAACTGCAGCATTGGATTTATTATACCAAAGAAAACATTCACCTCTTAGTTTACTCTTCATCTATCCAACAATATTGGCATCGCACCGTCATTACAGTATATTCAAGATGGCTGTTGAATTTATGAGAAACAATGCAGAAAAGTATAGTAAGTTAGACGGCTTCCACTTGCTGCGTGAAACTCACAACATATTTGTAGAGCAGTTGTTAACCAAAGTTATTGAGGGACGAAGTCAAGGTGGTAATGCTACACATCAATTGATCAACATGGCCAAGGTAAGAGTTTATACAGTGAACGATGAATGAATGGCTCACCAAAGCTGCAGCCTGACTACGCTCGAGTGACAACACAAGTCTTTACTCAAGAAGATAGCAAGACTCAGCTGAATCTGATATGGCCATATAATAGTATTGAGGACAGTGAGCCAGAGGATGCAGTTCTTCACATGCAAGGATTTCTTTGCAAAAAGGACTTGCCACCAATTGTGCAAAATGACCAGTAAGTGTTATTGTCTACACGTAGAAAAATACAGCTCACAAGATATCAGGCTCCCTTCAAAGCTCTTCAGAGCAACGCAGTCTGTGAAATTGACAGGACTCGGTTCTCCGACCTTTGCAGAAGCGGTCAAGGGTGTTATTGCCATTCATCAGCTGTTTGCTCAACATCTCGATAAAGGCATGCTCATCCCATGGAGTCCGATCCGAGAACATGATGAACTTGTATTAGAGTTCTCCAATCGGTACCTTTCTTGTATGCGAGACATGGAGGACGACAACGAGATTCCGATTGGAAATGACATTGATCCGTTTGGCATCCTAAGAAGCCGTATTTGAGATGAGAAGTATCTTACAAACAATGTTGTTCAATACTTTGAACATATCACCAGGCCTTCAGGAGAGACAAGATGAGTGAATATTTGAAATGAAGAACACAAATGCTGACTGTCGTGCATAGCATTATTGTCATAAAGCCATCAGTCATCCAGGAAGGTCAACTCGTAGAGCTTCAGGTTACCTTTTGCACTGTGCCAATATCGAAGGGACGCATGCTCATGTTGAGCAAGTTACAATCGATCTGCATTCTGGATCGTCAAGTGCTGTCAGTAAGAAGGTAATCAAATGGATCAGATAGATTAAATGCTAATGTACGTATATTCCAGGATCGCAACCAGGTTATTATGAACTCGCTGGTCACACCTGTATTGCCAATTCGAAGGGTCAAGCGCAAGATAGGCTATCATGAAGACGACTCCATGATTGGAGGCATCAAATGTTTGCATTGAGAATTGCGAGAAGAATATGGACACAAATTCTGAGTAGAATTCACATTTGTTAGCTTGGTTATCATAGTCATGAATAGCTCACTCACCATCATTCAGTAATGTATAGCCTATTTAATTGTCCTACAAGTATATACAAATCATCACAGATTGTAAGCAACATGATTCGACAAAAGAGACAGAGATAACATTGTAAAATGAAAGAAACTCAGTAAGTCAATAGAAGTATCCGTCCAACCCAGGAAAGAAACTTTGCATAAAGGGCCAAGCAGCAGGAGAATGATCATCATCTGGGTCACACTCATACTCTGGCATACCTCAAGTCGTCAGCTCATCTGGATCCATCTGATGACCTCGAATGTCTTCATCAACTGCACATCATTCATATTCGACAATTCCATCGGTCGTACGATGTCCAGTGAATTGAGAGCCATTGAAGCCCTCATGGTCCGGGATGTTATGAAATATACTGAGCTCAGAATGAGCAATGTGTAAATGTCGAAGCTGTGGAAGTTCCTGGAATAAATAGTCGGTGATTGTCCTTTCTTCCTGTGCAACAGCATGTCGATCTGGATTGATAGCGCGCTAGATACCTCGAACCGACTTTGGAAGAGTAAGCGATAGTGGCTGAATGGTGAATGGAGTGTCGATGATAAGAACGCGTAGCTGGGGAAAGAGCGACAACTCGAATGTGAATTGTTCAATATCATGCCACGGTCGATGAGTATCCAGAATGTCAATATTCTATTGAATTTATCAGCTAAGATCCACAAAGATGAGAAGACCACGCACCATCGCCTCTTCCTCATCCAACTCCCAGTTCTGCTGATCTATCAGTCTGATCTTCTCAATTCCAGATCCTTCTACATTCCACCACTGAGCAAAGCGTGTGATCACCGCAGAGCAGGCCATATCGGAGATGGCAATGTTGAGCTCTTTGAAGTATCCCATAAAGGGAGTGATCTCTCGAGCTCTACGTTGGACAGCCAGACTGTTATCTAACTCGTCCATATGAACACCCAACTGATAAATGCGAAGAAAGTTGCAGTGAGTTTGAAATTGTCCTCCGCTGAGTGCGCATTTGCAAAGCTGTCATTCATAATCCTCGATAGTTTGAAAAAGATCGAGAAGACGTCCAAGATTCGGAACATCGATTGCAGACAAAGGTAAAGGGTTAAGAAAGCCTTGAAAGAATGAACGACAAACACGACAGAGTTCTAGATGCCAGTGGTGTTCAGCTGAACCGTGTTCAATCTGTGACCAGTCTTTGATACATTCAGAACTTGAAGTGATGTGCTTCAAGATTTCTGGTGGCATTGTTGCAAAGTTGCCCATGGTAAATGATGAAAGAGACAATAAACAAATATAAGTGCTGATCGACTGAATTCCTTAAACACATGACGATGTGCGTCAACAATGATATTGTACATTCAACTGCAATTCTACAGTATGTTCGAGTAGTAATTTATCTCTTTATCTCTGTGTACATGAGAAAAATGGAGAGGGGAAGGAAGGATAGAAGAAAAAAGTCATGTTCGATATCTACCCTCCAAGCATACATTATCTTCTGATTATAAGCACGTTTACCTTAGACCATTCCATCTGTGAATCCAAATTGTAAGGATAGGGATACACCTCTGTGTGATCTTGTCCATCAAAGAAATGAGGATCATATTGATGCCCCTTGTACAGGCTAGAGTCCAAAGCCTCTATAATTTCAAACCTCTCACCAATTGTACGCTGCACCAACACTTCTCTCCCATGAGACTCTCCATCTGAACTCCACACATCGAGTGGATCCCAGCCAGCATAGGATAGGAAGATTCGTCGCAATGATGGTATAGCATTGTACCATGTACATGCTAGATCGCGCTCTCGACCTTCGTAGTTGAAAGTACCTGTCGCAAAGAAGGCAGGGAGTTCGGAAATGGTGGCTGGCAGAGGTGGAATGGGATAGGCAAAAAGTCGTGAGTTGATGGCGACCATTCGAAGATGATGACATTTTGCAAGACAGACGAGAAAAACACTTCAGGGTACCCTTTCGACCTAGCTCTTAGCTTCAACATAATCTATATTGTGTAGTGGCTAAGAGCCTCTCAGGTGTCAGACAGACCATGGTACCAATACATGTCCCAGGGCATTATATGGGATTACCCAGGGCAAAGGCAGGGCAAAGGCAGGTCCAATGGCACAATTATCATATGGGATGTCCTATAGTACTAGGGCATTGATATTTATATCCCAGTATTACTGGTTGTCCCATGGTGCCAGGGGTACATAGAGATGTCCCACTATTAGTAAAAGATGTATTTTCAGGCTATTGTATGGTAGGTTTTTTATACTTTATTCCACTATCATATTATCTAACCCTTAATTATAAAAACAGTGACTATAGTGATATAAACAAGCACTTTATTTGCATATTATATAAGGTGGTATCTCCCATTTTAAGGACATCCTAAGATGTTATTTTAAGATTCACAGATATTTAGTCTCTTCTTTAGCCTGAAGTTTCTATTTAACTACTATAATTATCTAGAGATTTATACTAACAGTTGAATTACTAAGGTTTAAGAGTGACAGGTCCTTACAAGGGATATCCCATCACATAAAGGGACATCCCATAATACAAAGGTGTCATTCAGTGAATGCATTTCTGAGTGTAACTTGACTGAAGTCTTAGGTCAAATGCCTTTCTTTTTTCGTTCAAATACAGTATATGATAGGAGACATGACAAGAATATATCTCCTTTGCTAGTATATTAGTAGACTGAGTAGTTCTATTTCTTGAGACACTTGGTGAAAGTTGTAGTATAGCTATGATGCATACTATATGCCAAAGATTATATCATGTTAGTCTGAACATTATGTCAGAAAAAGTAAAATTGATTTTAAAACACGAGAATAAACATTGTTGTTTGACCTGTCTTAGTTGTTATATGAGGTAATGAAGTTGTTGTACATGCTACCAATAGTAATATAGTCTTTATAACATTATAAATGTATACACAATACTTAATATGGGATATCCTGCTTTCTATAAATATTTCACCATATATAAAATGCAAATAAGACACTTATTTACAGTATTCTAGTCACTGTTTTTATAATTAGAGCTTATACAATATGATTGTAGAACAAAGTATAAAAAACTACCATACAATAGCCTGAAAATACATCTTTTACTAATAGTGGGACATCTCTATGTACCCCTGGCACCATGGGACAACCAGTAATACTGGGATATAAATATCAATGCCCTAGTACTATAGGACATCCCATATGATAATTGTGCCATTGGACCTGCCTTTGCCCTGCCTTTGCCCTGGGTAATCCCATATAATGCCCTGGGACATGTATTGGTACCATGGTCTGTCTGACACCTGAGAGGCTCTTAGCCACTACACAATATAGATTATGTTGAAGCTAAGAGCTAGGTCGGAAGGGTACCCTGAAGTGGAGAAAAAGAGGATTTGTCCAAGGAGTTGGTGCTATCAGCTGGGTGATATCATTCTATAATAAGTATTAGCAATGTCAATGTCATAGTATTTATAATGCTACTCACAAAATCACTGAACCGTCAGTAGTCATACAAACGAAAGCATTCGAGAGGACATTGGTTCTCTGGCCACCAGGATATCAAGTGATCTACAATGACATCCCCCTGCGACAGGACATGGCTGTCCCCAATGATGTAGTTCAGCTCAGAAAGGCGACCCATAAGTCTAACTGCCATCTGTGCCAAGCCCTGACCAATGATGCTGAGATCGCACTCGATCTGGAGCAGATAGATGTCAAGGAAGTTTTGGTGGGTTCATTGATTGCTCATGATGTCACCATACACAAGGGAACAGCGACAGCAAGTCATTTCGAAAGTAATGATGTCGTGAAAGAGCTCCTGAAGAGAGTCTGCACTAGTGATGTGAATGGCTGCAGGCAGAGGTGTCACCTCGCGATAGAAAAAGGGATCCACGGTTTGAAGGGAGAGCTGCCAAGATTTTGTATCATGGTCTACATCAGACCAAGGAATCACCATCTCCTTAAGCACCATACACAGAATCTCTGAAGACAAAGTTATGGTGGCAGTAGCAGAAAGGAGTGGATCAGCGATTATAAGTCACTAAATTGGGTTGACTTTTAAGGTTTGTTGTCGTTCGCAAAATATATCCTCAAGACATGGAAACCACAAGAAAAAAAGTGAATTATGCTAAAGTATCAAAGCAAGCAAGGCTGACACATATTAATTAACATGTACTGTACAGATACAGGTGTAGTCTAATCTAGGGTGCTACAGGTATATTTAGCAGATTAAAGTGGGGGCCTCGTTTACATTGTACCGGATGATCCAAGGCTCAAGATTGACTTACCTTATTATATAAACATGGGCAGAGGGTCAGATCTGCCATCCAGCCTCAGATATTGGCACTAGAGAGAGCTTTGGGTGAGGATGAAAAGCGAAAATTGAAAGATGAAGAACTCACCTAAAAGGACAAACTAGGGCTTGTCCTGATGCTATTTCAATGTGCAATGATGGGCCAAAAACCGTTCTGAAGTACAGCCATTGGTTGAACCACTAGAATATAAATTGGATTTAGCTAGGTGACCCAGAGAGAATAAGTCAGAAGAATAAATACAGCAGCATACCGGACGATCTAGGGCTCAATATTGACCTACCATATTGTATAAACATGGGCAAAGGGTCAGATCTGCCATCCAGCCTCAGATATTGGCACTAGAGAGAGCTTTGGGTGAGGATAAAAAGCGAAAATTGAAAGATGAAGAACTCACCTAAAAGGACAAACTAGGGCTTGTCCTGATGCTATTTCAATGTGCAATGATGGGTAAAGAAGTTCTTACAATGCTCCTCCAACTGCCGCTGCAATATCAACTGTATATGGAATTGGTAGAGTTTGAACTTTCTACTCGTCTATATATTTACTTGACCGTTGAATTTTACAAAGTAAATGCTCCACCATTATTACATTAAAGGTAATGAGTACCTTCTCCTCTTCAGAAAGCATGGTGTCCAAAAAGTTGTAGGCAACTTTGAAGGCCTGTACAACCTCCGCTCGAGAGTAGGTATCAGGTAGCAATGAGCAATATTGCAAGCCAGAAACTGCTCCCTTATTTACTGCACTCACCAATGTCCCCATCTCCTCAGCGCTAGGCATCCGAACTTTGCCAGCATGACATAGGTCTCCAGCTAAAAGCATTCCTATAAGAGGCCCCATCTGTGGCAGATTCACGGACTGGGTCCACTGATAAAATATGGTGAATCCAAGCTGACCATTGGCATCGACCATAGAAGGATCGTCAAACAACTTCTTCCACTCCTTCTCTGCAGCAAAGTAGGCAGGAGCATGCTCAGGCCCGCGTCCACCAATTGCTGAACCATAGGCAGTCTTCTTGCAAAGGAACTTAGGATCATCTGATGGACAAGAACGACACATGGCCTGGAAGGCTTCAAGATCAGGAAAGAAGACCTCCTTCTCAACCGCAGCTTTGCAACCAAAGGTCACTCCACACCAACACAGTACACTGGCAAAGCCGCCAGGCTTGTTAATATTATCTGGATGCAGTGGACCATTCGGGCCAGATACGCTGAGTTTTGTAGGTGCATGCTCGCGGAAAGGGAAAAATTTGTCCAGGTCTTTGAGAATGTGCGCTTGAATACAAGTAGGTGAGGAAGGCGAAGTCTCCAGACATAGCGGCAAAAGATCCTTGACAAACTTCAGTAGACGGTGCAGTTCTGGACTATAGGTTGAAGGTGTAGAAGATGATGCGATAGGGACAGGGTGTACATTGGGAGAAGGATTGGAGGGAGCAGGTTTAGTTTTGCGATGAGATGTAACGCAACGTTCTGCATCACCAATGATGTCCTTGAATGTGTTATATTCAGAACTGTGAGGCGTCAGGATTGGCAACTCTTGGAGTTTCTTGAAAAAGCCATCCAGCATATTAACACGAATAGAACTGTGCCGCATCGAAGGGGTATTAAGAACGGCCTTCTTGACGAAGCTGAAGGCATGCCAGACACCTTCCAAAAGAAGCATACGTTGAGTTTGAAAGGTGTCGACGAGGCGATAAACAAAAGCCCCTTGTGCGAGATAGGTGTTGTTTGGATAAGAAAGCCACTGGCGTACAATGATATAAACCAATCGAAGCGTACGGACTTGCAACTTTTTGCCTTTAAATGTCAGGAAGGTGGATAATAGATAGGAAGGCATGTTGTCAAGACCTGGAATGAATGATGTTGGGTTTAAATCCACAGAGTCGCCAGTAGAGAGATGAGTATAGACTGCCATAGTCAGAGCAGATAGCCAGTCTGTGGGAGGAAGACTGGTATTGACATGGAAAGCAAGAAATTTGGCACAATGCTCCATGCAACTGTGATCTAGCCAGTACCAAGCGGCTGCTGCTGATAACATAAGCTGCTGATGAGATAGCATCAAATCCCAGTCACGAATATCGAGCTTTCTGGTAAGCATGTTCAATAGTGACCATATCCGAGAGAGATCCAAGGCAAACCCAGCGCTCATACGCTGACGACCATTATTGAAGTTTGCAAGAAATGTAGCCACTTGCTGCAATGCCTTTGGATCCTGTCGCTTCATCTGCATCTTAACCTCAGCAACAATGCGTGATAGCTTGAGTTTCGTTGCACTAAGGTTCTTTTGCTGAAAATATTGCAGCGCCACTGTGTGACATATAAAGTCAGAGTTGATTAAATAAAACATATGTAGTTATTACCAGGAGCACCATCATTTGCAGCAAACACCTCTTCAATTAACTTAATGTCTTGCTGTTCATTCTCTGCAAAATAATTCTTAATCAAATATATACAGCAAAATACAGCAAAGACTCATACCTTGCATAACACGAGAAGAGTCTTCTAACTCTTCAGCAGGTTCACTGTGCTCTTCAGACTCCTCATAAAACACATGTAGAAGGGCTGAAACCTTGTCGACCTTAGCAACTTTGGCTCTTCTCAAAGGCTTTGTGTGTGAGAGTGGTATGTCATCTTCAGTATCGTTGTCCGGACAATAACCATCATCACCTTCATCATCATCAAGTGGCTCAGGGAGATTGTCTAGACATTTAAATTGAGTGAAATGTTCAGAGTATAGAATATATATAATCACAAACATTTAGTACATTTCTTTCCCAACAAGCGACTGCTTCTGCGCATGTCATTATCCCCATCCACCTTCATATTACCAGAGTTAGAGTCAATATTACAATTCCTGAGGTACGAAGGAATCGTTCTTTATGGGATAGGGCTTCCGCCAACTTTTGGGAGGACACGCACTTTTTCCCCAAGGTGTGGGAACAACTTTTCAATACAATTTTGTATGTGAGAACTGCACCTAGTCCTGGGTTAGGTCTAGGGTTTAACTACAAACTTTGTAGTCCCTGTTGTTACCATCCTACAACTTGAGTACAGTTGGTCTTTCAAACTGATTGTAGTGAAAACCAACGCGACTTGCACAAATAGTAATCAACAGAAGTGCCACAGCAGCCACAAAGGACCAATGCATCATAGTCAGTGAAAGTATAGAAGCACATGCTAATTCCAACACATAAAAAGCAGTACCATTGAAATCTGTGAAGGAAATAGAGCATAATGCTCTCTTAAACCAAGTAAATCTGAGTAAAACTGGCTGAGATATGTCAGTTTTGGATTAGAATGCTCAGTGTGAAGTGCAGAAAAATTGTAGAAATGCCAGGAAATTTTGAGAATGACTCTAAAATGCACATGAACATGCTAGACAGGGCGCCTTATTTTTTACATGCAGTGCACATTGAAGAAACAAGCAGAATTGAGAGAAAACTAAAACAATAAATTGTAGCACTCCAGCAAGTGATTTTGATGTTCTACAAGTAACACCATCAGATTCAGCTTGAAAATCCGGTCAGAATGGCCACTTGGTTCATCCAAATCCGAGCAGAATTGACTGAACTACAGGCCTGGCAAGTTTGGCTACAAGTGTGGTAACAAGTGCTTGAAGCCGGTAGTATCACGTGCGACCCGAGTCACGTTTCCCGTATGAAACGTTAAGCGCTCTAGGGCGCTTAACGTTCTATACGGCGGGAAACGTGACCTGTAGGCCATGTGACATGTGGCTGAAGACAAACATGCAGAATAAAATGCAAAAAAATCGCAGAAATACCAGGAAAATTATGGCATGACCTTTTGATGATAGTAGACTTGTAGAAGTAACTAGACAATATTGTAAACCATTGTAAGGTCCTTACAATTCATACTAGGTGGCATTTCAGACTATTGTAAGGCCTCTACAAACACAAACTAGATGACATATCTGAACATTATGAGGCCCTTACAAAGTGATACTAGAGGGTGTACTAGAATTCAATAAACAGTATAATAAGGCATTGTAGGAGACTTACTAAACATTACTATACAACATGCTAGGAGTCAATATATCACTTTGTAGGCTACTGCAAGGCCCTCACCAACTTGTACTAGGTGGTATACCAGACTATTGTAAGCATCATATAAGCTGACACTAGGTGACATATCTAACTATTGTAAGGCCCTTATAAACTCGCATACTAGGGCATTTACGAGAGATTACTAGACACTATTGTAGGTTACTAATGATTCTTACAAAGTGACATCAGGTGACATATTCAGACTATTGTAAGCTCATTACAAACTGATACTAAAGAGTATATTAGGACTCAGTGTAATAGACTACTGTTAACTTGCTGAACATTACTGGATAATAGACTAAGAGTCAGTAGGTGACTTTGTAGGCTATTCAATAGTATGGTTCTTATCAACCCACACAACTTATCAAGAGATATTGGGACATTGTAGGACACATTATAAAATGGCTAGAAGTGAGTAGAGAATATAATAACAATTTCTTGTATACATTTTAATATTGTTGTAGGCACATTTGTAATACTTTCTAGTGCTACTTTTTGTAGTGGTTCTCATAGGTGCATTGGTAATATTTTTTGTAGTGATTCTTGTCGGCACATTTGTAACAGTTTCTAGAGTTATTTTTTGTAGTGGTTCTTATGAGCATATTGGTAACAAATTTTGTAGTGATTCTTCTAGGCACATTAGTCACAGTTTCTAGGGTTGTTTTTGTAGTGATTCTCATCAGTATGTTGGTAACAATTTTTGTAGTGATTCTTCTAGGCACATTAGTAACAGTTTCTAGGGTCATTTTTTGTAGTGATTCTTATACGCATGTTGGTTACAGTTTTTGTAGTGATTCTTATAGACACATTTGTAACTCTTTCTGGCGTCATTTTTTGTAGTGATTCTTGTAGGCACATTAGTAACTGTTTTTAGAGTTATCTTTTGTAGTGATTCTTATAGGCACGTTGGTAACTTTTTTATAATGATTCTTATAGGCACATGTGTAACAGTTTCTAGGCTCATTTTTTGTAGTCATTGTTGTAGACACATTTGTAACACTTTGTAGCATTATGTTTTTGTAGTAGTTTGTATAGGGACCTTGGTAACATTTTTTGTAGTGCTTTTTGTAAGGGCATTTATAACAGTTTCTATGGTCATTTTTTGTAGTGATGCTTAGAGGCGTATTGATAACACTTCTTGTGGTGATTCTTGTAGGCATATGTGTAACAGTTTCTAAGATCATTTTTTGTAGTGAATCTTATGTATTAGAAGTCAGTAAAATGAATATTAATAACTTTTTAGTCATATTTTTATATAAATTTTATAAAATGACCTAGTAATATCATTTTGAAGCCATTTTTCAGCGGAATCTTTTAGAATGCATACTAGTCACTTTTTAGTGATGTTTTTATGTACTTTTTGCCAAACAACATAGTAATATCATTTTGAAGTCATTTTTCACCTGATTTTTTTAAAATGCATACCAATCACTTTTTAGTTATGTTTTTATATAGACTTGATATAAAATGACATAGTAATACCATTTTGAACTCAGCGGATTCTTTTAGAATGCATACTAGTTGCTTTTTAGTTATATTTTTGTATAAACTTTATAAAATAACATGATAATATCATTTTGAAGCCATTTTTTAGCTCAGTCTTTTAGAATGCATACTGGTCACTTTTTAGTAATGTTTTTGTATACTTTTTGCAGAACAACATAGTAGTATCATTTTTAAGCAATTTTAAAGGTGATTTTTATGAGAGGTGTACTAACAATTTTTAGTAACATTCTTATATAAAAGGACAAATTAAGATCATTTTAAAGCTATGTTTTAGATAATTCTACTCTAAGATACTTAGCAATATGTTAGACTATGATCAGGCAACTACAAATAAATTATTATCTACATTATACTATATTGTCAACAAATATTAAATGGCATGCAAAAGGTTGGTAGGCAACATAGCAGATGTGGAAGACTCATGTGATAACATAACATATTATTGTTGTAAAGTGTGTTGCATGTTCTTATATACTATTATAAGATTTTTATAAACTATAATCAGATGACATCTTATAAGTAAGTCAAGAGTATAATATTATTAGAAGCTTACTATATTATACTAGTCAATATACCAGTTATTAAATAATATTACAAACTATTACAATGTTTTCATTTAAAAAGCACTCGCATTTTCTTATAACTTTTTGGTATAGACATATAAATGGCATGCTGGACTATTGTAGTACTATTACCAAATATTTGTAAGTAAAATGTCAGATGAATAGGATACTAAAATATTGTAATGCAGTTATTAATGATACTTAGAGTATCCAAATATTAGACATTCTAATATTTTATTTCTTTTTAATATCTGTATAAAATGAATTTTTATATAAATGTAGTTAAAGTAAAAACAGAGTTTCAGAGCTTCAAAAATTATACAAGAAAGACTTGAGTTCTTTATACTTATTAGTATAATATAAAATTTTAGTATATTTTTACCTAAAGTGACTGTTTTAAGTGAATACAAATGGTGAAACCTTCAAATAGATACTGAATAAATATACAACATGCTATGCAATGCAATGGACTACTCTGCACAAGTGATCAACTACTAAGAAGTAATAAAATAATTAATGCATGTAGGAATGATTAAATAATGAGAAAAAGGCAGAAACACAGGACCTCAGGAATCGTTCCTGCCATGCAATGCAATGGCCTACTCCCCACAAGTTCATATGGGTGTTGTGTTCGAGCAGAGAACTGAAAGTGGATTTCCACGAACTTTTATGTTTCCTAGTGAAGCGCACTTCTGGCTGACGTTGCAATTTCAAACTGGTTGCATAAGGCCCTTGATCTAATGGAAGGTGAATACATATAGTAACAAAGGAGAATAGAAAACATACCAATGCGCTGGATTTGACGACCTATGTTCAAAATTAATGAGATGACGACAAAAAAAAACAACAAATACTTACACTTTTGACATTCCGGCAACTCTGCAAACATATCCACATCTGAACCGGCAAGTTGCTGGACAGACCATTTGTTGCTCGCAGATCCTTTCCCTTTGCCCTTTGCCTTGCCCTTGCTCCTGCCTTTGCCCTTGCCTTTACCCTTGCCCTTCTTGTCTGCTAGAATAACAAGGCTCAAAATCAATTTAAGATCTTATACAGACAAGTATAATACATACCACGTCTGCCATGAAGTTCTGTATCTGACTCGCCATCCGAGTCTGACTCCGTCTGAGTATCGTTGGCCACAATATTAGTTTTACGTGCAAGATATGGAATGAAGCGAGACATTTTCTTGTTATGCTCAGTCCATAGATCAGAGCATGAGCACGTGTAGCCTGGAACTCGTCAGAAAATATTGTAGAACTAGGTCCCAACTCCCAAGGATCAGGAGTTATTCGCTCTCCATCCACGACTGCAGTCAAGCTTTGTAGAAATCTGCTGCCAGACTAGAGGGTAGACCACGCAAGAGATAGGCAGAGAATTGAGCCATGGCTCTCGCATACCAATTGAACATTGCACAATGTTCTGTGAGAGCAAGTCCATCTGTGCCCCAATTGCCGTGATTGCTAAACGTAAAGGCAGAAGGATTATTGTAGCTTCAAACAAATGGCAATATTAACTGAGTTCAGACATAACAATAAAAGGAAAACTCACATGAGATCCCTCATCTCTGGACGAAGAGACAGTAAAGAACCGTTGGGCATAGACGTAAAACCGACCAAACCATCTGCATTGATCAGAGCGCTTGGTGGATAGTTGACCACGACTATACGATAGGAATAAGGCGATGGTTCACGATCAGAAGGTGAAGTAGGAGGAGTGCCGCCATGAAAGCGTAGACCAGAGAAGCAAACTGAAATCATGCCTCTCATAACCATATAAGCGCCAATCTCGGGAAGATAGAAAAGTCCGGGATGATCATCTTCGTCCAGGTCAGAATGACTATGCATGCAAGTAACCCCTTCAGGGGCATCTTGATGATCTATATGCTTGCCAGCAAACTTGCCTAGGTCTCCTTTGAAATGTGCGACTACAAGCGAAATGTAAATAAATAACAATAGAAAACTCAATAGTATACAACGCACTGGCCAACGTGTTAGAAGGCTTTGTTGCAGATATATTAATCTGCTGCATCGGAAATGCATAGTTACCGCTATGACCAAGCGGTGGCAAGTTCGTAACATCAGCTTGACACTTCAATGCCTGCTTGAGATAAGGAGGAGCATGCTTGAATGCGCTCATTGCAAGGTGAGAAGAAGCCTATGAATATAATATGAACAAACGACTCAGACAAAATAAAAAAACTGTTAGCACCTGAATTATAGTCTTACACATCTTCTGATGTTCATTTACACACTCTTCAAATATCTTAGCACCTGGCACAGGAGCGCTAAGATTCTTCTGACTCTCGTATGACTGCCTCAGAGTGTAGCAACGAGCAGAGCCACTGATAGGCTTTGCCTGAGTATCCCTTTCCCATGCAACACCACCCGTCCAAGATCCATCCACCAATTCTGGCTTGGATGCGGTCCGAAGCTCACGCGATCCAAGACCCAAGGCACGTGCATCTGTAAATGCGGATCTTTCTTCCAAGGGAAGTTGATCTCTACAATATCGTCAATTCTAAATGTTCAAGTTCATATTCAGAAGAGTACTCACTTAGGAGACCACCAATACTGTATAACATCATCCTCCATCCTCCCGCTCCCAAACATATCTCTAGCAAACACCATATCGCCCTCTTGCAAACAAAAGAAACCTTGAAGGCGGTCTGAATACGATATAAATGTATAGGAAATATCAACTCACCAGCATCATCGGCCTCCTCTTCCTTTCCCTCTGGAAGTGGAGTATCCCTACAGTGATCCCATAACTTTTGCATTGCTTCTGGTTGAGTATCTTGAAGATACACAAAGGTTCGACCATCCGGGAAAGGTGCAAGGGGGTGATTTCGAACTATATACATCTGCCCAAGGAGAGGGTGTCGGTTTCTGATAGGAAACAACTCCCCAGGAGGGTTTGGCACAGGTAAATTCTCCGCCATTTGTATCTGCAAGCTGTAAGAAAATCAGTAAGTTCAAGTCAAGCTAGCACTCACAATATTGAGTAGAAGGAACTTCCAAAGTCTTCAGGTGGTTGCCACAGAAGCAAGTAGGAAGTATCAAGACAAGAAGACCAGCAGCAAGACTTTGTATGGACAGGAGCAAAGAGAGTCGATGCACGGAGGATGGCCACCGCTCGGCAAGAAACCCACAGCCACCGGCGGAGTCTCAACACACGGTGAGTTTAGATATCTTGTCGATGGGCGAGGTCCATCGACAAGATATCTAAGCTCAGCCGTAGGTTGAGACTCAGCCAACCTCCATTGGGTTAATATTTTCGGACTCAGCCCGCGACGCCACCGGCACGGTCTGGTCTGCAAGTCTTCAAGTCCTTCATATTATCTGCTTCGTCCTCCCTCGCTCACCCTTGACCGTTGACCCCCCGCTGTGCCGGACAACAGGACGCCCCGATAAACACGAACGATACACCCGCATCAAGTGCAGAGGATCCGTTCATCGTCGTCATCGTGCGACACGACACGACACCCACCAGCTCCCACTGGCCTTCCCCCGGCTCACCTCCACCCTCTGCATTGGAACGGATGACACACCCAGCACGGGAAAGTGCCAGAACACCTGAATGAAGCCCCCGTGTCAAACACGGGGGCTCCGTTCATCGTCATTGTTGCTCGATGGGATGCGACACCCACCACCTCCTCTTGGCCTTCCCCCGGCTCTCCTCCGTCCTCTGCTGTCTGACGCGCAGGATGCCCAGCACGAGGATGTGCCAGAACACCTGAACGAAGCCCCCGCATCAAACGCGGGGGCTCCGTTCGTCCTCGTTGTCGCGCGACGGGTGACACCCACCACCTCCTCCTGGCCTTCCCCAGGCTCACCTCCGCCCTCTGCACTGGAACAGACGATGCGCCCAGCACGAAGACATGCCAGAACATCTGAATGAAGCCCCTGCATCAAATGCGGGGACTCCGTCTGTCCTCGTCGTCGCGCGACACCACGTGGCACCCGCCACCACCCCGAAGTGCTCCCCCGGCTCTCCCCCACCCTCTGGCACAGAACAGCGACCAGGCCCGGCACTAGGACGTGCCAGAGGCCATGATGGAGGCCCCTGCATCAAGTGTGGGGCCTCCGTTCATCCTTGTTGTTGCGTGACGCCATGTGGCACCCGCCACCACCCCCAAGTACCCCGGCTCTCCCCCGCCCTCTGCCATCCAATGCACGTGGTGCGGCACGAGGATGTGCCAGAGGACACGACAGAGGCCCCCGCATCAAGTACGGGGCCTCCATTCATCCTCGTCGTCACACGACGTGACGCGGCACCCACCACCTCTGCAAATTCTTCCCCCAGCTCTCCCCCGCTCTCTGGCATGGAATGGCGACCAAGCTCGGCATGAGGACGTGCCAGAGGCCATGACGGAGGCCTCTGCATCAAGTGTGGGGCCTCCGTTCGTCATCCTCATCGCACGACACCACGTGGCACCCGCCACTGCCCCGAAGTGCTCCCCCAGCTCTCCCCCGCCCTCTGGCACAGAACAGCGACCAGGCCTGACACTAGGACGTGCCAGAGGCCATGACGGAGGCCCCTGCATCAAGTGCGGGGCCTCCATTCATCATCGTCGTCACACGATGCCATGTGGCACCCGCCACTGCCTCGAAGTGCTCCCCCAGCTCTCCCCCGCCCTCTGCCGTCCAACGCGCAGGGTGCCCGGCATTGTCGCCCGATGTGACACCTACCCACTTCAGGGTACCCTTTCGACCTAGCTCTTAGCTTCAACATAATCTATATTGTGTAGTGGCTAAGAGCCTCTCAGGTGTCAGACAGACCATGGTACCAATACATGTCCCAGGGCATTATATGGGATTACCCAGGGCAAAGGCAGGGCAAAGGCAGGTCCAATGGCACAATTATCATATGGGATGTCCTATAGTACTAGGGCATTGATATTTATATCCCAGTATTACTGGTTGTCCCATGGTGCCAGGGGTACATAGAGATGTCCCACTATTAGTAAAAGATGTATTTTCAGGCTATTGTATGGTAGGTTTTTTATACTTTATTCCACTATCATATTATCTAACCCTTAATTATAAAAACAGTGACTATAGTGATATAAACAAGCACTTTATTTGCATATTATATAAGGTGGTATCTCCCATTTTAAGGACATCCTAAGATGTTATTTTAAGATTCACAGATATTTAGTCTCTTCTTTAGCCTGAAGTTTCTATTTAACTACTATAATTATCTAGAGATTTATACTAACAGTTGAATTACTAAGGTTTAAGAGTGACAGGTCCTTACAAGGGATATCCCATCACATAAAGGGACATCCCATAATACAAAGGTGTCATTCAGTGAATGCATTTCTGAGTGTAACTTGACTGAAGTCTTAGGTCAAATGCCTTTCTTTTTTCGTTCAAATACAGTATATGATAGGAGACATGACAAGAATATATCTCCTTTGCTAGTATATTAGTAGACTGAGTAGTTCTATTTCTTGAGACACTTGGTGAAAGTTGTAGTATAGCTATGATGCATACTATATGCCAAAGATTATATCATGTTAGTCTGAACATTATGTCAGAAAAAGTAAAATTGATTTTAAAACACGAGAATAAACATTGTTGTTTGACCTGTCTTAGTTGTTATATGAGGTAATGAAGTTGTTGTACATGCTACCAATAGTAATATAGTCTTTATAACATTATAAATGTATACACAATACTTAATATGGGATATCCTGCTTTCTATAAATATTTCACCATATATAAAATGCAAATAAGACACTTATTTACAGTATTCTAGTCACTGTTTTTATAATTAGAGCTTATACAATATGATTGTAGAACAAAGTATAAAAAACTACCATACAATAGCCTGAAAATACATCTTTTACTAATAGTGGGACATCTCTATGTACCCCTGGCACCATGGGACAACCAGTAATACTGGGATATAAATATCAATGCCCTAGTACTATAGGACATCCCATATGATAATTGTGCCATTGGACCTGCCTTTGCCCTGCCTTTGCCCTGGGTAATCCCATATAATGCCCTGGGACATGTATTGGTACCATGGTCTGTCTGACACCTGAGAGGCTCTTAGCCACTACACAATATAGATTATGTTGAAGCTAAGAGCTAGGTCGGAAGGGTACCCTGAAGTGCACCTACCAATGGACACAGCCAGTTGAAACATCAGTTACAATACTATTTGTACAGTGTAGACTATTTGACCATAGTATAGAAAATATAACCTGTCACCTTTTGCCTCCAAAAAAACAAACAGTTTACAAATTCATATATTTAAATAATATGTAATGTGCGACTACTATGATACAGAACATGACATAACACATTGAATATATATAGTACAATCAAACTACAACTCAAAGATGCATTACAGTGAGCATTAACCAGTCACAGGCTAGGATACACAAGTAGAAGCGTGAATGATGCTTAAAACAATTTTCTCCTAGGAGCACATTACAAATATTACAAAATTATATTTTTAGACATATTATAAGGAGGTGGAGTCATTGCTTGACGTGAAAAACACAACCATCATGAACTCAGACCATTTTACACCTTGCATTAATGGAACAATCCTCCGCCTTTATGCTCATCTATATCCTGAGGGAAGAAAGGTCAAGCTCACCTGTATGATAAATGCAGTAAGCTTTACTCTACTCAGATATAATAATATGAGGTTATATTACACAGGTGAGTCAGAACATTGCCATCGTCACTACACCAGATACAACACGAATGATATTAAATCTTGAGAAAGATGAAAATGTTTGTTTAGTTGTCTCTCGAGCATTCATCCAGATATTCACATATTTGTAGAAGGAGGAAGTTATCGCTGGACAATATTTCAAGTTTATTGCTGAAGTCGGCAACACAAGAATCAATCTCAATGCACTGTATCACGAGCGTCTCCCCAAGGAAGTTGGTAAGAATACCATTGTGGCATATAATATAAACAGATGCTAAATGAACATATATAAGATCTTTTCGCGGTGAACGAGGTCGTAGAGCTAGTGCACAATCCCCCATACGATTCTGACATATTTAGCGTACCAGTCCCGTAATGATTTGTAATCTAACATGTGTAAACTATTGTTTGACAGAGAACTATATGTTTTTAAATCCCATGTCAGCACCTCCAGATTGAATCATTCCAGCCCTTCCAAATGAAGTCAGCATTCTAATATGCAAGAAGGTCATATCGGACTGGTCACACTTGACCTGCAACATAGAGAAGGTTCTTACAGTCAAGGAGGCTGAGACAGAGGCAAAGAAGACAGAGGTCAGGATGTGGCAGCAAAAGCTGCGACTCACGAGCAAATGTTGGCTCGATGCTACAGTCATTCCTCCCTTTTCTCCAACGACAATCATTATCGATATAGAGGATCAGCTTATTGCTCTCTTTCGAGCAATTATCAAGTATGAGAAGTCCTTCTGCAAATGCTATCTCAGCAATGACCCAAACAAAAACCACCTGACATTTCTGAACATTTCTGAATTGGATCTACGGCACTGCCTCGACTACAATGTATTGCAAATACAAATATTGGCCAAGGCAGCTATACCCCTTATAATCTCCTTGACGAGCTTAAAAGTACACTATCAGCTATCAGGTGTGCACAAACCAGCTCGAACGCATAACTGCATGGTGGAAGGATGAGAGAAGTACACTCAAGCAACTCCATCTATATCATAATGAGGATTCTTTGTTGGCATGAGTGCAAGTAAGCATTTTATCCAGTCTAAGAATTCTGCAACTAAATGGCATACAGAGAAAAGAAATGCCATGGTATCAATCCCATTTTTTACAGCTTCTTGCCCGCCTACCTTGCCTGCATACATTTCATCTCGACACACCGATGCTCGCCTTCACACCACCTGTGGAACTCACTGGAATTGACAGTGGTCAGCAATACTTCGATGTGATGTCGCAACACGAAGAGACTACTATCACGACATGGTTCAGAGAACTACCGACCTTACGCGAGTTATAATTTTGTCATGGAGAGCTGAATGAGTACGAGATGTTCTGGTATTGGGAGATGGATGACTCAGATAAACGGCATATATATGGAAGAAGACTCGAAACTGATGGAGAGCTGACAATCAAAGAAGGATTTCAGTCGATTGAGAATGGGCAGAGGAATACAAGTACTTCAATGTGGACTGTAGACCGGAGAAATAGAAGACAATGTGTTGAGATTGTATTGTGAGTGCATGCAATAGTATGAATATGACTTATACTAAGCAGAAACCTAGAGATATGGAGGCAAAGAAACCAAAGCCAAAGTCAATTTCTCATGAACGATACAGGAAGATCATGCTACAAGACACATTGATTAAGCTTCTCGGAGGTGAATAACATAATTGTCTGTTCCATTAAATGAACTACTGACAATTAACCAGAAGAGCTAGGATGGGAGACATGAATGGTTCTGCAACGATGGAGAGGAGGAAATGTGGCACTGTTGTTGTAGATTATTTGTGCAAGTCGCGTTGGTTTCTACTACAATCACTTTGAAAGACCGACCGTATGCAAGCTGTAGTACAGTAACAACAGGCACTACAAAATTTGTATTTAAACCCTAGACCTAACCCAGGACTAGGTGCAGCCCATGCATACAAATTTGTATTGAAAAGTCGTTCTCACGCATAGGGGCCGTTTCATCTGTCCCTCAGAATTTTGGCGGAAGCTCTATCCCATAAAGAATGATTCCTTAGTACCTCAGGAATCGTAACTTAGAAGTATTTAGTAACACTTTTGCAATAGTCCAGCATGTCATTTATATATCTATACAAAAAAGTTACAAGAAAATCCTAGTGCTTTTTAAATGAGAGCATTTTAATGGTCTATAATATTATTCAATAACTGGTATATAGCTCATGCATACAAATTTGTATTGAAAAGTCATTCTCACGCATAGGGGTTGTTTCATCTGTCCCTCAAGATCTGGCGGAAGCCCTATCCCATAAAGAATGATTCCTTCGTACCTCAGGAATCGTAATGAAACAGCCCCTATGCATGAGAATGACTTTTCAATACAAATTTGTATGCATGGGCTGCATCTAGTCCCGGGTTAGGTCTAGGGTTTAACTATAAACTTTGTAGTGCCTGTTCTTACTGTACAGCTTGCATACAGTCGGTCTTTCAAAGTGATTGTAGTGAAAATCAACACAACTTGCACAAATAGTAATCAATATAAGTGCCACAGCAGCCACAGCAGCCACAGAGGACCAATGCATCATAGTCAGTGAAATTATAAAAGCACATACTAATTTCAACACATAAAAAGCAGCACCATTGAAATCTGTGAAGGAAATAGAGCATAATGCTCTCTTAAACCAAGTAAATCTGAGTAAAACTGGCTGAAATATCTCAGTTTTGTATTAGAATGCTCAGTGTGAAGTGCAGGAAAATTGGATAAATGTCAAAAAAATTTGTGAATGACTCTAAAATGCACCTGAACATGCTAGATAGCGTGTCTCATTTTTTAGATGCAGTGCACATTGTTTTTCCTTAAAGAAACAAGCAGAAGTGAGAGAAAACTGAGAAAATGAATTGTAGTGCTTCAGCAAGTGACTCTGATGTACTCGAAGTAATACAATCAGATTAAGCTTTAAACTCCGGTCAGAATAGTCACTTAGTTCATCCAAATCCGAGCAGAATTGAGTGAACTACAAGCCTGGCAAGTTTGGCAAGCTGTGTGGAAACAAGTGCTTTAAGACAAAATGGATTGTAACACTGCAGGAAGTGATTCCGGTGTTCTGAAAGTGATATCATCTGGTTAAGCTCAAAAAACAGGTCAGAATGCCTACCTGGTTCATAAAATCCGAGTAGAATTGAGTGAGCTACAAGCCATGCAAGTTGGACATCATGGGCTGGGTCCAAAAATCTTGTCCAAATGCGGTAGGCTGACTTTGAACACACAGCTGAGTTTAGAGATCTTGTTGATGGACATTGCGCATCGACAAGATTTCTAAACTCACCGTGTGTTGAGACTCAGATGGTGGCTGTTGCCGTTCCTTGCCGCGCAGTGCCTATAGTCTAAACATTACTAGACAACAGGCTGGGAGTCAATATCTCACTTTGTAGGGCCCTTATCAACTGGTACTAGATGGTATACTAGAACTGTTTTAGTATCTTACAAAGTAACACTAGATGACTATTGTTGGGTCATTGTAAACATGTTTACTAGAACACTTACAAGAGACTACTAGAGACTATTGAAGGTCACTGAAGATTCTTACAAAGTGATGCCAGGTAACATTTCCGACTATTGTAAGCTCATTACAAACTGATACTATAGGATATATTAGCAGCTAGTATAATAGGGTGTTATTGACTTGCTGAACATTACTAGACAATATACTAAGAGTCAGTAGGCGACTTTGTAGACTATCTAATAGTACAGCCCTGATCAACCCACACAACTTATCAATATATAGTGGGACATTGTAGGATACTTACTACACATTATTAAATGACAGCGTCACTTTTTGTAGTAGTTCGTATAGGCACATTTGTAACAGTTTCTAGGGTCATTTTTTGTAGTCTTATAGGCACATTGGTAACATTTTTTGTAGTGAGTCTTGTAGGCACATTAGTAACAGTTTCTAGGGTCACTTTTTGTAGTGATGATTATGTATTAAGAGTCCGTAGATGAATTTATAGACCAATGTAAGACTCTTATAAACTCATACTACTCAGTGTAGTAAAATATTGTAGGACGCTTGCTAGACATTATTATATGGCCTACTAGGAGTCAGTAGAGAATATAATAGACTATTCATGGTTTTTAGGTAATATATTAGGATTTAGTAGATGACATTGTAGGTTGTTGTAAGACTTCTACAAACTGATACTAGGTGACCTTTCAGACTATTATAACACCTTACAAATAAATACTGGGTAGCATACCAGGCTATTATAAGGTCATTAGAATACTGAGCGACTTGCTTAAAGTTAGTAAACTATGTGGTAAGATATTGTAGGAGGTTACTAGACATTACCAGATCACATTATAGGGCATTGTAAGGCCTTTATTAAAAATAATAAGTAGCATGTCAGACTACTGTAAGGTGCTTACAAACTGGTATTAGGCGTCATATTGGAGCAAAGATGTAGATAAAAATTCGAAAAATTTATAAAGATATTAGGAAAATTGTAACATGACTATATAATCAAAAATTCTAAGAAACTTCTATGAGATAGTTACCTTGGAGTAGGTACATGACATTGTAGGCTATTAAAGTAATCCTTGTAAAATGAATATTAATGACTTTTTGGTCATGTTTTATATCAGTGTTGTTACTGACCCGGGTAATTACCTTTAAGGTTATTTGGGGTCAATTGAGGATTGAAATGACCCTAAATGACCTACGGTTAGTCGGGTCAGAAAGGGTGAAATGCTTATTTTTCTCGGTAGCAAAGGGACAATGTACATTACAGTCAATACAATGCTCTAGTCATCATCTATGCAGATCACAGAGCTCTCAGATGGCCTCAATGGGCCAGCTGAAGTGTTCGTTGACAGAGCTGTCTCCTCCTCGTTGATGCGCAAAATTAGTTCGTAAAAAACTGCCTCCTCGCGGTAGTTCTTTACACCCTGCCACCCGAATTCCTCTCATCCGACCTCCACTGACCAATTGAACAATTTCTTGATCGTGAATAGACGCTTTCTCCTAAAGAAGCAACGAATCTGAGCCAGAGCAAGAGTCAGTGATTGGCTAAAAACTCTGAGCAGCTAAGAGATTCAGTTACACATCGCGGAGGAATGCCAGCACTCGAGGATTGCTGTTCGACAACTTCGCCAACATCCGAGTCATCAGAATCTTCATCAGCTGCCTTCTGCAGTGCTCGCGCCATGCCACGGAATGTTCGCGGGCTCCCATGGTTGTCGACTGCATCCGAATCCGCATCCGAGCCATCGCTGCTGTCAGTCTCGCTATCACTCCGGGACTGCTCACCTGCATCCTGAAGGAGCTGCTCGTCTTGCATCCTACTACCAGTCTTGTCACAATCTGCCAATGTCTCGACATTCCCGAAGCGGCGCTTAAGCCACTTTCACGCTGTACCCTCCTTAGCTTGCTGGCGACGAATCTCTGTCTTGACATATGCCATGTCCCGGTTCTTCTGTATTCCTAGTCAGCTGCACTTTTTTGTCTTTGTATCATCCATCTTGGTAAAGAGGCGCTCCGTAGTTGCTGAACTCGGCACAAAGCTGAGAATAAGGTCGGCAAGTTTGACGAGAGAGTTCTTCTTGTCCAGAATGCGCCAGACACGTAGCGGGTCACACGTTCCATCCTGTAGGTGACGGAGAAGATATCCAGAATAAAATTGCATACTCTGATCATTATGCCACATACCTCGTCCTTCAGGCCCTCTTTCAAATCATTCAACGGCCAGTTCTCTGCAAAGAACATACCGAAGCGCATATGGTACTCATAGACACTGCGCATGAGATCCTCGGGCGGAGTCTCAGTGCGGAAGACTCGAAGATAGAGCCGGTGAATGATGCCCATGATCATGGCCACAGAGAGTGTTGTGCCGTTGAGCAACGAGGAATTAATGAACGGATTTAGGAAGAGGCAAGTGATAAACAAATCTTGATCTGCTTTTTGCCAGCGCTTCTCGATGCTTTCCATAATCGCAGTCACAGGATGTGCTTCGTCTTCTTCCTCGGCATCGGGAATAGTACGATCGTTCTTGCGAATGTTGAAATAACTGCGATAGAGATTCCCAAGGAGAAGCAGTACCTGATCACAGCGTGTATTTGCACCTTGAGATACATTTGTTGTGATTACAAGAGGCTCGATATGCATCTTGACACTGTACATTTTATCTTTGTCAGCAGACTAGATTCTCGTTCACAGGCATAAACACTGACATGACCAATTTCTTCCACCATTCATCATTTCGGACGTGCTGAAGCACTCGCTTTGCTTTTCTCTTGGACTTGACACTTCTTCCTGCAGACTCGATCAACTTCACATCGTGCTTGATTGAGGTGATCTGAAGTGCTTTCCAGGTCTCGAGCAGGCACAATAAGGAGCAAAAGTGGGAAGTCCAGCGAGTGATAACCGGCAAGATAAGTGCCAGAATTTTATGATACATTAATTGCTGCTCTTCGTTCAAAACACCCAGAGCGAACGAGTGGTTATTGAACCATTTGATCACTTTAAGAGCCGCATCGACAACGGTCTTGACTTGTGGATTGTGTTTGTAGTAGTCCCCGAGCATCAAACAAATCTACCTCATATAAGCATCGTGTTTGTCACTCTCACATGGAGAATACTCACCTAGTGGCTCCAGCAGTCTGCGGCTAGTGCCCATGGGTATTTCTGCAAGAAGAGTATGCGACCTTTTCGTTCATCGCTCCCGGCATCACTGCAGAGTCCAATGAATTTGAGCTTCAGTGTGTTTGTAATGTACCGATATTCCTCTTCCATGTGAATGAATAGGTTGGCACCTGTCTTTCGCTTTGCAGATGTATCAAAGACATGTAAGACATATGCCTGAAGTTTGCCGGGACAATGGTCAGCCAAGAATATACACTTTAACCACTTTCACTGACTGACCTCTCATTCCGTGGTATGCATAAATGCGATCAGATGCTTTTTTGAGCAATCTTTCCAGCTGTCTCCTTGCAAGACACTGTAGGCACCAGGTCATAAGTTTGCCTTCATCTCGCCCTCAATCCGCACAACTTCACGTGTCAATATCGGACCGGCCAGTCGCTGTTGTGTTGGAACTCTTGCACCAGGTGCGAAATCATGGAATAATTTCTGCACTTTAGGGTCTGATATTGAATTGAAGGACCAACCTGCAAAGACAAATGCTTGGATGAGTTGTGTCTTGAAGGCCTGCTGTCTGCTCAAATTGAAGGGCAGAGTTTTTGCAGCCATGACCGTAAATGTTTTCTGTTTCTTGTTTTTTCCAGAGTCTGTACCTTTATTCTTGCGCTTCTGACCTACACCTGGCTGCAGCGATGGTGGCTGGGCCACATCCGAGTCTGAGTCGGAATCCTTGTCCATGTCTGCCACTTTGCTCTTCTTTTTCTTATACTTCTTTACCTTATCCTTGACATTTTTAGGTGCATATTCACATGTTATAAGATGATTCACGAGGACGGAGATCTTCCCAGTGGCCATCTTGACTTTTTTCTGTGCTACTGTCCATGTGAGCCAGTAATCATTCATGTCACCAGTAAAATAAACATACCCTCTTGAAGAAGAATATTCTTAGACCACACCACCATTAATTTTCCCTCCGCAACTGCTTTCTCTTCGAGAAGCTGAATTTCTTTCAGCTTTACCACAGCACAGTACATGCACCGTGCCTCAAAGAAACTGCTGTTGACCTTGTCCTCATCTTGATAATAGTGCTCCCAGAGCCATGACTTTTGTCGGGCCATAAGTTGTCAGTAATTCAGTGATGAAGGAAGTTTGCAGTGGCGAGAACAATGAAGAGTTTGGTTGGAAGTGGCCAGGAATAGTGTGACAGCTGCCTAATTTGACCATACACGTGACTATTTGACCTTCCGGCAATCTCCGAACACTGACCCGACTGACCCCTACTCTGCTGGGAATTGAAATGACTGACCCACTGAACGGTAATAACCTGGTCAGGTCATACGGGTTATAAACGGTCAGTAACAACACTGTTTTATATAGCTTTTATAAAACAACATAGTAATATCATTTTGAAGCCATTTTTAGCCGAATTTTTTAAAATGCATAATAGTCACTTTTTAGTAACATTTTTATACACTTTTTGCAAAACAACATAGTAATATCATTTTGAAGCCATCTTTCAGCCAAGTCTTTTAGAATGCATACTAATCACTTTTTAGTAATGTTTTTATATGAATTTTATAAAATGAGAAAGTAGCATCATTTTGAAGCTATTTTGAAGCTGAGTCTTTTAGAATGCATGCTAGTCATTTTTTAGTAGCACTTTTATATATATTTTTTGCAAAATAACATAGTAATATCATTTTAGAGCCATTTTTGGCTGAGTCTTTTAAAATGCATACTAGGAACTTTTTAGTAATGTTTTTATGTACTTTTACAAAACAACATAATAGTATCATTTTAAAGCAATTTTAAAGATCATTTTTAGGAGAGGTGTACTAACAATTTTTAGTAACATTCTTATATAGTTTGAATAAAAGGACAGAGTAATATCATTTTAAAGCCATTTTTTAGATAATTTTTGCTCTGAAATACTTAGCAATATGTTAAACTATTATCAGGCAGCTATAAATAAATTTATTATCCATATTATACTACTTATCAACTGATAAATGGTATGAAAAAAGTTGATAGGTGACATAATAGATGTATAAGACTCATGTGATGATATAACATATTATTGTTATAAATGTTGCATACTCTAATACACTATTATAAGGCTTTTATAAACTACACTCAGATGACATCTTATAAGTAAGTTAAGAGTATAATATTGTTAGAAGCTTACTAGTTATTGAATAAGATTAGAGACTATTATAATGCTTTCATTTAAAAAGCACTAGCATTTTCTTGTAACTTGGCATGCTGGACTATTGCAGTACTGTTATCAAATATTTGTGAATAAAATATTAGATGAATAGTATACTAAAATATTGTAATGCAGTTGTTGATGATATCTAGAGTGGCCAAATAATATTTTAAGTCATTCTAATACTTTATTTATTTTTAGTATCTGTATAAAATGAATTGTTACTAGTTGAAATAAAAACAGAGTTTCAGAGCTTTAAAAAATTATACACAAACTAAAAAGACCTGAGTTCTTTATACTTATTAGTGTAACATCAAATTTTAGTAGATTTTCACCTAAAATAACTGTTTTGAGTGAATACAGAATACAAATGGTAAAACCTTTAAACAGATACCAAATAAAAGTACAACATGTGATGTAATGCAATGAACCACTCTTTACAAGTAATTAACTACTAAGGAGTAATACAAAATAATTAATGCATGTGATAAAAATAATTAGATGACGAGAGAAAGGCAGAAACACAGAACCTTAGGAATCGTTCCTGCCATGCAAAGCAGTGGCCTACTCACCACAAGTAATGTTTGCAGAGTGCACTGCTATGGCCTCAGCACCCTCCATTTACATAACCAGATTCAGGCCCTTAACACCGATGTAAGTCAGACTCAGGCTATTGCGCAGAAGGTGCAACAGGCCATGGAGATCATTCGTGCAGCCCTTGGTAACAACACCAGAGGTGCATCACCCTCCTCTATGCTTCCCTCCTCTGTGCTGTCCTCCTCTGCACCATCCTCCTTTGTCATCCTTCTCCAATGTTACTGAGGCAGTCTAACATAGTCCTTAAGATGAGTGATTTATATCAGTAGATAACCTGACTGATCAGATGTGCACAAGGCTACTAGGAGGCAGTTGGGTGTGGAGCATTCTGCAGGGGTTCTGTATGATTGTTGGCTGCATTTGTTGTCCTTTGACTTCTTTACACATACATGACATGGAAATACATCAGATCTCGCACTTCCAACACTCCACAATACAGTTGAGTGACTTGCACAGATCAATCAGCATCTAATCTGACACTGCACCCCTCAACTATATGCAAGTGTCATACTGAAGGAAAGAGATCTAGCCACCCTGGTAAGCTGTTCTGTGCTGATGTGAATGGCGGCGAAGCAATGAATGAAATGGGCAACTTACAAGAACACTCAGATGAGTTGAAGATAAGGTAAATTCATCTGCATCCCATGCAGCACGGATGGTGATCGTGCGCATGTTCAAAAGACCACATTCCATGCAAAGGTGTTGTGGGTCATTTACAATAAAGAACGAGTTGGATTGTGGCTGTGCAATGTAACATAGGGAAGGGCAATGTTGAGCTCTTAGAGACGCATACAGCATTGAGCACTGTTATCACCCCCTGAAGCTCAAAATCGAGAAATAGGGCAGAAGGATGCTCTGGTATGACTGCAAGACACTGCAGTGCAGGAAGATCCTGTGCAAGTAAGGGGATTATGTAGTCATGAGAACCCATGAGGACTTCAAGGTGGTCCATATTATTAGGTGGATGGGCAGCATAGGGGAGGAAATCAGAGTGAGTAAAGTGACCAATCCAGAGCTTATGTATGCTGGGAGGACAAAGGAGGAAATGGAAAATTGTGTTGATGGGTAGTGCACCATCGATGTAGAGGGTTTCCAAATGCTCCATGTGGAGGTGAGGTAAGATAAGATGCCATGATGATGAACCTCTGTTGATCGAGCACAGTGAGTGCTGCGCTGTTGAGGGCAGGGAAGAATACAGCAGATTTGATGACCAGTTGAAAAGCCGCTGAGCGGTATACTTAGTAATCTAATAATCACTAAGTGGCCATCAAGTGTGCCACTCATTAAGCTGCTTAGCAGCGCTATGGATGTCCGACCCCCTTATAGTTTGAATATTAGGCTGAGGGTTTGAGGCCCTGACATCTCACCTCATATATAGACTTTAATGTCAAATGTCAAATGATCATATCTTGTAACTTTGTGTCGTCCTTATACTAGTTCAATATTTAATCTGTTGTCTGCCCTGAAAGGCATAATGTCGATCAGAATTTCTTCCTGCCGGACATGCTGAACAAGACCTAAAATTTTTGGATGAATGTTATATGGTAACATAGCCATCTGCGAATATTGTATATGTTACAATATCACACATTATCAATGTGTGATTTGGGTATCACATGCCCAGACATCGGGCCTTACATTGTAAACATATTTTTGACTGTCAGAGCTACATATGGGCCATCATACATGTACAATGTTAGGCAGATGTTCCCACAATGTAAGGAACTTAGATATTAGCCCCTGTCTCCGGTGTCTAACTGGTCTACAAGTTCGGGTGATTAGATTTGTTAGTGTTAGAAATCACGCCTTAGTTCCCAAATAGGAAGGTAGTGATGGCGGGTCAAGATGCGTCGGGGCGCGTGATTTCGCGTCCTAAAATAGATTTCTGTATATATACAGTTCTAGACGCTCCACTTTATATAAGCAAATTTCCTTCTTTGTCTTTCTTTGTAATCATGCCCTCGGCTTGTCTGCCCTTGGGCGCTCCCCAATTTCTGGAGCTCTAGAAATTTGGGCGCTACTTTCCAACACTCCCCCTCAAGCCGATGGGCATTCCGAGCTTCTTTGTGAGCTTCTCGTGCCTCGGCTTAGGGAGTGATTTTGTTAGGATATCCGCTATCATGTCCTCCGTGGGACAGTAGTGGATATCAATATATTTATCCCTCAATTTTTCGCGCACATAATGATGTTTTACATCAAAATGTTTTGATTTTGCGTGGAATTGGGGATCACGTGCGATTGAGATCGCCGCTGTATTATCCTCGAATAAAATTGTAGGATCTTGTTGCTCGAAACCTATTTCTTTGAATAGTGTTCGGAGCCACACGGCTTCTTTTGCCGCTTCGGCGGATGCCATGTATTCGGCTTCCGTGGTGGATGACGCGACCGTGGTTTGCTTCTTTGAGCTCCACGTGATCGTGCCATTTCCTAATTTAAATAAATATCCCGAGATTGATTTGCGATCTCGGATATCGTTCGCATAGTCTGCATCTGAGTAGCCCACAAATATGGATTGATCTTCGGGCTTGACATCTGCAATTGGCCCGTAGATTATTCCAAGTTCTCGTGTTCCGGATAGATAGCGGAGGACGCGTTTAGCAGCAGTCCAATGAGCCATTCCGGGATTGGCAGTAAATGAGCTAAGCCGTTGCATGGCGTGAGCAATGTCTGGTCTCGTGGCAATTGCCGCGTACATCAGTGATCCGACGAGCGATGCATATCCGTTGTCTCGGTCGCATTCGTCATCAGTTTCGGGTTCTTCTTTTTCAAGCACTGTATTTGGATCAAGAGGCATCCCGACCGTGTTGGCGTTCGTAAGCCCATTCTTGTGTAGGATAGACTCAATATATTTTGTCTGAGAGATTTTGATTGTCCGCTTTGAACGGTCTCTCTCAATTTCTATCCCCACAATTTTTCGGGGTTCGCCAAGGTCGGTAACTTCGAACATATTTCGGAGTTCCCTCTTCAATTGGTCCATCAGTGCGCAATCATTGGTGAATATTAATAGGTCGTCTACCCAAACGGTGACGATTTCTATCTTATCACCTTTGATCCGAATGTACGCACATGGATCCGAGAATAGGTGCTTGAATCCCGCGTCTAGTAACTTGCGGTTCAGCACGATATTCCATTCTCGGCCAGACTGCTTTAGCCCGTAGAGGGTTTTCTTTAATTTACATACGCGGTATGTTCCATCGCTGTATCCTTCGGGTTGCCGCATATACACTTCTTCTTTGAGAGTTCCATTGAGATAGGCGCCTTTCACGTCCATCTGTCCGATCTCCCAATCTAAGATTGCGGCTAGCCCGAGGATAGCTCGAATGGTTTCGAGGCGGACTACGGGCGCGAACGTCTCGGTATAGTCCATGCCTGGGATTTGAGAATATCCCTTCGCAACCAGGCGGGCTTTGTATTTGATTATTTCACCCTCTTTGTTTGTTTTCTTAACTAGAACCCATTTATTTCCTACGGGTTTTCGATCTTCGGGAGGTTCCACTAACTCCCAAGTCTCCATACCCTGTAGTTGATTGAGTTCCGTCTGGACTGCCTGTTCCCATTTGGGCCACTCGAGTGATCTCTTGGCATCACTGAGCGTCTTTGGCTCATCCGCATCCGCATTTCCGTGGGCGCTCATCGCAATATAGACTAATTCGGCATTTGATTTATCTGGATCATTATCCAGATCTTCGTCTGCCTCTGGGTCGTGCATTAGACGGTAATCATGCCGAACTGTCTTTCTTCTGGTTCGTCTGGGCTGGCTTGGTGCGTCCGTCCCGCTTTCCTCGCGTTGATCAGGATCATCATCCTGTCTGCACTTTCGCGGATTTTTGGCAGGTGACTGTGGCGCGGAAGTTCCTAACTCCCCCTCACGCCGCACGTCTGCGGTCGTTGTGAGGTTTGGGACTTCGGGTCTTCTTTCCGCATGCGGTACGTCTGACGCATTGCTAGGTAAAGTGCCCGGAAATATATTTTGCTCCCCCTCACGCTGTGCTGTGAGGATAGGTACGTCGGATCCTATTTGCTCTTGTGGCACGTGAGGCGCGTTACCGGGCAAATGGTCCGGGGAATTCGAAGAAAATTGGAAATTATGCGAGATTTTAATCTGGCGCGTATGTGCATCATAATATTTGATGGCTTTGGGTCCGTCCATGTATCCAACAAAAATATACTTGTTGGCACGGGGCGCTAGCTTTGATAGTGTTGCGTCCTCCGTGAGGACCCATACGGGGGAACCGAATTCTTGTAGGTACGAGATATTTGGTTTTGTCCCATTCCATTTTTCTTCGGGAGTTGCCCCATTTAACGCCTGGGTAGGCGATCTATTTTTAATATAGACTGCGTGAGCAATCGCTTCAGCCCAAAGATAACGAGGTAGATCTCTCGCATAGATCATCGCGCGCGCTAGTCCAAGCAGTGTGCGATTCAATCTCTCAGAGACTCCGTTCTGGGATGGTGAGTACGGCGCAGTCGGACCCATCTCGATCCCTTTCATTTGACACCAGTTAATTAATTCGGTGTTCATATATTCTCGACCGTTGTCGAGCCTGAGTCGCAAGGGTTTATTTCCAAACTTGCGCTCGATATAGGTAATATAATTCTTTACCTTTTCAGTTACTTCATCTTTATGCCTCATAAATAGTACTGTACTTCGACGACTGTAATCATCGGTAAATGTAATAAAATATTTCCACCCTTGTAGAGCGGCTGTCTGCGCAGGTCCCCACACATCCGTGTGTGTTAATTCTCCGGGTACCTTGCTGCACTCGTCCGTCTCTTTGGGAAATGGCTTCCGCGTTGCCTTTGCTTGGATGCACACCTCGCAATTAATTTCATCTGGGCTTGGCGAGATTTCTAGGCCATCAACAAGCCCTTCGCGATATAATCGCGTAAGCGCTGGTTTCCCGATATGGCCATAGATCTTGTGCCACTCTTCCCAGGTATGCGGGCCGTATTCCTTAGCAGTATAGGTTCGCGCAGGTTGTGGAACTATTGGACGCAATTTCAATGAATATAGTCGTCCATTTTTCTTGCCTATAGCAAGAGTGTGTTTATTTTTATCTATTAGTATTGCACGACTATTACCCATAAGTACTCTTCCTCCCGCATCGTCCAAACGCGTGATGGAGAGGAGGCTATTGGGTGCTGTCGGCGCATACAGTACACTGTGGAGACGGAATTTCACTTTCCGGTCTCCTACTTTACTTTCGACATCGACCGTACCGCGGCCCAATGCCTGCGTTGGTTGCGGTCCGATGCCCATGATCGCGTGATCTTCGAGCGCCTGATAGGTCGCGAAGACTTCACGACGATTTGTAATGTGCGAAGTTGTCCCGGAGTCGGCAAACCACTCATAGAAAGAAGCGATTTCGCCATCAGATCCGAGAGATACAGTGTCGCTATCATTATCGTAGGCTATTTTTGCCTCATCCTCTTTCGATTCGACCTCGCGCGCTTCGTAAGCACGTTCCGTCTTTTGCCGTTTCATCGGCGGGCCCTGTCCGGCTTTGCCGCCGCCTTTAGCCCAACAATCCGTGGCCTTATGCCCGAATTTTCCGCAATTCATACATTTGACCTTGTCGCGGTGCCGACACTCGTTACCAAGATGTCCCGGCTTTCCGCAGATCAAACATTTTTTGTATTCCCCAAAGGGGCGCTTCTTTCCTTTGGCAACCATGGCTTGGTCCGAGGATTGACCGCGCTCGCCACGCTCGTGCCTTCGCCTATTTTCATCAAGAATGATGGCAATCAATTCTTGTGATGTAAGCTGAGGGCGCACGTTGTCAGCACCTTCGGCGCCAACATTGCCGCCCACGGCGCCAAAGTAAGAGCTGAGGAAAGAGTCCCAGCTCTCCAGTAATGAGGTAGCCAGAATGAGCCGGAAATCTTCGTCAGAAACAACCTTCCCCATTAGGTGGAGTTGTTCCTGGATCTGTCGTAGCTGTGTAATGTGACTGGAGATATTATCTTCTTCCTTGGCTTGCATCCGGTAAAAACGCCGGCACAGCGCGAGAATTCCATGCTGTCCACGCTGTTCCTTGACTGTGCGAAGCTGCTCCCACATGGCCCGTGCCGTCTCAGCTCCAGCGATGTGCACCATCTGGGAATCTCCCAGCGATAGCACAATTACGTTCTGGGCCTTGAGGTCCTTCTCTCCCCAGGCGCTAATCTCCGCCTCTCTCGCTGCCCTATTGGCCGGGTCATTACTCGGCTGCGGCTTCGGTGTCTTTCCGGTCACATACTCCTGGAGACCCTTATCATTAAGGATGGCCTCGACGTGGCGCTTCCACGGGAGCCAATTGTCTTCCTTCAGGAGCAGGATCCGGTAAGCATTGCTATTGCTCGTATTATCAGCGCTGGTCGACATTATTTGTTCTCGTACTAGTAAGGGGGTAACAATTTTTGTAGCCACAATAGGGGCTGTTGTTATCCAAGTATTTATTGGCTAGAGCCGGGGCTCATAACCTGTTAGAAATCACGCCTTAGTTCCCAAATAGGAAGGTAGTGATGGCGGGTCAAGATGCGTCGGGGCGCGTGATTTCGCGTCCTAAAATAGATTTCTGTATATATACAGTTCTAGACGCTCCACTTTATATAAGCAAATTTCCTTCTTTGTCTTTCTTTGTAATCATGCCCTCGGCTTGTCTGCCCTTGGGCGCTCCCCAATTTCTGGAGCTCTAGAAATTTGGGCGCTACTTTCCAACAGTTAGCAACTATTATATGGCAGCCTCTTGCCCACTACAAGTCTGGAAGTTTTGGTGTAAGTGTTGTAGTGAGTTTAGACCTCCTGCATTTTGTGGAAAGTGGAGAACCACATGTGTTCATGTCATCCGCCACCAAACGTAAATCTGTGTCTCGGACCGTCGGAGGAAGGCGGAAAATGGCGGAAAGAGTGATCGGGAATGCGGGGAGAATCGGAGATAGTGCGGGCCGAGGATGATGCTCTACCCCACATTTCTTTGATTTCTCTGTTTCCTCTGCTTTCGACGGCGATGAAGCCCATTCACAAACGACTGTATACCGTCCTCCCTCGGCCTGCCATCACATCATCGCCATGCTCGTCTACTTCGCGAGTCCGTTCCAACTCTGTGTCGTCTTCACGCTCGTTATACGCTATCCCTCCGTCCGCTCTTCCTCTGTCGTTCTACGACTCCCCAGCACCACCACTTCCTAGTTCTCGACCGGTCAATAACCTGATAACGACCACCCGTCTTACTGTCGAAGGCAAACCCGAGGCCGATGCGCAGCCGAATACCCCTTATTCGAATCAGTACACCCCGAACACTCCTCAGTCTCACAACCACTCAGCCGGTCCTCCGCCACATTCGCTGGCTCTTACGTCCACCCATTCTGAATCCCACATACCTGGTTCTCATCAGAAGCCTTTTTTCCCTTACCAGTCGTTTGTTCCTGTGTTCTACAACGACGCAACGTCTGCCGGTAGCGTGACTTCTAAATCTCAGCACAAGCATCAGCGCACCAAATATCATTTGGACGTAGGTGCGTATGGAATTCCCAAGCGTTCTCGCGCAGGGTGCGTCGCAGGCCGCGATGGACATGGGAAATTGGGATTCGCAGAAGGGTCACTCTATCCAGGCGAAGAACTTGAGGGTCTCAATCGTGCTGTCCAGGTGGGAGAAGATGCATACTTTGTCCGCGGCAATGCGATGGGGGTTGCAGACGGGGTTGGTGGGTGGTCACGAGTGCGCAGCCATGGTGAGCATCATGATGCGTGGCGTATGGACCCGCCATTCCTGACAGACATTCGCAGCGAAGTCGAGTTCTACAGAGCCTTCGCCGAGTGCACTCTTTGCCCGCAGGTTGATGCACTATTGCTCCGAAGAAGTTGAGGCTGCTTCATTAAGTGAACCAGCCTCTGACGGCCCAGAATTGTAGTAAGTTCGTCCGGCGCGCGAATAGTATACGGCTCACTCATAACCTCTATCCCTCAGCATGTCTGATGCTGATTCTGAAGAAGATACGGCTGATCTATACACAGATCTCGAAGACTCGCTAGACGAATTAGAGGAGGGTCTCGATGTACTCATGATCCTGGAGAAAGCATTCGACAAAACCATGCGTGCGCATGTGGCTCCGCAGAAAGTGCATAGTCCAGACTCTTGGTCGAATGAGAAGTTCGACACAGAGCAAAAACTGTCCTCAAGAACTGTTCCAAGCAGCGGTTCATCTGCGTCGACGGTTTCTTGTCCATCAACCGGCGGCGTCCTGGACCTATTGTCGAAGCCTGACACTTCTGCCCCAATTTCACGATGCTGCAGTCAGGGTCTGCCTGCAAATTCTATACTGAAGATGGCAGATACACCCACGAAAATTAGACCACCTGTGACGCAAGGCTCTTCTACGGCTCTTCTCGCCGTGCTAGAACATTCTCCTACACCACATGCGAAGTCAAGGTGCCAATCCTCCCTCCTCCAGCCTCAGCCTCGACATATCGGCGAACCCCATGTTGGACCGCAATTGGGCGCGATCCTCAGGATTGCTCATCTAGGGGACTGTATGGGCATGCTCATTCGTGGCGAAGACGTAGTTTGGAGAACGGAGGAGATGTGGTGGAATGTGAGTTCCTTCTCGTTTATATGTGTCCATGGAAATTAAACTATCTTGCTCTAGTTTAACACCCCAGTGCAGCTTGGACCAGCATCACCCACGCGACCACGCGACGCGCATGTCTTCACGCTGCCCGTGGAGGCCGATGACATTCTCATTCTCGCCAGCGACGGGCTGAGCGACAATCTCTGGGATGAGGATGTCCTAGACGAAGTTGTTCGCTTCCGCCGGCCGTTCATCGCGAACGGTTCTTGGTCTCACAATCCTACGCCTAGCGCTGTCCGCGGTGTCTTTGCACGGAGCACACTGGCGGGGATGCTGAGCGAGGCGTTGTGCTCCCGTGCGGCGCGTGCATCAGAGAGACGTGACCGTGATGTTGCTGGAGACAACGAGGTGCCATTTGCGCGGAGGGCTCGTGAGCAGGGTAGATCCTTCCATGGAGGCAAACCAGACGGTAAGTCGACTACTTTTCGCACGTCACTTGCTGACGATAACGCATGCCTTTTTAGACATCTCAGTTCTTGTGGCCGTGGTGTCGCCCACGTTATAAGCACCTAACTCGATCCTCCTTGGTATAGGTTTACCATGCTGTGCTAAAATGTTTCGTCGCTGATATCGTATCTACACGCATTGTACATTATTCTACATGGTCGAAGTCTTGCATAAACACTATTCATGATGTTGCTTGCACCTTGACGGACCCGAACACAGACCAAATGCATGGAGAGGCTCAATATAATAGAGTACACTTTACATGCTCAATCTAAGTAGTGTCCATCGCATCGCTCACATGAATCACGTCCTCACTCACAACCAGACTACGGACGTCTTCCGATTTCCATGCTGTTGTTCCCCGCCGGAAACCGTAGCTCTTCTCCTTCTGTACTCGTTCATTGGGTTTGACATAATTGCGCAGCATTTCCGTGTGGGAAGCCGTGATCACGCAGGCATCGACATTTGAGCCGGAACCAAGATCGTTGAAGATACCAGCAGAGATGGCCAATGTCACCAGGTTCAGCGCATCTTGCCTCTGCGAAGTGGGCGTCAGTGCATGTATGCGCATAATCATGACTGCACACCTCCATGTTTGGCCGCCAGCCGTGTTCAAAGACTGCCATGGCAGCGAGACTACCAGAGCCCATGGTGACATAGGGTAGCTTGTCTGTGGAACCGTGAGGATGGATGGTGAAGAGATGAGGACCCGTAGCATCGACGCCGCCGAGCACGAGTGCTGCACCAATGTGCCCCTGATATCTATATCAGAGCGACAGGCCGTGAGATAGCGGATAAACCGATCACTTGTCCAGGACGCACTGGAAAAGCATCTGTTTCAGCATGGTCATGGCCGTGACCACTCTTGGCTTGCGACCGGTTGACAGTGCGTGTAATTCCATGTTAGAAGAGATAAGTGCGGTCGTAAATTCCGTGTCAGCAGCGGTTCCTGCTCCACAGCATCGAATAGACTCTGTGATGTAATGAATCTGCTCGACTCAGCGGTCAAACATCGCAGACGGTGACATCAGTGCGCGCATTACCTTCTCGCAATTCTTGTCCGCTACAATAGGGCCCTCAGTCGCACGCGTGTCCGCACCAAGTACGATGCCATCTTTGAAGAGACAGCCGACAATGGTCGTTCCAGTACTAGTTGCCTTTGGGAGGGGAATGCCTCTCTCGGTGAGGAAACAGTTACTGAACAGATGAGCCACGTGAGATATCCAATACAACAGCACAGAAGGGAACATACCGGGTTTGATTGGAAAAGTCAAAGCCGGGCGAGGAGTATACGGAGGCAGCAGCCATGGTGGTTTGCAGTCAGTACTTGATCGTTCCAAGGTGACGCGTCTTAGCGCGTCTGGCTGGACCCCGTCCGTAGGGCGACCTCAGGCAGACCCCGACCACCGCCGCTATACCCGTCTAATCTTGCACTGCTCGCAGGCTACCTTCCACTGCTCTCGGGCTACCTTCCACTTCCCCTTTCCCTTCCATCTCTCTTACGATCTCCGCAGGAACCATGGACGGTTGGAGCAAATTTCAGTCCAACTTTTCCGGTCTCAATCTTGGCCAGTCTGCAAATAAGCTGGCCAAAGGATTCAGCACCAGCGTCCAAGCAACTAAGGAGCGGTTGGGTCAAGTAGCTCCAGACGAAATTACAGAGCTTCCCCAAGGTAGACACCTCGCTTTTCATCTGCTTTCCCTCTCAACCTTGTTCAGAATACAAGGACCTCGAGGCGCGCGTCGACGCCCTCCGCCAGACTCATCTTATATTGCTTAAGTACGTGTTTCTCCACTCTCCCGAATGATTGCGTCAATGAAAAACACCTAGAGTGACCAAGGTCTACGAAAACGAGACCTACGACTACCCCACGCAAATCCAAGAGTCCATCACCGAGCTCGGGACCACCATCGGCCACGAAATTACCAACTTCGCCGCAGCCAACCTGAAGGGCACCAACCTTCCGAGGCCCGCCCGGAGCTCTCCACCGGCTGCGCAACACAAGACTCTCCCCCATGCCCTTGGACGTGCCACAACTGCTGCCGCAGCCACATTGCAAGCGACTGCCGGCCCTGACGATAAGTTAGCCACGGCTCTCCACACATATTCCGGCGCTTGGGAGAAAATTTCCGAAGGCCGTGTTGAACAAGACGCAGCCATCAGAGCGCAGTTCCTGCAGCCATGGCAGGCAACGCTTTCAACATCTATAGCGGTCGCCATGAAGGCTCGCCAAGCTGTCCGTATGAGCAGGCTCGAGCTAGATGCTGCCAAACAGGTGTAAGCCTGCATGCGCACCTGCATCTGTTGGTGTTATTTTGAACGTTGCATCAGGTTGAAGACTTCGAGCGCTACGAAGCAAGAAGCTGCCCGCCTTGAGGTCGAGAACGCGGAGGATGACCTCGTTCAGAAGACTGAGGTTGCCATCACCCTGATGAAGACGGTCCTGGAGAATGTTCGTTCGTCAGACTGAGTCAGTGCATCCATGTCGCTGACTGTGATTCATCAGCCTGAGCCCATCAAGAATCTGAATGAGCTTGTCAAAGCTCAGGTATGCATGGGCAGTAGCTTACCTATGCTTCGTCATTGACCCGTTCTAGCTTCTTTTCTACGCCACGGCTGCCGAGGCGCTCTCCACCGTACAAGGAGAGGTAGAGGAGCTCAGCGTTGCCGCTGAGGGTGAGTACAGGTAAGTGCAGGGTGTATTGATGTGTCCCCTGACTCATGTCTATCTCCAATCACTCTCCCCTCAGAAAGTCTCGCGACCACTGAGATACCGTTGTCTTGATAGTCGTGTTTATTTGGACTTCTAATTTCTGCCATGCAATGTCCTGACTGTTAAACCGACCGATTATTTCCTAGCACATTGATGGGGCCGGTGACCTCGTATTTACTAGCAACACTGCCCGCGAACGGTGGTGCATATACTAGTGTACACGTACTGAAGATATCTATTGACTATGGAGTGATGTGGCCGAAGCTATCTTACGGAGATCCTGAGGAGATCTGGAGCAGCTTTGAGCGTTCTCTGAGATGACCCAACATGTTCCTCGATATCTATTTTACCACTATCAACTGGACGCAGACTTCCTCTGCTTGACTTTTATCTACCATGTCGACCACGCAGACGCAGACTACGATTAGCCCGCACAACCAGCAGCCGCTGGTAACACGGACCTATCCGTCGGAGAGCGAGCTGGACAGTGTCATTGGGCGTTCCGCTGCCGCCCAGAAACAATGGCATCACGTCCCGCTGAAGGACAGGATCGCGATCGGGCGGAGGTTCATGGTTCGTCGTTAAGTAGAGCTGTCCGCGCGTGCTGACATCTGGAGGGATTGTAGGATGAGTTCCGTAACATGAGCAATGAGATTCCGCTCGAATTGACTCAGCAAATGGGCCGGTACGTGTCTACTCTCTGATGGAGCCATGACTAACTCTGCTGCAGCCCCGTCTCCCAGGGTGCTGGGGAGATTCGCGGTTTCCTCGACCGCACCGAATACCTACTCTCCATCGCGGAGACAGCACTGGCGGACGTATCTCTCAAGGACACGGACAAGCCGGGGTTCAAGCGCTATATCAAGCGCATCCCGCTCGGTGTGGTGCTTGTCATCGCGCCCTGGAAGTACATCCTGCGTCCACTCACGGTAAACACAGCTGACACCTCCCGCTCCAGCTACCCCTACCTCACTTCCGTAAACTCCGTCGTGCCTGCCCTGATCGCGGGTAACTCAGTGATCCTGAAGCCGTCCCCGCAGACGCCGCTGACGGCGGAGCGCGTCGTGCTGGCGCTGAGGCGCGCGGGGGTGCCGGGGGACGCGGTTCAGGTGCTGCACCTCTCACCAGCACTGACAGCGCACGCGGTGCAACACCCCCTGGTGGACTTTGTGTCGTTCACGGGGAGCGTCGTCGGCGGTCGGGCGATCGACCTGGCCGCGGCAGAAGCGAAGGGGTTCAAGGGTGTGGCGCTCGAGGTTCGCGAAAACGTTTGGGAGCACAATGTACTGCGCTGAGTGTTTGCCTTCTGTAGCTTGGTGGGAAAGATCCAGCATACGTGCGCGCGGACGCGGATTTGGACTACACGGTGGCGGAATTGGTCGACGGTGAGGAATTTGCTGGCTATATGCATGTAGCTGTTCGTTCAGTGTGCGGCACTTTCCAGGCGCGATTTTCAACTCGGGCCAGAGCTGTTGTGCAATTGAGGTGTGTGTTCGGCCTCCTCGCAGACCGCCCATTTTCGGATGATTGGTTCGCGTCTAGCGCATCTACGTCCACGAGGATATCTACGACACCTTCGTCGCGAAATACGTCGAGCTCGTCAAGGTGCGCGTTCAACCTGGGCTCGCATCAGCACAATGTACTTACATTTACTGGCACAGAAATATAAGCTGGGCGATCCGACACTACCGGACACGAACCTGGGGCCGGTCGTGAGCCTCGCCAGTGCGGAAAAGATCCGCAAGCAGGTCGCAGATGCAGGTGGGTGCACCGCTATTTACGACTACCACTCGTAGGACTGAAGCGACTACCAACCTCATAAACGCAGTTAAAGCGGGTGCAAAGGCGCTGATCCCGGAGGAGCTGTTCCCCGCTGCGAAGCCGTGCGTCCCTCTCCCATTGAGCTAAATGGTATGGTGGGCGCTAGCGCTGACGCTAATGCCGGGCGCATGTAGGGATACAGCGTACGTCGCGCCGCAGGTGCTAGTCAATGTGAACCATAGTATGTCTACGTTCCCTGCGCCCCAGAGGCAAATACTGACCAGCGGTGCTCAGGCATGGACGTCATGATGGTACACTCTGTCTCGCTTCGTGTTTCACGCTCATGCTCACTCATATACAGGAAGAGACTTTCGGCCCCATCGTGGGCATCCAGAAGGTATCACTGCTCCCCTCGCCTCTTCCCGCGTGCAGCCACTGACGCTTCCTAGGTGTCCTCCGATACTGAGGCAGTGCAACTGATGAACGATTCGCCGTACGGGCTGACGGCATCGGTGTGGACGGACGCGGCGAAGTATGTGGCGTCGGAGTCGGCTTTCCTTGGGATCGTTGACAGGCTGCAAACGGGGACAGTGTTCCTGAACAGGTGCGTCTGGGATTTGTGTTGCTGTTCCGTGCACGGTGCGCTGATGCGCGGCTAGATGCGACTACCTCGACCCAGCGCTGGCGTGGACGGGTGTGAAGAACAGCGGGCGGGGCATCAGTCTGAGCAAATTCGGTCAGTATCATGTCATTAATTCGCTGGGCAGTGAAATCTGATCAATTCACAGGATATGACCAGCTCACTCGGGCGAAGTCGGTGCACATGAAGATCAAGACGGCGTGACAGGACATGTGAACGAAAGCGCACGAATGGGACGAGTGGGAAGTAAGAATGACGCAAATGTACCGTGTGCTTGACTTGAAAGGATAGACGGAACCATGAAGAAGCGCGTATAATTAGTTTTGTATCTTGTCTTGAACACCGAGGGCCTCTGCCACGGCGGTCGACTCAATACTCGCAATGCATGGATAAACTGCTAATAATGATGCGTCCGAGAAACCCAAGACCCGCTGGGGTGACATGTACAGTACAAGGTGAGTATATGCAGCACGTCATACTTTGTACTTGCGGCCCGTTTTTGTGAAGAACGTCTGGAGAACATAGACTTGCACTCTGCTCGAGCGTCAACGGCGGGCACATCACGGGCGGAAAAGTACGCACACTGCTATGCCAATGATGCCGAGGCATTCAAATACGGCGTACCAGAATAATCGACTGCGGGAAGGGTCAGCAAACGAGAGGAGCGGACAACAGCGGACGCACTTCTGTGTGGATCTCACGATGTCAAAACCTCTGTTTTCGCGCGTGTGGAAGCTGCACGGAGGGTGAGCACACGCGAAGGGCAGAGACTGTCGGCGCACTGACTATTTCTGGGAGCGCTTCACGCTCATGAGCATGCCGTTGAGGCGGAATATGCTCTCCTCGAGCGCGCTGGTGTGTTCCGATATCTGGCCGGGTTTTGCGGGCGGTTCACGACGGGGCTCGCTCTCGACCATGATATCAAAGTCGATGAGCTTGTCTGTGAGGGTGGACATGTCGTTCTCGAAGCAGAAGGCATACTCGCCGACGGTGTTGGCGGTGAGAACGTAGTCGCCCTGCCGCTCGCGAGTGGCGTCGAGGATGACGACCTCGTTGGGGTCCTTGACATCAAAGTCGATGTCGAAGGAACCGCCTGCCTGTACGGCAAAGTAGAACTGGGGAGAATGGGATCAGCGGGAGAGACTGTGCGGAGATGTGGACTCACACCGATCTTCTCGCCGGCCTTGTCTACGTCGGCGTAGAAGCAGAGGCGCTCGTTGGGGGAGATGGAGGTGGTGAGGGCAGAGGCGGCGACGGGGCTCGGGGCGTGGAGGACGGCGAAGACGGCGAGCAGGAGCCTGAACGCGGCGAAGAGCATGGCGGCGGAGGACAGTCGCGGGCGCCTACTGATAATGGAATAAAGCAGGAGCCAAACAACGCGCAAACAACGCGCTCCTCTCCCGCCACCGCCGCCACCGCCATGCCGTTCGTCCCCCACCACCGAACCTGGGCACAGGCATACGACGTGTACCCCGAGTCCGCTATCCGCGACACCGCTGAGGCCGCCCACGACGTCCTCCCCGTCGCCACTCACGACGATTCGCCTTTCTTTGTTCCTACCCCGCCTAACGACTTGGCAGCATCGCCATCCTCTGGCCTGTACTCAAAGCCCTTCTCTCCTTACTCTACCATCACACCATTTCAATACCTCTTTGCGTCGTCTCCGACAGGTTTCTGGCGGCCTGCCCCGTCCTCCGTTTCCCCGGTCTACCACACGTCGTCTCAAAGCGACCCATGCCGCAACTCTCACCAGCGCCCACAGAAGAGCAGCCTACTTTCTCTGGCGAAATACGCTGACGCCGCTCTGAAGAACGCGCTCGACCCATTATCCCCTCTGTCGAGTCTCTCTTCGTTGCCCTCTTCCCCATCGACCGATGGTTCCCCACTCTCCCGCTTTCCTTCCGAGTCCTCGAGTAGCTCTCAGTCGGAGTTTCTACCTTCTCAACATAGACAAAGCCGTACGCAACCTACTACAGACCGAGCTCACCCTTCTCTTCGAATAAAGGCGCCACCCGTGCGTGAGTCCCGCTATGGGACCCGTTCCAAGTCTACGCGCCTTCTTGCAACCACCACCGCCTGCATTGCACCCTCCTCTCGCAGCATGCATCAAGTTGAAGGCGACACAATGCCGGACGAGCACAATGTGCCGTCCACGCGTCACAAGCGACGTGCCGCCGAACCCGCACCACAATCTAAGCACAAACGTCCCCGTTTTACTTCTGAAACCGACGACGAGAGTGACTCGCGCAGCGAGCCTGAAGGTTCTGTTGGACCTCCCTCATACCCGAACCGCACCTTCCCTCAACATATCCCGATGAACAAGCATTTTTCTTTGTTCTACCGCCGGTTCCCTGTTAGTTCGTATAACTCTGACGGGTACGCACACAACCGTATACTATGTATTGAGAGTACCTAACAGACGTGTTCGCTGTAGTCCCACAAACGGCCTTTCTGACGCCGTGTTTAACCCGCCAACTGATCCTCTCAGTTTATACCATCCCCGCTTTGTCAAGGGCAAGGGAAGGACTAAAGTCAGTCTTGCGAGCCCACATCTTTGCCTGCTAATAAGCTGACTCTATGCGGCATGCTAGGTGGGCCTGTGTCCTTGCTGCTCCGAAGACCCCACACGGGGCGGTGGAGGGACGAAAGTGTGGCTGTCCCTGAAATTCTCCGCATATAAGTGGTACGCTTTTTCACTTGCCCGACTCCACCTCACTGACTCCCCATCCAGAGTACCTCCATCTGTTCCCTAGTCTTCCTCCTGATGTCTCCGTAGTTATCATATGCAGTTTAACCATGGTGGGTTTCGTCCGAATTCATCCTCTCACCGAGCGCTGACCACGACTGCAGGGATTTCTGCTTCGACTGGGCTCCCGTTCTCACCGCCAATGGAGTTCCGCATCGTCGCCCGCGCGGAAGTGGGCAAACATGAGAAGGCACGGATGACCCAGGGGCGGTGTCACCGCTGCAAGGAGTGGGTCCCTATCGAAGGGATTAAGGACGTGCCTGTGAAGGTGCGCGCTGATTTCCCTATTATTCCCGCTGGGTTCTCCGCTGTTCCCCTCAGCTTTCGTACATGACCACATGCTTGTTACAATGGTCTTGGACTTCTCCTTACTTTGTTCCTACACTTCGCAATTTGCCCTTGTGATCAGCGCGCTGGTGCTCATTCATGTGCTCTTGGTGGCTTTTGTCTTACTCTTCCCAGCTTTGCATGCTGCATCGTGATGCATGTTGCTCTTGTCTGCGCCCTTGCGCGGTCGTCCCTCATCCCTCGTGTCTCATTCTCTACATTCCTGCTGCTCGTGACCACCAGTACTGATGGCCTTTCGGCGTATAGGTGAAGGAGATTTTCTGGTAAGTGGCTCTTCCGACATTACCCTGTCTTTGGATCCCACGCTTCTTGCTGACTTTGTGTGCCAGGTGGAAGCATGCGGCGTCGTGCCACCAGGGCTCGATGATCTCCGGCGAGCAAGACTTTTACGTCGAGGACGACATCTACCAGAGCCGACTGGCTGAACGGGACGCCGCCGACGGAGATGGGGAGAACTCCGAAGATGCCGACGTCGACGGTGTCCACGATGCCAACACAGGACACGATGTCGATAATACTAGCAACGACTCCGCTGCGTGACTGCGTGAATAACGAAATAATGCTGGAAAGCGCAAAGGCGCTACAAATGGCCGAGGTATCTTACAGACGGTATTATACTGACCGTACGCTCGCATATTGGAACGGGCCCCGTGGTCCTGATACCTACGCAGCACCGCATCGATTGCGCGGATTCGTTCTCCCCCTTTCCTCCTTTCTTTGAATCCCTGGATCTCTCGCTTTGTCTCTGCTCTCGACGTCTCACTGTTTCCCCCTGCAACTTGTCTCCTGCTCTGTATGCATCCCCTTTGCTCGTCCTTTCCTCATCCCGTGCTCGTCTCGTTCTCGTTGTCTCTGCAACTGTTGCCTTTTGATTTGTGGATCTGGCATATGTGCTTTGCATTGTATTTTTGCTGTGCATTCTGCCTGTGAAGGATCTGGCAGACAGACGGTATAGGATGTAGTGTACTTTTAGCGGATCAACGAACTACGTACTCTAATCAGTATAGCACCAATCTCGTACACCGACATTCCAATGTGCATAATAATATGCACGATATTCGAGCGAACTCAGCGTTCGACGCCACCGCGAACTACCAACAGCCGAGCTGCACCGGCGCTCGGCGCGGGAACAAAACAAGGAGCCAAACAACGCGTCAACAACGCGCTCTCCCTTTGTCCGCTCTCCTTCTTTCTCTCTCCCTCACCGCCATGAAGTCCGTCGAGCAGCAGCACCTGGGCTACAGTGTGTACCCGGAGTCTGCCATCCGCGACACCGCTGATGCTGCCGACGACGTCCTCCCCGTCGCCACTCATGACGACTCGCCCTTCTTTGTCGCGAACATCCTGAACGACCTTCGTTCCACTCCATCGTTCGGCCAATACCCGCAAACTTTCTCACCGTTCTCGCCAGGTACTCCGTTCCGCACTTTGTTTGCCTCGTCGCCGTCGGGTTTCTGGCGCCCCGCGGATTCATCTGTGTCGCCCGTCTACCACACCTCACCCCCTAGCTACCCTCATGCCGCTCGTCCTCACGGCCACCATAAAAGCAGTCTCCTCTCCCTGGCAAGATATGCCAGTGCTGTTCTTCAGAACGGGCCGCTTGATCCATTATCCCCGCTCTCGAGCATCTCATCATTACCATCTTCCCCTTCCACTGATGGCTCTCCGCTTCCCCGTATTGCACATGGTTCCGCGAGTAGTCCTCAGCAGAAACCACAGACAACTGAACCTGCATGGTGCTATTCGCGAGCCACTCGTGACCGAGCCCTCCCTTCCTCCAGGACAAAGGTGCCACCCGCGCGCGCGTCGCGGTACTGCACTCGTTCCCAGTCAGCGCGCCTTGTTGCATCTACCTGCGCACGCGCCGCATCGCGCTCTCGCCGCACCCCGGATTACGATGATATCGCCTGCGACGGAGAAGACAACGTGCCCGCTACGCGTCTTCGCAAGAGACGCGCTGAGCCGACCGCGGACTCCACCCTCAAGCGTCCACGGCTGACTTCGAATAATGAGGATGCCTTGCACAGCGAGCCTGAGGTTCCCGCCGTCGTGTCTACGAGTCCAAACCGGACATTTCCTCAACATATACCCGTAAATGGGGATTTTCCGTTGTTTTACCGCCGCTTTCCTGCCAGTTCATACGCGCTGACAGGTTCTGACACGTGCGCATGCAGTTCTATATCGTCTTCTGAATATTCGACTGATAATTTTCTTTACAGTTCCAGCCATGGCCCTTCTGATGCCGTATTTAACCTCCCGACTGACCCTCTCAGTCTATACCACCCGCGCTTTGTCAAGGGCAAGGGCAGAACTAAAGTTGGTCGTGCTATCCCGTTATTTTCTTGCTCACGAGCTGACTCTGCGTGATGCGCTAGATCGGCCTATGTCCTTGCTGCTATGAAGATCCCGTTCGCGGTGGCGAGGGAAAGAAGGTGTGGTTGTCGCTGAAATTCTCTGCGTTCAAGTGGTACGCTATTTCGCTTGTCCAGCTCTACCATTGCTGAGCCTCCTCGCAGAGTTCCTACACTGCTACTGCTTGCCTAGCTGCTGATTTCTTCTTAGCTACCATATGCAATTTGGTCACGGTGCGTCCGCATTCGCGCTCGTCCATTCACTCACTCGACGTACTAGTAGCTGACGGCGGCTTTAGGCATTTCTGCCGCGACCGGCCTCCCATTCTCGCCGCCGATCGAGTTTCGGTGCATCCCCCGCACGGAGGTGGGCAAACACGAGAAGGTCCAGATGACCCAGGGTCTGTGCCACTATTGTAAGGAATGGGTCCCCATTGAAGGGATCAAAGACGTGCCCGTCAAGGTGAGTGCTGTTTGTCCAGTTTTTCCCATTGGCTTTTCCGTTGTTTTCCTCGAAGCATTCTTGCGTAATAAGCGTGTGCCTCTTTCCCCTGCTTTGTTCCTCTTCGCAAATTGCCCTTGTCATTAAGTGCTCTTTGATTTGCTATCTGACTCTTAGTCGCTTTCGAGGAAGGAGAGCTTCAGAGAATGAGACGTCCTTATTTCGTCCCAGCTCTGCGCACTGCACCTTGACGGGCCTTGCTCTACGTCCTCGCACAGCCGTCCTTTGTCTCTCGCTCTTGCCATCCTCTCTGCTCGTGATTACAGTACTGATGGCCGTCCATGCAATGACAGGTAAAAGAGATATTCTGGTAAGTGATTCCCTGTTTGCCCTTCCGTCTCTACCCTGTCTTGGCGCGGTGTGCTGATCCGACGCGCCAGGTGGAAGCACGCGGCATCGTGCCATCAGGGCTCGTCGATCATCGGCGAGCGCGACTTCTATATCGAAGACGATGTATATCGCAGCCGGCTGGCGGAGTGTAACGCCAGTGAAGACGTGGAGAGCCCCGAAGATGCCAATGCCGTCCACGGCGACGATGCCGACACCGTACACGGTGTTGATGATGCTGGCAGCGACTCCGCTGCACAGCGTGATTAATTTGAATGACGAATAATGCGGGAGAGCGCGGAGGCGCTACTAATTGCCGAGGTATCGTACAACACGTATTATACTGACATACTTGCACCTGCATAGTGGAATGGGCCTTGTGGTCCCAAATAGCACCGCATCGAATGCGCGGTTTTGTTCTTACTTCCTTCCTCGTTTACTCTCTGGATCTCCTGCTTTTTCTCTGCTCTCATATTCCCCCTGCAATCTGTCTGCTGCTCTGTATGCATATCCATTGTTTGTCTCGCTCTCATTGTCTCTGCAACTGTTAACTTTTGATTTGTGGATCTGCTACTTGTGATTTGCATTGTATTTTTGCTGTGCATTCTGCCTGTGAAGGATCTGGTAGATCGACGTTATAGCATGTACTGCACTTGTATCGCATTGACCATACACCAACCAGTGGTAGAATCTCATGTGTGCGAGCGCCACAATGCCGCCGCGAAGGCGCCAAATATAGCCACCGCGAGGGAGGCAAGCGCCCAAAGCGCGAAGCGACGCCGACTGCAACGATGGCCCCGCGCGGCGAAGCTCGCAACGAGGTGCTGTACGTGCAGCTTCATCGGCGCATGGTGGAGAGCGGGGAATGGGACCGGTATGCTACCCTGCCTATTCAAAGTTTCGCCCGTGCTCACTTTACAGCTGATTTCGCCCTCGCTCACTGTCGCGTCAGGCTGTCTGCGGTGCTCATGCGGGAGCTGAACGAATACGGGTGGCTGGATGACATGCGGCACAGGAGTAAAGGTAGGCCACCTCGGGCATTGTCCCTGTAGACCACACGCTGACGGAACAGAGATGGCGCGCGGCATGGAGCGCCCGACGGTAGAGCAGCTCATGGCAGGGCTTCGCGCGCACGCAGAGGGTGAGTCATGCTGGCAAGAACTGATCAGGTCGAGCGACTGATGTGTGCTGGCGTAGCGTCAGTACCGGCAGGGGTGAGACAGCAGGTAGTGGGGATGCTAAGGCAGTATATGGAGAAGCAGGTAGACGGCTGAGCTGACCAGCGAACGTAGGGAGTGTAAGCTACTGTATGTACTGTATACGAGACTTGTCGGGAGAGAGCAAGACTGAGCGCAGCTAAGCGCGCCTGCCAAATGGAGAACCTGCACGGATTATAATCAGAGTCTACGACGAGGACGACGACGAGGACGGCGAGTCCGCAGGCTGAACGATCTCGGGTACCGGCGACGCCGCCGCAAGCTCCTGCTGTACAATCTTCTCCCCCAGTGCCTTCACCTTCTCTGCCTTCGTCGCGGCGCCGACGCGCATCTGGCCCATGACGCGCTCGAGCACCTTCTCGCCAACGCCGACGGGCGCGCGCTGCCAACGGACGACACGAATACCCACGCCGGCCATGGCGTGCTCCTCGAGGTAACGGACCCAGCGCTCGACGACCGCGGGGTGGGCGTCCCAGGCCTTGATAGCACGCTTGTGCACGCGGCGGTCGAAGTTCTCCTGGGCCTTTTTGTGGACGAACGGCCCCCGTGGGACAGTCCAGAGTGTGCGCTGCGTCGGGAGGTGCGCCGGCCGCGAGATGGGGATCGCAAGCGCCGCGGCGGTATGTGAGGTGAAGTGTAGGAACTGGTCGAGCAGGTGCGGGAAGTAAGAGCGAAAATGGATGAGCGCGACAGGGATTCCGTGCGTTTGTGGGTGCTGGTAGGCCGACATGGATGCGCGCCCGCGAAAGATGGTCGACGCGAAGACGTGTTCAGGAATGCCGTCTGGTGGGGCATCATTGCCACCGCTGCCAGTGCTGGTGCTGGATTTCTTACGATGAGTAAGGGTCCAGAAAATATACATATATTCACTCACGCTGCGGTGCTGTTGAAGCGCACGAGACGGCGCACGGCCGCGACGGCGGTCCTGCAGGGGCGGGCGAGCATCGTAGCAGTGCCACTAAGTACTAGCACTTAGCAGAGGCACAAGACGCCTCTCGAATTAGCGCGCAAGGACCAGGCGGCGTCTGCCGTAAGCAGCTTGCACACCAACCGCGACCAACGATGACCTCCTACGACAACGACCCCTTCTATCTGAGGTATGAAGACCAGTTTTCGGCGTGAGCACTTGCAGCTCACGCCTTGTCATTCAGATACTAGTACGTCCATTGTCATTTTTTTTCACTCTCCACGCGCTGACCGACCGCTGCAGCACAGGACACTCTGGCAAGCACGGGCACGAGTTCCTCGAGTTCGAGTACTCGCACGGCCGTCTGCGGTACGCCAACAACTCCAATTACCGCAATGACAGCCTGATCCGTAAAGAGAGTGAGTCCCTCCCTGCGCTTAACCATGCAGCGTTTTTCGACCGCGCGCGTTCACCTGTCGCATAGTGTGGGTCGGCCCGCTCGTCGTGAAGGAGCTGAAGCGGATCGTGGAGTCGAGCGAGATCACCAAGTGCGTGTTCCTCTCGCCATCGTCTGTGTGAGTGTTGACGCCCCTTCGAATACTGCAGGGAAGACGACACCAACTGGCCGAAAAAGAACATCGTCGGGAAGCAGGAGCTCGAGATTCGTGTTGGGAACGACCACATCGCGTTCGAGGTTCGCTGCGTTTCCCCGTCTGCACATGTTCGTCCTTCTGACCCGCTATACGTCGCAGACGGCAAAAATTGGCTCGCTGGTCGATATTCAGGACAGCGACGACCCGGAAGGCCTGCGTGTGTTCTACTACCTAGTGCAGGATCTCAAGGTGCGTCGCGTGTCCTATCATCACAGCCCTCTCGCAATCGCTGATTTTTTTTCCACCCCATGCAGTGTCTTATTTTCTCCCTCATATCTCTGCACTTCAAGATCAAGCCTATATAGTCCGGTTTGTGTTCTGCTATTTCTCTGATTGAAGCCACAGTGCTTCCCTCTACTGCATGTGTATTGCTGGTTGAATTTATTGTGTTTCACCTTCCGTGCGACCTGGGCAAGTTTGCAGATAAAATAACACCTACGGCTGCATGACGTTGCAGGCCTAGACAACAATTCTTCTGTGTATCGACTCCTGAAGGAATGCGAGTCCTTGACGCCGTTCTGTGTGCTCCAATCCTGCAAGCGTGAGTATTGTGGGGCACTGGGCCTCACTTTTCCTCGCACTTTCAATGCCCCTAGTACGTACTGGTCCGGGAAATGGGTGTTGTGAGCTGATATCGTGTGCCTGGGTACTGGTGTTGCGGCCTTCATGTTCCAATAATAGTCAATTACTGTCAGGTAAACAGTCAGACTGGGCTGAGTCCACCTCGCTGGGAGCAGTAAGGCGGGGTCACCTCCAAACACGTTCGTAGGAAGGTGTCCCATTTCGCAGGGTAACCCATCTGACGGGGAGTGATTAAGATGGACGCAATGCTTCCAAAGTACGTACTCTAGATGATAAGTGCGGTGAGCTGGTGGGCACCCCGGTGTCGAGAGCTGTATCACACCAGATCTTGATCTGTCATGGAGAATGCCTTCACATACCAATCATTTCCTAAAGTGTCTTTTCGTCGACAACTTTTGAATGTCGGCAGCATTCTCCTGATCGCCCTACGTCCATTTATGCAAAAATTCGGCCAGGTCCTGCAGGCCGTGCAAATGTTCCATCGCCAGGACTTTATCCACATCGGGCCAAAATTTGGCAAATCCTTATAGGCGAACCTTGGCAATGTACCTCGAAGCGTGAAGGCTACTAGGTATTTCACCAGGGGCAACCCGGGAGGAGTACAGGTAAATAATCCCTGACACCGAATATTGTGTCCTGATCACTAGGGAACTCAATACACTGACGAGACAATAGCGGGTGCAACGGACAAGCAGGCCGCCAGTTTGTATATCCTTGACTGTGGAGCATGGTGAGCACTAGACCCACGCCTTAACCACGCAGAAATTGCGACTCACATGAGTCCCAGTTCGCAGAGACAGCACAAGATGCTCAACTGCACCGTTGACCAGTACTTTGTTCAGCACACTGAGTGATCTCTGATCAAGGAAATATGGGACACCAATTATTAGATTATACTTCTCGAAGTTTGTGGACGAGGTTGGGGCAAGCCAATATCGGAGATGTAACAAGAAGTGGGAAAAATAGGTGGTGTAGCAGTGGTAATCTTTGTTGTTTCTGTCCCACTTCAAATGCACAGAAGGAAATTGCAGGCTGAGCGTCCCGGGTGGAGTCTTGTTTGGTCGGCATTTGGTCCGAGTAGGTTAGGCGGTTCTGACATATAAAACCGGGTAATGTGCACATGAAGCAGTGGAAGCCTGGGAAAGAACGGAAGAGACAGTGCAATAGCATTAGTACAGCGATGTTGGTAAAGAGAGGGGATCTAATAGCAAGCATGTTCTGATACTATCCCACCTGAGCCCAGAGATGCAGAGAATTTCAACATTGGAGAATTGACACCCAGTAAATGGGAGAACATGCACCCAGTGTCTGTTGTCACCGAATTTCTGCGGCTCAAGAATAGCAACCGAAAGAAATCACCCCTGAATGCGGGTTTTTCGAACCTTCTGCAACTCACGACCAGACTGGATCTGCATATAATTGGAAAGCAGATAGCAACTCCAAGGCAACCAAGCGTAGCGTGTGAGCACGCAACTCCGAAGGGTTCAAATCTGTTGAAATATGGTCCCACAGAAAGTCGGTAATACGCTCAACCACCTCGATGGGAAGCTGTAGCCTCATGACAAAGAATGCAATCCACACGTTCAGGCCACCGAAAAGTGGAAGCGATTTGCAAAACTCAGCATGAACTTCCAAACATGGTCGGAAATCTACGCACCAATTTCTGGCAGTCCCAGATGTCGAATCGCCAAACACTACTGATTAAAATGTCAATGGGAATGATGAGAAGCCTGGTCTTTCTTAAAAAACCCGATAGCTAGAGAAGCCTCGGAGGAACCAACTCGAGCAGCTCACCTGGATGCCTGGCGAAGGATATCTGAATGCAGCAACCTGTAATTACTAATAGCTAGTGCTCGGGCGAGGAGGCTTCGCAACGCGCCGAACAAAAACAGACAATGTTTCACGTTGAAGTGCCAGTGAGCAGTGTAGAGCTTGTGATTGGTGCAGTCTGGTACAGTCTGGCAGGATGCGACGGTGTATGGTAGTGCGTAATTTAAGTTCAGTTAATCAGCTATGGATCGCGATATGGGTTTATCTACTTTCGACGAACCTTCTCTCTGATCCATGAATAATATTGGAGTACGTCGTATCACGCGCAACATTTGCGGAAACGATGACCTGACGTGAACAGTATAATTAAAGAGTGACTTTACCTACTCGAATCCATCTCTAGACACGCCAGAATTGAGACTCGGCGAGTCAGATGAATTGATGCCTGAAACTTGTACTCACTGCTTCAAAAGTACGTTAATCAGAGCAATCCTAGCTAGTGCATTTGTACTTGCTTTGTTGCTCTTAACCCCACGTCAGAGAGGACACAGGAAATTCTCGACGTGTAGTTACCGGTGTATTACAAGGCCAAATTCACGCTTCGACTGGCGTGTGCTACGGGAAAAAAACCTGAGTAGCTCCCGACCTTTGTCCGGCACTGGCGCTGGATTGGTTTGGGGATCAAGGACCATAATGACGGAACAAAAAATGGTTTTCTCATGACATCAGAAGCGTCATACCATAGAACCGCAGCAACGTGGCGGGTATAGAATATCAGGCCAATCCGGAAACCTTCTTAAGCCGTAAGTCAGGGGGGGGTGCTCTCAAACTCCTTGTATAAAAACGAGTCAGCTTGGAAATTGTGGGGATTGACTTGGAATACACACAATACAAGTGGGACTGTGACGATTCCTTGGTAGATCGGGTGAGGTATGAAAACTCAGCTGCTAAACTAGTAGTCGGCCAAAAATGTTAATAATGGTGTGACGCATCCATGACCGAAAGTTCGGTGGGTCGCTTCTGGAAGGCGAGTACATCTCCTATGTCCACCTTGGGTCCACTGTACCAGGGACTCGGCTTCACAAGCGCAATCGCCAGGAATAATTTCCCTTCGTTCGTCGAGGTACAATGGCACTCCGTCGGAGGCTCGGCAGTAAAGGCACGAGATTTGGTCGCGTTACAAGACTTCCGACCGGCAGCCTCAGGAATGCAGCTTATGAGCGAATGATGAGCGGAGCGTGTGTGGCAGTCACATTACAAGCATGCTCGAACAACGCCAGCATGGCCGCGGAACAGTGGAGGACAGCATTCAAGTTCGACTCGGCCTTCTGTGGGCTTTCAGGCCTGCAGTGCCATTTCTTGACCACGCTCCTGGGCTGAAAGCGATTAATTAGAACGGGACTCGGTGATACCAGGAGACTAAAAAGGGAAGAATGTTGAGGCGTGTTTCGGGGTACGCCGGATTACATAAAGGCGCCTTGTCGCGGTGAGTACACGAACATTCCTGCTTCACTTTCGCCCCGCTGCCTCACAACATCCACGACGATCTCCGCGTTGTTTCGTCGTTCCTCCGCCCTCTTCCTACACGTAATTCTCTGACTTTTGCATTTCGCGCCACTTCTCTTCGTTCACGGACCTTTAATCATTTATAACACCATGGATTATACCTTTGGCGGGAAGTATAAACTCGAGGAGGAGATTGCAATGGGCGGTTGTGGTACGTTAACGTCCTCTGCTTTCCGTGCTGCCGAACCCGCATGAATTCTTTGTCACGTAGGCACCGTGTGGCAGGGCGTCCACACCGTCGCAGGCAAAGAGGTGGCGATTAAACTCGAACCAGCCATTGCAAAATCCAGTCCCCTGAAACAGGAGTCAAAAATATACAAGACCCTCATGGGCGGACCCGGTGTCCCGTGGATTATGTGGTCTGGAAAACAGGGCGACTACAACGTCATGGTCATCGACCTCCTGGGCCCCTCGCTGGAGGACCTCTTCCGTATGTGCAATAGGCACTTTTCCCTGAAGACAATTCTTCTTCTGGCGGATCAGCTGGTGAGCACTTTCTGTTGTTCTTCTTAAGCTATACCTTGCGGGGAGAGTGCCGGGTCGCGACGATGGACTTCACCATTGGTGTCGGAGAGGGCGCTTGTTCGGTTTGGCGAAATTCCCACGCGTTCAGTGTTGCAACACCGTTATTGACATCATCTGTCCCAGATCTCTCGTATCGAGTACATCCACTCGCGTGATCTCGTTCATCGCGACATCAAGCCTGCCAACTTTGTTATCCCGCGGTCGGACCAGAATGCGCACTTCGTTGTCAACATGATCGACTTTGGGTTGGCGAAGAAATATCGAGACCCACGTACCAACTCACACATCCCATACAACCAGGATGACCACCACGGTGTGGGCACCTGTTTGTTTGCGGCAATCAACACGCACCTTGGAATCGGTGAATATACCCCTTCTCATATTCGAGCACTTGACTAAACACGTAGCAGAATGTTCTCGCCGCGATGACCTAGAAGCTCTCGCATATATGCTGATTTACTTCCTCCGCGGCACCCTGCCATGGCGAAAAATCAAAGGTAGCACAACATCAGAAACCTGGGATCTCATCCGCGATAAGAAGCTCGAGACAGAAACACTGCTCACCGTCGGGCTCCCGACCGAATTCGAGCTCTTCTACAAATACACCCGCAGTCTCGAGTTCGAGGACGACCCAGACTATGATGGCCTGCGCGCTCTCTTCCGTGGGTTGGCTGAGAAGCACAAGATCGAGTATGACTGGGTGTTTGACTGGTCTGTGCCAAAGTCCAAGGAGAGGAAGAGGAAGCGCGTATGCCGGTCATGCCATGCATGCGCTGCTGCCGCGGAGGCAGCGGGCAAAGCGCGGTCGTAGGGGGTGGTGGGAGGCTGTAGAGAGGGAAGGAAGAGAGGGTGAAGAGTGAGTGAGTATGGGATTTTTAGGTCTCTTGTTCTTGTTCTGAGTGTGCCGCAGCGGGCTTGCGTGCCATACTTCTCCCTGACGACGGGTTGTCGGTGCTCCCAGGTCTTTATTCTAAGTTGCCAGGATCGCGATGCCCATGCCTATGCAGCGTTCAGCGCTGCGAATGCGCTTGACGATATCGGGCTCGCCGCGGTCGCTCTCGTGGCCTTCAGTTCATGAGGCGGCTTCGGCAGCTCCAAATGCCTTCTGATGACTCTTGGTCGGACAGGCGAGGTGGACCTTATTTATATGTACGTGTATACGGTCAGTATTTCACCTCTTTCCGTGCGTTAGCGTCCCTCAGAAGTTGTGTAGCTTCTACCGCCATTTCCTGCTGGGATCTCGAAACGTTCACTCTGCAACAACAATGGTTTCGCCATGGTTGTCCGACCCAGAAGAATGTCTTCTCCGCGCTGGTGCCCTTCCCTTTTGACAATCCACCCCCGGCTCTTATGCTGCTCTCCTATGCCGCTGGTTTATGGACCATGGTAATTATGACTATGTCGTATGCTCTGGTTGCTATTTGCCATGCTATCTATCCATGTCGTTCATCGAACATGTCGTATTGCTCTCTGGTGTATATATTGTATATATTCTGTATGTATTCGTCGCTTATTCGTGTTGTAGATTGTGCTTTGTGGTATAGAATGTTGTTCTTTACGCTCAATTCGTTTGAAGTTGTGGACGTTCACGATAGACGCCCGAGCTACAGGAGACTTTGAAGTTTACCTCGACGAGGGCAGTGACGTCTACCATGGCTACGACCACATTCACGCAGGGCGAGCGGGTGCTCTGCTACCACGGACCGCTCGTCTACGAGGCGAAGATCCTGAAGATTGAAAACTGGGACGAGACGAACTCCACGTCGGGTGTAGTAGGCCCGCATTTCTTCGTGCACTATAAGGGGTGGAAACAGACGTACGCCGCCCCTTCCCCAATCTATCTCCCACCCCATTTTACACGCTGACACCTCATGGCGATGTAGGTGGGACGAGTGGGTGCCCGCGGTGCGCCTGCTGAAATGGAACGAAGCAAACATCGCGCTACAAAAAGGCCTGCAGGCGCAGGCGCAGGCGGCACAAGCTGCGTCGTCCGCGTCGTCGTCCAAGGCGGCGAGCAAGGCTCACCACCTAAAGGACACTGGGCGCACGCGCAAGGAAGGCGGGACGCGGGGCACGAAGCGGGCGCGAGAGGAGGCACGTCTCGTTCTCCCTCTTTTTTGCCTGGGTGACTGACGGGCTGGCACTTCGGCAGGACGAGAGCAGCAAGCGGCCAGAGATGAAGCTGCATGTGCCGGAGACGCTGAAGGTGCTGCTCGTCGATGACTGGGAAGCGGTGACCAAGAACAGCCAGGTCGGTGTTAGGTGTGTTTCTCCACACATATTTGCTTATCTCACTTTAACAGTTGGTCGCACTGCCCCGCACTCCGAACGTGGTGGATTTACTGGAAGAGTACAGGAAGTACGTCCTGGCGCTGCCAATGACATAGTGAGCGATTTTCCGGTGTCCCCATTACCCGATGTCTCATCCAATATCTAGTCTGAAAAATCCAGATACGCTGCTGCCCACGATCATTGCAGGGCTGCAAACATACTTTGACCGTGCGCTCGGTGCGAATCTGCTCTACCGCTTCGAGCGGCCGCAGTACGCGGACATCCGCAAACAATACGTGACTGGCCCGACGGTGCAGGTAGGTCAGGAGAAGGAGATGAGCTCGATTTACGGCGCCGAGCACCTGCTGCGCATGTTGGGTGTGTCTGCGTTGTTTCTCATGCCCCGTCGCATGAACTAACGACGTGGCGTGTTCAGTGAGCCTGCCGCAGATGGTCGCGAGCTCGACGATGGATGCAGAGTCGGTGGGCCTCGTTCGGGACTACGTGAACGAACTGATGGTGTAAGTGCCGCTGCGGGATCTCTGTGCACTCCGCTGACCCGCGCACAGGTACATGGTGAAAGAGCAGCACCGTATATTTATCCGAGAGTACGACTCTGCGAGCTTAGCGTACCAGAATATTTCGCGTTCTTGAGCTGTGACCGTCGTGACTGTGATTCATTCTTCTGTGACTGTACGTGACTGAAATGATGTCACGCGTGGTATATGACATGAAGAAGCACGTATCAACATATCACTTCAATAATGGAAAATCGCCCTTCTGTCATGATTACAACTGGTGCCAGACTTTACTATGAATGCTTCAGACTGGTGATTGATATGGAGCAAATTTCGAAGTAATAAAACTATCCAGACACCTAAAAGAAAAATTACCCATCTGGTTCCACATAGGAGCAAAAGATCAAGTCAAATATCTCAACAATGCCCCATCCAGTAAATGCTTCTGATCCAAGCATACCATAACTTCTGTTGGTCATCTAATCTGCCTAACACAGTGTGAAAGACTATGAGACCTAAACCCCCCTCATACCTTTCAAAACAAATGTAAATGCAATCTCTGACCACGATGAAAAACACCACCTAAACCCAAATGCATGCTGCACAGTGGCCAACCGCATTCTTACCCAACTACTTCCCAAATGAGACCCATAAGATAACTGCTAGTCGCGCGATAGTGGTTAACTGTATATGTATAGTAGAAGATAAACTACTCACGCAGATCGGACGGCCAAGCCTTCGTCTGTTGAAGCAAAATAAGAAGACTATGGTCAACTTGCACACGTTTGACACCGATCCAGATCAGAAAGGACAGAAGAATGGGCGTCGAAGCTATTGCCCTCTGAATCAAACAGCTGCAAACAAAGCTCGGAAACGAAACTTTATCTGGAATCTGAACGTTGAACCTGCAGAATATTTTCACAGATCTGTCGACACTGAAAATGCATCAGCATGATAGATCAGTGAGCGCTCGGGGGGTGGGCCTCCTTGGGCTGCTCCTGCCAGTGGTCGCACGCCGGAAATTCGAATGGGCAGGTGCGCCGAGTCTCCACTCAAGACATGATCTTTCTGCGTTTCGCAGCGGCAGAGAACCTGCCGTTTACCGGGTTCACCAGAGACAGCGACGAAACAACGATTCGTTCAATCTCTTGCGTCAGACCACTACCATTCGCATCGCTCATGTTGTCCGTCCACGCCGCCCCGGCCCTGAACGCGCTGTCGTCGCAGTCCTCGTGGACTGCGATACCCTTCTCTGCCACGCCCTCATTGTCGGTCTCATTCATGCGGGCATGGTTCCCTTCCCTATGTTCCCGAAAAAATTTCCGCGCGCTATTGCCAACATGCTCACGCATTCCGCGATCTCGCTGACGCCACCCTCGACCTCCTCGATTCATGCTACCCTTTCGAGATTACCGCTGTTCCTGCGCTCTCCGACACCTTTGCTCCGTTCGCTTCCCTGGACCACCCGCTTCCCGCACTTACCTCCTACCCGGCACCGAACACCCTCCGAGGTTGTCTTCTATGTCGATAATGGTCAGAAATTGGCGTAAGATCGGTTTCTTCGGTGGCAGAGATGATCTGTGTGGTTGAGAATTCTGTCAGCTCGGGGATCTCCACTCTTCCGGGTCCACAGGTTTCCCGAAGCCCATACCACACCCGGACCACCATCCTTCAGTCGTGCTCCACGTCCATACTCGTCGAATCGCGCCAGCGCGGTCTCCGTTGGGCTGCTATGGCTCCCTCTCCATTTCACACGATAAGTATAATCGTCCAGCTCTATGCACCCCTCGTCTCCGGGCAGCCTTCCACTCTCTTCAGCCCCTGCTAACGCGAGTTCCGCCCTCCCATCACCCTTACTCCGCAGAACACAATCAACGCGGCTCGCAGAACGAACGCGACCGCCATTCCCACTGCCCCGATCTTGCTCGAGGTACGGCCATAATATTTTCGGTGGCATACTGCTCACTCTCTCCTCTTCATCCCAGCTCTGGGCACATAATTAAGAAGATATCAAATTCCTTGCCTCGCTGCAGGCCTGGTGCGTCCCCTTTCTTACACTCTTGGGTGATGTGCTTCATCTGAATTTATCAGATGTTCTCCGGGGGACCACTCTCCGCCTTCAGTGGCGACAAGCTCACCGCCGCAGGAGTCCATCTCTATGCTGTTTACGGCGGCACCGAATTTTTGTGCAGTCGACGCCACCTTCGACGTCGACGATGACATACTAACTTGAAGGCTACAGGAAGAACACGCTCCGACTGGCAGTGGAGACAGTCTGGCACATGGCTCCCCCTTCCTTCCTTCCGTGCGTTCCATGGCTTACCGAGTATGTGCTTCGCAGGCCGCAGGTGAAGCAGGCGAACGAGTGCGTGCCTGCGTACGGCTTAATTGGCGTGATCGAGAAGGAGATGGTACTCCTCGCGGATCCCGCGCGTCCGATCATGCGCACCGCTGAGGGTACCCTGCTTCGGAAAGCGACCCTGAGCGTGTACGAGAAAGACATCGACAAGCTGTGGCTAGCCGCCGCCAGCGTTCCCCGTCTTTGAACAGATACACTTCTCCGATGAATTGTGCAGGTATGCCATGGTTGGCGCCAACCTGTAGGATTCAGGACATTCGTTGTTCCTCGCGCGTGCCCTAGGTTAGTGTAGTATTGGCATGGATGAGTGTTTCCGAGATGTCTTGTGCCAATCCATTGTACTATTTGAGTGCCAGAGTCCGGATATTTCAATGGTGTTACTGGACCCCGCTTGAGGTCATGTACCTACTCAGATACTCGATCGTGTGCAGACGCCCGGCCAGAGGTACACACTGCGGCTGCTAGTGATCTATGGTAGGATAAGCATATTGAATGCCTCTCTAATAGATCGGCCCAAGATCAGCCGCCTTCCAACACCCACGGTTCATCTCAGTGAATATTCTTTCCCCCGCAAATCGCTGAGCCTGCCTTGCGCAACTGTATTGGTATTAAAGCTGAGAATTGCTAGTAAACGGAACGTTCACTTTGTACATTCCAGCAACAATTCAGGAAGTAGCCTACTTTACATGGAGCGCAATCAACGTATACCTTACTACCTTCACGACAAGATCTGAGATACACAGATATACAATCAAGAGAACACGGAGAAAATCGACATTCGACCACATTCCAATCTCCCGCCTACACGTCCTTGCATGCGTGGTTATGATTAGACGAGGGACGGGGGCTTCTGATATGTCTCGCCTAGCTCGCTGGAGGAACGGACGACCTTGAGCTGTGCGACAGAGTTTGTTTCGATGACGGAACCTCCGATGGCGTCGCTGATATTTGTAGTGTGCTGGAAGATTTCGATGGGCTTCTGTGAGGACGTGAGCATCCATACACCACAAAACCGAATTGGAAGTGAAGAGTAGTACCCTCGTTTTATGGTCGGTTTGCGCTCCTTCGCCCCTCGTAGGGCCGAGCTCGATAGAATTGGAGTTATACGCCTGGACTGAAGCCTCCCCGCAGATCCTGAGCTTCCTCGCGTTCAATCTGGAAATATGACATGAGCCTCCATGCTCGTGGCACGATACCGGATCATAGGAAGAGCCACACACGTCGCCATGAAGGAGTTGGCGTATACTACACATGTCATTAGTCCACGTCAGCGATCGGCGACGGAAGCGCAGACGCACGCTTGCTCTGGACCGCTGCCAGTCCCACGAATATGAGATTGTCGCTGAGCAGAACGAACTAGATACTGCGTAAGCACGTCTCGTAGACGATCCGACCTGGATTCTCACAGTGAGCAGCGTGGAGACAGAGACCACCCTAGAAGCCAAAGAAAGGGTTAGAATTTTGAAGGCACTGACACGCGCATAAAATAGGCAGTCACATAGTGAGTGCACCCGTGTTGACGACGTATGTAATCAACGATCGGATAATGTGGTCCGTTCTAGGAACCATTGAGCAACTCTCTCAGATGATATGATAGGGGGAACACACCGCTCAAAGCCTGTCCTACTGTGCCATAGGTAGTATATTGATACCGTTGCTACAATCAGATCTACAAGGGCAGAAAGGCTAAGGCCGCACGTGACAGTGAACTAAAGAAGAAAGACCGTAAGCATCAAGCGGTCAGATACGATTTGAACTACACACAAGAGGCCCGATACTCGCACGAAATTCGATCCAGGCTGGAAGAAGATACCTTGAGGCGAAGTACTGCTCTAAGTGACAGTGACATGAATAGGAAGAGGGCGACGCACGAGAGAGAAGCAGTAGCTTGAGCCATTCAATTAATAAGAATCAGAATACTCAATGGAAATTTGTCACAAGTACCAAGTCCGAACGCTGCAAGCACTGGCTCAACAAGGGAAATTCTGGCTGAACGAGATATGACGCACCGACACGAATAAACAGCAGAACTCCCTGTGAATCATAGTTGGAAATAATTCGGCACGCAAAGATAAAAGCGTACGGGGACAACAGTAACCAACTTAAATCGTCGGCTCACTGTGATCTTGAGTCAATGAAAGGGAGACGATGGTCTCGAGGAACACAGCTCTCACAGATCCAGATACGGCGTATAAAGAATCTGGTTGAGTCATCAGTACAAGTATTTCAGTAGCAGCAGGAAACGCACGTCTGTACTACAGCCGCTATAAGCACCTACATCGACAGGGTCTGAATTTTCTAGTATCGACAACAACCGCGAACATACAGATAGCATGACCGTAACCTGCAGATGTGTAAATCAGACGTGGATTGACAGGGGATCCACCACACTTACACCAGCACTCCTGGCGTGTCGAGGCTTTAGGTGAGTGGTAGAGGGATATGTTTAAAATTATTAGGACTTACCATATAATATGCGCGACAGCGGGCAGGTCCCCGAAGTCGACAATGGTGTACTCAGTAATCATCTTCACACACATGCCAGTGTGGATAGTTTCTAGCCCCCTGGTAGAATTCAAATTCATCGTGCCAATACCAGTTTAGTTTGTGGAAGATATCTCTCACCAAACAAGTAAAACTGTACTACGGATCCACAAAGAGTCATTGGCGAAATTCAGCCAATAAAAGTACACTTGTGCAGTTGCGACCCCGTATAGACTGAGGTCAAATTCACCGTTAGTCTTGCACCAGCAAGAAAGCCGTTACGTACAAGACAGCAATGACCACCGTCACTAGAAGTCCTTCCAGCATTTCTTCGGTGATAGTGGCCATGCGGGACACTGAAACGACAACGGTAGTAAAAAAACTTGAGTGAATCTGGGTTGTGTGTAACAACCACAAGACAGGGTCACCGAATTTAAAGCTACTCAGAACCGCTCATCTTTTCATAATGATAGAACCTGTCCATACAGCAAGAGGTGTGACTCATCAAGGTGCTTTTCTCACACAAACGCTCGTGGATGTCGCACGAAGGCAGTTATCAACCTCCGCCGATACTTCGTCTCCCGATCAACTTGATGCAGGAGAAATCATGTCGCTGAGAATACGCAGACGGATTGACTTCGAAATAGGCACCATCAGACTGGGGAACTGTGGTACCACAAGAAACAATGATGACACAATCCACTGTAATGGCACCATGCTGTACTAGATTTTACTCTATATGCTAGTCGTCAGGACTGTGACCCGATAAGGCCAAATCGGGCGGTTTTGTGACTCGATAAGCTCCTGGATACCAATCCTGTTCAAACAGCCAATAATGAATTTGGGTTCAGATGGCAGGAAAGAAGAGTTGGAGGTTGCCTTTGGTAACATGTCAAAGAAGGCTGTTGAGCCGACGGTGCGGTTATGTTGGAATTTCTGGGTGTTGAGTGAGCTCGCAAGCTGAAGAGGGTTAGGGTTTGTCGATTGAGTACTTATGCCATGCTTTCATGTTTGTATTCCTTACGCGATTGCCCCATCCTCACTTGTCCCTTGGGGTCAAACGTGCTCATTCTTGGTTGAAACATCTACTGTGCTACTGGTGATTTCAATACAATCGCGTGACCTAGCTTGGAGGTTTACCCAAGTGGCTCTGGGGGCAGCCAAAAGCCTGCTGTTCGCTGTGATGCTGTGAAGATGTGTCATATGCTATTCTCTGCTGAGGTCGAGGTTCACTTTCCGACTCTCGCATGCCGTGTCTGCTCGAAGACCATAATCTCGTCGTGGTTGATCTTTTGGATCTTTTGAAGGAAGTCCTCGCTTGTCGGTGCAGAAGAATCTGTTGGTTGAAGAAGAGTTGAAGAAGTTGAAGAGTTGCAGAAGAAGTTGAAGGATTGTTGAAGAACTTGGTGTGAACCATCGTCATTGTCTCTCTTTGTCGCCTAAGAGTCATCGGTCGGAGCCCTGCTGGTCTGGGCATGGACCACTGGCTGGATGTCGGAGATTGGGAAGGATTTTGACTGGTGGATTAGATGCTGTTGAGTTGTTGAGGTTGAGGTGGAGATTTCAGGGAGTGCTCTGCTTCAGGGAGTGAGTCATTTTTATCGGCTTGCTTCGCTCAAGGGAGTGTGTTGGAATTTCTGGGTGTTGAGTGAGCTCGCAAGCTGAAGAGGGTTAGGGTTTGTTGATTGAGTACTTATGCCATGCTTTCATGTTTGTATTTCTTACATGATTGCCCCATCCTCACTCGTCCCTTGGGGTCAAATGTGCTCATTCTTGGTTGAAACATCTACTGTGCTACTGGTGATTTCAATAGGTTATTGACAAACATTGATATGGATATTGCGCACTGCAGTGTATGATCTTGCCAAGAGGGCTCCGGGAATGAAATTCTTTATCACAGGTTGAAAAACCAAAATAAGAGTCCACAGAGTACCTCAAGAGGGGGGCGAAATTGGAATTGGGGATACCCTCCTCTTAGCAAGGGGGGTCAAAACTGGTGTATGGGGTCCATTTTTGGCTGAGCGCCTGCTATCCTCCATCAAACTGTGGTTTTCCATTTCTCTCTTAAAGTTAGTGTACAGACATTACAAGTATGCTAGGACTGTGTTTAATCTGTACTGTCCATAAAATTCACCTTTTTAGTATGTTCGATCCGAATTTCCCCCAAATTGGCCTCTCGGTGATGTTTGATCGAAAATGTCACCATAAACAACCCTTTTGGAAAAACGTTATATGAAAATTCCCGAAAATGCCCATTTCCCGGACCCTGAAAGTGCCAGCTCAAAGATCGAACCTCTTATAGCATTTGCGGTGGTCCTTGCCATACTTGTACAGGCTTGGACGTCCTCACCCCTGTCGGCATCGTCGGCATCGGCCTCACCATGCGTGAGAACTAGATACCAAAAAGTGCGTGTGACAGCCGGGCACGTTCAGAGAGCCTTCGGAATATGCCGAATATCGCACTTCGAGTGAGTTATCATCTACCGAACAGCCCTCCATGGTGATGTGCCTGTAGCCATATGAGACTTCTGTAGCGAAGGGGGAAGGACTCTCATGTTGTCACAAGGCAGGGTTAGCCAAAAATAAATCTCCGCGCATTGCAAATACACTCTAATTTGATTTAGAACTGTCTCTAAACGGGGGCCGTTGGGGCCAATCGGCTGGATGTGACGCAGGTTCAGCAAACCTTCCATGTAATATCACCGCTGAGCGCTGAGCGCTGAGCACTCGGATCTCAGATCTCATGTTAGACGTCCGCCAACCGGCATCCTCAGGGTCCAAGTGTCGTCTCAGAGATGTCGACAAGGCGTCTCAAGTGTGCATGCCTCCGCGTGGTCCTTCCGACTTCCAAGAGTTCGTGTACATACTCATTTCAAAGTGCTCCCAGAGGCTCGGTAAGCAGGTGCCCGCATTGTCTCCTTGGATGCCATCAAGACTTCAGAATAAATGTTCGACCTCGGCTGCGTGAGGGACAATATTGTGAAAGTGGAATCATTGCGAGCGTCTTCGGCGGATGATCGTACGCATCAACGACAAGAGAATATCAGTACTATCAAACACTCGCGAAATTACAGCGGAGGCACGTCGTAACCTTTCTTGCCTTTCAACAAATTTCTTCCTCACTCCGGCGGCATGGTGAGGGCCCACGATTCTTCGCGCGATGACGGGTATTCGCAGTGATCATTCGGCTCAGGTATTTAGTCAATAACTCCATTTCCTGCAGAAGTGGAGCCTATACATATCTGCGTCGCAGTCTAGACGACACACCAAACTACTGAGAGTTTAACCTACAGATGTGAACAAAAAATTTCGCTTCTTATGTTTTCTGTTTTCACCGTTTCCTCCTCCCAAGTCCTCGCCGTGCGAGACACAGCACAACATCACGGGGTGTACTCGTAGCAATGAGAATGGGGAACATGTTGCCCTAGACCTTGACAAGGGGGTTTCTGTTGAGGACAAGCTCCTCCACCAACAGCAGGGCACTCCCCACGAGCAGGGTCACGCCTGTCCATATGATCATCGTGTTGTAGTCCCCGTGCGCGCATGTCAGAAGCGCACCAGCGATCGGGGAGCCGACGAGAGCACTGCGCGCACGGTACGATATCAGTACATCTTGGACCAGCTCGAAGGTGGGACCAGTACGTACGGAAATGACATGATACTATACGCCATCCCAATCCTCGTGCCAATCTTCTCAATCCGCGAGATCTGGGCGATGCATGGCACGTTTAGAGAGTTGATAGATCCAGAAAAGAAGCCGTATATCATTGCATAAGCGATGAGGTCCTGGAAGTGCATCTGGGTGAGCCAGAGCTCGAGCGTGAATAAGCTCGAGGACGATAAGAGGAGGAGCAGGTTGTATCTCCCTGCTATATCTGCAGCTAGGCCGGGGAACACGCGCCCTATTGCGCTGCCTGCATTCATGATAGAGAGAAGGCTGAAGCCGTGTGCCTGGCTAATACTGGGCCCCTGCATACTGCACGACGCAGAAATAAGGGACAAATAGACCTGTCAATGTCATTACCGGGGACATCAGATATGGAATAAGTGGAGCACGAGAAACGTACCAAAACACGACATTCCAGCACTTGCACAGAAGAGCATGAATTTGGAGTTGTGTAGGGACGAGAGGTCGATCCACCGTCCTGATTTTCGACGTGGCAAACGGCTTGACACCGTGAGGGTGGTAAAGATGCCACAAGCGAGGCAGAGAGTCCAGATATATGCACGGACCAGCCAAACTAGTTTCGTTGAAGAGACGTTGTAGCATCGCGGGGAAAACAATACCCCCTGAAATTAATGAGATGGATGTGCAGTGGGTTGCATAACGATGCTCACCAACGCTAGATCCCGACACGACGATGCCGACCGCGGTAGCCCTCCATTTTACGAAATGAGTCGAAACAGCAGGATAGAAACTGCCATGTAAAATGAATGTTTACAATCAAGGATAACGGAACGCTTCAAAAAGTAACTAACACACATGAAACCACTTCCTATACCAAAGGTGATCCCTCGCGCAAGAATGAACTGGTAATAGCGCGAGGCGAGGGAGGCCATCATGATACTGAACATGTATACCACAGTTCCGAGCACGAGCAGAATTGTCGGTCCATAGGCATCGAAAAGCCTTTCCAATTATTCCTCCCTACTCGTACCACGAGGTGAGATGCTAACGCAATGAAGAAGGTTAACGATGTACAGAGAAGAAGAACACCCAGAGTTGGAGCGAGCTGATCCATGATATATCAGACGGAGAGTAATTTGAGAGCTGATCTTCTAAGTACCATAGCTGGAAGCGGCCAAAGGCATTTATCTGGCCGAATGTCGAGGCTCAAGCTGGGCTTCGAGAATGGAGTCAGAGACCGACTCGACCATCGGAGTGGATGCTGTCTCCAGTTTTTCAGCTTCAGGCATGGCGGACGAGAGGGAGATGAGCGAGCGGTAAGGGGGAAATTGTAGTGCTGCCGGCAGGTAAAGGACTTCGAGGCGTGGGATGGGACTGACCAACAACGAGAGTGAGCAGAGTACAGTGGCATGGAGGTGGCGTGTTGGGCCACGAGCTGTTCGGTCCTTGTCCTTAGCCAGGCTTCCTCCTTCCAATCCTGGTCAGTACTCCCGTTCGTTCAAGATATGATCGAGGTGATCCCCCGATCAGTTCTGCCTTTGCGACAGGAATGCTCCAGGCCGGAGCACTCTCTTTCATAGATTGAATGGACGGGGGGGAGCATCCGTGCGCCCTTACTGAGTTCGACAGCGCATCCGGGAGACCGCTGGTAAACACTGACAGGTGAGCGTCTTCGAGTTTTTTCAGAGCTATCACGAAATTACCAAAAGCAGGGCGTGTTTCTGTGTTAGCCGGGTTTATGAATAGACTAGTCCCAATACAGAAGTTCATGAGAAGATTCTTACCTTACCGCCGGGTTTCAAATTGGCCTGGCGCTGGCCCGAGATCCATCACATAGACGTGGAAGTTCGCGGAAGGCCGTATTAAATAGAAGGTTACTCCGAGCCTTGGGTACTAATTATAAGCGCTGAGATGTACATGCCGTAGGTGCGTGACCGGGTGCTTGGCCATTGCAGGTCCGTGTTAGTCTCCCGTAGCTACATTATAATCCTTATTGAGTAAGGGGAGTGGAGGACGGATTACTTACAAAGGTCTGATCGTAGTACACGATTTCGCCTTGAAGATGCCGAACCTGGAATAGTACTGAGGAAAGCATTTTGCTCGTTCATCGCCAACGTTCTCTTTAACTACAATGGAAAAATTGCGAGATGCACATAAAAAGGCGCTCTAAGCGTTGAAGAGCGCTACGGCGGCTGGTTCTCACTCAGGCTGTGATAATGGCTCGCTTCTTGTACCTTTCTGTGGTGAAACTTGATAGTGGACGTGCCTTCTGTGTCAAGTGTTAATGGGTCGCCTCATGGCCAACATAACGTGTGGGACTCCTTTCCGATAAGGATATCAACTTCATTCAAGCAAAATGCAAGGCAACAGAAGACGGTGCGTCCTATAGAACGATCCTGCGTTAGCAGCGCTACGGCGGCTGGTTCTCACTTAGGCTGTGAACACCACAGTGGTACTGCAGTTCACATGTCGAGAAGACAGCCGGCATGCAACGCACTCCGAAGCCGCTGACATTTACCCCTGCTAAACTCTCCATCGAATTGTATCGAGCGCATGCCGGGTTTGCCGTTTTCGCTTCCATAGTCACATCGATGTTCTTCTATTGACTGCGAATAGGTTCCTTCGGCCAACAAAGATCCGGTGGAAAATGCTTCTTGAAGATATGAGTCTGGGTATCTCCACTTTCCCATGTCTCCTTCGTTCCCAACAGGGCGACGGCTAGAAAGCTAGAAAAGGCTTGCGTATATAAACCGTGAGCAGGTCAGTGTAACATGCCAGTCGATATGTTCCCAACTTCTGTCCCCCTTCTCAGCACTCCTCTTTTAAAGATACCCTTGTTAGCATCTAATGCAGTCTTCATGTTCATTGGCATGACCTCACCCAATCCGCCTCCTAAACCCTCGGAACTGTCAAAATATGACAGACCAGATAGTATATCGCGCGGGGATTTCAATGCCTTGATCCACATTATAAAGGTATTCCTTCTACGATCTGTCTCTCGCAATATTTGACGTGGATTGTCGAAGTCCATGGCGGTCATTACAGCAGTGGCTGAGATCGCTGTTATTCTCGCCCAGGAATATCCTTCTCTCTCTGGGCATATATCCCTCCTTCTCCTGTCGCCTAGCAGCGGCTTGCGCGTCACGAAAACATTTGTCGCAAGCTGGGCGTTCATAGGCATGGGCGGTGTCGTCCGCTGGTGGTGCTATCGCACACTCGGACGGTTCTTCACATACGAGCTCTCTATGACGAAGGAGCACCGACTTGTTACTGTTGGGCCATATTCCATCGTCCGGCACCCTAGTTACACTGGCTTGATCATGCAGGCGATTGGCGCAGTCTCGTGGTCTCTCGACTCTGGTTCGTGGTGGTCGAATTTAGGCAGATTCAATGCGATCGCGCGGAATTTCTGCGTGGTCCTGTGGGTGAGCATCTGGATCATCGTTCCTGCACTAGCAGTGAGCAGGCTGTCGAAGGAAGACAGGACCCTGAAGAAGGAGTTCGGTGACCAGTGGGAGAAGTGGTCGAGGGTCACTCCGTACAAACTCATCCCGTTCGTGTATTAATTGTAACGGACACTTAGACTATTCTTGTTCTTAGTAGTGGCTGCTTATCATGCGTGTACGAGCTGTTAGTCCTTGGAATGTATGCCTCAAACCTTCTAGATCTGTCATTCGTGACACTTATGCGTGCGTCCAACCACCATCTGCTTCCTCCGCAAGATGTGGGAGTTCGACCGTAACGAAGTATGTCGCCGACTCTCTGACTCGATCTCTCTGTCATGCACCCCGTCCAAGGTGCTGTAATAGTGCTGCCCACGATCATTGCAGGGCTGCAAACATACTTTGACCCCACGATCGGTGCGAATCTGCTCTACCGCTTCGAGCGGCCGCAGTACGCGGACATCCGCAAGCAATACGTGACTGGCCCGACGGTGCAGGTAGGTCAGGAGAAGGAGATGAGCTCGATTTACGGTGCCGAGCACCTGCTGCACATGTCGGGTGTGTATGCATTGTTTCTCATGTCCCGTCGCACGAACTGACGACGCGGCACCTTCAGTGAGCCTGCCGCAGATGGTCGCGAGCTCGACGATGGATGCAGAGTCGGTGGGCCTCGTTCGGGACCACGTGAACGAGCTGATGGTGTAAGTGCCGCTGCGGGACCTATGTGCACTCTGCTGACCTGCACACAGGTACATGGTGAAAGAGCAGCACCGTATATTTATCCGGGAGTACGACTCTGCGAGCTTAGCGTCCGACCGGCTCAACGGTGACCACAATTTGATTTCGCGTTCTTGAGCTGTGACAGTCGTGACTGTGATTCATTCTACTGTGACTGTACGTGACTGAAATGACGTCACGCGTACTATATAGCTGAGGACATGGCTTGCTTCTGCTCCAATTGACGTCCTCTTCTCGTCCACCATGTCCCTGCTCTCCTCAACAATCCAGACCGCTCACGCTGCCGTGACCTCCCTCCTCAGCGCCGCCGAAGTCAAGCCCGGCTCAACCATTCCGACTTCAGCCCTCGTGAAGGAAGACAGCTCGACCGAAACATTCACTTTCGAGGGGCTCACGGGAAAGAACGTCTTTGTGAGCCGCGCGTCGTTTGAACGCAACAATCACTGCAGCCAGAACCTGAGCCTAAGTCTCTACCCAGGTCGGTGTGCCCGGCGCATTTACGGGAACGTGCAGTGCGCAAGTGCCTGGGTACATCAACGCGTACGAGAAATTCACCGCCAAGGGCGTGCGCAACGTCTACGTTGTCGCCGTGAACGACGTGTTTGTGATGAAGTATTCGCCCTCTCCTCTCGTGCAGCGGGTGAGATCTGACTGTATGCGCCTCGCAGAGCGTGGAAAGCACAGCTTGCCAACGGGGGAACGCGTGTGTATTGTTCTTGCACATGTACAGCGCGTCGCGATGCTCAAATCTCCTCACTCCAGCGATCAAGTTCATCGCCGATGATGAAGGCGCGTTCGTCGGTGCGCTCGGCCTGCTTTTTGACGCATCCCCGCTCCTCGGTGGCCCTCGTTCGAAGGTACGATAATAGCGGACCGTTTCCCTCGTCGTTCGCGTGAACCAACCGTGTTGATCCTGCAGCGCTTTGTTCTCATCACCGAGGGTACTCAAATCACGCATGTCGTAGTAGAGCCCGTGCCGAGCGAGCTCACGGTCTGCGCGGCGGACAAAATCCTGGCACTGTTGTGAGCGGTGAACGCAAGGGGGAGATGGCGAGCCACGAAGTTTCATGAGTCCAGTGTCACGGACAGTGTCCAGAATCTGTGTATGAATAGGCAGAATATGTGTACGAGTAAGCAGTACGGCGCATTTTGTACCTGAAAATCCTGTGAGCACTAGAGCGCTGGATAGCGGTCGTATGTCTTCAGTGTGTGCTTTCAATGTTGTCAACAATCCCTACGCACGGATGTTCCAGTCGCTAGTGCTGGCGTAAGATCACGGTACTAGATGAAGTCCTCCGGCGCATCTTCGATCATCCGCGCATACTCGTCGTAGCTTGCGAACGTCGGCAGCGCTCTCAGCCGCTTTCTTCTCGCGCTCACTCCGCCCCGCTCGTCCCGCTTTCGCTTCTTAGCAGAGGGTGCGCCAATCCCTGCCCACTCCTCTTCCTCCTCGTCCGCGCCAGAGCTGCCAGAGCCAGCGTCGGACCCGGCGTACTCGATCAGGCCGTCGAGCGGGAGCAGGTCATCAGCGTCTGAGGCTTCTGCCAGCGAGTCGCCAGTGTCATCGTCTTCTTCCTGTGAGTTTGCGGGTGATTGGGCCGCGAAGTCCTCGTCGGCATCACCATCGCTATCGGAGTCGTCGAGCCCCAACGGAACGTCGTCGCTGGCATCCATAAGCTCGTCATCGTCGTCCTGCAGCTCCGCGGGCATGCTTGCTTTCATGGCCTACGGTGTAAAGTGTAACGATAAGCGAGCCTTGTGGTGGTAGATAAGCTCACCTTCCAGATCTCCGCCTCCTCTTTGTCCTCGTCGCTCTCAGCATGCTCGTTAGCTTCGAGACCATCTTCGTTCACGCTCGCAGCCTTGGGCTCATCGTCGCTCTGACTTTCCTCCTCCTCATCCTCGTCCGCGCCCACATCGTCATCCGTTCCGGAAGCGTCCCCGCGGGCCTTGCGCTTCCCGACCTTGGCCGCCATCTGCGCCTCCTTCTCCCGTTTTCGAGTGAAGAACTTGTGGAAGAACAGCTGCCGCGGGTGGTCCATCAGCGCCCGACACGCACCCGTACACAACGCAACGCACCTCGTCTACAGGGACGGCCTCCGGTCTCCTCTTCCAAAAGCGCTCTTCGTTCACCTGCCTTTGAGCGACCTCGCCCTTGACGAGCGAGACGCCCCCAGCGCGGTCTGACCTGGCGGCGGGCTGCATAGCGCTGGCGCCCTTCGTCTTCGGCTTCTTCGGGTTTTTATACACGAAGCGGTCGAGGAAGTGGGTGAGCGTGTTGAGCGCGAGGTCGGGCGTCGCCGTCAATGGTTGGGAAGCGAGCAGCTGGCGCGCGTGCAGGGATATCGCCGGGTGGTAGTGGTGCAGGAGTGGGAGCTACGGGGCTGTCAGTGCTGCTGCTATGGTAAGAGAACCGAGACGTTTCGAACATACAAGTTCATACATGGGCGATGCGGACGCGTGCGCAAACTGCGGGTCGCGTTTGTGTGGGTCGTACTTCTCCGGCTCGGTGCCTCGCTTCGGCACTGGCGTGCCCAGAAGGCTTTTCAGCCCGGGAGTCGTGTTGAACAACTGGCGGGAGGTGAATGAACATCATCGCGTGTTTTCTATCAAAAAATGCACTCACCTCACCGAGGAGGTACAGCCCTCCAGCAATAAATTCAGGTCCACCACCGCTGCCTCCGATGCCTGTCGCAAGCACCTGCACGAAGCGGCGCACAAAAGCCTTGACGCGCTCACTGTTGGTGTCCGATTTGAGGGCCTTGAAGAGAAGGTTCAGATACATGGCCTCCTTGTTGGACTCGACCAGTCGCGGATCAACGAGCGAGGCATAAAGAGTGCGGTAGAAGCGGTCCGTGAGGGCCGTGGTGAAGGAAGACTCGTGTTGGGACGCGGATGGTGGGGCGAAGGAGGAGCATACGTGGAAGATGAGGAGGAGGGCCTGGAGGGAGATATTGAATGTGGCGGTGTGCGTAATAAGGAAGAGCGTGTCGATGTGCTCCTTGAGCCTGCAGTGTAATGGGGAGGTCAGCATCGATCGACGTCGAAGCATGTGCGTCCGCTCACACTTCGTCCACATCCGCCCGCGCGAAAGGCAGAGCGCGGTTGACGCCGGTGAGAACAGCGCCGACCATGCGCGAGCTCGCGTCCTCCACCTCCGCAAAACCTGCTTCTCCTCGGACCTCCTTGGCCCTCGCCTTCCCGTTACCTTTACCTTTAACTTTCCCAGCTGTCGACTTCGCGCCGTCGTCTCCCTGTACAATCTCCCTGTCCCTTTCACCGCCCGCAGGCCCGCGCCCCGTGCCCAGGATCTCGTGGAACATCTCAAAGTACATCCCGATCAGCGTCCGTGCCACCCCCCGGTCATGCTCCCCCGGAGTGAGCACGATCTGGTTTAACGTGACCGCGGCGTAGTACCACGCGTGTGTGTTCCAGCGCTCCGCCAGCGGCGCGGGGGTCACGTCCTTCGCCTTTCCCTTCTTTTCCTTCCCCTGCGCGCCCCCGCCCTTCGGCTCATCATCATCAAACCGGATGTGCGTATGCACCTTCTCGACCAGCGCGCCTGCCTGTGCCACGGCGGATGTCGAGGCCGCGGGGCGGAAGATGAGCGCTTTGACCTCGCGCACGACTACTGCCTTCATGTTCGGGTGGGCCTGCAGAAGCTGCAGGAGGTGATACGACGCGCGCGAGCAGATCGCCTTGTCTGTGTCGCCCTAGGAATGGGGATACAGTGAGTGCGGACCGCTAATATCGAAGTGACACGGAAAATGGGACGTGGGAGGGAAGATGGGACATACAAGCTTGTTCACAAGCAAGCGAAGCAGGTTCTGCTCCTGCTCGGGCTTCTCCCGGAGGAGGGTCGCGATGAACGCGAGCGATTGTGTGCGCACGTAGTTGAGAGGATCAAGTGAGTACGTCTTGTACCAGTTTAATTAGTTATTTTCATTACTATACGTCCACAACACGAGCTTACGCACCTCGAGAATCTGCAGGATGGAGAAGAAGTACTTCTTCAGCCAGTCCTCAAAGTACCACATCATGAGGTACGAGTCGGTTGCGGACGGATGGAGGAGCGGCTGATCACGAAAATATCTGAGAACAACCATGTATTAAAAAAATAGTCCGTGAATACAGTGTGACCCACCTCAGCTTCCGTCCGGGCGCGCCTCCGCCGACCCACCAATCGACGACACACCGCACCGCCTTCAAGCCCTCCTCTCGCCCGCCCTTCCCTCTGCCGCGCTCCGCGAGCCCCCGCAGCGTCTCAAGAGCCTTCGCGTTGTGCACCGGGCTCGCCTGCACGAGTAGAGTCAGCGCGCTCAGCCGGTCAGAGAGCGTACCGCGTGCGAGGATGTTCTGCATAAAGTGTGCATCGCCTGTGGACGTGGTGGACGCCTGGTACACCGCCGCGTCCTGCGCGAGGAGGTCGGAAGCCCGCGCAGTTCGCTCCGCGATCTGAGCGGCAGTCGGGGTGGGGTGGGCAGTCGGAGGAGGGGGAAGCGGAGGGAGGGCGTCGTACCAGAGCGCAACTGGTTCGACGATGAAGTTAGCCTTCTTCGCCGAGGAGGATGGTGGGAATGGGACAGGGAGGGGCAGCGGTACGGAGGGCTGATCCCCGCTCTTTACTGTAGCCTGCTTGCGCCTCCTCTCGTTCCCCCGGTCGCGCTGCTTTCCGTCCTTTTTGGACTGCCTGTCGGGCACTGCAGGCTCGTCGTGGGTTGGGGCCTTGCCATTCAGTTTGGCGCTCTTGAGGAAGGACGAGACATCGTTGATCAAGTTAGGCTGAGAACATATCGCGCCCGTCAGTCAGTGTGCGCAGAGTCTCGGATGATACACACGTCTTCCGTCTGTGGGCCGGTCACAAGCTCGATCGTGTCCTCGTCCCTGCTCTTTTCATGGCGGGCGTCCGTCGGTTTCTCGCCGCGGGTTTTTGAGTCGGCCAGTGATGCACGTCGGGCAGGACGCTGGGCGTGCTTTGGTGGTTGCTTGCTGCCTTTTGATCTCTGAGGAGCAGAGGGTGCTGTGGGTTTACCGCGGACAGTCTTGGATTTGACGGTACGGATGCGTGCCATGTTTATTGAGGGGTGGGCTGTCCAACGGGCACTGTGTTGTGAGAGGAGACCGTTCCTACAGCAGTCAATGTCCCAGTCAATCCAAGGTCAATCAACGGATTCAAGTCAAGGTCCCAAGAATTTTGAGCAACACGTGACGCGCGCGACACGACGCGTCTCATCGCGCGCGACGCGCCGCGGCAGCGTCCCTGCTCAATCACAACCACAAGCTGTGCATTATGCAATAACAGACTAACTCCGGGAAACAGTCGTATGCCTGCTCATCCTAAATCCCACCCGTAGACCTCGAGTACTACATCAACGACACCCGATGTCCCACCCCGCCCGCGTCCGGTGGAACGGGAAGCTCCCCGCTCCTATCAGACACAAATGCTCGATATCTATGCAGAGAAAAAATTAGCTTAGCGGAAGATGCTTTGGACGGCGCCTCTCACATGTGGTCCAACCGCAGCCGCTCTTCCGGAAGGACCGACGGGCGCATCGTCTTCAGAACTCTGCGTAAATGCTCCTCGGAAATCTCGTGCTTCTGTAGGCGAAGCTGCCTCAGCGACACCAGTAACAACAGTCAGGCAGAGAGACACAGACCTTCGGCGCGTCGACCTCCGCCGGGTGGTTCGCGACCCGCTTACCAGTCGCCTGGTTCGACAGTATCCTCCGAAGCTATACACATCATATCGTCACCTTCAGGAGAAGAACAGGCAGTTCCATATCGATGCGCGCTCACCCGCCGCTGAAACGCAGCCTCCTCCGCGCGCGTGACCACTCCCTTCCCGCCGTCCTCTCCGAGCACGCCCAAACGGACGTACTCGATGGCACGCTCCTCCTCCGCAGGACCCGCGCCGCCACTTTGCGCCAGAGATTCCGACGCGGCGATAGTCTCATGTATCACCTCCAGATGAGCGTTATACACGAGAGCCTGTAGGTCCGCGCCCGAGAACCCGTCTGTCTGCGCCGCGAGCGCGTCGAAGTCGACCGAGGGGGCAATCGTGGTCTTGCGTCTGAGCGCCGTCAGGATCTGCATCGTGTTAGCTCCCGACAACACCTCTCTGCGCGCGGGACTCACGTCTTTCCGCTCGGACGCATCCGGCATGTTGCAGAGCAGCGACTTGTCCAAGCGGCCTGGGCGGAGTAGAGCAGAGTCTATGAGATCGGGACGACTGCGGGCCCGTCAGCGCTATCGTGCCCATGCACCCGAATGCCAAGTCGTACCTCGTAGCAGCGAGCACATACACGCCATCGAGCCCCTCAGCACCATCCATCTGCGTCAGCATCTGGTTAACCACACGGTCCGTCACACCCGTGCTATCATGTCCTCTGTTGACATTCACGTTGAGGGAGAACAAGTTAGCACAACAGGATACACTTTGTACGACTCGTAACTTACCGCTTGGGCGCAATTGAGTCGAACTCGTCAAAAAACAGGACGCACGGCTTCGCCGCGCTCGCCCGCTCGAACAGGTCGCGCACCTACAAGGGGCGCCCCGCCCACCTGTCAGGCGCACTCGCAAAGGTAGCAAACGTGTCACGCACAGACTTCTCGCTCGCACCGATGTACTTGTTCAGCAGCTCCGGGCCTTTGATGCTGATAAAGTTCACCCCACACTCCTTCGCGACCGCCGATGCCAGGAGGGTTTTCCCGCACCCAGGATAGCCATACAAGAGTAACCTATCGCGCATTCATTCGGTAAATTATGGCGGAGACAATCCAAGAGCCAGAAACTCACCCAGAGCGCAGACGCAAAGGAGACTGGGCGAATATTGGGCCGTACTTGCTCGGCCACTCCAGCGTCTCACGGAGGATCCGCTTCGTCTCGGCGAGCCCTGCATATGATATCACAGGTGTTAGCATTCCCTTCACTCCTCAAAACGTAAAATCAGACCGGACCTCCGATGTCGGACCATGCGACCTCAGACTTCTGCAACTTCACATCCCGCAGCGACAGCGGAACAAAATCCACCTGTGCCGCAGCAAAATCTCCGGGCACAAGAGTCGTCTGCACACACATAAAACGATCAGACAGTCACACGCCACCGAGGAAACTAGCGTAGACCTACCGCAGCGTTCTCGTCCGCGTCGTTCCTCGACGCCCGGATTGCTGCGCGATGCACTGCACGAGCAACTAGATCCTTGAGGTCAGTCACAGAGTACCCCTCCGTCTGCGTAGCCAATGCCGTGAAATTCAGCGGCACAGAGGGCTCTTCCGTAATGTCTGAGGTCTCCATCCGATCGCGGACCAACCGCCCGATAATCTACCGCCCTTCAGGTAAGCGCGCCGCACAGTTGCCGAGCCACATCGAATGGACGCACGTCTCTCCTAGCATCCTTCCCTGGAGGCTTGAGACCCACCACCTCCTGGAACGCATGGGCCGAGTTCAGCAGCGGGTGCAGAGCGGCTTGTGACTCTGCCGCTGCGAGGAGGACGACGCCGTTCGCGTTCGGAGCTGCAGAGCGCGCAGAGGGTCCGTATATCGCGAGGAAGATCTCTGTGATGTGCCTACTTCGGAAAGAGTCGGCATGCTACACAGGTGCCCAGAAGTCACGCTCAGCTTCCTGTCGCTCGGTACCGACGCGCAAACACGCACTTCGAGCTCAGCACCCATCAGTTTATCCACGTTGTCAAAGACGAGGACCGAGGGTCGGTGCCATGACGCCTTGTCCATCCAGTACTTGAGCAGGGCGCGTACTTTTGTTATGGGTATTTCAGAGTACTTGGCGAAGTCGACATAGTGTATATCTGGGAGTATCCTCAATCAGCTGTATGGCACAAGAACTCGACGAGTAGCGGAAGGTCTGACATGCAAAAGTCTTTGAATCTTCCTGCAGCGACTTTGCGATAGCATGCAGAATGGAAGTTTTCCCCGAGCCGGATCGGCCAGTCACAAGCAAGCCAGGGACTGATGGGGTGCGAATATGAGATACGATAGAAATATAGAAAACATGGTCATTGAGCATACCTCCACGCACCCGTTTGCTGAAGGCATGCAGTGCGAAATTGGTCAAGCAGAACGTAGAACACCGGCTCAGGATATCGTCTACACCGGCCAAACCGTGCTGAGATGGTCTCATTCTGATGAAATGTGAGTCAGAGTCGTTTATATAACGAAATCGATACGGACTTGTACTCCTCTTCGCCCGGAGGATGCGAAGGGGTATCTGGTATATCCCCTTCCTCTCTCAGAAAAGTCACTCTGTGAACACATTAGCAAAAGCCTGACAAATAAGGAGAACGACAGCTCCAGAGCGCTGACCGTACTAGATCCCAATCGTCCACACCGTCAACGATGCCATGGAACACGATGTGTCCTCCGGGGATAGTGACCTCCGGGGACCACACGACGACGACCTCGTCGTTCTGAGCAGGCGATGGCGGCCGCCCATTTACTCCATCTGCATTCGGCACGAGCACGCGAGGGGCAGGGGCAGCGAGTGCAGAGGGGCCATGTCCTGCCTGCTCCTGGGTAGGATCTGCTGGAGGCCGAACGCGCCGCACCACAGCGCGCCAGCTTTTCACCCTCTTCACTGCCTGGGGCTCTTCATCCAAAGACGCCAGGACAGCCCGTGAAACATAGGCGATCGCCACTTCAGAATCAACCGGGGAAGAGGGAGGAAAAATGCGCTGTGGTAGGACACGCAGTGTACGAGTCTGTCGTCTCTTTTTTCCAGCGTCTTTGTGTGGAACGTCGTTGCCCTGTTTGAGCTTCGATACGCCATTGATACCGCCATTGATACCATTCACTTTCGTGCTGCCCGAGCTTCCATTGATAGCAGTGGGACCGCCACGAGAGCCCGACGCACCGGCTTTCCTGCGCAGCTTCGGCGCAATGCTTACTTCGGTGCTGGTTGTAAGCAGGAGAGCCTTTCCGCTTGTAGACGGCTCAAGATAGACTAAAATATGGGACCGATGCATATGATATGAGCTTGAAAATGTTGTCCGAGAATTCACATACCAACGTTCAAACGCACTCTGGTGCGCCCGAGGACCCAGACATCTATCTCCTGGCCAATATTCGCGACACGTACTTGAGAGAGCAGCGTGGATTCAACGTGAGACGCGTGGAGTTCCTAGCGCAGTCTCTAGGGTATGGTGGCAGATGGCTGGCAAGAGCAGAGACTCACGATGATTTCCCAGTCATCAGATGACACGGGCTCAGTCGCAACTGAAGTTGCATAGGATAGGTTATGCAACAGTCCTATCTCGACCTGCATATTGAATTGGAGAAACTCGAGGTCAGAACGGGGAACGACGAAACAAGCGGAATAAAACTGACGATGTCACCCAGCGCGAAGCCTAACCCATCAGCATACTGCGGATCAATCTCTATGGTTTCTAGCCCTCTGTCGCTTGTGTCGCCGGAATTGAAGTGGGCAAGGGAAGACGACGCGGCCATGCCCGTCCAGCCTACATACGCTTCCGTCCTCTTCTTCGCATCGTCAGAAGCCGCTTTCGGGCTCGCTGACGTGAGGGTTAGGTGAACGGCAAGGCCTTGTGGGCGCTACAGTAATTATATCAGCCTGACCGCAGAGACTCGAGCAATGGACTCACGATTCCACGCTCGACTAGAGGGCCGTACAGGGAGATGGGTAGGTTGACCAACGACGAATGCAGGGACACAAAGTGGATGCGGGCACGTCGGGGCATCCGTGAATTAGTAGGCGTACGCAAAGTGCACGAGCTAGTAATACTTAAAATTATGGAGAGACGGTCGGCGTACGTGAGCTTGGGAGACGTGGTCGAGCCAAATACCTTCATTTCCCATTTCGGCCCCGCTACCAAACGCCGTCTCTCAACACGTGATTCTTCTACGTCAATGTCACATGGGCGTGTTACGGACTGACTATCGAAGGAGACTTAATGGTGTGCTGTCAAGCAACGACAGGGTACTCCAGTTCAAGTATTAACGCTAGATTATATCGCAGATACAGGGTATCACCGACACATAAGGGCAGCCCCACACATCACAGCCCAGACAGCCAATGCGTCTCCAGTCTCTGCTCTACCGTCCGCGCATCTCTCCGGCGCACCGTCTCTGTCATGCCCAAGCCGGCCTCTCCCAGGCGCGCCAGCACATTGCCATAAATCTCGCTATGCGTCGGGCCTTGCACGCCTCTCAACGTGACGCCGCCGTCGAGGACCTGCAGCGCCGCGAACGCGACGGGCAGCCCGACGGTGCGGGACATCGCGGACGCCTTGGGCGTGCCGTACGCGACGAGTGAGGACGTGTGCACCTCCTCATGTGTCCCGCCAGCCGCAGGCGATCCGGTGGGACGTGCGATGATTTCGTGTGCCAGGACCACCAGATCGCGCTCGTAAGGCAGATACCGCAACTTGTGCGCCAGGAGGGTCGCAAACAGGTCAATCGGCGCAGCGGGCTTTCCAGGCAGCGGCGGCAGCGCCTCAACGCCGGTTGACCGAGCAGAAGACGGGATCAACGACAGCCACCGCAGCGCGTTGAGTAGTTCGTCCTTTTGAGAGGGGGGCACGATATCTCCAAGTACGGAGAAGAACGAAGCAGAGTCCTTGAGCGGCGTCCCCAGCTTCGCCTCCAGCGACCGTCGAGCGAGTGAGGTCCACCGGTCCACACTGAACGGCGGCGAAGTCTCCAACAGGCCGATGGTCTTGAACATGCTCATGAGGTTGCAGAAGCCCGGGTACCTGATTCAACTATAGCATGATGCGATCTACAACTCGAGGAAAAACATACCGCAACGTGCCTCGGAACAGCGTCCTGATACCTGAGAGGGGCTGCAGGCCATAGACGTCAGCATACGGCAGGCTGTCCCTATTCGCAATCCCCTCAAATTTAAGCACGTTAGAAATCGGTAGGTCAGGTACGAATTCCTGGAGCAGTTCCTCGCCCTCGATCTCCACGACCTATCGCATCATGAATATTGACCGCGGCTCTTCGCAGAGCTCTGGGAATTGCGCACCTTGCCTCTCAGCTTGAACTTCGCATCATTGGAGGCGGCAGTTAAGACGCCCTTGGGGCTCCAGCTGAACTTGTACCCAAGCGGTATATTGTCCGCATGCTCCGGCGCAGGCAAGCCGCCGCAAAACGAAGTGAACGATACGATTTCTTTCTTCTGTGCACGAAGAGAAGAGATGAGTGACATCGCGGAACAATGGTCAATCCCGGGATCAAGACCGATCTCGTTCAGAAGCACAACATCAGCAGACACCGCTCTGCGTATGCTTGGTCAATAACAATCCAGGTACAAAACAGGGCCAAAATACCGTTCACGCAGCGCTCTCATTGCAGGAGAGATATACGACGCCGTCACGAGATGTTTCCGCTGATGGATACACAACTCCGCAACCGCCGGGTGGAACGGCACAGGCAACAAGCTTCAGCACACCCATCAGCATCACAGCAAAAATCAGACACGCAGACAGAAGCGGACCTGATAACAACGTCTGCCTTCCCGATCAACTCTCGCATCTTGTCCGTGTCCTTCATGTCGATCAGCACAGGGTCCGCATTCGGATACGGCGCAGTCTGGCGCTCAGCCTCCACCAGCGAATTGCTAGCTGCAAACGAACCCATTCAGGCTCATCGCACGCCATAGCATGAAGCACAGCTGCTTACCCACGAGCAGCTGAACATCCGGCCGCTTACAGATCTCCTCGATCGCCGGCCCAGCAACCATCCCGCTCCCAAGCATCAGCACCTTCTTCTTCGGCTGCCCCAAGCTCTCCGGTTTGGCACCCGCGGTCCCAGCGCTCCACACCTTCATCGGCTGCTCTAACCACGCAAACTCTCCCGCAAGCCTGCCGCCCTGTGCGACCGTCGCCCTCCTCAGCGCCTCTCTCCGTGCGTGCTCCCGCTCGTCCTGCTTCTGCCCGCCCGGACGCGTCTGGCGGACGAGCGCACGGAGGTACGGCAGGAGCACGCTGGAGAAATGCTGCGACGCCTCGAGCGGTAGTGCGGTGGGGAGGATGTCGACGGCCATCATCGTGACCGGCGGCAGGTGCGCAGGGAGCGTGCTCGGGCGGGTGGCGAAGAACGGCGCGGAGAGCGTCGAGTGGCGCGGGAGGAACTCGAGGCCGCCCTGTACAAAGAACAGAAACATTAGCGTCGGGATTGGTGTCAGTGCTAGTAACGTCACAGCAGATGGCCCCTCCAGGCGGTCGGACTGACCTCCACGTCGCAGCTGATATCGCCGACACACGCGAATCGGCCCATCCCGATCTGCTGCGCCTTCTCCAGTGTCGTCGTGAGCTGCTCGTTAGTCATAAGTCTTGGGAACGACGGTGCCCACCCTGCGCCGTGCAAGAGCAGGGACAGGTATGGGGCGATCTATAGCAGAACGTTGTAATGTAAGTTCAACATCTGGAACAAGATGACACACCTTCGTATGGAAAACAGATTCATATTCCTGCGGGTTCGCATAATACCGAGCACGGTCGTAGGGCCGCCCGTCGCGCTGCACGAAGTAGTCCGCAGGGAGCGCATGGACGACGTAGATCTGGTCGCACAGCGTGAGCAACCGGGACTCAAAGCACTTTCTACCATCCTACCTTCCTGAGATCCGTGCCTATTAAGCAGTGTCAGTTGGAAACAGCCAAGTAAGCACGCCAACGAATGCCCGCGTCCAAGTTGAACTCACCTGGATCACTAACTAGAGCGGGCAAGTCTTCAACTTCGACCCGCTGGATGGGAAGCTCCTTCAGGATATCCAAGACACCATCAGCAACTTTTCCCGCTCTGTGCATATTGTTCATGAGACGATTGATGGGCATGCAGGGAAGATTACTCACCCTGTGACGCCGAGCACAATGGGACCCAAGCACTTCGGGGTTCCTTCAGCCGCAATACGCGCGCCGACGACATCCCTCAGAGTACCGCGGATCGAGGCCAGGGACGGATGCGTATGTGGACGAGGAGTGTACTGTCATATATTCAGACTTGGAAGACAGGTCTATGACATGCAGACTCACGAGGAATGGGCTGGCGACACCGAGCTCGAGATGTGCATGTGCGAGAGCATTCAGGGACTCCAGTGTACCGGCGACTGTCAGTCCGCATTAGTACTCACAACTACTCGAGAAGATTATTTGAGGCGTCCCGGCGACTCCTCGGGAATTTCAGAGTTCTCAGTGTAGCATCATCGACGTGTTTTTCTACCCTGAACGCGCTTTTTCGAGTAGTACATGAGCGTACACTTACCACCAGCGAACCAACCAAATCCAACAGTCCTCTTCCCATCCTCGCCAGTAAGTAGCTCATAGTCGATGAGTGTCGGAAGCAGCTCTGGACGAGGGGCAGCCGCGTCTCCGACAACAGACGGACAGACAAACTTGGATAGCAGCTCCATGTTGTACATCTGACCCTTATGGGTATGGGAGAACATGATGTGCGTGCGGGGCTGGAGCGGAGCACCAGGCGCGACGGACGGCGCAGGCAGCGCGTCTGTGAGGACCTCCGGGAGAGGAGTTTCCTTGATGCCGAGGATGATGTGCGCGGGGGCGAGCGTGGGGTGCGGTCTCGCGCCGGCCTGTGGGGCGCTGGGCGTCAGTCTCACTTGGCGTCGTACGATGGGGTGAGCGGACGCACCTTGACGAATTCGTTTATACCCCAGACGCGCCTGTTGCAGTCCTGCACGAGGACGTCGACGCCGTCGTTGTGGACGAGGTCGTGGACGGCGTCCGGGGTGAGCGGACACCTGCGTTCCCATATACGCAGGGGGTCTTCGCGTCGAATGCCGATGGTAAGCCTGGCAGCGTTGGGGGCGGTGGCATGGTACGAGCGCGACGAACAGCGCCGCGGGCGCGCGAGAGAGAAGGGAGCACGTCGAAGAATGGCCATGGGTGGTGGTGGTGGTCAAGAGGAGAATTGGGCGCTCAGTGGATTGAGCCTCTGAAATGGTCGGGTGTCAATGATCCGAGCCGAGCTGCTCCTCTTCTACTGCCGCACACACCGGAATCCTGCACTCGTGATGTCGACCAGCGTCGTCAGAAAACGCGTATCTCGACGGGCAAATACCGCAGAACGCGAAGAGGGAGAGCAAACGAGGACCGCTCGGTATTCAGACGCGTCTAGGTACAAGCGCCACGTGACCCAGTGCTTGAGCTCGTTGCCGCCCGCAACGGTGACCACCGCGCTCCCCTCCACCGACGCCGCGATGCGCTCGTACATGCGCCTGCCCCGCACGCTCCTTTGCCTTCTTCAGGCTTTCCTTGTTGTCGCCCAGCCTCCACAACTCACCCTCAACCACGGCGTCTACAACTTCTCTTCCTCCACTCTCCCCAACCCACCCACCTTCAAGCTCCCCGTCTCCAACCCGCTCTACCTCTCAGTTGCACTATGCTCTGCGCAAACCACACTACCTCGATTGTTCGTCACTAATGACAGCACCGCCTCCCAGCCAGGTCCCGCGGAACTCGGCCAGGCGAATGTGTACGAGATCCCGCTGGAGGACGGCTTGGGTGTATGGTCCGGCCCCATGAATGTTCAGGGCGTGCTGGCGATATATAACGCCAGCCAGTCGTTGTCCTTCGAGATTGGACTTTCGAATGCCGGTGAGCAACCCCTTGCCTGTTCACTTCAGCCCGAACTTGGACCAAGAATACGTACGATCGAGCAACCACTCAGACACTGCAGTCTCATGTAACTGATACATTGCTCACGATCCGCGACGTTCGTGCAGCTTCGTACCCTCGGGATGGTATATCGCTTTAATGGGGATCGTCCTCCTAACGGATACTCAGCTTCACTAAGAGTGCATTACTGCAGCTTCTGTCGCGACGAGAATGCTCTAATGCACATGGTGTGGGAGCTCCGAAACATCCCAGGTTTCAGCAGTGACCGAGCGAGCGTGGAGCTGTTTGTTTGAGTCGATCCGTTCTAAATAAGCGCTGCCGGTCCCCACCAGTGCATCTGGCGCGACCACGCGCACTCTTCCGTCACTCTCACCCATTCGTGACCTGACTGACAATACATGTACAGGACCAATACACCAGATACTAGACGAGCTACCTTTACTTGGGGATACCACTTCCAATCAGGTTTTGCTCTTCTCGCCGCCATTCTCACCACCAGAAATATCCGCCCCGACCTACCCCAATTACACACTCCCTGCTGCCAACCTCACTTTCCCTCCCGCTCCCCCTTCTCCCTCCAACTATTCCGTGTTCGTCACACTGACTTCGACGACTCCACTGCCTCTGACTACATGCGCCTTGAACGTGGCGCAGGTCGAGGGCTCGCTCTACGATTCCCCGTCGTCCGTCTCGAGCCAAGGGCTCTGGTTGCGTGATACCGATGGCTGGCGATGGCAGTGGCTCATCAACGGGCTACTCCCGCAGAAGAACTACACCGCATACGCGATCCTGAACGACACCAAAGTGAGCGGGCCAATCAATTTTGTCACCAAATCCGGTACGTTTTCCCGCCCTCCCTCCACCACCCGCACTGACGGCTTCCACAGCCTCCTTCTCGTGCCCGCTCGTGCACTCGCTCCCGTTCTGCCCAGCGGTCGCGTACGCAGCGCCGCTGCCAGACCTCACGAACAATCCCGCGCTCGGCGCGACGGCGGGTGATCTCCCCGACTCGCTGACGGGCCCGCTGCTGAGCGGGCTCGCGAACTTCACGGTGATGCTGACGACGCTCGCGTGCGGGCGTGACAAGTACAGCCAGCTGGTGACGTGCGCGGACTGCCAGACGGCATACCGCGCGTGGCTCTGCATGGTCTCGTTCCCGCGGTGCGGCGAGTACCCCTCCTCGACGGGCACGAGCACGCAGCCCGCGCTACAGCCCGTGGCGCCGTCCGCGACCCCGCGCAACCCGAGCCTGGCGCCGTTCGCGGAGAGCTACGACGCGATGCTGCCGTGTCTGGAGACGTGCAACGCGGTGGACCGCGCGTGCCCGCCGTTCCTCGGGTTCCGGTGCCCCGTCCCGCAGTTCACGGCCGGGGATAGCTATGGTGTGGGCTTCATCGACAGCGGAGCGCAGGGCGTCATGGGCGGCGGGTCGACGGGCGCTGCGGCGGACCGCTGGGGAAATGTGTGGTGCAACATGCCCTGAGGAGGAGGGGACGGGGGCTATGCGCGGCGCCAGCGATGGGACAATGTAATCTTCATTTGTGGATCTATGTGTTGTGCATTGCTATGCGCTGTGTTCCATACCCGCCAGTAACCTCATTATCTGCATATACCTGGAAGACGACAGACTGGAGCCGTCAGCGTCGAGGCATTACCTCCCGTTTCTCCAGCGTGTCCCGACTTTTCCTCAGGTCTCTTACAGCTGAATTCAAAACGATAGACACATTCCTATGGATTTTGCTTCAAGATCTTTGTTTGTGGCGCAGCGAAATAGTATGTGGTCAAATAAACCTAAGCCGAAAGCGGAAGGAAGTCGGCGTCAACCGTGTCGGGTGACGATGGGTCTGATCATCAGGTCTGTAAAAGGTTCCACGCTGTTTCGCTGCACCAAACAAAGATTCTGAAGCAGCATTTGTGAAAGTGCGTCTATGATCTATCGTTTTAAAGTTAGCTGTCAGTCTGTATCACGTGGTACGCATTGGATTCAGCCTCCATCGATGTCGCAAGCAATAGGTATCGCGCTTCCTGAGCACTCGAAACCACTCATGCGCCATCTTCAGGTACTTGAAGCGATTGACCAGGGGGTCATACGCGATCCAAGAGGGCAGACGATCGCCAAAGAGGATGTGCTTGTGCTAGGTAAAGACAACTCGATTCCTTCCGTCGGCTTCACCGCACACGGCCGTCTCTTCATGGAAGGTGCTGTTCCAAGTTGGCCGGCTTGGGCCGTGGGAGCGACGACATATTGCTGTTTCAATCCTGATTGTACCTAGGTTCAAGAATCTGATACAGACGCTGCTTTACGAGCCGAGACTCAACCTTATCGTACACGCCCCGCAGCAGCCTGCTGGTGCTCCCTCAAGCTGCGCTCCCAGCAGTATCCGAGTGGTTATCGTCCTCGTCGCCGCAGATTACTCGCCGACTTTTGAAACCTCCGATCGCTATCAGGGCACTCAATGGAGATCTTCATGCGTGATATCGCCTTTGCGACGTCACAGCAAGACTTGAAGGTCGAGTTTTCTAAAGTCCTTCACAATCCTCCATTCCCTTCGCAACCGCCGCTGAATTTCGAAGTCGACATTTTCAAAAGAAATCCTAACTGGCGAGGAAAATGCGGCATACTCGCTCTGCCTACGGAAGAAGCTGGCAAGATCTTTCTGCGTACGTACGGCTCGGCTGGCATCATCGTCAACCATCGGCGTATCTACTTCAAAGTCAGCACGAAGGAAATCAACCGGGCTCGAATTCAGATGCTGAATTCCAACCCGTGGCGCGATCCGCTGCAACTGCAGCAGGAGAAGGACAGGCGCATTCAGGAGTCGAAGCCATTTCCGCTTGTTCGCTATGCATTTGGTCGCTTCCTCCCAGATGGTTCGTTCTCCGCCGAAATATTTCTTCCAGGCACTGCGTCCATCTCTTGCCAGGGCGTTGACCGCCGGCAAGTACGATTCGAATTTCGACCTTCGCAGGAGCCTATTCATGGGGATCTGGGGGGCCTCATGGCAATGCTCAACTTGGATAATTTATTCGATACATGCGTCGCTGCGTTATATACGCCTTCGAAGATCGAAGCGCTGTTCGAAAGCCGAGCAGAACATCCTCCTGTGGTTTTTTTCAGAACTAACTCACCTCCCGTGTTCTTAGCAGAATCCAGCTCCCCACTGTTTGGCGGCAGGCCACAGCGCTTACGGGGACTGATGAGAGATCAGCCCATGCCGTCCGGGTGTCATAGCTTGATGCTGGTGTTTAATCCTGGCTCAGACGCAGAGGATTTCGTCCATGCCTGCCGCAGTCGTCTCCACTTGGATTACTCTCTGAAGCCTCGCATTAGCGTTCGCGACAATCTCTTCTCTCCCACTATTCTGCAAGACTTGGACAAATTCCTTTCCGATCTACAGTTCGAGCTCGCTTTCGAGGTAGAGAAGACGATCACGCGGTCTATCTTGAGCGCCCTCGAGGTCCTCGCGATGGAGCGCGAGATCGCCGACCTTCAGCGAGAGTACGGTCGTCAGGCTTCGCAGATATTCCAGGCGTTTGCATCTCTGATTGAAGAGGGAGGTACAAGCGGCAGGAAGCGACGAAGGCATGGCAAGTCCGTTGGGCTGCCGGAGGACTACCAGGCGGTTTTAACTTCCCTGCTTCACCAAGCCATCCAGCATTTTGTCGAGGAGCAGCAAAGGCCTCGTCCCGTTTTGTCCTTGGTGCTAGTAGAGGCTACAGCGGCTGCTGCTGTATACCTTTGCTATCACCTTATATTGACGCCGACCAGGTACATTCTGGAGGGGCCTCTTCCCGACCAATCCAACAGTGTGCTCCGCCGCTTTGGGCATCACGAGTCTTTTCTGCGGGTCTCATTTCAAGATGAGAATCAGACGAAACTGCGTCGTGATACCGAGTTCTCCATCGCTGAGCTGCTCAGGATACGGTATCGTCCGATTCTGCTTCAGACTGGGTGCCGTGTTGCTGGGCGTCCGTACGAGCTGCTCGGACACTCCATGAGTGGGTTGCGCGAGCATTCCGTGTGGTTTGTCTCCCCCTTTGTGGACAGAAACGGGCAACTGCAGAATGCCGAAAGTATTCGGAATAGCTTGGTAAGTCACTCCCTTCCACGGGCTATGCAACATGACCAGACTCAAAAGCTGTTTACAGGGAGACTTCTCTCGTAAACAGGGACAACCCTCTCTTCTCTTGCATCAGCCTGCACGCCTAAGTGCACGATGGGCTCAGGCTTTCTCCGCCACGGATCCGTCTGTTACTCTTCGGCCCGATGAAATAGATCTAGAATTCCCTGATAAAATATCAGAAACTGGTCAACTTATGACAGATGGGTGTAGTCCTATATCTGTTGACCTAGCTGGTCTCATCTGGAGGTCTATGCAGAAAGGCAAGAGGAGACCGGCCAAGTTGCAGGATGTCCCATCTGCCTTTCAGTTTCGTCTTGGTGGAGCCAAAGGCGTTGTCGTACAGGACCCATCTATTCCTGGAAGACACCTCCGCCTTCGGCCATCCCAGATCAAGTTTGATGCCCCGAATAACCTCACGTTTGATGTTCAATCGACGTCTTTACGGCCGAAGGCCATGTTCCTCAATCGACCACTCATCGTTCTGATGGAGTACTGTCAGGTGGATTCCGAGCGTATAATTCAGCTGCAGGACGATGCTATCCACAGAGCGCAGTCGGTTCGTTCATCATTCAACGATGCCTCGAAGGTCCTCCAACAACATGGATTAGGCGCGTCATTCCATTTGCCATCCCTCTTTCGTAATGTGTCGTCCATTTTGCGCCTTGGTATGGACGGCATAGAGGAGAGAGATCGTCGCTGGGATAACGAGCTTGTTGAGAGCGCCTTGCATTGTGCGGAGACACACATTCTCCGCGAACTCAAATATCGGGCGCACATAGAAGTCCCAGGATCTTATACCCTGCTTGGGGTGTCAGATGAATGGGGTTGCTTGAGGGAAGGAGAGATATATGCGACAGTCCGTGACCCAAAGACTGGGAAGCTGTCGCCGATAACTGGATCGGTTGCCATCACGCGCAGTCCCCAAATTCACCCTGGTGACCTCCAAGTTGTCGAAGCAGTCATTCGCCCGGAATTGAAACACCTGACAAATGTAGTTGTGTTTTCATGCGAGTCAGTCTTTTTTTCCTCATCAAAGTGATACCATTTTGATGGCTGTGCATAGGGGCCAGCGATCGCTCGCGTCGTGTCTTGGTGGTGGGGATCTGGATGGGGATGACTTTAATATCATCCTCGACGTGAGTACCTTTTTTTACATCAATGTGGTTTGCATACCCATAAGCTCATACTCCTTAGCCGAAGCTCATCCCGCGAACGGTGAAACGTCCTGGAGCATATGAAGGTCTTCCCATCAAAACAACCGCCCATGAATGTGGAATTGCCGATGTGGTTGACTTTATTTTTGACTACGTACGTGTGCAGCTTATACGGCACTGACTAACCTCCTTCACTGAACTGGTTGCATAATGTAGATCGAATCCGATCTTGTGGGTTATATCGCCATCTCCCATCTGAGATTCTCGGATCTCAAAGATCCAAGCTGCGACGAGTGTCTGCAACTCGCCAAGTTTGCCTCGCACGCTGTTGATTTCCCAAAGACAGGCACTCCGGTCAATTTTACCTCCCTCCCGAGATTTGCGAAGGACCAGCCCAAGCCTGACTTCCTCGCGAGAGAAGGCAATGACCTACAGAGCGATCGATATTATACAAGCAACAAGCTGCTTGGCATTCTCTTCCGTCGTGTTCCCGTGAAAAAATGGTATCCAAAGCTGTGGAACGAGAACTACTCTCCGTCTGGTGGCACGGTGGTTGAGACCGCGCTTTCTAGCATTCATCTCCACAGTCTCGGACTTCCTGCCCCCAACGAGCCATCTGAGGAGCTCCTCGAAGAGATGCGCCACCTGCTTGATGCCTACTGTGACCAACTGTTCGCCATCGCAAAAGTGCATACTATCACCAAGAACAAGGATGCTTACGTTTCGGAGGCGGAGCTGATGAGCGGAACGATCATGGCAAACTGGTCAGACCATCGTCGGCGGAGGGACGCGGTTTCCGCCATGAACCTGCAGGTGAGTTCAGACACTCGGTGACGGTATGAAACTCATGTCAAATTATACGCCAGACGAGTGGGCTTGTCCGAGCAGTCAGGGCGGAGTTCCGACCAAGCGAGCTGGCTGCTGCCAACGAGGAAGATTATGAGGAGGAAGATTATGAAGATTGGACCTTCCGAGAAGTGTTCGACGAGGAGGAGACTCTGATGATGTCGGAGACCTTCAAGCGCGCTTGGGCGGCGTGGTACGTGGCCGAAGACGCTCTGGCCGAATATCCAGATGCTTTCGGCCCTCAGAGTTTTGGACTGATCGCGTTGGGTAGGATGCTTGAGATAGTGAAAGAGTCATTGTCTATGTAGGTAGTTTGGGGCAGCGTTCATCGCACTGCTGAAGTAATTCGTGTGCATGAAGTTTTGTAACAATATCATCAGGCACTGGGAGCACCATCCAAATGAACCCGCCGATAGCACGAGCCAATATAAGGTTCTAGCACGTCGCTGAATGCTACAATTGAAAAGCCGTCGATGCCAGTGGGCCGTCAATATCGTAAGTAGTGTGGTATACTGGCACCCTCTAACTTGAAGGGAAAAGTTAATTTAGTATTATTCTGAGGGGTCTGAGGCACAACTTTTCCGAACACATCCACTCTACAATGACAGGAAATCGCCCTGTGCACCAGAGAGCTATGAGGATGTAGCAATAACGTTAGACTTGAGTCTTGCATGGGCGAACAGATCGGAGTGCATCCTGATGGCACGTAGATGAAATAGTAGCCAAAGGACTTTAAATTTATAGATACTAGTGTAGTGTCATAGTAGCAGACGCTAGACACGGATATCCCGGATCAGGAATACGGTAGGTGTCAATAGACGCAGCAAAGATATGACGCAGTAGTCTCCCAAAGGCAGTGTAGCTGCTCTGCTTCAACCTTCGTACCTCAGGATATCCGTATCTGACATGCAGAGTCAGTTAGCCGAGGGTACTACACACCTCGGCTATCTGCCAGCGCCCACTCCCACCCACCGCCTCTCCGATTTACTGATCGGCGGCCTGAGGAACAAAGGTTGAAACACTGCCTTTAGGAGACTAGTATCAGCTAGTCCTGCTGATGCAACGAGCTGATAAGTATGACCGCCACTGATGAGTTTGGACCGTTATTGATGAGTTTTGAATGTTAATCGCGAACGACAGACTATCCTTTGGACCTTTGACATTCGGCATGCCGTGTTGGGACTAGTCGGGTTGCCTTGGAGAAGATGAACTAGCTCGAGCAGAGGGTTGCTCTTCAAAGGTGTTAAATAGGTAGTATAAAGCGGCCCCATCGTTTGCCACTCGCCGATTCAACAAGCCATGTCGCAGTACAGCCATCTGTCCACCCCAGACCCCGAGTTCCGAGCACCTATTCCTCACCCACCCAACTTCTCTTTCACAGGAGATGTGAAGGCGCTACGGGAGAGGCAGAGGCAATTCCAAGCCCAGAATCGGGAGAGCCTCGCAGCTCGTCTTCCAGCAGGCAAGTTAACCGGTTAACAATTAAATGCATCGCCATGATCTGACACACTTTCTCCAAGAATCTGCATATCGTATTGAGGAGTGCAAGATTGCCGTTGAAAGCGGAGAAATTGCCCTGCGGTGTGTAATTCCGACCACGGGCGACGCTGAGAAGAGATTCCCCGTGCGTGTGGTTCCATGGCGGAGGTGTGCTGGTTTCTTTTTCTTACCTTTTCTATGTGGGGTTCACACTTCATATGTCCCAATTGGCAGGCTTGGTTGTAGGAGATTTGGATATGAATGACTTTTTTTTGAGAAAATTGTCCGTCGAGCATCGGCTGTCGATTGTGAACGTCGATTACAGGTGAGACCGCAGTCCACTCACATTGTTCCGTTTTACTAACTTTCGAACTGATTATACTGATCACTTAAATAATAGACTTGCACCCGAGCATGTCTACCCGATTCCATGGGACGATGCGTACGCTGCCACGAAATGGGCAAGTGGCAGTTCCGTGATGCGGATTTGCGGAAGACTAACTAACCCCTCCTCTGCACAGGTTGTGAGGAATACATCATTTCTCTCAGCGTCCCTTGCGAAAGGGTTCATTGTCGCCGGCACGTCAGCCGGAGCAAATCTTGCAGCGGCCGTTGCATGCCGGGCGCGTGATGACCCATTCTTCGCGGAAACACCCGTTACTGGCCAGGTCCTTCAAGTTCCCCCCTTGCTACACCCTGAAGATCCGGCGGCAGAGAAGTAAGCAGCAAGTCTGCGTTGTGCTATCGTAGCGGTGTTGACCATGTTGTAGATATAGCTCTGAGTTGCTCTCCATGGAACAAAATAAGGATGGCCCTGTTATGACGCGTGATGGAGTGTTTGCCATGACTCGTGCGTTTCGACACTTCCCCACGTTAGATTGCTCTAGCATTCTAACTGGAATATACAGGTATGGCGAAGGTCCCGTTGTCCGACTCGCACTTCTCGGTGCTACTGCAACCGTCTCACGCAGGCGTGCCGCCGGTCTATATGCAAGTGGCCGGTATGGATCCCCTGCGCGATGAGGGACTTCTGTATGCAAAGCTACTCGAACAAGCAGGCGTGGCAACCAAAGTTGATGTGTAAGTATAGCCTCCCGAAGGCACTACCGCCAAACTGCATGTTAATTGACTGTTTTGGTACAGTTATCCGGGCGTTCCGCATGGCTTCAGCAATATGTTTCCCCAGCTTACGATCTCCGTCAAAGCGAATAAGGATCTCAATGACGGGATCAGGTGGCTCTTGGGCATAAGCGATGCAAGTGTTTGAATAGGACGCACTTTTGCGGCACTACCCATGTACTAATAATTTTTGCACTGCGAATGGGCTGTAATCGTTATGGTGATAGAGTATACTTACTGTCTCACGCGCACGTCTTGTCACAACGGAATTTAGCGCCCCCAGAAGAAAACTTTCCCTGAAATAAGTATTCGATTCCGCGGGAGACTTGACTAGAAAAACAGGGCCCTGCAACCACGGAATCGAGCTTTCAAACCAGCAGGTATGCACATGCATACTACGCACCATAGCTTGATGACGGACGTTTACCGCGATCTGCATCCACAGATCGAAATGACGATCGACGCACCGCTTCCCCGAAAAGGCATCTGTCTTTGTACTGTAGGTTTACGACCATTTCACGGGTCACAAGGACCTTTGCATGTCCGGAATCTGACACTGGATGCCTTCTCGCGGGATTTGAAGTGAATGCAAATCGTATACCGGAGGACGAAAGAATCCGTTGCGTCGGAACAGCAAGGTTTGCGGAACCGCAGCAGTGCGACGCAACCCGACTTCTAGAGTCTGACGCTAAACGTGGGATTTGCGGAAGATCGGAGCCAACGAGTCCGCAATATGCCATGACTTCACGCGTCCGCTTTCCTACCGGATCGTTGCAAAACTGTCCGCGGACGGATCATACCCACCCCCGTCCGGATCAGTAATGGGTTTGACAATGCGGACACCAACTCGGACCTTCCTTGCGACAACGTTAGGAATGCCGTCGTGAATCGGGCCCCGACCACCTCAAAGCATGAGTAAGCTACGTGTGCTCTCTCTCTGTGTTCTAGCAACATCGAAAGCACGGCCCGAGAAGACATCAACCTGGTCTGATGGACGGCAGGGATAAAAGGATGGTTCACATCGACAGTGCTCGCTATCATCTCATTAGCCATGTCTCAGTACAGCCATCTGTCTACCATTGACCCCGAGTTTGCGGCCATCGCTGATCAGTTGTCGCGCAACCCTCCCGTGGACGATGTGGTAGCTCGCCGGAGACCAACCAATGGTATTCTCCAAGAATATCTCAAATCTTACCTCCCCGCAGGCAAGTTCGCTCTCACACTGTATTATTATTAGTTGCATTGACATTCGCTAGAGTCAGAACTTCGTGTCGTAGACCATAAAGTCCCTGTTGAAGCTGGGGAGATCACAGTTCGAAGTCTAGTGCCGAGCGCTGCTACTAAGGGAAAGACTTTTCCTCTCCTTGTATGGTTTCACGGTGGAGGTGCGTTTACTTCAGGCAATTGTCGCACAATTTCCCCCAACACTCAGCGTTCGCCCAGGATTCACATTCGGCGATCTCAACAACGATGACTACCGCCTGAGGATCCTGTGCGTCAAACTTCAACTGGCTGTTGTTAACGTGGAGTACAGGTGCGAGAACTAGTCCTTGTTATTTTCCATCATTATGCTCATAAGTTGGAGAACAGGCTTGCACCTGAACATCCGTATCCCGTTCCGTGGAACGACGCTTATACCGCTACGAAATGGGCAAGTGACAAGTGCATGAGACATAAACGAAGAACTCAATGCCTGTCAAACAGGCTGCAGAGAATGCGTCGCTCCTCTCGGCGTCCCTTGACGAAGGCTTTATCGTGGCAGGTCTCTCGGCTGGAGCCAATTTAGCAGGCTACATTGCGCACCGTGCTCGTCTTCTCGAAGACACCCCTAACTGGCCATGTGATGCAAGTTCCACCCCCGCTGAATCCTGAGGCTCCTGAGGGAGAGAAGTAGGTCATCCTGCTATGAAGTGCGGCCATGCCCAGCGCTGACAGCCCAGCAGATATCGAGCTGAGTTACTCTCCTTGGAGCAGAACAAGGATGCCCCGACCTTGACGCGTAAATCTCTCTTGAACACTATTCATGAGTTTCTACTTTAACCATCTGTTGGCCCAGACTACAGGTGGACAGTTTGATTGACCATAGGTTCTAGGCATTGTCGGAATCCCCAAGGACGACCGTATCTTCTCTCTGCTGCTCCAGCCGTCTCATGCTGGCATCCCGCCGCTCTATCTTCAGGTAAACGACCCGGACCCGCTCCGTGACGAAGGACTGCTCTATGCTAAGTTGGTAGAAGAGGCAGGCGTGAAGACGAAGGTCGATATGTGGGTAACCGACAGTATATGCATCGTCGAAGAGTCTGATTACTGACAACCGCTGGGATAGTTATCCGGGTGTTCCTCACGGTTTCCAGTATATTGCTCCACAGATAACGGCAGCTGTCAAATCAAGCAAGGACTTCGGCGAAGGGATCAAATGGTTGTTGAGCTTGAGGAGCGGTGCCTCGGATTAAATACCATCAGTGTAGATGTTGTGTTTGCCTGAATCGTCACGACTTGAGACGGTGACTTCACTATTGTAATGTAAAGAATACAGTGTACTGGCATGCTCAACGTGACAACGGAGGTGTGTTACGCGTGTCTCATGCATGAGGGAAGTCACGCGACGCGTCTGTCACGGCGCGACGTTTACCATCCTCCTTCTCGTCACAACCCTTTTCTCTCGTACTTGAAGATGGCCCGCGATGCCAACATGGGCGAAGGCTCCTCCAAGGGCGGCAAGAACTCTGCCTACGACCCCGACCAAAACCCAGAAGAGAAACGCGCCGTCCGCCGTGGCTACCGCGGCATCATCGTCGAACGTGAGCCCGCGCTCCCCATTTCCGTATCGCACACTTACCCATGTAACACAGCTGGGGTAGCCAACCCGAACGATATCTCTCCAGATGAGCTCGCCAAAAACCTAGAAGTCGCAGACAGCCTCTTTGAGAAAGGTGCACAGGCCCCCTGTCTTGGCTCTGCACACCGGCGCTGACGATCATGTCCACACGCGCCAGTGAAGGGCACGTCAGAAGCGACGCTCGACTCCATGTTCCTCCTCGGCGTGACATCGCAGGCCGCAGCTAAGGCGCGCTCGATGAAGGCCGGCGCGGGCGCGTTCGACGTCGACGACTTCGTTGCCCGTCTCGTCACTTTCATGGGCGGCCGCAGGGGTGTGCACCTCCCAGATGACTCAGATACCGACGCTGACGATTACGACGACGGCGCGCCCCTCGACTGGGAACGCATCGGCCGCCGCGCGCTCGCCAAGAGCTGCCGTGCGCCCGCCATGGACTTCATGTGCGTTCGCGCCTCGTTGTTTCCCATCTTGTCTGAGTCGTCCTGATATATACACAGGCTCGGTCCTTTGTCGATTGAGCAGAAGAAGCGCGCGGCGATCAAGCGGTCCAAGCTGGAGAAGAACAAAGCGGACATGAAAAAGCCGCAGGAGATTACGGAGGATGACATCACGCGCTCGGAGAACGAGACGACTAAGAACGTCGCAACTGTGCGTGCTTTCCCCCTTCACCTTCGCTGTGTCGTGTATTGACAGGCGCCACAGCTCGAGAAACTGCTGGAGCAGCTCGGCGGGCAGATCAACCTGTTCCGGTTCATTATCAACCCGAACGACTTCGGGCAGTCCGTGGAGAACCTGTTCTACCTTTCCTTCCTGATCCGCGATGGCAAGTGCGCACTCGAGACGAATGAGGACGGCGAGCCGGTCATTTGTACCCCTTCTCCGTCCCCTCATTCAATTTGTCGCTCACACTTGGATCATCAGGGCTATGCCAGCAGCCGTCCGAAGAGGACTACAATGAGGGCCTCAAGAAGCGCCAGATCGTCATGGAGTTCGACATGGCGACATGGAGGGTGCGTCGCTCTTCCTTTCCTAATCGTGAACACCGTACTGACCATGCCCGCAGCACGCGAAAGAGGTCTTCAGCATCAAAGAACCCTTCATCCCCCAGCGGCCAAAGTCCGAGATGCGTCTCGGCGGCAAGTGGTACGGTTGAGAGGCTGTGCAGCCGTCCAGTGTAGCAGAAAGTCCATGCCATTGTATACCTGTCTACTTACCTACTTACCTTTCCTATCTTGCTCTAGCATTTTCGTCTCAATGTTTGTGTTTTCTGGCACTTCAACATCGTACGCTCCCAACTCCGACATTTGAGAGATGAAATTTTGAATCCCAACTGAGCCGAGAATTGTAGAAGTCGCGCTCGAAAAGCGAGGCTGCGTCAAAAGTTTTAAAGCAGCTCCGGCCTACTTTGACAGATTCAATAAAGTGACCTTCTACGCTCCGCCTCGACCCTGCAATATGGGGTTTTCACTGGGGTCGAGGTATGAGGCCATTCACTGGCGTCTTGCCGACGTGCCTCACGGGTCGCTGGTTGCAAAGCTCTCTACCTTCATGAGCTGCAAAGTCATTGAAAATGTTGAGCGATTGCGGTTTCTATTAGTTACGCCGAGATCTACGTCTACAGAATGCTCATTATACGCGTTGTTTACTTCAGGTTCGCGAACATCTGCATCGAGTGCTCGAGGTTCGCTATCTCTGCCTCGAACGTCTTGCGCTACGACCATCCGGCGTAGATCAGTGGCATGTGTATGCACGGGAACGCGGGCACATACCTTCTCCTCATTCGCCAGTCGAGCATCTTCCGGCACGACATTCTCGTAGTCGACCTGCGCTGCGGTCTTGTGGATCTTGTCGAGATTCAGCCGCGCGAGGTGCAGCTTCTTCTCGCACTTGGTAATCTCGACGTCCAAGTCCACCTGCCCCTGCACCACGCGCGCACAAATCACGAGTCAGTATGGGAAGAGGAGAGAAGAACGTCAAGGGAGCACGCACCCGCACGAGTACGTAGAATGAGACGGTGGGCGAGAGCACCTCCGAGCCACATCCGGCAGGCACCTGCGACACCTCCCGCACGACTGCTGCGCTCTTGCAGTTCTTCGTGAGCGTGGTGATCAGGGGGACCATGCTCGTGAAGAGTGCTGCCTCCTCGTCCGACTGCACACGGATGTACACTGGAATCGCTCATGAGATTTTGGCTTCACTTTATGGGAAATGTACATACTCTGGATCTGTGTCTGCAGGTTGTACGAGTGGATGAGAGCGCGCCCTGTCTTGAGTCCGGAGAGGACGAGGTCGAAGTCACGCTCCTCTTTCTCGAACACAAAATTTTTGTCCTAAGGAACACAGCGGTTTTCCTTCGTTAGGCGTGTGATATTGGGAACTGTGCAACAAAAACTCACGAAGACAGGGAAGGACGAAACCATGATCGACGGTGTGGTGTCGTTTGGTCGGCGGGGTAGACGCTGCCACAGCTCCTCCGTGACAAATGGCATGAACGGATGCAGCAAACGCAACCCGTAGTCCAGACAGGTGTAGAGCGTCTGCTGCGCCGACTTGTTCGTGGACGTTGAGGCAGATTCGTCTGTCATTGGCTTCATCGCTTCCTGATCGATCGAAACGGCGATCAATGAAGTGGCATACAAGGATAATACTCAGAACGCACGATGTAGATATCACACAACTCGTACAGCCAGAAATTGTACACCGCTTGTGTGGCCATCATGAAATTCCGCTCAGCGAGCTGACGGTTCACTTCTTCGACGGCAATGTTCAACTTATGGAAGATCCATCGTTCAACGAGACTCTCGTTCCCGGTGGGCTGTAAACTCACGCATGAATCACTGATTAGGGAATTACCCGGATACGCGTCATCACTCACCCGTGCTGTAGGCTCTGGTACGAACTGCTCGTCAAGCTTCAACATCGCGAACTTTGTAGCGTTGAAGATTTTGTTGCAGAACTTGCGGTAGCCCTCCACACGAAGAATCTCAAGGTTAATGTCACGTCCTGACAGCAAATCATCAGCATTATGCATACTGCAAGCGAATTAAAGCTTAAACCTCCGGCGGAGTATGCGCACAACGCAAATCGCAAGGCGTCTGTGCCGCACTGAGGAATACCCTTCGGGAAATCTTTCTTCTGGCCCACTTTTGCCTTGAGGATCTCGCGCTCATCCAGGTTACCCTCGTACAGCTTCTCATGCAGTTTCTCGAGCTCGAGACCTTGAATTACATCGATCGGGTCGACGACGTTCCCAAGCGATTTGCTCATCTTGCGTCCGTGAGCATCACGGATCATAGCATGGCACAACACCTCCTGGAAAGGCACCTTCCCGGTCAGATGGATACCTAGCATCACCATTCGCGCAACCCAGAAGAACAAGATATCCCATCCAGTCTCCAGGAGCGATGTAGGGTAAAACTTTTGGAAGTCGGACGTCTGATGAAAGAGTTAGACGAAAACCCAAGCCAAAGGGAGACTGACTGACATTTTCTGGCCAGCCCAAGGTAGAGAATGGCCAAAGAGCGGAGGAAAACCAGGTGTCCAGAACATCCTCGTCCTGTTCAAGGGTGAATTTCTTGCCACCCGCCAGCTTCGTCGCACGCTCAGTCGCTTGTTCTAGCGTCCTGCCAACGACCCAATGCTTTCCATCAATGCGCTGCGACAATCAATGTCACCTATGCACGTAGCATTCAAAACCGAGATACCTACATCCTGGTCCAAGCCCTCGATACGAACAAAGTATGCGGGACACCGGTGACCCCACCACAACTGACGGGAGATACACCAATCCTGGATACCCTCCAACCAACGGTACCATTCGGACTCGGATTGTTTTGGCGAGATGAAGAGTTCCCCCGCGCGAGTACGCTACCGCCACTAGGTCAGTATGGCTCTATGCAGCGAAGAACGTGAACCAGTGTACCTTGAGCGCCTCGTCAGCGAGTGGCTTGCAGTCCACCCACCACTGTGGTTTGAGCATAGGTTCGATGATGTCACCCGATTTGCTGCATCGTCTCAGCGACTGTCAAGATAAAAAAGCTTGCACATACCTGCAAATTGGAATTTGCATGGGGTTGTCCTTTGCCTCAACGTACAGGCCCGCATCCTGCAATGCTCTGACGACAGCCACACGCGCGTGGAAGCGCTTCATGCCCTATAATTGCAGAGCTCAGGATTTTTTCAATGAAATCAGCCCTGTCATTCTCACCTGAAACTTCTCCCCGGCATTGGCGTTGAACGTACCGTCGTCATTCAAGATGCTAATGAACTCCAAGGTATGCCGGACGCCAACTTCGTAGTCATTTGGATCATGCGCAGGAGTGATCTTCACAGCACCTGTACCGAACTCCATATCCACGACGATTGCATCCGTGATGATCGGGATCTTCCTACCAAGGAACGGATGGACGGCGAACTTGCCGTGGAGGTGCTAATGGCACGTCTGAGATAAAGATGCGTCCGATAGGCGTATTAGTACTGACCTTGTACCGCGGATCATCGGGATGAACCGCAATCGCCGTATCTCCCAACATTGTCTCCGGACGTGTTGTAGCTACAATGATCTTCTCGTCTACAAATCATGGGTTTCGAGCACCCCACGAGAATTCTGGCCACGGCCTACCTGCTGAACCCTCAATCGGATATCCGAACGATGTAATTACACCGAACTCGAACTTCTCCTTAGCATCATACCCAGGAACATTCAACAGTGTTCGCCCTGTGAGCTGCTTCTGTTCTACCTAAGCATAAAACTTCAATTTTGACGTATAATTACTGGACTTCGTAGAATATACCTCGAGGTTTGAGAGGGTGGTGTTCAGTCTGACACACCAGTTGACAAGACGATTGGCACGGTAAAGGATGCCATCTTCGTGCAGCCGGCAGAAGTTTTCAACTACGGCTTTCGATAAGTTCTGGCAGAATTTTTGTGAATAATGATTACAATCAATCCTGACTGCTAAGGCGTACCTCGTTCATCGTGAAGGCCACGCGTTCCCAATCAAAGCTACCCCCCAGACGGCGCATTTGGTTCGTGATGCGCTCCTGGTAGCTGTGGCATGTCAATTGAAAGCTGAAAAACAAGTAGATGAGACGTCATACTCGTTTTTCCAATCCCACACAGTGTCAATGAACTTTTCGCGCCCAAGGTCGTGTCGTGTCCTCCCTGATGTCTTGAACAGTCTTCTCTCTACGACAGATTGCGTTGAGATACCCGCATGATCATAGCCTGGTACCCATAGTGTTGTCTTCCCCAACATGCGGTTCCTGAAATTCAGTAAGAACATATACCAAGACCATTCGCATTCGGGGTGCACACAGTAATTTCGAGCTAAAATCGTGCAGGATATGCGACGGGCTACTCTCATTCCAAGCAACATTATTGGAGGTAGAACATCGTGAAGTCAGCGCGTTTAAAAGTCTGCTGTCTTCACGGTGTTCCACGCTTCAAGCATTGAAATTGTCTCCAAAGCACTGTTCCCGCGTAATTGAAGCCTGAAATTACAGGTGATTCCAACGATTGCAACTCACCATCGAACGAGTCCATCCTGAATCGCAACCGTCAGTGCATGTCCAATGTGTAAGCTACCAGTGACGTTCGGTGGCGGGAAGGGGACGACGAATAGTCCTTCAGGCTTGATGTTGCCTTCAGGCGTCAACTGTGGTGCAAAGAAACCTTGAGTTTCCCACCAGTCATACCACGCCGACTCAATAGCAATCGGGTTGTAACCGCTGGACATTGGCTGGGAAAGGTCTAACACATGTAAACCGATCAAATCACGCAGAGAGATAACGCAACATAATACTCACCTTTTTTCTCGCCCTTCGGTGTTGTATTGATAAACGGGGGCTCCTCCTCCTTCTTTTCCTTCTCCACCTTCACCTTTTTCTCTCCAGCTGGCGTTTGTACAGAAAGCTTGACAACCTTAGCTGCAAGCTTGGCCTCCTTCTCTAAACGTTTTGCCTTTTTCTTCTCTGAACATCACCGCGTCTCAAGGAGCCTTCGCCACGGAAGATAAATAATGCCATACCTGCTTGCTTTGTGGTTGGAGTGTCTGCACCAGAGGGCGTTGCGCTCTCGGGAGTTGACGATGGTTCGGACATGCTGCGAATGCTGTATCGACGGGAATAATTGAAGTAGAGAGACGGACGGAGTGGAAGAAATCGATACAGCCCTTGCATCCGACTCAGTACAAACGCACGCGATCGAGTCACGAAAACTCGTTTCCCACGCCTGCTAAATGATGATTCTCGATACACGTGATACGACAGCATAGTGGATCCAAATTCTACTATGTACAACTCTGAGGCTGAGGACTCGGACTTAACTGGCCAGTACATGAGCGGATATCTACATCACAACAGCAAGCAAGATAACAATAGCAATGACTACAAAACGGTACCTCAGTCATGACAATATGCCCTGAGATAAAATAATGTTCCGGCCCTCTCTCGACCACCTCTCTCCTGCAGCGCCTGCATCTCAATGTTATTGCGCATTTCCTCTCGCCACCGCCAAACAACAAAGGCCTTCCACGCTCGAGAAGCACTTGTAACTTCAGTCGCTCCCAAACTCGTCGAGTTACTAGCACTTGACGAGTTCATATGCATGTGCAAGTTTCCGTCGTCGGTGAAGTACCTGTCTGCGCGGCTCACTCGCCCGTCCACGTCCAAAATGCCAGTCTCGAGAGCAAGTGGATCAGCAATAGCGTCAATTGTGCGTATACGTTCTCCGGGACCTATTTCACCGCCCTCTGCTACAAGCAGGGTCGGATGCAGGCGGCGCTCGCTTCCTGCCGAAAGAAGTATGCTAAGAGTATTCGTGCGTGGATAGATCGTGTCGATCTATCGCTCTCAATTAAGCTCCACATCTGTTCCTGGGTTAACAGTGAAGGGCGTACCAAAAGATCCTTTTCGACCACAAGTTTGAGCAAAGGAAACTCGCGTCTATAAGCCAGGATATCGCCCTGTTTCAGGAGGCCGTGCTTCACCAGATCGGTCAAGTCGGTGGCCCGAGTTCTGCACAATTTGCTCATCTTCAAACTAGCATTCAAAGGGACACGATGCTGCTACAGGACGCACCCTATTAGCTTTGCTGGCGGATGATCACGAGCCCAGGCTTCATCTTTCCAGTCCGCATGCATACTGCCATCTGATATACCTTGCTGGTATCGCTCGAGGTCATCTTGTGCCTTCTTTGCAAACCAGCCGGAGAAAAGATGATCCTGAAATGTGCGCGAGGCAGAGAGGAAAAATGGAGAGTTGAACACAAGAGGGTCCAATGTCGCAGAACTGTGTTCTGTGGCTTCGTGCGACAGAAATATAGACCCATATCCATGATGAGCTGAAGGGCCAGCCTGCGAAGGAGTGTCTGAGTCCATTTGCAGTACATCAACGTCAGCAGACGTTGAATGAGTCGATCGGAAAATCGGAAAATCAACGTGAGTCGGCGATATCGAGGGAAGAAAGGTTTGAAAAGCTGTAGGAGGAAGTAGGGCGACGAGGTGTGCTTGGGATTCAGCTGATAGATCAAGAAAATTCCCGTAATTCAATAAGTCCTGGATGCACCGTGTCAATGTACGAACTGGGAGAGCAGAGAAAGCGCGTACAGTAATGTCCATCCTTGTTAATCTACTCCTAGTATTTGTGAGCAGGTAGTCAAGCTTGTCTGCAGAAATTTTCTCTGCGTCTTGCCCTTTTCTTTTCCCTGTCACGGATGATACTGCTTTGGGAGAGCTTGTACTGACCGCCTCAGCAAATCTGGCCGGTACGCGTGTCGAGCGACGAGGGCGGGGAGGGATAGTTGGTTCCGACATTGTATATCAACAACAGTTGAGGCGAAGTAGGCCTGTACTACGTTACCTAATGTTACAAATGGTCCCATGGTCTGTTGGCAGAATTCGTACATACCTATCCTTGCAGAAATAGTGGTTCAAGTTAATAAGCAATCTGTGCGGGATGTAGATGTGTTAGCATACAAAAAATACGCAAATAATCCATGTATAGGCGTACGTATGTGTTTCCGGAATGATGAAGCTTAAACCTGGCATGCAGGCGGGCCGAAGGAAGGTTGAAATCTGACAAGAAGCGCATAGATCATCTCAGTGGGTATAGCATCACGTGCTTAGATGGCGCGTCTGTGGCGGGAAATGCGTCGCGTCTTGTTCCCTGCATATTTACTTAACTCAACGACTGTGTGCTATATTAAAACAGGTCAAATACATTGATTCCATTGCGTCGAATAAATTTACCCCCACTGACAAATTTTCTTCCACCCAGTAAGTAGACAAAAGGACGCACAGTCACACAGACATTTAATATATGAATGGGACCAATTTATACGGCGTACTCCTTGACCACTCCTCCCATTGATTGCCAAACTCCTTCTTCAATATCCTATCTTCCTTGCCCAACCTGCTCACTACCAATGGAGCAACGACAGTCCAATAGGTTGCCCATATTGCAATGCAGGTCCCTCGTAACACCGTTCCGAACGACCCAAAATTTGCCCACCACGAACCTGACTCATTTGCCCACAGAAAATTTCCAATGGCCAACATGATCATGCCAGTATAGCTTGGGTGCCGGACGATGGCGTACGGTCCAACTGTGATCAACTGATGTTCGTGTTTTACGGAGAGCTGGTATGTGAAGAACCGGCCGAGTGCGCGGTAGCACCACAGTCGAAGCAGACCTCCTGCACATATAAATACCCAGCCTGCGAGAAACATTTTCGTTGTCTGCACACCGCTGCCAGTGGACGATGGGAGGAGAAGAGAGAGGACGCTGTCGGAAAGAGTAGAAGGGTACTGTTTCGCGACGATGACAGCGACTTCGGCAAGGGCCTTGGCTAGTGCCATGGGCTGAAGACAGATATATCAAACACCGCGATAAAGACAGTACAAAATGAACAGATTACCCTGGTGCAGTACCTCAGCAGCCAGTTGAAACGTCCACGCGAGATTACATCTGGTTCCTCATACTTCGAAAGCTCCGAAGATTTTGGAGGCGGATTGGGAGGAGTTAACGCAGTGTACGTCAAGAGTGCATTCGATGCGAGGAGGGGTATCTTCAACAGAGGGGTGCTTAGGACTGGGAAGAACATTGACAACACGATGGCCCACCGATGGGGGGACGACCGATGGGATATGGTCGTGGTCTGCGACTCTTCCCCACTGCTTATGTATCTGAACTACCTCCGTTCACATTATCGAAACCAAGTGCACGAACACGCGAGCTAAGGAAGGGAAGCAGGATTAATTTCACCCAGAATCGTCGATCAGACCCTCGATCCCATTCATGAAGACACGCGAGAACACGCGGAGACACGGTGGTTGCAACGTGATGACTTCGCGTAATACTGTATTCCACAGACAGTCCGTGCCGTGTCGACGCGCCGTAGGTCGGTGAACGCCAGTGCTTGACCCACCTTCACTTTCGCCGATGGGTAATTTAACTACAGATAACTGACTCAGCATCATGACTTATTAAGGGACGACACCTACAGCACTTCGCAATTCTTGCATCGTGGCGTTGTCGTATCGGAGATGCATTCATGCCGGTGGTCCCACGACCTTGGCTTCAATGCATCCCCCTCTTCTGACACGCTTGGGAACTGCAGAAGTATATACACCAATAAAATCAGCCGCCAGCGTGCAGGCGACTGCCGGCCGAAACACAGTATCTGTCTCGTCTGTCTCAAGATCCAGGGTGAGAGATAGATTGTCGTAATATTGTGAGGTAATAGAAGAAAGGGTTTGACAGAGGTCCGAGTGTACCTGTGGACCGGTAGATGAGTATCCCGCCCAGGATGAAATATTTGTTCCAAACCGCCTTGAACGGAACAATGAGAAAACACTTGAGAATCGCAGAAACATTTGTGGAAGGTCTAGGAAGATTTTTCAGACTAAAAAAGTATTGTCTTAAATATGCAGAGGCATTATATGAATTCTCGTCACATTTGATAGTTGTAAGTATACCCCGACGGCGAACATACTTGGTTCGTCGAGGCCTGTCGTAGACATTCCTAAGCCCACTAGGGCGAAGGCGGATATCGTATTATAAACATTGTAAGCACATTTTCCCCGGAGGGTTAATTAAGCGTTCAGTAATTATTACATGATTTTGCGGCGCGTCTTCGGCGGGAGACAAACATGGTGGGCCAGAGAGGGCAGTGCCGCGACTGCTAGGAGAACGACGTCAAACATTGCGAGAATACAGACAGACCGTCGCCGAGGAAGGAAGAGAAAGCCGTGCAGGTTGGCGCATAAGCAGCTCTTCTATATCTTCATCAAAGCCCTGATCGGACCATCTCGCGGAAATAAAGAGCAGCGGGGACTACAACATATAAGACGATATTCTCAGATCCTACAAATCTATGGCTGGATGTACGGTCGTCACATCAGATACCGCTGATCGAGCGCAGAACACACGTCGCCAATGTTGAAGAATCTCTGGCCCGGGGGAAAGGGTACCTCGACCAGCTGACTGTAGAAGGCATGACTCAATCAGAAGGAACTTGACGTATACTTATGATCTGAGGTACCTACATCAAGAGATCCATAATTTACTCTTAGAGTTGCACTGTACGACCTTCAGAAGGTCAGAAGGTCGTATTCAATGCATACGTGCAAACTGGAGAACACCTGTCAGCTGGGCGAAGTTCCTCACGCTGTCACATGTCAAGTGTTTGCCTTATCGAGCTTCAAATTCGTTGAAGGCAAGCATGCATTCGAACTTCTAAGCTAGAAGAAACTTGCAGACATTCTCCGAGCGAATCAGCGCCAAATAGAAACACATCGTTCCCAGTAAAACCAATGCTCTATGAAACGCGACGCAGGTGCATGAGTAGTGCATGATACACGAACGCTGTGAAAGTGGTACTCACCCATGTGCAACCACCGATTATAGGTAATCGACCTTGGTCACGACCTCCTCTCCCGCACCCTGGAACTCCGACACTTTGCTATAACCAGCGAGCCCCATGCTGATCTCGAGCTCTGCTAGCACGCTCCGCAGGACCTCCTCCACGCCAGCTTGACCACCCACTGCGAGCCCGAAAAGGATAGGGCGAGCTAAAAGGACTGCTTGCGCACCGAGCGCGAGGGCCTGAAAGATTATGATCATAGGTAAGCATGCTATGATTCACCATCGCACTGACAAGCACACCTTGAAGACATGCGTCCCGTTGCGGATACCCGAGTCGAAAAGTACGGTTAACTTTCCGGATCTTTGCGCTTCGCGGATGCTTGGCGCCTTGCATATGGTCTCGAGAGCGTATATAGATGGAAGTGCCCCGTCGATCTGACGTCCCCCTGTTCAACGAAAGTCAAATAGATCCATATGCAACTCTATGCAGGAGAGCAGGAAGCATACCATGATTAGAAACTACAATCCCATTGGCGCCGACCTCTATCGCTTTCTCCGCATCCTACAAGTATCGTCAAACCTCAGAACGTACAACACAGGCAGGAGAACTTATAACCCACCCGGACGGTCTGTATGCCCTTTAGAACCAGGGGGCCTTTCCAATTATCTCTGATGAATCGAAGGTCCTCCCACGTCCTGCATTCGCCCGAATGAACTTCCTGTACGTACGCGACACCGAGTTTCATGTCGCGCTTGGCGAGCTCATCACCCTCTCGCACACCTTGGTCTATGGCAGCGGCATTGTACGGGAACGCCGGTTGATAGTGGATGGGCTCCAGGCCATGGCGAGCCATGAAGACGGGATCAGACATAAGATTCTGCGCGCCGACTCCATGAATCGCGGGAGCATATGCGCGGGACAGGTCATGTGTTCTCCAACCATTAATGTTTGTGTCGAGTGTGACAACAAGCGCGGAAAATCCGTTAGCCTTGGCGCGCGCAAGGAGCGAGAGAGTAATTTCATCACTGCGAGGCCTGATATGTCCGCCGAAGCATGAGCGGGACAGACAATATGCGAAGTAAGAGGAAGACGTACCAGTACAACTGAAACCAGCGAACGGAGTTCGGTCCATTTGCCTGTGCGACGCTTTCGAGCGATCGAGTGGAGGGAGTGCTGAGCACCATGGGCACATGAAGCTTCCCAGCTGCACGAGCGGTTGCAAGTTCGCCCTCTGGATGTACAAGACCCTGTGCACCCATTGGACTAATGAACAGCGGGCAGGGAAGTTTCACGCCGAAGATGGTCGTCTTTCAACGCCACATATGAGTATGCAAATGTTAGACGATAGCGATGTTGTACCTCGAGGTCCCGCATAGCGGTGTCTATCAGCATCTGGGGAACGATCTTCCACCGCTCAAATGCGCGTATGTTGTCGTTCAAGGTCTGATACGTTCCTGCGCCACTTGAGACATACTGAAACGCAGCTGCATATAAAATGTTGAGTACAGAGGTACATAGGGTAGAAAATACTTACCGACGTCGTCCTTCAGAACTTGACGGGCTTTCTCCTCTAGCTCTGCAAATTTCACCGTGCCCAGCGCTGGTGGAGGAAGTCTACTCGAGTAGAGCTCCCCCGCATAGCCTGACCAACGCTGGGGTACGACTACGACTACGCCAGCTTCAGGGATAGGTGCGGGTTCAGTCATCTTCTCAGACTCGTAGCTCTCTTGCTAGAGAAACGAAGTTAGCAGCGACTGGAGAGGAGCCAACGTATTGGGGGAGTGGGAGTTTTGTCAGGAAAGTCTAATACTTCGGAGAAGGCACAAGGGATGAGGGACCAATATCCAACGGAGAGCCGCTCGCTGTCCTCCTGACATTTATTCTGTGCGTCGGACCGAGGTCAACCCGTGAGTAATGCCCCACGCCATCGCGAAGAAGGTGATTGTTCGCGATAATTATCGCCCAAGTGCACTTTGAAATGATGAGAGGTGACAATGGCGAGCTCAGCGACAACTCACCATGTCGCCGCTGTGCGCCTGTTATGATTCTCTCGAGTCTTGACATACTAAGAGATCGCGCAACCACCCATTAGCAACGCAGATAATCTTCGTCCAATAGTCGTTTGTATGAGTCGAGATCCGCCCTTGAATAACGTTTGTAAACTTTGAAAGGCGGTATATGGATCGAAACATTGACAATAGCGGCAGAAAGCTTCAGGCCTCCCGAAGTGACTCATACGGGAGAGATTGAACGTAATTATTGAACGCGTCCTCCATGAGACTCGATCGCCGATCACATCCACCGTCCGGGCCGCCCGAGTCGTGATCCCTGGTCATCTAGCATGTCCTACGGCCCCGAGCAACTGTACGCGGAGCAGGGAAGTGGTCAGAGAAAACCAGCCTTTACCGCTGATGGAGTCTACTACAAGTGGAACAAAGAACTTGAGGCACGAGTAATCTAATCGACAACCATTTCCAAGATCTCCAAGATCTGCTCCCTCCTTACCAGTGGTACAGGATTAGACTCGCTCCAAATGTCCTGCAGGCTGTTTTCCGCCAGCCCATCCAGCTTGTCCCGGCCCACCCCCACCTCCTTCAGGCTCCTCGGCAAGCCAAGTGAGCGCACGAATGCATCGATCATGTCCCCCAGATCAGCTTCATCCTCCTTCAGTCCGGCCTCCCGCGCCACAACCCGCATGTCGTCCACGCTCCACAATAACGTGAGCACCGCCTTCTGTCGCTCGACATTTGCGCCGTGGGCAGCATTGTATTTGCACACTGCAGGGAGCAGAATGCAGCTTGTTTCGCCATGCCCGACGCCCAGGGGACCCAGCATGTGGCCAATCGCATGAGAACCACCCAGGGGCACGTAATTGCGGAAGACAGCGCCAATGGCATCGATGAGACCTAACTGGCAAGCGAAGCGTGCCTCGATATCGCTTTTGTCGCGTTTGCACCGCAGGATGCCTGGGACAAGTTGGCGCAGGCCATGCTCTGCGTCTGCATCGCTCGATGGGTTCGAGCGGAGTGAGCACAGGACCTCGACGAAGTGATCCACTGCACGGATGCCTGATGAGAGCCAAAGAGAATCTGGCGTCGCCATTGTCAGCCCAGGATCGAGTACCACGAGGGCGGGCCCGCCACGCTTAATCGGAGGGAGGAACTGGTGCTTTTGTAGGTTGCTGTCTTCAGTGGCCCCCGCGGGGTTACTATATTCACCTCCGGAGAGTGAAGTAGGAATGCAAATTAGAGGGATCGTCGGGTCCTTAGTGCCCTCGACAGAAGGGTTCATGCTGGTTGGTAGGCGCCGCAGGTCCTCGGCAACCGCGACGTCGTTGGCCAGTGCCTTCGACGGACAGAGCTTCAGTCCGGATCAAACATTTGAAAAGGAAATTAATACTGACTATTGCGACGAGCTTTGCGCCGTCCGAAAGACTGCCCCCTCCGAGTGTAACGATCAAATCAACCTGAAGCTGCTGACACTCGTTCACGACTTTGATAACTTCGCTCCAGAGCGTATGGCTCTTCATCCCTACCGTCTTGCCAACGACTTTCTCTCCTAGCGCAGCCTCCAATCGTTTCAGCGCATCTGTGTTCCGTGTCAGCGATCCCGACGCCAAGACGTACACACGCGAGCTGTGAAAGGTATCTGCAACATGACGTGCGCAGGCAACCTCGAAAGGTAAGCCATATGATATATGACAGAAATTGCCGAACCGATGGGATGGAACGCGGACGGGATCGAATCCTGGAGGCGGTGGGGGAAAGGCAGGACGATACGTCTCTTCACCGTAGGTGAACTTGGACGTCATGGATCGGTCGGACATTGCAGGAGATGAGATTGAGAACTTGATGAGGGTCTGCTTATCAACATCGCCGCTGAGACGTCGATTCAGTGGTCAACGTTCAACGTTCATGCGCCCGGTTTTGATGGGTTGAGCGGCTGCAGAGATACACGGGAAGGATGCCGAAGGAATCACTGCGGTACCCTGCTTTACCATTGTCCGATCCTTCTGTCAGGTGTGACTTTGACTTACAAAGTTCGTCTTCTGCAAAATCGGCCCCGAAGAATGCGAGGCTGCTGATTGCCCACGACTGCGGTGCGCATAATAATTGCCCAAGCCAATATTCATTCGGTGTTGACATGCCCGTGGGACACTCGAAGTCAACCGGTTATAGCGGTATATCTGTAACACATAAAGATTGCGTGCAAGAGTTAGCACATGTTGATGACTTTAAGATGATGCGGGATGACCCACACCTGCCAGTGCAAACTATTACAGCATTTTGCACGGGGTCCATGACGGAGCGGCCGAGTCAGAGAGTCGGTAGCATACCTCATTACGGCCGAACTCTCACACCGGCGGAGGAAGCAGATGGTTGGACGCACGCGTGAATGAAGGACAGATCTAGACGTTTTCAGGCTAATATTCCGAGGACACAAAGCGACTAACAACTCCTACGCGCACGATAACCAGCCACTACTAAGAACAGGATCAGTCCATGTGTCCGTTACAATTAATACACGAACGGGATGAGTTTGTACGGAGTGACCCTAGACCACTTCTCCCACTGGTCACCGAACTCCTTCTTCAGGGTCCTATCTTCCTTCGACAGCCTGCTCACTCCTGAAACAACAACGATGATCCAGAAGCTCAGCCACAAGACCACACAGGAATTCCGTGCGGTCGCACTGAATCTGTCCAAATTCGACCACCACGAACCAGGGTCGAGAGACCACAAGACTGCGCCGATCATCTGCATAATCCCGCCAGTGTAGCTCGGGTGCCGGACGATGGAATATGGGCCAGCGGTAACGAGTCGATGCTCGTCTTTCACAGAGAGTTCGTATGTGAAGAACCGTCCGAGTGTGCGATAGCACCACCAGCGGACGAGACCGCCCATGCCTATCAACGCCCAGCTTGCGGCGAATGTTTTCGTGACACGCACGCCGCTGCCAGGCGATGGGAGAAGAAGAGACATATGCCCAGAGAGAGAAGGATATTGCTGAGAGAGAGAAGGATATTGCTGGGAGAGAATAACAGCGATCTCAGCCACCGCTGTAATGACCGCCACGGACTTAAACAACCCATGTCAAATATTGCGAGAGACAGATCGTAGAAGGAATACCTTGTTAACGTAGAGCAAGGTATTCAAATTCCCGCGCGATATACTATCTGGTCTGCCATACTTCGACAGTTCTGAGGGTTTAGGAGGCGGATTGGGAGACGTCAAGCCAATGAACATGAAGACTGCATTAGATGCTAACAAGGGTATCTTCAAAAGAGGAGTGCTGAGAAGGGGAACAGAAGTGAGGAACATATCGACTGGCATGTTACACTGACCTGCTCACAGTTTATATACGCAAGCCTTCTCCAGCTTTCTAGCCGTTGCCCTGTTGGGAACGAAGAAGACATGGGAAAGTGGAGATACGCTGGCTCATGTCTTCAAGAAGAATTTTCCTCCGGATCTTTGTTGGCCGAAGAATCCTATTCGCAGTCAATAGAAGAATACCAATGTGACTATGGAAGCGAAAACGGCAAACCCGGCATGCGCTCGATACAATTCGATGGAGAGTTTAGCAGGGGTAGATGTCAGCGGCTTCAGAGCGTGGCGCTGCCGGCTGTCTTCTCGACATGTGAACTGCGGTACCACTGTGGTGTTCACAGCCTAAGTGAGAACCAGCCGCCATGATGCTGCTTAGCAGGATCGTTCTATAAGACGTACCGTTTTCTCTTGCCTTGCACTTTGTGTGAATGAAGTTGGTGGCCACGTGCAAATATGATCTGCAGCTGAAGCATTAAAGCAACTGTTGGAAAAGAGTAATCTTGCGACTACCTGTAAATTGGAAATAATAGATGAGCAACCGATATCCTTATCGAAAAGGAGTCCCTACACGTTACGTTGGCCATGACGCGACCCGTTAACACTTGACACAGAAGGCAAGTCTACTATCAAGTTTCACCACAGGAAGGTAGAAGAAGCGAGCCATTACGTGTGTTGATGCCAAACTGGTGCAGACGTTGAACCTTCTTTGATTGTGGGATACCTCTCCACGCAGGCCACGTCCTACGAGATGCATCATGGGAGTGCGGTGTCCGCGCCCACTGACTAATCGCTTCCTCACGCAGTGATGGGACTAATTACAGAGGAAAGGTTATGAGCAAGTTACAACCCACAAGTACTGACCTCGCTCACAATCTGTGAAAAACTTGCCACTTAGTGCGGGATTCTGAAGCCTGGAGTTTGTATATAACTTGGATCATATTGAGCAAAGAAACGGAATGCTGGATATTCATTGAGGATACGGAAGACAGGCGCGCTCTGTCAAGAGCAATTGCTGGGCACTGGGCAGCTGGTGCCACAGTGGGGCCCCTCACTAGCACTGACGACGGAAAAGCAAAGAAACCGATGTATAAGCGGGACCGAGTCAAATACCGCGAGCATTCCCGTGCGCTACATGATGCGGCAATCAATATCCGTGTCAGGCTGACAGCAGTGAGCACTATGTAGTCAGCTAACGGCGACTTCACGCAAAGACGTTGGTGGTAGCCAGCTAGCACCATGACTGCAGGCTTGAAGTGAAGATGTCGATTGGCGATGCATCTCGGATGGCTCTCTACAAACGGAGGGATGAAGAGCCAGAAGCTGGACAATCATATAGCGATATAGGCGTTCCGTGTCACCGTACCGAAGGAACTGAAGTTCGCGCACCACGAGCCAGGGTCGCCGGCCCACAGGGGGTTGCCAATCGTGAGCATAATGAGATAGGTATAGCACGGATGCCTAGCGCGAGAGCCTGGAAGATTATGATCATAGGTAAGCATGCTATGATTCACCATCGTACTGGCAGTGCACCTGGAAGACATGCGTCCCGTTGCGGATACCCGAGTCGAAAAGTACGGTTAACCTTCCGGATTTTCGTGCTTCGCGGATGCTTGGCGCCTTACATATGGTCTCAAGAACGTATATACATGGAAGTGCCCCGTCGATCTGACGTCCTCCTGTTCAACGAAAGTCAAACAGATCCATGTGCAACTCTATGTAGGAGAGCAGGAAGCATACCATGATTAGAAACTACGATCCCATTGGCGCCGACCTCTATCGCTTTCTCCGCATCCTATAAGTATCGTCAAACCTCAGGACTTACAGCGGCGGAGGTAGGAGAACTTAAAAAGCACACGGACAGTCTGTATGCCTTTTAGAACCAGGGGGGCCCTTCCCAGTTATCTCGGAGGAACCGTATGTCCTCCCACGTCCTGCACTCGCCCGAATGAACTTCCTGTACATACGCGACACCGACTTTCATGTCGCGCCCGGCGAGCTCATCACCGACCCGCACACCTTGCGGGATTGTGCGTGGTTGATAGTGGACGGGCTCCAGGCCGTGGCGAGTCATGAAGACAGGATCAGACATAAGATTCTGCGCGCCGACCCCGTGAATCGCGAGCATATGCGCGGGACAGGTCGTGCGTTCTCCAACCATTCACGTTTGTGTCGAGTGTGACAACAAGCGCGGAAAATTCGTTAACCTTGGCGCGTGCCAGGAGCGAGAGGGTAATTTCATCACCGCGGGGCCTTATATGTCCGCCGAAGCATGAGCGGGACAGTTAATATGCGAAGTAAGAGGAAGACGTACCAGTACAACTGGAACCACCGAACGGAGTTCGGTCCATTTGCCTGTGCGACGCTTTCGAGCGATCGAGTGGAGGGAGTGCTGAGCACCATGGGCACATGAAGCTTCCCAGTTGCACGAGCGGTTGCAAGTTCATCCTCTGGATGCACAAGACCCTGTGCACCCATTTTGGACTAATGAACAGCGGGCAGGGAAGTTTCACGCCGAAGGTGGTCGTCTTTCAACGCCACATATGAGTATGCAAATGTTAGACGATAGCGATGTTGTACCTCGAGGTCTTGAATAGCGGTGTCTATCAGCATCCGGGGAACGATCTTCCACCGCTCAAATGCGCGTATGTTGTCGTTCAAGGTCTGATACGTTCCTGCGCCACTTGAGACATACTGAAACGCAGCTGCATATAAAATGTTGAGTACAGAGGTACATAAGGTAGAAAATACTACTTACCGACGTCGTCCTGCAGAACTTGACAGGCTTTCTCCTCTAGCTCTGCAAATTTCACCGTGCCCAGTGCTGGTGGAGGAAGTCTACTCGAATAGAGCTCCGCCGCGTAGCCTGACCAACGCTGGGGTACGACTACGACTACGCCAGCTTCAGGGATAGGTGCAGGTTCATCTACTCAAACTCGTAGCTCTCTTGCTAGAGAGACGAAGTTAGCAGCGACTAGAGAGGAGGCAATGTATTGGGGGAGTGGGAGTTTTGGAAGGCAAGCCTAATACTTCGGAGAAGGCACAGGGGATGAGAGACGAATATCTCAAGTTTGTCTTCTGCAAAATCGGCCCCGAAGAATCCGAGGCTGCCTACGACTGCGGTGCGCATAATAATTGACCAAGCCAATATTTATTCGGTGTTGACATGCCGTGGGACACTCGAAGTCAATCGGTTGTAGTAGTACATCTGTAAGACAAACAGATTGCGTGCAAGAGTGTTAGCAGATGCTGATAGCTTTAAGATGATGCGAGACGACCCACATCTGTCAGTGCGAACTATTATATCACTTTGGACGGGGTGCACGACGGAGCGGTCGAGTCAGAGAGTGGGAGGCATACCTCGTTACGGTCAAACTCTCACATCTTGCGGAGGAAGCAGATGGTTGGAAGCAGGTGTGAATGAAGGACAGATCGAGATGTTTTCAGGCCTATATTCCGAGGACACAAAGGGACTAACAGCTCGTACACGCACGATAAACAGCCACTACTGAAAACAGGATCAGTCCATGTGTCCGTTACGATCAATAGACGAACGGGATGAGTTTGTACGGAGTGACCCTAGACCACTTCTCCCACTGGTCACCGAACTCCTTCTTCAGGATCCTATCTTCCTTCGACAGCCTGCTCACTGCTAGTCCAGGAATGATGATCCAATAGCTCAGCCACAAGACCACACAGGAATTCCGTGCGGTCGCACTGAATCTGTCCAAATTCGACCACCATGAACCAGGGTCGAGAGACCACAAGACGGCGCCGATGATCTGCATGATCATGCCAGTGTAACTCGGGTGCCGGACGATGGAATACGGCCCAACTGTAACCAGTCGATGTTCCTCCTTCACAGAGAGCTCGTATGTGAAGAACCGTCCGAGTGTGCGATAGCACCACCAGCGGACGAGACCGCCCATGCCTATCAACGCCCAGCTTGCGACAAATGTTTTCGTGACGCGCAAGCCGCTGCTAGGCGACGGGAGAAGGAGAGATATATGCTCGGAGAGAGAAGGATATTCCTGGGCGAGAATCACAGCGATCTCAGCCGCTGCTGTAATGACCGCAACGGACTTGAACAATCCATGTCAAATATTGCGAGAGACAGATCGTAGAAGGAATACCTTTATAATGTGGATCAAGGCATTGAAATTCCCGCGCGATATACTATCTGGTCTGTCATACTTCGACAGTTCCGAGGGTTTAGGAGGTGGATTGGGAGACGTCAAGCCAATGAACATGAAGACTGCATTAGATGCTAACAAGGGTATCTTCAAAAGAGGAGTGCTGAGAAGGGGAACAGAAGTGAGGAACATATCGACCGGAATGTTACACTGACCTGCTCACGGTTTATATACGCAAGCCTTCTCCAGCTTTTTAGTTTGGAACGAAGGAGACATGGGAAAGTGGAGATACGCTGGCTGATGTCTTCAAGAAGAATTTTCCTCCGGATCTTTGTTCGCCGCAGAATCCTATTCGCAGTCAATAGAAGAACACCAATGTGACCATGGAAGCGAAAACGGCAAACCCGGCATGCGCTCGATACAATTCGATGGAGAGTTTAGCAGGGGTAGATGTCAGCGGCTTCAGAGCGCGTTGCATGCCGGCTGTTTTCTCGACATGTGAACTACGGTACGACTGTGGTGTTCACAGCCTAAGTGAGAACCAGCCGCCGTAGCGCTGCTTACGCAGGATCGCTCTATAGGACGCACCGTCTTCTATTGCCTTGCATTTTGCTTGAAGGAAGTTGGTGCCTACGTAGGAATGTTATCTGCAGCTGAAGCGTTAAAGCAACTGTTGAAAAAGAAGAAGCTTGCGACTACCTGTAACTTGGAATTAGATGAGCAACCGATATCCTTATCGGAAAGGAATCCCACACGTACGTTGGCCATGACGCGACCCATTAATACAAAAGGCAAGTCCACTATCATGTATCACCACAGGAAGGTACAAGAAGGGAGCCATTACGTGTGTTGATGCCAAACTGGTGCTGACGTCGAATCTTCTTCAATTGCGGGATACTTCTCCACGAAGGCCACGTCTTACGAGATGCATCATGGGAGTGCGGTGTCCGCGACCAGTGACTAATCGCTTCCTCATGCAGTGATGGGACTAATTACAGAGGAAAGGTTATGAGCTAGTTACAACTCCGAATCCACAAGTATTGACGTCGCTCACAATCTGTGAAAACTTGCGACTTAGCGCGGGATCCTGGACAAGAGGTTACATGTTTATAACTTGGATCATATTGAGCAAAGAAACACAATGCGACAATGCTGGCGATTCACTGAGCATAAGGAAGACAGGCTCTCTATGGCAAAAGTCTGGTAGAGAGATCCACGAGGAGCAATATGCCCATGGCATGTAATCACTCTGCCAGGACAAGCGACTTGATATGCGCGACGAGGAGAGCGATTCAGACCTCCAAAGTTCCGACGTCGGTGTGCAGGATCCCCAGACAAGTGGAGAGGTTTATCCAAAAAGCTCACTACGTCGTGCACGGTGACCGCTGACAAGCAGACCGTCGGACGATGAGGCCGAAAACGACGCGTCGAAGCGATCACGTGCCTGCCGCAGTGTGACGTGACGTGACTGTGATTCTAGAGACTTCGACGAATTTTCTTCAAGGGACTTCGTCACCAGCGACCTCCTCGTTCACCGAGTTTGCTCTTCTCGTCTTTCTCGCCGTCAAAATGCACTCGCTCTCGCACTCGTCTTCCTCTGTGCTCCGCCGCGCCGCCATTAAAGCTGCAAAGCCTGCTCTTGCTCGCGGGGCTCACAAGGATATCAAGTTCTCGAATGAGGGGCGCGCCAGCATTTTGACTGGTGTTGACACTCTCGCCAACGCTGTGAGCGTCACCCTTGGCCCAAAGGGTGAGCTCAATGAATTTTGATCTTCTCGCGTTGCTGACACGCCTATTCAGGTCGCAACGTCATCATCGAGCAGGCGTTCGGTGGTCCCAAAATCACGAAAGGTATGTTACGATAGTCTTATTCGTATAGCGTCTTAAAATAGTTATATGCAGACGGCGTCACTGTTGCTAAGTCTATCGTTCTCAAGGACAAGTTCGAGAACCTTGGTGCTCGGTGAGTCTGCCCAGATAAGATATATGAGCAATACTTATTTCTACGATAGTCTTGTTCAGGACGTCGCGCAGAAGACGAACGAGATTGCCGGTGACGGTACGACGACTGCCACTGTGCTTGCGCGGGCAATTTACGCCGAGGGTGTGAAAAACGTCGCTGCCGGTTGCAACCCTATGGACCTACGCCGCGGTTCGCAAGCTGCAGTTGACCGCGTCGTCGAGTTCCTCGCTGCGCACACCAAGACCATCACGACATCCGCTGAGATTGCTCAGGTTGCAACAATTTCTGCGAACGGCGATACGCACGTCGGCAACCTGATCGCACAGGCCATGGAGAAGGTCGGCAAGGAGGGTGTCATCACTGTCAAGGAGGGCCGGACGATCGAGGACGAGATCGAGATCACAGAGGGCATGCGCTTCGACCGTGGCTTCATCAGTCCATACTTCATCACGGACGTGAAGTCTCAGAGGGTTGAGTTCGAGAAGCCGTTGGTGCTCTTGTGCGAGAAGAAGATCAGCGCGTTGCAGGACATTATTCCGACGCTGGAGGCAGCTGCCCAGGCACGGCGGCCCCTGTTGATCGTCGCGGAGGATATTGACGGGGAGGCTTTGGCTGCGTGTGTCGTCAACAAGCTGCGTGGTCAGCTCCAGGTATGCGCAGTTAAGGCGCCCGGCTTCGGTGACAACCGCAAGTCGATTTTGGGTGACCTTGCGATTCTCACTGGCGGTACGGTGTTCACGGACGATTTGGACATCAAACTCGATCGTATGACACCCGACATGCTGGGCTCAACCGGCTCTGTGACCATCACCAAGGAGGACACCATCCTCCTCAACGGCGAAGGTTCCAAGGACTCGATCCAGGCGCGTTGCGAGCAGATTCGCAGTCTGATCAATGACCGTACTACCAGCGACTTCGACCGTACTAAGCTGCAGGAGCGTCTTGCCAAGCTCAGTGGAGGTGTTGCGGTCATCAAGGTTGGCGGCAGCAGCGAGGTCGAGGTCAGCGAGAAGAAGGATCGCTACGACGACGCTTTGAACGCGACTCGTGCTGCGGTGGAGGAGGGTATTCTGCCCGGTGGTGGCGTTGCATTGCTCAAGGCATCGCTCTCGCTCGCAACCAGCTCACCTGGTTCTTCGAACCCTCTGCCTACAGCTGATCTCAAGGCTGTACCGACGGCGAACTTTGACCAAGACCTCGGTGTGTCGATTATCCGCCGGGCACTCACGACGCCAGCGCGAACGATTCTGTCTAACGCAGGCGAGGAGGCATCGGTCATCGTCGGCACTCTGATCGCCAACTATGGCTCGCCCGACAAGTTCGGCTGGGGTTACGATGCGAGCAAGGGCGAATACGTGGACATGATCAAGGCTGGTATTGTTGACCCTCTGAAGGTTGTACGGACGGCCCTGGTTGATGCTGCTGGTGTTGCGAGTCTGTTGACTACAAGCGAGGCGTGTGTGGTCGAGGTGGAGGAGCCGAAGCCGGCTGCCCCTGGCATGGGTGGTATGGGTGGTATGGGCGGCATGGGAGGCTTCTGAGCGCGTGCTTAGGGATCGGAGACGACATTCGAAAAAGTAATACGTTTGATCTAGTCTGCTCGTTGCTTATCTACCCCACTGCGCCCATTATCGTATCTTTACGCTCAAGTTATTGTTCTGCTACATTATCATGACTTGCAATGCATCTCCACTCACTCCATTCTTACTGGCTGGATAATTACTACAAGTCGAACCATGGATGGAAGACGTAGACAAGACACCTCTCGATCTTCTCCACCAGATTATTGTGGCTAGCGTGGTGGCACGATTTCTGCCTAAGATAAAAGCCAGCGGTCGTCTGTCGTGCATAGACATCGCCTTCACAGCGCCATATCACTCGATACCAACCATGGCAAGCTCACAACCCAACGCAAAGGCGCTCAAGCGGCAGAAATTCGAGGCCGTCTTCCCCGTCATCCGCGATGAGCTCGTCGAGCACCTCACCTCGCAGGGCATGCCTCTGGACGCCAAGGAGTGGTACAAAAAGGCGCGTGTCTTCACGTTTTCACTAAACGAGTTGCCGATAGACCGTTGGCGGAATCTTAGCTCAGAGGCGGAACAGGCAGCGCCAGAGCGCGCGATTTACGCCTGGGCCGAGTGAAGTGTCGAGCTTTGGCACTCGCCGCATCCTGTTGATGACATTGCGGACGTTATCTACAAGGATTTCGCCGGATCCTCCTGTAGCGGGGCTGTCTATCAAATATTCATCTTGCTGTCGATTTGCTACACCTTGGCATGCTCGCTGACGCCCTTCCACCAGAACTTGGACTACAATGTTCCCGGCGGCAAGCTCAATCGCGGAATGTCCGTGGTGGACACCGTCGAGATCCTCAAGGGCAGGACGCTGACGGAAGACGAGTATTTCAAGGCGGCCATCCTCGGGTGGTGCGTTGAGTTCGTACGTCCCATTACCCCCGTTCCCCCTGGCACGGGAGACTAACGGGCAGGCAGCTGCAAGCGTTCTTCCTCGTCTCGGACGATATGATGGATCAGTCGATCACCCGCCGCGGTCAGCCGTGCTACTACCGGCTGGAGCGCGTGAACTACATCGCGATCAACGACTCGTTCATGCTTGAGGCGGCGATATTCTACCTGATTAAGGCGCATTTCCGCGGGCAGCCGTACTACGTGCACCTGGTCGAGATCTTCCATGAGGTGAGCGGCAACAGCGTTGGTGTCTATTTGCGTGTTGAGGACCGGTTCGCCAGACGACGTTCCAGACGGAGATAGGCCAGATGATCGACCTGATCACGGCGCCAGAGGGCCACGTCGATCTGAGCAAGTTTTCGCTCGAAAAGTGGGTCTTCGTATTTCCTCTGTATTCTTCTGCATGTACCGACACCGGTTCGCAGACACCGGCTGATCGTGATTCACAAGACTGCATACTACTCGTTTTACCTGCCGGTCGCGCTGGCGATGTACATGTGTGGTATCGCGCACACGGCGGAGGATGACCCGTATGCGCTCGCACAGTCGATCCTGATCCCCCTTGGGGAGTACTTCCAGGTGCAGGACGACTTCCTGGACTTCGCGGGCACCCCAGAGCAGATCGGGAAGATCGGGACGGACATCATCGACAACAAGTGCTCGTGGTGCGTGAACACCGCGCTCGCGCTCGCGACGCCCGAGCAACGGAAGCTGCTCGACGAGAACTACGGCCGCAAGGATGCCGCTTGCGAGGCGCGCATCAAGGCCCTGTATGAGGAGCTGGGCGTCCGGAGGCGCTATGCGGACTACGAGGAGGATTCGTACACGCGCATTATGTCCTTGGTTGAGAAAATTCCTGAGACGGATGCGCGGGATGGTCAGGTCACACTCAAGCGTGAGGTCTTCGAGGCGTTTTTGGGCAAAATCTACAAGAGGCAGAAGTGAAGGCAGGTGGCGGAACATTGAGGATCTGTCTATATTTGTTGATTCGTAGTAATGTTTAGAATAGATCGTAGTCAAACTGGTGTTGGTACAGCTGTGACTGCTCCAGCCGCTCTGGCTGTTCTGCCGGTGGACCATCTCTCACTGTCACTTCATGGGCATATGCCCTGCTGATGCGCCTTTCCTCCACTTATTGATCAGCTAGATCCCCAATGGGAAGTTACCGTTTCCGGTCGATTCTGGATGACCATCTTTCGGCGAAGTGAGCAGACATACAGTACACAGGCAACGCTCACACTGGATTCAGTACTTTGGCATTCGCCGCAGCGACTCTTCTCGGCGGTCATGCCTTCTTGGAAACCCCCACCTTCCAATGCAGGCTGAGGTGCACTCGATCATGAATCTCCGGCAAATTCAAAGGCAGTGTCGGCCTGAATAACTCTGCTTTTGGAGTCGCGTACAAAGACAGCGCCCGTCACGGTCTTCAGGTAATTATTGTCTCTATTCTTGTTGTAAGGAAGCAGGTCCTATTGCATCCTGAATGGACGTCCTCCCTTTGTAATTGTGCACTATTGCTGGATCGTTGGGTCTAAGGTCAGTCTCAATTATGTTTCATCGGTACCCCGGTCAGAAGTCGCTTGACGCTTTCCTGCTTGACATCAGTTCTTCGGGAAAAGCGTTGACCTGTACCATCTATTTATCGTCCACTCGAGCTCAGCACGCTTTATGCGCACTATGATGTAATAAGTGCCACTCAGTTGGCTTTTATTTCGCAGTGGTGCGATTTGCTTGTCAGCACGAAAATCAGCATGCGTCCCACTCCGTCGTGCGACCACATTAAAACCTTTCCGTCGAGTAATGCAAGGCACGGCCATCGGGTATTCCATTTGAATTTCGTAAAGACTACAACAACGCGTCATTGGAGAATAGGTGATGAATATTTGAGCCATCATACGCCGTGTTTTCGATGTTTGCTCTGGTCCTCAGCACTACTTTGCTCAAGATACCCCCTCTCCCATCGAGTGCGCTCTTCACGAGCACCATGCGGACCCCTTCCAAACCGTCTTCTAAAGCCTCGGAGCTTTCAGAGTACGAGAAACCGGATAGGATCTCGGGTGGGGATTTCCATGACCTTGTTGTCTACATTACGAAGGCAAGATTTTCGTGGTAGGTTCTAGTTACGAATATTGATCGAACAATTGTTGTTAGCCCATGATCTTCGCCAAAGCACTGGCTGAAAAAGCCGTCATCCTCGCCAAGAAGCACCTCTTACCTGTCTCTCAGCACATACTTTCGTCTTCGCGCCCATCTTCTACTGGTACCGGCGTGCGCATTACGTACTTTGGTCGCAGGTTGGACGTTGATGTGCGCGGGCGGTCTCCTGCGCATATGGTGTCAACGTGCACTCGGCCGTTTCTTCCCGTGAGAGCTCCGTGAAGGAGGGTCATCGGCTCATCACCGTCGGGCCATATGCCCTCGTGCCGCATCTGAGCTATACCTGTCTCACCATGCTCACGATTAGCAACTTCCTGTAGGCCTATAACCCTAGCCCGTAGTGCGCGAACTGCGGTTCCTTCGGTACGGTGGCACGGAACGCCTGTATCGCTATATTGGCCGGCTATTGGGTCTTCATCCCTTGGTGGTGAGCCATCCGAGATGCATCACCAATTGACATTTTCGCTTTAAGCCTGCAGTCATGGTGGTGCCAGCTTGCTACCACCAACGTCTTTGCGTGAAGTCACCGTTGGCTGACGACATACTGCTCACTGCCGTCAGCCTGACATGGATATCGACTGCCGATGATGTAGCTCACGCGGGTGCGCTCGGAATTTGACTCGGTCCCACAAATATATCAGTTTCTTCACTTTTCCGTCGTCAGTAAGGAGCCCTGCGGCACCAGCTCTGCCCAGTACTACCCAGTAAGCCTGAGTGTGGATATGCAACCACCTATGCACGTGACCGTGAAATCAACGCGTCTGTGGCGGCAACCTCACTCTTCAGTACTTAATTTGTACGGGTGTAACTTGATTACAAGGTCTTTACAAGTAAACAGGGTACTTATCTAAGTATCAAATAGTATCCTCTGCATATCGTCCATGATAGTTAGTTAATAGTCATCAGTCCAAACCTAGCAAATGAATCGTCACAGGATAGCAACTGTCCAGGTTGTATGAAGGGTAGTAGGAAGTACTGTTTGAAGATGGACTGTGTACAACTTCCGTCCAGCCTTCCTCGTTGATACACAGATAGAAGTTGTTAGCGTCAGTGTTGATGGCGAGCTGCGGGTACGGGTTTCCACCTCCAGCTGGGTCAATGTTGGCCTGACAAGCAAATTACTGAGCCAGAATAAGACGTCACAAGCAGTAGAATACTTACGATAGCGCAGTAGATTTGGGCGGGGGGGTCAAGCTCATCGGACTCAGGTGACCACTGGAAAGTGGGTATGTCATTTCCCAGCTCCCCTCCGACGTCAGTGGTATACCAATCCGCGTAGTAATTCGGAAGAAGAGCGCCACTTGTTAAGCCAAAACTCGGGAAGTCATTGTACGGGTACGAAACATATGTCTATAAAGACATCAGTCAATCATCACAACTTGACGAGAATGTAGGGTTGACGCACTGCAAGGATCCCAGTGTCGAGGGGCCCGAGTTGAGTGGTCGCCACAACGAGAGGCAGCCCGATTTGTGTGAAGGGAGGCAATGTGGTGTCAGTGATATTGTACGCGGTGAGCGTGAAGTTGGTCGCAGTATCGAATGCACCCGGCCCAAGGCCCTCACACCAGGCAGGAGTTGTCTGGCGGGGATGGATGAAGGGTAGACATTGCGTTGCGGAAACCAAAGCCAGGAGGACAATTGCGAGTGAGCTCATGTCGTAGCTGTGGGCACAAGACAAGACGACTGCGGTCCATCGAGTTTCGAATGTTGAGTATTTATGTCAGAGCCTGTCCTTACGGAGACGTATTCGGGGGAAGGGAATTGGAGAGCGGGCTACGTGCCCGAACACGGTCGAGGCACTGCATGCCTATCAAAACCCGCTCTACGACCATACTGGCACTTGTAATCACTGGTGGCGAGGGCATGCCGACGTATCATAGATCGCCCTGGTCAAGACAATCCAGTCGGGGAAGGAAGCAGAAGTTGAGAACCCTTTCCGGAGCAGCGCTAATAGAGCGCTCCGTCCCAATTCAGATTCGGCGAAAGACAACTGCGGGTTTCAGCAAATATTAAATGTACGTACAGACGCTAACCATACGTCAGCGCTGTCGAAATGCGCAGAAATGCTCATTCCCGGGATGCGCTTGCAGGAGTTCTTCACCAGGTCGCAATTCGCCGGTCAGAGCTGTGACGAGGTCCAGATATTCTGGGCCTACTAGAAGCAGCAACCTCCCGCGAAGTCGAACTTTCTCAGCTGGAACGATATGGCCGCGCAGTCTTCCGGAGAAGTCCTGTTCTGTATGTGCATGTGTTGTGCACCCTGTGCAAGCGTGGTCCGCAGAAGTCACTTCTATCCGGCCGGAACCATGATACCATGACGGCATCTGGAGAGTGTCATCATGGCGGCTTCGAGAAGGAGATTTGTGACATTGACAGAAGAAAAAATTTCACCCACTGTGAGAGCAAGAACTGTGTCTCGCGATGACCCTTTCAAAAGCTGGATGGTATGCATCTTCAAAATGCTACTGCAATACTTACGTTGAGAGGCTTACTGGGAGTTTCGGACATGCCTTTACCTTTGTTCCCGCAAGAAAAGACAGCTACCACTCGCATTTGGCGAGTCCACTGCTCGTGCTGATGATCTGCACCAAAAGCCTAGGCTATCTGTCAGATTTGCCAGTGTGCATCCACCGCTGGGGAAGATCGAAGTCGGTCACAACTGACATGATGTACTGAAGAGTCCGGCTGAGATAAACACCTGGAGTATTCCACCTAGGCCAGAATATTAATGCTGTCTGAGAGCGCGAGTGGTTTACCGGATTTTTCTCTGTGAAACGCGTGGCACGTGGTTGCGCGACGCGCTTGTGGCGTTTGTTCGCGAGTCCCCACAACCACTCGGATTATCTCTTGAATTCGGCGGGATTCGAAGTTGCTGCAACCTTTCGATCATACGGAAAGATTACTTTTTAGAGATCAGGTTAAACAAGCCAGTGACTACCTTCTTGTTTATATGCAGCGAGATCTGGCTCAGTACACTACATGTATGACGACGGAGTAGCAAGTGCTGTAGACGTAGAGACCGTCATTATCCTCCGTCGCATTATAGACCACATTGATCAGTGGGCTAGCTCCTTCTGGCATCGCGACCAGGCTCTGGCACAGTGAGAAATGGCTGATCGCGCCATTTACAGCAAGCATCGCTGTGTCCGCCAGACCAGCCGGAGAGAAGTTCTGCTATGAGAATCGGACATTAGTTTGCACGGCTTTGAGTGCATGCGAAATACGAATGAGCATGACATACAACAATACAATAGATCGGAGCAGGAGGCGGCAGCTCGGAGGCACTGTTAGAAAACTCGAACTCGAGCTCCGCGCCAGAGGCGACACTCAGATCGGTCGAATACCCAATGTTCGCCGCACCGTTTCTGGGAAGCAGGGCGTTTTTGACGAGCGACAATTCTGGGAATGGGGCTTGTCGATATGAACTATATGTCTACGTGCATAACTTAGTCCTTGATCACTCCAATATCATGGAAGAGAATCATACAGAGAGCATTCCATGAGATGGTCCGACAGTCACCTCCGTGACGCCAGTGCGACTGACGACAAGCGGAATACCAGTGTCGTTCGCATTGTCTCCATTCGGGTTGTAGGCGGCGAGAGTGAAAGAGGCCGCGTTCGAGGATACTCCATGCCCAAGGCCGCCGCAAGCATCGGCGGATTGTCGTGCTTTTAACGATATCGCAGAGATCGAGGAAATTGCCAAAATGACGAGGGCGAGAGTGGAAAGCATGATAAGTGAGAAGTACTATGTGCAGTCGGGGTAGCGAACAACGCGAACCTGACCTTCCGCTTGCACTCCGTATATATATCTTGACGGCTGTTAAATCGTGATGCATTGATGTCTCGCGGGATCGACGACCGCGGGCGAAACTGCAATTCGGTAACTGCACTATCATGCGCGAATACGTACCTCCGAACAAGCCCAGGTGTAGTATGGCTGGCAAGCCTGACAGCAGTGTCAACACAACGCCTGGTTAGGGATTGCGCACGACCGCGACCTACGATGCCTCCGGCGGCGCAGACATGCTGATGCGCCAGAGAGCTTTCAAGCCACCTGCACCGTCTGCGGGTTGCTATGCGCAGGATCATAGAGACCGACGCCACTGTTGGGCCATCGAAGTGGGCCTCTTCGACTACTGAGTCACATCTGTGAGCAACGATTCGAGACCATGATACTCACGTTGTCCGTTATTGGCACTAAGAGGACGCCACTCATCTTCTCACACGACTTGTACAGTCGTGGCGCGCACATGTATATAATAGCATCGCTCGTCCTCTGCGGCACAGACAGTGCAGCAAACTCTCCGATCGTCCGCAGCGAGACCACAGCATGACTCATGCTCATTGCAGTAGCAATATTTGCAACAAGACGAACAGCATTAGAGTTGAGTCCCCATTGTCAATGTATTGCAAACCGGACAAAAGCAAACACGAGTCATGGTGCAAGCCGAAGACGCATTGGGAACGCAAGGCTCATGTCATCTGGCTGTGATAAAAGAGGAAAGAAAGATCAGCATTCCCTGAGGATCAGCGATGAAGGTCTACGAACGTATCACCAGCAGTTGAAAACTTGCACGACGGATCGTCCGAAGCTGTGGCGCAGGCCCGGACCGAGCTTCGAAAGTCCGCGCCTCGTTCAGTGCTGCGCCGTTACGTCGTGCCGAGGCTGGCATGGCGGCACTGATAAAGGTAACCGCTGCCCCGTATAGACTCAGTGGCGGAGGCCTTTCAACTTCTCTCACAACCACTACCATCCATCGAATGGTACCTACTCTCTTGCGGTATCGCTCTTCCAGATTCTTCTTGACGCTAGCCTCGGCCTTATTGCAATATGTTCCCTTTCCCTCGAGTTCTAGCTTCGTGTCGTCAGGTGGCGCCCTCGCTCGGAGGAGTGACCTTGACAGGCACAGCCCAGAATTCATCGTATTCGCCTGCCTCATTCCCATTCTCGTCCTTCTTTCGGGTTTGTTTGCCGGTCTAACACTAGGGTACATGAGTCTCGACGAGACTCAATTGCATGTTTTAAGTATAAGCGGTACTCCGTGAGTGGCTCTTTCTGTTTTGACCCATTGGCCTGGGCTCACTTGTTCACAGACAGCAGAAGGAGTACGCTAACAAGATCAAGCCAATTCGAAAAGATGGCCATTTGCTTCTTGTCACGCTGCTTTTAGCGAACATGATCACGAATGAGACACTTCCAGTCATTGCTGACCCTGTGCTCGGAGGTGGCGTACAGAGCGTCGTCGTCAGTACCGTTCTGATTGTGATGTAAGTCTGCCAAACAACTGTCACACGAGGTTGTATCCGTTTTGACGCGCTCGACGCGTCGTACATGGCTCCGGTGATCGACGTCCCACGTGATAATGAACACTATGATTAACAATGAACATTGTTCACGCTGTACAGATTCTCGGAGATTATCCCCCAATCTCTTTGCACACGCTACGGGCTTTACTATGGCGCAAAGATGGCTGGCTTCGTGCGCGTCCTTATTTGGGTTCTGGTATGCTTGCCTTACCTCGACAAATTGTTTTTCGCTGGTGCTGACGGCAGTTTCATCCACTTTCAGGGTATTGTTGCATATCCCGTTGCAAAATTACTTGAATTCGTTCTAGGACCCCATCATGGTATTATCTACCGGCGCGCAGAGCTCAAGGAGCTGATAGCCATGCATTCGAAGGCGGGCGAACTGGGTGGTGACCTGAAGTCAGACACTGTCACCATTATCGGAGGCGCGTTGGATTTGCAGGAGAAGGTACCGAGCATCGTTTCTCGCCTGAATTACTTGTCCTAATCTAGGTGTAGGTGGTGAAGCAAGCAATGACGCCGATCAAGGATGTATTCATGCTCAGTATCGATGCCAAGCTTGACTATGAGATGCTGCGCAAGATATGTTTGACAGGTCACTCCCGTGTACCCGTGTACGAGGAGGTGGAGATGCCTGCTCCGCATATTGTTGGAAATGTGCGTCATAGCCCCTTGTTTGCGTCTCTGTCAATTAACTCCGGTGGCATGTAGGAATTCAGTGACGTATTCGTAGATGAGGCTGTTCTAAGCAATATCACCCCCGGGTCTTCAGAGATGATCAGGGTGAAGAAGATCATTGGTATCTTACTGGTCAAACAGGTATTACACTCCCTATCTGCATGTGGGCTGGAGAGATGCTAACATCAGATGATACTTTTAGTGTGTTCTATTAGATCCCAAAGGTATGGGTCACAGTTATCTATACCACACGGCTCTCGCTCATTTTGTCTTGTCAGACGCCACTCCGCTCCGTAAGATACCCTTGAACAAAGTGCCGTTTGTACCCAATAACGAGCCGCTGCTCGGGATCCTTGACAAGTTTCAGGAAGGGCGTTCCCATATGGCAATTGTAAGCCGTTTCAGCGTGGAACGCGCCGCGAGTGTCAAGCAGGCAGTGAAGCGTGGGCTCACACAACGCCTGCTGGATCGCGTGGGCATGGGTGACAGCGACTCGTCCTCAAGCTCGGACGACGATTCCGACGATGGATCTACCGTTGCGACCGGACGTCCTCGACGCAAGCGGGACAGACTCAGGAACATGAAGAAGAAGAAATCGTCTGCAGAAGATAGCAGTGGCAATGACGAGACCCTGAAGGAAGACAGTACCAAGGCAAACAGCGATAACGATACCCATACTGCGAGTAGTCCCACCCGTATACGGGTGCGAGGAAGAAAAAAGAGGAAAGCCCAACGAACGCCTGATCTTGAGATGGGCATAGTTGAGGGTGACAGTGGCTCTAATAATAGAAAGCCCAGTGTGACACTCCCGAAGGTGGTCGGGTTCTGGGGTCGCGAGCAGAGCATGCCTGCAGACGCTGTTTTGGCAAAGGACAGCGCTAAGGAGGTTGGTCCTTCCTTCCTTGAAGCTCGGTTGACCACTGATGATAACCTTGTATAGTTCTTGCAAAGTGTCGACCCTGCTGTTATGCCCCTCGGTATTATCACTTTGGAAGACGTTTTAGAAGGTACGTTCAAGCGTGTTCCATATGATACCTCTCTGATTTGTTGCAGAACTTATTGGCGAGGAGATCTACGATGAGTTCGATCCTCAAGGGCACCCTGATCTCTCGTCCTACGCCCAGACTGAAGCCAAAGTTGCGCGTTCTTTGCAGCGCAGACGCTCCGATTCTCAGCTCCCCACGATGCCCGGAGAACCTGTGGCTGCCCTTGGTTCTGATCTAAAGAACGAGATGGACGGTTCGAAATCCCTTATTTCGCTGACCGCCATGAAGCCGATGGGTACTTTAAGAGCGCTCAATCTCAAAGGGTTAAGTTTCACGCGGTCAAGAAGTGCCCCGCCTTCGCCTAGAGAGCAAACGCACCAGAAAGGCGAAGGGCGCTATACACCTGCAACCGTACTTGAGGACACTGTGTCGGTTGTGGAAGGCTCTCCAGATATCGACCTCTCTGACGACGGCACGATCTTCTCCTCTCCGTATGTTGGCGCAGAGGTTGCTGTAGCTTCTCATGAAAGGCAGGACCTGCCGTCCATTACGGTAACGTCTCCTTCGGGCTCAGGTCTCCCTAGCAGTTCTCCACGCTCGAAGACCGTGCAGAACTTCATCTCCCCTGGTGCGGTCGTGCCACAGTCCGTCAACGTTACGGCACCTCGCAGTTCGTCGCCGTCGCTTGAGCAGGCTATCCTTATCGAGCGGATGCGCCGTGCCGCGGCGGGCGTATCTCAAGCTGGACCGAAAGGAGCTCGTTTCAAGAGCAGTCCACTGAGTGGGGAGAGAAGCGGGGTCATTCCCGCTGAGACGGTGAGGCGCAACCTGAGTACCGCAAGTGAGGAAGTTGGGTCTGAGGATGGTCGGACTTATGAGGATAGTGATGGGAGCGCGTCGTGTAACGGCCGAGAAGGATAAAAAGGGACAGGACAAGGAATGAGTGGAGGGAGTGCAATTTTATGTTGGCGAATGTCACTAACCGAGGTTTCATACCTGCTGAACTTGTGTAATCCACAGTGCAGCGATAGACTGTAACACCTGGATAGATCTCCCTTCTGAGATGTGTGTATACGTACATGTACGTTGTGGCTCGTGGTGTCTACAAAGTTATGTCGAATTGCTTTCACCCAATTATCTGCATGGTGTCGAAAACATCTTTTGTTGCCGCTGGCGACCTTACTCAAGTACTCACCTTCCAAATGACGCTTAACGAGCGCTCAGTTGACGAGCGCCTCAGACATCATGCCATTACTTGAAAATTACGCTTGAACTAGCCTACATTTTCCACGAGGGCCACCATGTCTCCTGTACGACTCCCTTCAACTGTTTTAGACATTTGCAGGTCACTTAGGCATCGCCGTGCTCTCTCATCGCGACATCCGGCGCGTGGCGATCATCAAGTCGCACAGGACCATGAACTCAAACTGCCGAAAATCGGCTCACTGGTCATCGTGTTATCGGCCAGCGCGCTCCTTCAGGTGGACCAGTAATTCAATCTACAGTCTATTATGAAAGTGACGAGGCAAAACAGGTTTCTTTCTTCATCATCGTTTCTTCGTCCAATGAATATGCTCAGCATCTGGGCGGAACTTCGACATTCTCTGGTCTTGTCATAGGCATTCCAACGGTTTTCTCTGGATTAGCGCTCCTACCTCTTATGAAGGTTGACCAAGGTTTGCTCCTTCCGTGTTCGGAGTGGATAAATTGTTTAATGGACTGCTATACCAGGTCGATACAAACGTCCACTCCATTTCGCATGCGGATCTGCCATGATTGGGAGCATCCTGTATAGCCTGGCATATAAGGCGAACTTCCTGTATTTGATTCTTATCGGACGGATTGTCTCCGGCTTCGGGTTCACCTTCTGGATGTACTCGAAACGTTACTGTTCGGATCCCCGTATAGTCGGCATCCGTAGAAGAACCACTTTGGCAGGTTGGCTAGTCCTTGGCCAGGGCGCAGGCTTCAGTATCGGACCGTTCATCGGTGGTCTGTTGTATGTTATTCTTAACTTAGTCGCATGTCGTCGACTGACCGATTAAGGACAGGTACCGAGTTGGTTTTTCTAACTCAGTGTTCAATGGCTACACTAGTCCGACTTGGATCATGGCCATTATATGGGCTGTATTTTGGGCCGTAGCTGCAGTTGTGTACGAGGACGTCCCGATCACACCATCAGCACCTTCAGCTATCGAACTTGCACCGGTTTTGACGAATTTGCAACCCGGTGTTGGAGTTTCCGGCTCAGCAGACCTTCAACAAGACACAGGGCCTTCGGTGAAGCAAGAAGAAGAGATTACGGTTGTATTTGCTCCCACGACCGAGCTAGAGACGATCCCCCTTCAGACAGAGGAACCGCGTGTCCGCATGAGCTTGCCGCAGTGGGGTGTGACCGCTACCATGTGCTGGTTCGCGATGACATGCTTCTTCATCCTGGGTGCTTGGGAGGCCAACATCCCCGTCTTCACCGCGATGCATTCGGCTCTATCTCCCTTCCAGTTCTCCCCTTATGCCGCTGGAAACCTGATCGCCCTGGGCGGTATCTGCACTATTCCCTTCCTGTTGCTAAATGTCTTCTTCGCGCGCCGCGTGCAGGACCGTCACACGCTGGCGATAGGCACCTCACTGGGGCTTGTCGGGCTCATCATCACCATCGCGATTTTCTCCACGCGGAAAGTGAACTACGGCAGTCTCTTCGTGTGCTGGTTCCTCATAGCTCTCGGGTTCAACCTCGCCAGTACGGTCACACTCAGCCTGCTATCGAAGCAGCTGCCCGGGGATTGGAACGCCAAGATCAGCCTAGCGATCCAGTACAGTAACTATACCGGTCGCGTCACCGGTGCTGTCTGGGGCGGCTCAGGGGTGACGGTAGGAATGCTCAACTATGTTGGATTGCAGATCGCGGTGGTCGGGATCGGAGCAGTGATGTTTTTAACGTTGTGGAAGAATCTCAAGGCCAAAACTGGCTGAATGCCTCGCGCATTTGCACCCATAGATCACGCCAATGCGATTGGATAGTCAATTCTTCAGGCATCCTCGATTTTCTCAGTGTTTCAAGTCTTCAAATGACGTTACTCGAATTATTCGGATGTGATCATCTGTCTCCGAGAGGGTTGTCAGTAAAAGAATCGTTAGATACAGCTATCGTACAGAAGTCAAACTTATCGAATTAGAACACAATCACTGCTATCTCTTCATCCTCGCCTTCCTCCTTGTTCTTGGTCGCTCATTTGTATCCTCATCCCCAGCTTTCTGACTGAGGGCTTTCTCTAGTAGTGCTTCGTTGTGCAGACAAGTAACGAATTCCCGGATGAAGGGCTCGTAGTCAAACGTCCGACCGATGTGTTCGGTCTTAATGCGATAATTGTCAGAGGCCCCTTTAGGGAGACAAACGGGACACTACTTACGTGCATGTTTCGAGACTTCTCAATCTCGTCCTCGACCGCTATCTTGGCAGACATGGCGTTGCGCACACACTCGTCCCAGACACCCGGCAGTTTGCGGGATGGCATTTCCAATATGGCGAGCTCTTTCTCCATCTTGTGTGAACCAAAGCCACGGCTGAACACTGTACCGTCGGATGATGGCCGGACTGACGTGGAAAAGGCCTCTTTGCTACTTGCAAGGAGTACTGGGTCGACCTAATGATGCCATCAGGATACTTGATATGCGGCCGCAGCACCTCAAAGGGCCACTGGTTCATAGAGGACTGACCTTGTCTGCCCAGCCATCCGGAAATGTCTCGTTTAATCGTCGCTCCAACGCAGTGCGTTCCCGCTTGAGCATCTCCAGTCCATCGCTTGCCTTCTGGTACCGATCTTCCACGATGGCTAGCAAGTTGAACCGGATATGCTCGCCTTCACCCGCACTGCGGAGGTACTTCTCCATCTTCATCCGCAGCGCGGGGCGCACGATGTCCATCCAACTTCTCCGAGCAGATCTGGCACTGCCGTCGACCTCGCCGACTTCGAGGGGCCCAGACTTACGGAGTCCGTCCAGCTCCCACACCTTGTCGTCTACGTGCGCGTAGCCGATAAAGTGGTAGGATTCTTGTTTGGTATCGGTACCATCCGCCGTGCTCTGCTTAGATTTCGAGGTGCTACCACTGGCCTTGCGTTTCTTAGCAGGTGGCAGTTTCAATATGTCTTGCGGCTTCTGTTTAGAATTTTGAGTTTCGATGGTGGCGGCAGCCACGGCATGGAGAGAGGCGCGAATATCTGCGGGGCTGTGCGGAAAAGGCCAGATTAGCGAGTACTATCTACCAATATTCAAAAGGCACGTACCGTGCCAGCGAGTTCTGAGCATTCCGTATGAATGGAGAGTTTGCGATTGCCAGTCCCCTCATCTACGTGTTTTTCCGGGCATCATAAGCTGTGGCATGGGCAACTAGGAAACAGCGTTGAAACACACCACAGGCGACATCTTCTCTGTAAAGGCGTGGAAGTCTCGTAACTGTTCGCCTATGTCGATATCGGGGCAGTTCAGGAGAACGTTGAGAATCGCTTGCGATGCGCATGCATCTTCGCTCAGCTGGTTGGCAAACCATACCCGCTGCGCGTCCCTGTCTTCGAGCTCATTGTCAGAGCCTGCATCCTCTTGGCTATCATTGTCGTCTGTGCACAAGTAGCAGAAGATGAGTCCATTGGGTTCTAGATGGTCCGTATCCCAAGGTTCGATGCCATAAATCTCGATGACTTCCAAGCCTTGCACTCCAAGTTTCCGGATGAGTGACGTGAAGACACCTTGTTCGGTTACCGCAAGAGGATAGTTAGCACTCAGATGATTCTCGTTGCCAGTGGGACACACCTGGGTCCGATTCAATGACGGAGAAGGGGCTCCCGGTCTGATCGTGCGACACGCTCAGACTGCTAGTACCAGGCATCATGATCTCCATAATGCGTGCCTCCCGTTCCGCGCAAGAGTTCGAAGCTGTTTGACACAAACAACTATTAAGTACGTATACTAGTGCTCAGGATTTCAATGAGAGGATGAGCCTGGACTTAAATGCAAGGCGGAGAGGTGGATTGTGACTAAGTAGTACTGGCGTGACCGATCGTGCCAGGAATCACGCGACGTCACATTACGCGTGCATGCAAAACCCAACTTTCTCCTTGATCAAGGTTGCCAAGGAGAAATAACACTGGATGCAATTTCCAATAAGTTGAGGAGACTATGCAAAAGTTATTTGAAAGATAGAGTGAATCAATTTAGTGGAACTTGCACTGCTTAGGAGAGACTTATCTGAAAGTTATCCTAGAAATGGAAAACTTATTATTATTTCTACTTTGGGATAGGTTTCAAATAACTTTCAGATAAGTCTCTTGTAAGCCATGCCACTTACACTAAACTTATTCACTCTACTATCAGTGACCCGGAAATGCCATATGGCCCAGAAGTGCCATACCTTTCTCTACAGTTTGATTCTCAGCACCGACTGCCTCAAAATTATTTAGGCATGCTCTCATACATCGCACTTCAACACTGTGAAAGTTTAGGAATTAAATGTGGCCCACTTGGGTCCCACGGAAGATCGGGATTGCCGGAATGTATTTGGCTGGTGCCACACCTCGGCATGTGTCCAAAATGTTCAACTCTAGTGGGAAAAATCCGAAAAAATAGCTTCTAGTATTCTATAATGGCACATCCAGGTCATCGATAGTATCTTTCAAATAACATTCATGTACTCCTGCCAACTTATTGGAAATTGCATCCAGTGTAAGAGGCACGATTGCCTTAAATTTCCTTGATGAAGGCTGATCAAGATGCGAAAGTGAGGTAAGAAAATGGTGACAAATCCTGATGAACCAGCGGCCGGCAACGCGGCCGGAATCCCGGCATTGCTTCGGCATCCTCGTCGAGTGAATTGGCGTGCCGCGGCTACGGCTAAAAGGGCTGCTCAATTCTTCTGGTTCATTTCGAGCGGGTTCATTTGGCCTGAGCCTGAGACCATGCCGAGGGATGCCATGAGATCTGCCGATCTGGAGTGCTCCGGGTTGCTGGTCGCCTCTCAGAATTTAGGCCTTTTCTTACGGCTCTATTACATCTAAAGAAACGCGATTTCGAAGACTACTTCCTCATAATCTTCTCAGAATAAAGTTGAGACTTTCAAGCAAAATATTCTACTGTCTCTACCGCCCTCCACCGGCAAGCCGGAGCACTCCAGATCAGTAGATCTCGTGGCAGCCCTCGGCATGGTCTCGGATCTCTCGGCCTGCCTCGAGGCCAAATGAAATGAACCAGAAGAATTGAGCAGCCCTAAAGGTGCGCGTTTGAAAGCAAACCTGTATCAGTCCGTCCCTCTCACCTCGCATAGGACTGATTTTGTAGTCTGGCTTTGGGAGACTAACCTGGACCGACTAATGGGCTTAAGAATAGTGATTCGTGTCTTCGTACATGTACTTCGACCGGCTTGGAATTGGCTTGGAATCGTTGGCAAGCACTTCATGCACAGTTTGGGCAGTGAATATGCGATGTTCTGGACGTGCGACAGCGGCCGGAAGAAGCACGTCTAGCCGAAGGGCCACGTCGACCCAAGAGGCGCCGCTAGACAATAAATAGGTGTATCCGATGAGATTTTGAAGACGTCTTACTTCTCTCCTCTAGCCCAACATGAGCGACAACAAACTCCGTGTTGCTATAATGTGAGTCAGCAGAGCGCTAATGTCGGGACCCATATGCTAATCGAGATACGCGATCAGTGGCGCAGGCATCGGAGGGCTCGTCTTCGCGCTTTCGTTGCATAAGTCAAATGAAGACATAATTGTGGATATCTACGAGTCAAATACTAAGCTAACCGAACATGGTGCTGGCATAGGCATGTGGCCACGGCCTTGGACGATCTTGGACGATCTCGGGCTGGCAGAGGACCTGCAAGCTATATCCGTTTCTCAAGGCCGGTATCTCATCTGACTATTCCTGAATCAGCGTTGCTGACTGAAAATTGGATGAAGCCGACTTTACATTCAGGAAGTGCGATCAGGCTGAGGGCATCGACTTTCCGAGTCCAATCGGCAAGTGTATGTACTGTATCCACCATCCCATTTGCGCCGCTGAATTGGTACGACCGCAGATGGTCCGGTGCAGACCTTTCATAGGGCAGAATTCCAAACCGTACTGAGCAAGCATCTGCCGCTGTCTTACAACGTCCACTTCTCCAAGAGGCTGGTCTCCTACACAGGGTCTGACTCAGGCGACATTGTCCTCTCATTTCAGGACGGGTCCCTGGCGATTTGCGATGTCGTGGTGGGTTGTGACGGCGTTCGCTCAGCTGTTCGTGGCACCCTCTACCGCTCCTTAGCCGAGAAGGCTGAGCACAACGGAGATCACGTGAAGGCGGTAGAAGCGTTGTCTCACGTAGATGCGACGTACAGCGGAACTTCAGCTTATCGTAGCCTGATTCCGACCAACCTCCTGGTACACAAGCATCCGGGACACGGAGCAGTCACGGGACCTCTCTGGGTCAGTTCATTTAATCAGTAGTCTGTGACGTACCCAACTGACATTATGATCAAGTCTTTCGGAAAGGACAAGGTGGGGTCACTGGCAACCTGTCACCGCCGTATGTCCAGCAATGATAGCGGTTTGGTTTACAGCATGTCGTGGTCTTCCCCATCTCGCAAGGCACGATGATCAACGTCGTAGTATTCATCTCTGAAAGAGAATTGGAAGGCACTGTTTACAACGATCCTTGGGTCGTTCCGACAGCAACGGAGGAAATCATCCGAAAGTTCGCCTTCTGGAACTCCGAAGTACGGAGTCTACTTGAAGTGAGATTCCTTTGAACACAGTACGCACACGCAGTATGAAATTGACGATCGCGAAATTAGTGCTCGAAGAATGCATCGCTCTGGGCTATAAATACCGTCGTAGGTTTACCCACATTCGTTGGGGAGCGTGTCGCTCTGCTCGGAGATGCTGTGAGCGGTCATCTTACTCTTGCCACTTAGTGCTTCATTCGTTTATTCGCTCAACCAGGCCCATGCAATGACGCCTCATCAAGGATCTGGAGCTGGACAAGCGTTCGAAGTAAGTCTGCTCTCGGAGAATGTGGGCTTTGACGCAAGGCTGAGGAAATCGTAGGACGGATATATCCTTGCCTCACTCCTCGGACACCCCTCAGTCACGCGTGCAACGGTCCACCGCGCTCTTCAAGCTTATGATGCCATACGTCGTCCATTTGCGCAAGAGGTGCAGCGGCGCTCTCGAAGCACCGGAATGCTGTGCGATTTGAGCGGGCCAGAATTCGAAGGCCTGACCGAAGAACAGAGCACATCTGGAACCGCGGTATCTTCCGAGGAGCTTATCGATATTTCGAAGGCGGTGGACCGCATGATGGATTGGATGAATGAGGGTTCAGTGATGGAAGACCGTAACCGAGCTCTGCAGCTGTTGGTGTGTACATAGTATGACGCGCTCGAACATGTGAGCCGCAGCGCCGGCTTAATGCCCTCTGCTTCTTCGCGTGGCGTTTTCAGGCTGTGATTCAAATTTATTCGACCGCGTTCATTTAGTGCAGCCGCGAGAATTGCTGACGGACTATTGTAAATGGCTTTGGCGCACCGCAAAGATGTCGGAGATAGTGCGACTCGTCCAGCAAATTCAAGGTGTGACATTCACCACTCGCGAACGATCCGTCTTCACAGGTCATTGATTCATCAAGTCTGACTGAGTCCCATGTACCACCACGTGTCATGGGTTGGATGCGAATCAGCTCAGCCATATATCGCCAAGCCCTAGATATGTCGGGACTGGCACTGTCTGCTTACACCTGTCCCAACCTCTGCACCTGCAGCACACAAGTTGTGACGTTGTACGTTGTGGATGGTATCACTGTCTGTTCTTCGAGCTGCACCAAGGGAATGGACGTACGTGTCTAACGCTTACCGTCCTCCTGATCGGAGGCATAGCTTGAAATGATTGGTATGGTTCTCATTCATTCTGTCAGAGCAAGCGAGATGGCGAGCAAGCAGCGATATCGCGTCTAACACGGCAGTCGTGGGCATGAAAATGCGTATCGCACATAAATTACTCCGCTACCCACAAACTTCTCCGCGACCCCACAAACTTCTCCGCGACCCACAGACTCCTCCGTTACCCAGGTCCCACATGCTTCTCCGCTACTACACATATGAACCCGTATAAACAACGATCTGATCAGATGCGAGCTCCAGATTAGCCGCTGGTAATTTCGGCATCCCGATGCCCCCAATACCCGTGGGAATTGGAGAGGTTCTAAACGCTAGAGCGGTGCACCCGTCTCGGAATTTGTCAAACCGCAGCGACGCGGCAGCTACGTCACTAATAATGATTGTTGTTGATGGAGACGACGAAATTGGAGATTCAATAAGCCAGCCGTAACCACGAGCCCCGGGGAGGGTGCTGAGCGTGAAAATGAGTTTGCAGAGACGATTCATGTTTGGTTCGGACTTCCGAATGCTTAGAAACGCAGTATATTGTTCCGACAACCTGGTAAGCTCTATCAGCCGACATGCCGCCTCGGTTAGAGGATAGAAACGACTCTAGTAAATGCCCACCGAAAGGCATCGAATCATTCATACTTGTAAAACTGGTGTAAACCTTGAGATATATTCATACAGTACAGCACTAAGGATTATTCCTTCCGCGAATTCAGATCTCAGCGCGTGATCTAAATCTCGACGCGTTTGTGACCGATCGTGTCTGTAACATGTCACGCGCTCCTAAGATTTTCAGATTCGCCACTCAGAACTGTAGGACTCGAATAGAAGGCAGTCGGACAGTCTCGCTGGTTCTCGAGGGCCTGAGCGCTTCCGCTAGGAGTGGCCTCCGGTCGATTCGGGCTCGAAGTGGTCCCATGTCGAATGTAGCGGCAATTCGTCCGACGAGTCAGTCGTCGGTTCTTCCAAAGTTTGTAGTGATGATCCAGGGTGGACCCTCCCCATGATCAGCCGCAGATGGATTTACAAACAGTTACCTCTGATGGGGAAGTCGGCATGTCCACGAATGTCGCTGTACTATGTCTGTGAGCCTGCATCTGGTTCGTAACGTCCTGATTTACCTGCAGGTTTGGTGTGTAGATAATCTCCGACCAGTATCGGATCAACTCCAGGTCATATGGACCTCTGGTGTAAAGGTTGCTCCATGGCGAGTCAACTGTTGTCAGACCCTACCAGGCTTTCACACTATTTCTGCATGGACGTCAACGCGGGCGGTTCCGACTTAGTCTTCTAGGCTACGTTACCAAATGGGCACCACGATTCGCGGGAACACCACCAGAAGCTTCGGTAGGCAATCTCGACGTACCACAGTATGTGCTATCTTGCAGCTCCAGGCGTTTGTAGAGACAAACGTGAGAGCATTCCCGCTGCGGTCTGGGATGTCTCCAGATGGCTTACAGCTAAGTCGAAAACGATAGACGCATTTCGACGAAACTTACTTCAGGTACGTTGCTTATGAATTATCTCGAAACAGCAAATTCGTGTGATCATGCGTGAAATTCAAAGGGGATAGGCCAATCAGCAGCTAGAATTTCCATCCAGAGCAGTCTATTTGATGCACTCCGAACAGAAGATGATGAAACGAGTTTCGTCGAAATGCATCCGTCGTTTTCGACTTAGCTGTAATTCATGGACATCTTCGATATCATTTGATCGCCTATTGCCAGACCTCGTTGGTCCAAAAGAGTATCGCGAAATCCTATAAGAAGTGTCTCACCATTGATATGTACTACCACGTTCTTTCTCTGTCCCAACATGGGCGATGCGAAACTTCGAGTTGCTATAATGTGAGTTGGCTGCCCTGCTGCCCTTGGATATTTTTTACGAATGCTAAGTTTAAACGCAAATAGCGGTGCAGGTATTGGGGGTCTGGTCCTTGCGCTTTCACTGCATAGATTCAGCAAGAACGTCAGCGTCGACATCTACGAGTATGCTGCCGAGCTCACTGAGCATGGCGCTGGCATAGCTGTGTGGGAACGACCATGGAAAATATTGGTTGACCTTGGACTCGAAAAGGACTTACAGACCATAGCAAATAGGGAAGGCCCTGCCGGTATGCGCTAACCTTCACCAGGCGGTGGACTTCGCTGAATGAACTGTAGCGCACTTGGGTTACAGGAAATCCGATCAACAGAATGGCGTCGATTTTCACAACCCTACTACACGCTGTACGTCTCCCGCTGCCGTGGAAGTGCAGTCTTTGTCACTTAAATTATTCTCTAGATGGCATGGCGAACTTTCACAGAGGAGAGTTTCAACAGGTGCTGAGCAAGCATCTCCCGCCCTCTTACACCATCCATTTTTCCAAGAAGCTCGTCTCTTACACTGAACCCGATTCAGGCGAAATCGTTCTCAATTTCCAAGACGGATCCCTTGCAACCTGCGACGTCATCGTGGGTTGTGACGGTGTTCGCTCAGTTGTCCGCGGGACTCTCTATCGCTCCTTTGCGGAGAAAGCTGAGCGCAATGGGGATAATGCAATGGCAGCAAAAGCGCTGTCTCACGTGAACGCGACTCACAGCGGGTTTTCGGCTTACCGTGGTCTCTTTCCGACAGAAAAGCTGCTGCGCAGGTTTCCCAATCACAAAGTAACCGCAGGCCCTCTTGTGGTCAGTTCCCTTAATATTTGAAAACCACACCATACCTAGCTAACGTCGTGCCCCTTAGTGTTTTGGGAAGAACAGGGTTAGATCCTTCCCTGTACCGTGGATACTCCGCTGACTGCTTCGGTCACCGTTCTGCAGAATTTTGTGGTTTATCCTGTCTCCCAAGGCCGAGCTATCAATGTTGTGGTGTTCTTCTCACAACCTGAACTTGAAGGCAAATTATACGATGGTCCCTGGATGGTTCCCGCGGAGACGCAGGAGATGGTAGATAGATTCCACGCCTGGGAACCCGAGGCCAAGGGCGTGCTCGAAGTGAGTTTGTGAGAATCGTAGAGCGAAATCCAGCCTTGTTGATGTTCAATATAGTGCATGGAGAACGTGTCCCTCTGGGCTGTCAATACCGTAGTGGGCTTGCCTACCTTCGTTGGCAGGCGGGTTGCTCTACTCGGGGACGCCGTGAGTGTGCATCTGTTCCTTATCTGTCCTACATGGCGCTGACATGTACACTAGGCGCATGCAATGACGCCTCATCATGGATCTGGAGCCGGACAGGCATTCGAGGTATGCCTTTGAGGTTTTAAAGCAATTCTTGTCTCACGGCACCATAGGATGCGTACATACTGGCTTCTGTCTTGGGACATCCTTCCGTCACTCTTGCAACTGTCGACCAGGCTCTGCATGTCTATGATGCGATACGTCGTCCTTTCGTACAGGACGTACAACGACGCTCTCACTATTCGGGAAAGCTCTATCAGCTGAGCGGCCCCGAGTGCCAGGCACTGTCCGAAGAAGACAGTGCCTCGGGTGCAGTTTCGGTCGAGAAACTTGCGGAGGTTGCGAACGCGATAGATGATACGATGAACTGGATGGGGATGGGCTCAGGCATGAGCGAACGTACCCGGGCCTTGAACATGTTGGAGTGCAGTATGGCGCGCTCCGGCGAATCAGCGCCAGCTGCGGTAGCCTCCGTGTTTCCAATGCACAGGTTATGAATGCTCTAGCGCAAGAGGGTGGTACTGATGAGCATTATTGTACAGTAACCTCCATATAGACATACGTGCTTTTCGATTCGTATGCATTTTAATTCATTCGCTCTGTACATCTGCCAATTCACGTTCGTATGCGTACAAGTACAGCGCTTAAGGGACCACCTTCCATTCTTTACAACAAAGTTTGAGCCTGTCCAACTCCAGCGCTCAAGTGACGTCTCGCAACTCTCTTCTGATATGTCACATTGTGAGGTTCTTCATGACGCTGTAACGGAGGGAAGATGGATTACTGTGCAGCCCCGGATAGGTCGGGATCACACAGGATCCTGAGTCCCGATACTCATCGTGGTGTACATGAGTCAGCAACGTCCTGAGATGGGACGAATCGACGCCGACAGCAATGGTAGTCTCCCCGCCATCGAAGGCAGTTCCAAAGTATCCCGCGGTGAGAGCGATGTGGCCTAGATCGCTTTCGTCTTCGACTTCAGAGAGTAGCGAGTACGAATTCAGATGCGGGTATCTCAGGAAGTACTCCGCAACTGATGCAGCCCGCTCTGACGATAGGGCAAACGCCAAAAGGTCTTCCGTCTTCACGAGATATCCAGCAATCTTGGACAATAACTCCGGTGGCATACTGTCAAACCGGCTAGAGGGGGTCGGAGACTTCAACACTCCCGTTTCTTCCTGGAAGTCAGGAAATATGTGGTGATAGAGAAAAGATAAGTCCTCTCTGTTGAACTTCAAACTTCGACCGAGGTGGGCAAGAGCAGTGATTCCAGGAGTGGATGGAGATTCTGCGTAATAAGAGGGGAGGAACTGAAGTGCTGGGGTATGCTTGACATTAGCTTCCGCCCCTTGATCGACGCAGACTATGGCGCAGTGGAATACAGAGAAAACTACGCCGTAGATAGCGCCTGATTGGTCAGTCCTGGCCATCATTTCAGCGACAATTGTCGAGATAGCTGCCTGGAGATTTCTTTGGTCGCCTAGGTGAGTGGAAAGTTGCACACAAACGCCAGTCTGAGTCCACCATATCTTGCTGTCCGCCTTCGAAGGGACATCAAGGCGGTATGCCTCATCGTCGGAAAGATAGAGAGGAAGTGGACGGATGGCGTTGTGCATGAATGTCATAGCAAGCGCCACAACACCCTCGGACATTTCACTCCGATCTCTGATCCTCTCCATATGGCGCAGGTACGACGTCCCGACAGATAGCATGATAGATCCGACACATATTTCAATGAGACGAACGTGGGCAGCATCCCGACTTGTGAACTCCTGCTGCACTGCGAGAACCTCACGAATAGACGCGGAAGTGGCATTGAGTGACTTGTACACTTCGAGGGTATCCTTGCTCACAACTGGCGGAGGAGCGTTCCAGTTACAATCGTATCTGTATTCTTCCGGAGTATCTTTGGCATAGGCTCGCTCGCCATAGTGATCGAAGGAGATGCACTCGAGGAAAACATCCGTGGGTGGCATGTGGTCGAGGCGAAACAGTGGTGACGAGTCCACGTGGAATATGAGGTTGTCCAGATCCATCTCGTAGATCCACTCGATGAACAGATCATTTCTGGGCTGCCTCGTAGAGATGAACTCATCGTATGATGCCTGTCCATCGTCTACTCCTAGTTCCGCCACTCTTGCTTCGAACATGGAACGCATATTTTCGAGCCATATCTGGAATGCTTCGGGATCCGAGGGTATGCTATGCAGGACCTCGACACCAAGGCCTTCTGGATAGGAGTCGAAGTGATTGTAAATGACGAGATACCGTTTCTTGTATCTGTAAACTCTATAGCCTCTAGTACCCATACTAGATACTTGCCTGCATTATTCGATCAGTAAAGAATAGGAAACGCGAGAAAGCGGTGTATACTTGCAGGATGTCCAGATATCAACTTGCTTGCAGCTTGGGGCCCCGCCGCCGCCGCGTTCGCGTCGCGCGAGATAATCATGTCACGGTCACCTACCCATGGTCTGCGTGCGCGTGACTTGTGACGATCCAACATTCTTAGACAATAATTTGCTGCAAATTGGCTACGTCGAAACGAAAGCTATCGTACACACACAGTTATGCTGCTATCTTGCCAGAGGGATCCTCACACCCCATTCACCTCGACTCCGCCACCAAAGACGCGTTGCTCGTAAGGATCTTGTTGAGCCCCTCACGGTGCAGACAGTTCTCGAAGGCAAAGCTCTTCGCAATGTCATCGAGCTCTTTCTCGGTCTTGCCTTTGAAGTGATCTGCCCATTCCTGGATCAGGAATTCCGAGACCAGAATGTTGCGGGAGAGCCGACCCACACGAGAGTCGAGCTTCCATACGGGCCACGGGTAGAGGTTCTGATACTGCTCAGGCACCTCCTTCGTGATGTGGTCGATCAGTGGCTGGTAGATGTGACGAATCTGGGACTCATCCGCGCCCCATGCATCGATTGCGAGTCGGTGTTTCTTCGCAAGGAAGTCCTTGAACAGGGTCATGTACGGCGTCTCTCTGGAGACATACACCATGCCTTGAAACCCGATATCTTTGTAGAGCCAGATTGACCAACTGAGGCGGTCCTGCATGACTCAGGTGAGTTGACTGCGTTATACATGACGATTTTATGTCGCGAACATACCTGGTTGTAGATGGTGAGCTGGTCTTGAAGTACCTTGTAACGTTCCTCATTAACAGCCTCGGTGTTTGCACCCTCATACTCCCTGCGTGCGTATACAGGGCCCCATTCTCCGTTCCACACACACAGACCCCGCTCATCCATCCACTCTCTCTTCTTCTCATAGCTTCGGCGGAGCCGATGGCGCTGGTTTTCGCTGCTCATATACGACTCGGGAGACATGGGGAAGCCGAAAAGAGAATAGTCGTGGATCGCATACGCGGTGTTCTCCCACCTCTTGTGCGCGTCGCCGAAGCAAGAGAAATCAGAGGCGAAAGTATTGCCGTCAAGGAATAAGGCGTGGTGGGGGTCAATCTTGCGGATAGCATCATATACACGATTGTAGAAGTCGATAACACGTGTATGGTACGGGTCTGTAGGCTCGTTGAGAGGGTTGTACCCGGCAATTGTGGTATTTCCAACGTAGTGCTTTGCTAGCTCCTCCCAGAGCCAGACTGTACGGTCTTGAAAGTCCTTGTGAATCCAGAAGTTGGCGATATGGGTACCGGCGTCAGAATGCCAATCGGTGTTCTGCCCCCCGGGAGCAGCATGCAGGTCGAGGATGGTGTAGATGCCGTGCTTAGCGCATAGATCGATCACCCGATCAAGATGTTTGAATCCTTCCGGTTTAAGAACACGCGGGTTCATGTCGTCTGCCAAGGACGAATTAGACGCATTCAAGAAAAATCGAATAAATATGCACCTTCAAAGTGTCTGTAGTTGAAGGCGATGCGGATACAGTTCAGCCCCAAACTCTTGAAGAACGCGGCATCCGCATCAGTGAAGAAGTATTCGAGGAACTGTGAGAGAGTGAATTGGTTACTGGCATTGTTACAAATTTCAAACATACCTTGTCGAAAAAAAACTCTGCTTTCTCCCTTCCCAAAACGCCTGAAAGAGCTGCACGAATCTGGAACTCGCACCCAGGGTATCCTTACCGAGCAATCAGGTTCAAACAAGGATTTGCATGGTTCAAGCCTAGCGTACCGCTGGTGAAGTTCTCCATGCTGAGAACGTCACAAATCAGGAAACGAGAAACAGAACATATCGGTTAAACCGTTAAGACATACTTCATCCATCCCCCGAGACCCGCCCCCCTCAAGATCACCTCCTTTCCATTCTGATCGATGATCTTGGTTCCGGAAATCTTTAGGTACGCCATGGTGGGGGTCTCTGTGAAACAGGCATGATTGTACGAACGGGGTTTATATGTAAAGCAGCGAGTGAATCGTGGTAAGCCTTCTCCATCGAGTCAGTACAAGGTCCGCAATGCTCCATCATCTTCTTGCTACACTTCCGATAAATTTCCGAATGAAACCAAGACAGACATTACTGTCAGCAACGACTGTGCTCACATGAATCCTCTAATCATGCGTGATTGTGTTTGTAACGTATGTGTATCATAGTACTCCAATGGTGTGCTGACTCTCACCTTGCTCACTAGATAATTCTGGGCTTTCATGCACACTGCCTGCCGGAAGATCACGAGTTCGAAAGGACGGTGCCAGTGCACTGCCTGAGAGCTGATGGGGAAACGACACTGTGGTCTCTAGTGACGCACAATGACACAGTAATTGTCCATGATTTTGACAGCGTCGCTCACAACTCCCAGTACGATGCCAGCATCGATGGCAGAATCCGAAGAGATATTTTGTCGATCTCGCATGATTGTGGCGGATTCGGTAAACCAAGAGACACCGTGACGGTAAACATCAACGATCTTCGCACTCCCGTCCAAAAAAGGATATTTTCAACTACTTGAAGTTCACTGGCCCTCTGAGGGCATCCATAGGAGTCCTCCACTTGAGACATTATTGAGAGTGGCGCGAACTACTCGTGGACAGAGGCTCTCACAGAAATGTCCGTGACGGAAGTTCGTTGAAAGTACGTTGTGTCCAATACTGAATGCAGTGAAAGTTCATCATGAACGACGTCCGATTCTGGTTCGCTCACAGGTAAGGTCGTGGTGCATACTGGCTCTGGCTGTATCAGAGTGATTGTAGATTTCCTGCGCCAGACTCTGCCTGTGACTGTGTCTCCTGCCCACGCGATCCGATGATAACCCGACCTACCGTTGTCCTTATCTCTTGCTCACCGTCCAATGCCTTCAGGTCATGTGTGCACCGGTACAGAAAATAACGGCCCGAAAGCTGTAAAAGGCCCTCGATGATGGGCCTTCATAACTGGGACCCCCTTGTCTCTCTACACCATTCACTGTTGCCAGGGATCATTTCCAGTTTCCTCAAAATCGAAGGTACAAAAATCGTGGACGGGAATAAAAACGAGGTTATCCTCAGAGGTGCCGGGCTGGGAGGCTGGATGACGTGAGTTTGTGTCGGGATATCGGTCCCCTCTTTGTTACGCTGGAGCTGATGGAAAATCTAGAATGGAGAATTTTATTACCGGTAAAGTTCAGAGGCACTGGGCGGTCCCTTGGCCCTAACGAGCCGCGCAGGATACCCTGGATGTGAATACCAGATACGCGAAGCGTTGGCAGAAGTACTCGGGGACGAGAAGTCCGATTTTTTCTTCGACAGAGTAAGTCTGGAGGGCGCCATAATGCCATCCAGCCGCTGAGCACATCGCCTCAGTTTCTCGAACATTTCTTCGCGGAGCCCGATGCAGCCTTCTTCAAGTCACTAGGGCTCAACTGCATTCGGGTCGCTATTAACTACAGGCATTTTGAAGATGACATGAAGCCGCGCGTACTCAAGCCGGGATGTTTCAAGCACCTCGACCGTGCCGTCGCCGCATGTGCGAAGCATGGGATCTACACCATTATCGACATGCACACTGCTCCTGGCGGACAGAATGGCGGATGGCATTCGGACCACGGAACTCATATCGCAAACTTTTGGATACACAAGGACTTCCAGGATAGACTAATTTGGCTCTGGATGGAAATTGCACAACACTACAAGGACGAGAAGGTCAGCCTACGTATTCTTCGGCCTCCGACCTTAGCCATTCGCTGACATGCGCCGCAGTGGATTGCAGGGTACAATCCAATGAACGAGCCCGCGGACCCACAGCATACTAGTTTGGTGTCATTCTATGACCGCGTGTATGCTGCGATCCACAGTGTGGATCCAAATCACGCGCTCTTCCTCGACGGCAACACATTCTCGACGGACTTCTCAGGCTTCCCAGAAGATGCGAGTACGCGCTGGCCAAATACAGCGTACGCAATCCATGATTACTCCGTGTACGGGTTTCCGAAGGCGCCTGAACCATATACGCGTACGGATGAGCAGCGAAGACGCATGCGGAGGAGCTACGAGAAAAAAAGGGAATGGCTGGACCAACGCCGGTTATGCGTGTGGAACGGCGAGTGGGGCCCCGTGTATGCACGGGAAGAGTATGAAGGAGCTGCAATGGACGCAATCAACCAGAGGAGGTATGACGTCCTCAATGATCAGCTGGAACTGTACCACAAGGTAGGCACACGGCCGCGAAGATGACTATTGCCACTGAATCCGGCCGTGTGACAGGACCGTTTGAGCTGGTCGATTTGGTTGTACAAAGACATTGGCTTCCAGGGCATGGTATACGTCAAGCGCGAAACACCGTACATGACGCTCTTCAAAGATTTCCAGCAGAAAAAATACCGGCTGGCAGTGGATTCCTGGGGTGCAGATGACAAGACCGTGCGTCACATCTACGATCCGATAGTGGACCTCATCAAGCAGAATGTCCCCGAGTCGCATCGCCGGCTATACCCATTTCCAGTGTGGAGTGTAGAAGAGCGTGTTGCGCGTCTGGCGCGCTGCATGCTCGTCAGTGAGTACCTCGTGCGCGAGTGGGCGGAACATTTCCGTGGAATGGAGGTAGAAGATCTAGAGCGTATCGCTCAGAGTTTCAAGTTTGAGTATTGCGCCGACAGAGAAGGCCTCAATCAGGTGCTAAGGAGCGCACGCCGCGCAGACTAATTCAAAGTGAATAGCCACGGCAGTACAGCTGTACAGATACACATCGATACCTGTTTGTTTTATTAGGACTGATTGCAGACGCTCTTCATGTAAGAGCGTGAACTGCAGGTCAATGCTCAGAGGCTACCGCACCGCAAACTTATCTCTGGCCTTCACATTTCTCCGCACATCTTCTTCACGCAACTTTGCCTCCAATGCTGTAAATAGCTCGTGGGCATATTTCTCACCCTCCTGTCCATCACAATCAACTAGACTGATCTGAAGAACTGCATGGGCGCATACCGATAGTAAAGTCTTCATCTGAGCCAATTTGATCTCCCCGGGCCCCAGTAGACGAACAGCTTGCAAATTAGATTGAAAGTCTTGAGAGAAGGAGAAGACTAATAATAATTGTAGGGGTGCAGATGCTTCTTCCGCAGAAGTAGCATCCAAGAAATGTACGGACGGTAGCTGAAGGACTCGAGTCAGCTCACCAAACATTGTGTGGGACGCCGAAAAAAATACGAAAAATACGTACGATATTCATCGTCACAGATACTGGCCACCGGTCTCTCATCCCAAGTACTTCTCCCTCGTCCCAGTAATCTGGGAGCTCGAAGTCTGCTGCTGCGCTGGCCATCTTTCGCGTATCGAATCCACTCACGGTTCCCTCGCCAACTTTCCCCTCGTCGATATCCATATCGTCCGTCGCCACCGCGCTGGAAACAGATCTATGCGCATGATACTGTAAGGCGCGGGTTCGCGGAACTTTTGTATCCCACAACGCGGCTCGGGCAGCCATAAAAAGCGCATCGTAAACGTTCCCAGAATCCGATAGTATCACAAGGTCAAGGCTGAGAAGCCATACCTTTTTATTGGGCAGAATACCGAGGTTTTGCGGGTGCAGGGAAGGGTGAGAGAGCGTTTGATGCAGGAGCGTAGTGAGGTCGTACTGAAGGTCCTCGAGGGCATTGGAAGAAAGATGTGGATACGCAGCGGGGGAGCTGTCTTCGCACGATTGAGTAGCACAATCTTAGGAAGTACAGATGCCAGTGGATGACCCGGAGAAGTAAACGCACCATGTCACTGAGCATGTAATCCTTCCACCGTCGACACCATTGTCCTGCTCAACGTTCTCCACCTCAAGTTTAACCGCAGCAAGCACCTCTGTCCCTCCACCCCCTTCGTGAAGGCTCTTCCCGATATTTAGCTTCGCGCTTCCATTGGCAAGAGGCGCAACACCGGTTTCCAGTAAGACAGTTCTGTAATCAAGAAGAGCCCGCCCGTCTGCTCGAAAAGGAGACTTTGCATGTAATGAGGTTTGGATGTACGATCTCTCGGCCTTTGAGATCGATGTGGTCGTCATGCGGGGAAGTGCAAGTCGAATTTCGAACAGTTGAGCCCCGGGCCAAGTTGAGTGAACGCTAAGTGAACGCTCCACTGGCGCCTGCGAGCACGACACCAGTTAAGCGTTGCTTTGTAAGCGCGACATTCACCGGAACGCGTTTCGTTCTTAAAGCTTGAGGTCCGTGCGTGCTTCCCCTACTGCTCTTTTCGAACTGATGCGGAACGCAAAAAACGCAAATTCGGATCTGTAACGGGCGACATGTACAACGGGAGGGTCCTCGGTGCAATCGCGCCAAAACCAGTTGCCCGAGGCGTGCCCGATGCTGCCTACATCCTGCATTACTCGCGTGGCTCAAGCCATTCTGGACCAGCGCGAGCCAGACTCGGACCTGATCATTTCGGTAATTTACCGATGGCTGCTTAGTTTGGTTGTAGTGGCTGCGAGGTAGCTTCGCGTTTTTTTTGCGAATCCGCATCATTTCGAAAAGAGCAGTAAGGAAGAGCGGACGGGCCCCCTCACCTCCTTCCTCTCTACACACCTCCCGTTCCCCATCCGGTCTCGTTTTTTTCTACCTACCCACCTCCCATTCTCTATTCTCTACCCTAGCATGGTATCGTTTCGTCTCCCCAGCTGACCCGCCATGGTCTGACCGCGGGATCAACTTGCCAGGCTCCGAAGGTTCTGTGGTCTGCTCCGTCACGAAGCCCCGCAGAACCTTCCCCCCACCCGTCGAAACTCGTATGCAACACTGCGTGGCGCACACCGGTTTCGGCGTTCTCTCCCGCGTACAATTTTATCACTCTGAAATAAATTTGTTCCCTCACTGCACTTGGATCCGCAGTCCTAGTGAGCTCGCTCGCTGAGCGCACGGATCGGAGGTCTAAATATTTCACGGGTGCCTACATAAAGTCGGGCGTTTTTTTAGCTTCCCCTGTTTAACTCGTATTCTCTCTTCGGGACTGGTATATATATGCTGTAGCATATGTTGCACAAGATTATAAGCTTTGTATGCTGAAATACTCAGAGCGTATGTTGTCGGAAGCCTTCCGGTGTCCAGCACGTCTCAGGCTCAGGGTAATACAACACCTTCCTAATTAAGGGGCGCACACACTTTGCACATCTTGCGAGTGACTGCAGATATCCAGAAGGATTGGGGACTCACTGCGCTCATCGGGCGCAATCTTCAGCTTTCGGTATGTCAGAAAACCTCAAGTTTTCCAATTCATATTTTTGGGGAGAGGGATCTGAGATCCATATCAGCTCGCTCTCGGGTGCCTACTGAGTCTCCAAATCTCACATTTCGTTGCTCATTCCCATTTCAAATATCTCATCATTGGAGTGTTCGAGTACACTAATATACCGTTAAAATATATGCCTAATTGTTCAGTAGGCAAACGGGGGACGAGGGAACGAGTTATGCTCGATTTTGGAAAACTATGCCTAGAACTATTACAGGGTATTGAGGACGCCAGCACGAAATCTGACCGTCCTAAAGTCGCCAGTGCAGACTGCAACTAGACAGATGGACCATGCCTGGTTAATCTTCCCTTTGGCAATGCAGGACGGATACATCGAAAAGCTTCCCTTCACACACCTTCTGCAACCGCCCCATGATCCTTTGCACCGTGCGTTCCTCGTCATCGTCATGGAAGGCACAGTATACTTGGAAGAAGAAGCAACAACCTTCCCTCCTGGAGGTGGCGGCAATGGAGACAGAGGTGAGAGAGTTGACGATGGGACGCCAGACCACATCCAACAGGTCATGAAAAGAGTTGAACTGAAGGTCCAGCGTGAACTTCGTCGTGCGGTCTGTGACTAGCTCGCATAACATCTCGATAGCAAGTGGCGAAGCGGATGGGTGCCATACTAGCTCCGCGCTTATTGACTCAAGAGCTCCGAACGACGGGAACTGCAACCTCCGCGCATCCTGTAGGGACAAGTGTGGCTGGGCAGTGACACTGTTCACTTGTCTTGTGCTACCGTGCGCCAGGTCTTGCTGCCCTCGTGAGGTCTGCACAGTACGAGCGCATCTGGCGCAAACCGTTCCAACCGGCATCTGGGGGCCCGTGTCGCAGTCGTCATCGGGGCCGATCTTATTGTGCGCTTTCGCCGCTTCCAACCAGTCAAAGGAAAAATCGTCACGATCATCGTTATTGGATGTGACAGTAGAATCGTCACGATCATTAATATTGGATGAAACAGTAGAATGCGGCACTGCATGAGCTATAGATGAGACAATGATCAATTACGGTTCGAAGACTGCCGAGATACACTTACTGTGCAGCTGCTGTTTGAACTCAAATGACTCAAGACCAGGGGCTATCTTCACGAGTAACTCGATAATCGGTGCGATGTTGGCAGTCTTGCAATCGATGTCGAGACCTCGCACAACTATGTCTGTACGATTTCCTACCACCCATTCCAGGAGTAACGGCAGACCAGTTTCTCGTCCACAGTAACGCAGATGCTCCAAACGGAGGGGTGCGTAGCTTTCTCGCCGGCAGGGGAAATGGTTGGTGTCCTCCCAGTCAATATCCTCCATGCGAAGGCGGGACAATCGTGGGATCGAGTCGAGAAAGTCGAACCACTGATACGTGTTCCATAAGTCGACATCGTGGAGATCGACGGTGACGAGGCGCGGGAATTGGGGTAAGAGGTCGCGCGCCTCCTTCTTTATGTAACCCCAGCGGAGCTTGTGCAAGCGAAGCGTCTGGATGTTCTGGAAGTGGGGAAGAACTTGCGCAAGCGCGCTAAGCCAGCGGTGATCTGGCAGGAAGTGTCCGCGAAGGTAGAAATTTCCCTGTGATTGGTCATCGTTACTGGGCGGCTTTCCTCCATAGATAAGGCAACCGTCTAGTGTCAGAGTGCGGATGGTGGCAGCTCTGCTTGGAGGATAGCGCACAAGGAGGTTCAAGGGACCATCGGTGGGCGTAAGACAGAGTTCATCCTCCACAGGATATGCTGACATAGCTCTGAGACCTGCAGGAATAGAGTCAAAAAGTTGAGACCAGTCAGGCAGAGCGCACCAAAGACATCACGTACCGCTTGGATTGTGAAGAGTGATCTGGGCTGCTACACAATGTTGGTACACTTGGACCCAGCGATGTCCATCTTATACTGAGCGCGAGTACTAGGCTGCTTTCCAGTAGTCAACAGCATACAATGAGGACCCGATACGCGAGTAGCACAATTCCAAGGCGACGAGAGTGAATGTTGGATTGCGACTTGTGCGTTGATCTGACTGTCTTGGTACGGGCAGCGTGGGACGAAGATACATTGTGCAACACAACGGTTAACATGCTCCTCAGGGACTCGTTGTGAAGGAGCTGGGGCCTGGCAGTCATCTACCAAGGCCACGATGACAATCATTCTGGTTCTTCGACCTCGTGTTTCTGGTTGTGGGACTAAGCCTGTCCAAGTGCTTGCACTTTGTTACCAGGGAGTCAGCAATGACACACGATCTGTAAACAGGGCCCTTACAGGTCGACATCCTTCTGGTAACTATAGCGGAAGCACGTTGGTAAGTACTTGTTCTTGGGAGTGGGAGCAACGGATACATTGTAAACGATCGCATACCTGATTTGTACTCAAGAGCATGGCGAGGGACTTCTTGGAACCACAACATTATGAAATGACTGAAAGAGGCGCATAACGAACGTTTTGCCCCTCCCAACTGTTCGTTCGAGGAAAACAATACGGTTGCCCAAACGGTGGTCAAACAGTTGGAGGAGATAAGATTAGATGAGATGTGTAGCACCGCTCGCCAGCGCTCGGGCCGGCCCGACTCAGAGTCTGAGTCGTTCAAGTGCATACATTAATTCTACGAACCAGCCTGAGTACCAGCTGGATAGACCAGGGGAACAACGGTCAACGGTCAACATGTATCCCGGTAGGTCTAGCATTTTCAATGTTGTGATATCGTCCACTGAGTGTGCTTTCGCAGCAAAAGAACACGCAATCAAAACTTTCACTAAGCTCGTCGAGCTCCTGCCTCCAAGGGAGCAAAGCAAGGTATGCTGACTTTGTCTTCAGGAGATCTCGAACTGGTATTTTACATTCGTCTCAGCCTCAGATATTTCTCCTTGCAGGAGCCGTGACTCCTTTCAGGAACGACACGGACCGCGAGATGATCTTTCGGCAGGTTGTCAAGTTTCATGGCATCTTTCCTCAACCTTCTAACACCTATCATACAGGAGTCGAACTTCTATTATCTATCAGGATGCGCGGTGCCTGGAGCGTACCTTCTTTTGACATTCCAGAATGGCACCTCACTGGATAGCAATCCTTCTTCTCATCTCTTCATTCCTAAGATTGGACTCGCTGACCTCATGTGGTCTGTTCCTCCGCCCACGATCAACGAAGCTGTTGAAATGCACGACGTCACCCGCATAGATCATCTTGATGCACTCCCGGACGCCGTTCGAGAGCTGCTGATAGCCTTTCCCGATGCGATCATCCACACTCTACCTACCGGCTCACCACTATTCCCCGCCATCCCTTCGCAATATACAGCGCTCGCTCTCTCCCGTAATGCACGCTTCAGTGATGAATATCTCCTCACTGCTCTCCACTGCGCTCGACTGACAAAGGACGCCGCGGAGATCGCGGAGATCAGCAAGGCCAACTCGATCAGCTCGCGCGCACATGAGGTCGTCATGCGTGTCCTCGGCCAAGGAGTGCGCAGTGCGATAAAGCCAGGCAAGTGTGCGGGTGTAGACAGGCCTCTTCTGCCCGGAGAATGGTTAATCGAGAAGGAAGCGGAAGCGGAAGCTCTGTTTGTGGCTTCGTGCAGGAGAGAGGGGTGAGTTATTGTCCTTCATGGATTTGTCTTACTTTACCACTCGTCCCGTAGATCGGTCCATCAAGCATACCTTCCCATTGTTGCTGCCTCGACACGCGCGTCGACCCTTCACTATTGTTGCAATGATCGCGAATTTTCTTGGGGCCCAGTGAACGCACAGGATCACAAGAATCATGACCACCTCGCACACGATGATTCTAGGCAACTGAATCCGCAGGTTCTTCTCATTGACGCCGGCTGCGAATGGAATTGCTATGCCTCAGACAGTAAGCGGCCAGCCTTCCGATCGTTTGTCATCGCCTAAGTTACCATTCTCTTTAGTTACTCGCACCATGCCTGTGGGAAACGGAGGCAAATTTACACCGGAAGCGCGTGCCATCTATGCGCTCGTATTGGAGATGCAGAGAGTATGTTCTTGCACGGCGCACATTCTCAACGACTCACCTGCAGTTCCCAGCTCTCCATGGAAGCTCTCAAGCCCGGCCTTCACTGGGACGCCATTCAGCTGCTCTGCCATCGCACACTTGTCCGCGGATTCCAACGGCTACGTATATTCAAGTCGCCTCAGTCGACACATTCTGGCTCTTGGAATGCCGAAGAGGCGATTCTTGCCAGCGGCGTAAGCAGCGCCTTCTTCCCGCACGGCGTCGGGCACTCTCTTGGGCTCGATGTGCATGACGTTCCCAGCGCAAGCAAACCGGAGAAGAATGATACTTTGGGAGGGATTGAGCTCGGCCATGAGTCCTTCTACACATATCTCAGGTTGAGGCTACCCCTGCAGGAGGGTATGGTTGTCGTATGTTTTCTCGTGCAATCACTCAACATGTTCATATTGAGATTGGCTGTTGCAGACCGTCGAGCCAGGTATCTACTTCTCGCCGCACCTGCTCGCTCCAGTCCGCGACTCGCGACACATCGATCACAAGGTGCTCAAGCGGTACGAGAGTGTGGGCGGAGTAAGAATTGAGGACGTAGTCGTTATCACCAAGGACGGATACAAGAACCTCACAACCGTCAGGAGCGACACCGACTGGATAGAGGCGGTGTGCTCGGGCACCATCTGAATCTGAGGTCTTGGGTGTGTAAATTAGCCGTTGTTGGAGTGTAGGATACGTTGCTCGGCCGGAAACACGAATAAATGTAGGAAACCCGCGGTGTGCCTTTTTTCCTGAACTTTGTCCGTGTATCCATGGTTCTACTTATCGTTGGCAAGTGATGATGACGCTCAGAGCAATATTGCTGTGTCGGGTAGAAGCTATGCATTCCTCGTCAGACTGGAAATGCCACTGCCTTTGATGGCCACTCCAGCGGATCCAATATGCAGTAACGCTGCGACAGATGATTTGGCCTGGTGATTCTCCTCGAGCTTATTTTTGCCGAGAAGGCCCTACCTTCATCTCGGATTAGGTTGGAGCTTCTCAGAACGAAGTCTAATAACTAGTTGAAGCGTTTCCGTACCTAGTGGTAGCATAAGCACAAGTAGTACAGCATACCGAACGTACATTAATTACCTGGGGATACCGGACCTCGTCTGTATGGCAGTAAATGGTATGTACGTGTGGTACAATTCGGCTCAGCGACAACCTACTTGGTTGCCTCATTTGGAACGACGGTTTCCGGAGAACCCCGATGCTTGCGTAATTTTTGCTCGTGTCTGCATGGTACTACCACCTCCTCATCAAGTGCCTCCAACTTTATACTTTATTCTGTTGCTAACTGATGTGCTCTCTACCTTCATGATTCAAATTTTTGCATGCATTTTTCAAAGACATACCAACAAATTTTACTTACTCTTCCTCCCGAACTGAGGGACAGTGCCATTGAATACCGCAAACTCAAGAAGCTCATCAATCAGGTAGTGCAAGAGCTTACGTCGTTGGGTTGGTGTCGCGGTCTGTCAGCGAAGAGTGGCAGTCGCTTACACAGCACACGCCAGGTCTCTCGCCAAGAGTTCTGCAGCAGGTTCTCCAACGGAATGATTCTGACAATGCGTCCGATGGGCACGACCATACCGACAATGGTGGACATGCGATAAAGGCAAGACATGGCAGCTACGTGCTGAATGTATAATTTACTGACTTGATTTGGTCAGGTTTTTTATGAGCTTGAGGATGCTTCAGATCATGTCAAACCGCATCTACGGCTGCGTATCGAGACGGATGACAATCAGGGTCCTCTTGTGTCGTCTATCCCGATACCTTCCTCAATCTCAACTTATAACCCGGCATTATCAAACGTCCAGCGAGAGCCTTCATTGGCGTTAGCCAAAGACAGGGAGAGTGCCCTATTTTCCTGCGGCTCTCCCTCCAGCATGCAGACTGAGCATATCGATACCTCGTACGTACCAAAATACTCTACTTTTGATATGCTTTAGAATTAGAATGATCCCACCAGATTAGATGCACGCGGACGAGTCATTCCCTTGGCATCGGACACAGCTTTTTTCGCGTTGCTGATGCATACCCTCCAATACTTATCCGAGCGCCTCACATATGTGCGTTCGGACTTCGAGGCAAGCCTGCATGAACTCTCGCATGAGATATCGGTCACCACGAGACCTATGTCCTCCTCATCTTCTTTCTACCCGTCCTCTCAACACTCCACAAATCCTGCTTTCGTGACCGTCCATACCCCCTCCACTTTCTTCTCATTTTCCAAGTCTGATTTGTATGCTTGGAGGGAGGTCTTTCAACTTTACGTGGAGGCGGAGATTTTCGAGAGTCAATCGGAGTTGTCTAGAGGCGAGAGGACGAGGGAAGACTCCGAGCAGCGCCTCGTAGCCTTCGGCCGCACGTTGCAGAATAGAGGACTTGCTGGTGGACAACGCTTCAAATTGAAGGAGAGTGCGCAAGCCATGCGGTCATTCCTGCGCCTACTCGCATTTATACAGGATTTGAAGAAGGTCAGATCGTGAGCGTATCACGGCTCCACATGTCGCAGATCCTGACAAAATTGATAGTTTCAATTTGCCACCGCTGAAGCGACCCGGAAGATTTTGAAGAAACATGTCAAGCGCACAGCGTTACCTCTTGCACCTGCACTATCGTCGCAATTATTTATCCCCAATGATGCTAACTTATCCTTCATGTTACTATCTCAATCAACACCTAGTGTCTTCACATCCCTTTTCCCCAATCCTGGTGTTTCGTTGTCCAAATTATTAGGGCAAGCCGTCGGCGAGCAAATCTTGCCGATCATCCCGCATGTCGATGATTATTCCTGCCTCATCTGTACCAGCATCGCCTTCAAGCCTATACGCTTACAGTGTGGCCATTTATTCTGCGTGAGGCAAGTGATTTCTTCTCTTTCCGATGTATTTCATTTCAATGCTGATCATCTCTGCTAGATGCCTGGTTAAGATGCAGAAACGGGGCGAAGACCATTGTCCCTTATGTCGTGCACCCACTGTTCTCTCGGCCAATCGCTGTAAGTTGTTTCGCTGTTGTCACAGACCATTCCTGATGAAAATGCCACCAATAGCAAACGTTGACTGGGCGCTCCTCAATTTCATGAAGGACTGGTTTCCCATTGAAGCGAAGGAGAAACTCCAGCAGAATGAGAAGGAGGCGGCCGAGGAGGATATGAGGGAACTCGGTATCGATGTCAATGGTTGCACTATCATGTGAATTGAATGAATACTCCCTTCAGGAGGGCACGGCGGATATTCCTAACGATAGATCTATCGATATCGCTGTGAAGATGTATTCGCGGTAGACTTGGCAGTGAGTTTGACAACTCGCCCAGGGCACGTGACACGCATTTCTAATGGGAAGTTCGTCACAAATCATCTGCGGACGTCCGCGGCAGTTTTCCTTTAACTTCGTGAAGCTCATATACCGACAGGTATCTTCCAAAGCTTGGATATACCATGGGAACACAGGGCTATCTCGTCTACAGGTACAAGGGACGATATCTCAACAGGTTCGTGCAGAACTCCGCCTATCCTGATAGCGTAGGTGTCGATATCGTCTGTGGAATTCCGGTACAGAGAGAGGAGTTTCAGCGATGGCTTCAGGCCGTACGTATCAAGTTCGAAGAAGAATGGGCAAGGAAGGTTACTGAAGCAGATAAGGTGTTTGCCTATCGGCTCTCGACGGAGCGGTTGTCCAATAGTCCGTCCGCGCTACGAGTTGGATCTGGACAAAACTGGTCTTCCACATCAATTCACCCGCCCCCGGCCGGTTTTATCGTTCCGCGCGAAATAGAGGCCGTCTCTGATCCCGGTAGGCTGTCGAAGGAGGCCAGGTCATTGGCAGCGTCACTCATAATGAACGGTCTCTGCCCAATGCCATTCTACTTGAATTCCAAGGTATCGCCATCTCCTGTCTTGCAACTGCCTGCGATGGGGCGTGGTGGCCTTACAAACAGGTTTTGCGTGCGAATCTGTACGCAGCTTGATGACTAGAAGACCAGCAGGCTGAAATCCCGGAACTTCTGAAGGAAATTCCTGGCCAAATCCGATACAAAAGGCATCGTGTACAGAATAGCGTTTTCTGCATTTCATTGTGCTATCGTTCGCATTTGACAAAGTTACTGGAGGCTCTATAAAACGCGCACCCGCCTTGCAGTTCCTACCATCCTACTACGCCGAGTCTCCATCTACTCCTCGAATCACTGCTCTTGCTCTACTTCGTTGAAACATCGAAATTGACATACATGCCCGCATCGGAAGGGGTGTCATGGAAACTAGCTCCTCTGCCTCTCGGTAGCCGTCTTAATAGCCTTCCATTGGAGTTGCTCGCGATGATCGCCAGGTCCCTTCCAACTTCCGGAGACCTCGTTTCGTTCTCAGCTACGTCGGAGCACGCTATGTTAGCGCCGAATAACTTCCTCAGATACCCGCATATCGTGCCCTAACCTTTCGATTGAACCTCTCGGTGAAGATGTCCTGAAAAGTGACGGGCAACCCATCACAAATTCAGGACGACTTGGTCTTCGAAGTGGGCGATTTGGGACAACCACGATTAACGGGCCTAGCACATTTGCTGTGGGTACAACAGAATTACCCGACACAAACATTTGCAATGGCTTCGTCGTTCCGTATTGTCCAACGGATGGCAAGAAGTCGAGGGGGTGAAAGTTCTACATCTCCACCGACGATGTTGACTTCGTAGTGTACAAGCTGGCTTCAGAAGTCCGACTAGTGCTGATGCAGTAGACAACGTATGCAGAGGCTTTACCCTCACTAGTGAAGCTGCATCATTATCTAACTGGATGGCTGAGCATGCACGGTTCCAACGGGAATTCATCAATGGATACCTGCAGTGTCAATTGCTCACAGATGCATACGAGTGCGGACGGAGTGAAAAATGATTGCCTTGACGAAGTACGATGTATCGCTATGATGGGACAGTTGTTGGAGACCACTAGCACTACGAGGTCCATTCGTGAAGTGGACGGTGCGGAAAGTCGGGGGAGTGGCCAACGCACAGAACATCTTGTCAACCTGGTGCAAATTATGCAAATCGACAAGCTTGCAAGAGGCGGAGCACACCTCGACGAAGGCGTCAAACAATTGCAACTCGACAGGACAATCCTGAAGAGACGTGGTGGCAAAAGGTAGTGGACAAAAAGCAGAAGGAAGACACACAACATACGATGATATGGACTTGGAAGATGCTGTGCCCCTTCAGTACACGGCGTATCTGATTTGGCACAAGGAAAGATCGCATTATCATCCTTAAGTACTCAAAGTCTACATACAGAACATACCTATCACTTTGATGTCACTGCGCACCGAATTGAAGACTGCAGGCGCATTTCTGAAAGCGAAGATCAAGAAATTACCTAATGTAATATCTAGATGGTACTGCGAGATTGGGGGTGCACTCCCAGCGCTCAGGGAGCGTATAAACGATTAATGGACTATGATTTGCCAGCGGATCCAGATGGTATGCAATAGAGATACAAGTAAACGCGAATAAGTAGCAGCAGCATATTGAAAACGATAGTCGAAAGGAAGCAATCGAGACTGCTCGCAAAATAGCCAGGAAGGAGCCCGAGTCGGAAACATATCAGCTGCAAAAGAAGGAATAGTGAGGTGTAAGTTGTAGTGGTCGTGAGAGAGAGCAGAGCATTACGAGAGACACTAAGAAGACAATCGAGTGGGAAAATTATCATAACTTCAATTCGGTCAATACTCTTCTTGCCAGCATGTGGTATTGCCAGCCATCCCCTCCAGCACGTCGGAACTGTATTCCATGTAGAGGCAGCCAAGGAACCTAGATGAAAGTATATCAACGAAACAATCAATGCAGTATTGACTACCAAGACGCACCTTCACTATGTTGATTTCAAAACGAACGGCGAGGGAGCTTGAGCCAATGCTCTCAAAAATGTCCTGACCCACTTCTCCAGTGGGGATCGGGGTCATCGTTGTAGGTTGAGGACTCGCTGCAAAATCGCGAGGTAAAGGGGGAAGAATTTTCCCCTTCGCAGGCGATTGAGAGCGCGATGGCGACTCGTCGGGAGGACCGGAGATGGCCTCCAGTGTATCAGATCGCGCAGCTTCCACAGTGGCGGAATGCGCGGATGACGAGACATGGAAGAACGAGGACGATGCACTGCTTGCAGTAGCGCTGAGTATCGTACCACCAGATGGACGACTAGGGAGCTCCTTATCTTTAGCCTCACGATCCTTCTCCTTGCTAGCCTTGGTGCCAAACGAAATTTTGGAAGGCCTCTTCACAATCGATTTCCGAGTGGTATCCGTCTCATGAGAGCCAATAGATACACGCTTGCGATGTTGGCGCTCAAAAGGTCGTGGCGATTGGATAGACGACAAATCGATGGAAGGCATGTGGATGCATTCGAAGCCAGTCTTCGTCTCGCGGTATTGAACTTGCATCCTGTCTAACACACGCTTGATATCGGCCTTAATCGCTGACGGGGGTTTTGTCGACGTCGTCGCCACGCTGCAATATCACAATTATATTTCAATTAACGGTGCGGTGTCCAAATAGAAACGTACCTGAAAAGGCCCTTCAGGTAGACTGGTTTAAAGTCCTTCTCTTCGCCGCCATGATCGTCATCTTCTTTGATCATCGTCTCCACTCCATTCGCACCTGGGGAAGCGACTTCGGACTGTTCCTGCTCAGCCATCTCATCCTCCTCGTCGGTGCGACCAAACAATCTGTCTGTGAATGGCCTTTGATATGTCCCGGGGTATCCGGTAGACGGTCGACGGTGGCGGCCGATCGTACCACCGGGGCCAGATAAAAGCGCTGCACCCGTGCTATTTCTGCGTTCGTGCCGCATCGATCTACTTTGTGGATCAAGAATAGTGGCAGCCCGTCTATGAGCAGTGCCAATCGGTTGACTCTGGCTGTGCGTAACGGCGACAGTGGGTGTCGGTGTACCATTCGGCGGGTTATCCAGACTCTTCTTCTCATGAACGAACGTGGGCTCCTCCACCTTCTCCTCTTTCTCAGTAGAAGGGCGTGGAGTGAAACCTGTACCTGTCAATATACTGCCCCTCTTCGACTGTCCAGATGTCCTTCTAGACTCTTCCGTTTTTGCACCGCCGCCCAGAAGACTGCCAAACTTGCGGACCAACGTCGCGCCTGCGGACACAAGCACAGGTGTTCGTGGCTCTTCCTCCAATCGCTCGGGTTCCATTCGCTCCGCAAACGAAGTGAGCTCTGGGCCTGCGGTTCGTGGAGGCTCTAGCGGATCCCGACGCGCCCTCAGAGTACCGTGCTCGGTCACAGCTTCAGTACCACTATGTCCAAACATGCCAGTCCATCCTCTGGAAACGCTTGGCCGTTGACTGAGACTGTGGCTGCGTCGGTGAGTGGATGCGGGTGGCGCGCGTGGCATGGGCGCTCTCGTTGGGGAGCTCGGAACAGACGTCGTTGTCTGGATGTTGTCTGCGGGTTTCAGCAGAGTGAGCGCAGCGTCACGCGCACGCGGTTGCGCAAACGTGGGTGTAGCAGGAGATAGTGTTGGCCCGGTAGCATCGTATGACATCCCAGAATAGTGAGATGTCTCGGGCGCGGGTAGCCTCGGCAAGAGCATGCTGTAATCTGGCTTCGTAGTGGCAACAGCCTCCTTCTTTCTGAGCGCTGGCTGAGAGAACGGTTTTGCGGCCGCAGGGGCATGTTCTTCGTGTGGAGGTTCAGCATGATTGTTCGACTCGAGGGAAAGCTGCGAGTTCGCGAAGTGTCCTGGACCATAGACCTTCTCTCGTTCCATCTTCTCGCGAGCCAGAAAGTACATTGAAATTAGCGGATGGAATCCATATGTCGGATCTGGTGGCTCGCGTTGACTCGCATCGGTGAGAGAGGTGCGAGATAAGTGCGACTGAGACGTGGGTGGTGAGTGGAACGGTGTATCTGGTGGAGATGAAGTCGGAGAGAAAAGTTTGCGGCGGTAAAAGTCAAACCCAGAAAACCGTTTTCTTCCTTTGGACGGGGTAAAATCGTTCTTGCCGTTTGGGCCGCTATCGAGCGCGATTGAAGAGCTGGACAACGATTCGCCCCAGTGGCGTCCATTCCGCCCGTTCATCGCCATTCGTTTACGCTCCCAGTGTTGCACCGCACGGTAATAACCGTCGGACTCGAGCACCTCCACCAGCTTCCGCTCGATCTCGTCTTCTGTCCCAAACTCGAATCCCTTCATGCCTCGAATCACTTGCCCATCCAGCTCGTCTACGCGCAGCGGCTCGCGATGAACCAGGTGTGAATCCGGCGGGCCGCGGAACCCTCGCACCATCCAAGGGTGGTTGAGCACTTCTGACAATGGTGCACGCGCTGCGGGGTTTGTGACCAGCATGCGCATGAGGATATGTTTGCACTCTATTGTAGGAAGACTTGAATCACAGTAGCAATCGAATAGAAAATCCAAAAAGCTCACCTGCACTCAGCCATACTGGATACTCCACCAGACCCCGTTTGATCTTAGCGTGCAGCGCGGGCATGCTCTGGTCGTCGAACGGCACCTTTCCGCAGACCAGCACATACAACACCACGCCGAAACTCCACACATCCACCTCCGGCCCGGTGTACACCTTCGCGTTCAGCAGTTCGGGAGCTGCAAAGTACAGAGAGCCACAAAATGTCGACAGGTGGTTCACGGGATCAAACAGGTTCGAGAGGCCAAAGTCGATGATCTTGATATTGCCCGTCTGCGAGATCAGGATGTTTTCAATCTTAAGGTCCCGGTGCACGACGTTGTTCCTATGGCAGTAATCCAGCGCACTCCCGATCTGCCTCGCGAACTTGCGCGCCACCCGCTCTCGCAGCCGCCCATGGCTGATGATGTAGTCCAGCATCTGACCCCCGTTTACGTACTCGAACACCATGTAGTAGTGGTGTGGGTGGACGATCATCTCTCGCATCCCGCAGATGTACGGGTGGTGGAGCAGCATCGACAGCGACGCCTCCCGTATCGTGCGGATCTCCTTCGAGGCGTCCCGCGACGCTTGCTTCGCCGCCGCGTCGGAGTTCATGACGCTCCCGCTGGGCGGATTGGCCCGGGGCAGAATTTTGACTGCGAGCTGAGCCGTCGGCGATGACTCCGTCAGTGACAACGAGGTCGACATTCGTTACAGCCCAAGCCTTACTCACCTTCTCGCCCGTCAAATTGTGGTGTGCCAACTTGACCTTGCCCATGCTCCCCGCTCCAAGGGTCTTACTCAGGGTGTAGTCGCCGAGTATCCTGTTTGAGCTGCGAGGCTTTCCCTGCGGGGTCGCATCGCCACGTTGCACATGCCGTCCGCCGTCCTCTGCAAAATGCCGATCGCGCTCCGACGGAGAGGGCGCTGCGAATGTCTGCGGCGGCATCGACAGTGGTCGCGGCTTCTGAGTTGATGCCGGACGACGTGGAACTGGAGCTTGAGAGGTTGTTGGGGAATTTGGTAGTTGGGTCTGTTCTTGAGCAGCCTGAGAGAGGTTGAAAGGCGCAGCAGAAGGGGGACTTTTCTGCAGGATTGGAACGTCGAACTCGTGGCCGGTGACCATTCCGCCATGCGAAGGGGTCAAGGTACCTTCTTCCGAGACTTGAGGAAGCGGTGGGTATGCCAAAGATGCTGGATATGCGGCCATATACCCACGCAAAGTCTATAGGAACAGTTCTGGACGACTTCGCGTCGAGGAACGCTGGACGATGTTGGCAAAGGTAAGAATGAAATACAAGTCCAAAAATGGATCATTACCATAATTCTTGGATTTTTACACACGCGTTGCGGGCATAGTTATGTAAAATGCTAGCCTAAACCTCATGCAAATTTTGGAACGATTTCTCAAAGACAAGATGAATCATCAACAGTTTTCACTAACTATAGCTTGACTAAGAGCTACAGCGTACTGGCAAGTGACAAGAATCCATCGTTGCATAAAACAGACATGGTAAGGACATTACACCAGGATCCACCCATCTAACAGCTGGAACAGCGGATCACTATGCCAATAGATACTTCACTATTTACCAAACTCTGCTCCATGAAAAGTACATGGCGAGTGACTGTGGATTGCGAAGGCCGATAAAGCATCTTGAAAATCTCATGCACAAGTGCATGACTGCCACAAAATATATTACTCACAATCTGAGCACAAGCAGGACTAGATACCATCTGCTTGTATGCGTACAATGCATAAGACAGAAGACTGCATGGCTTTCACGTAGTCTTCTTGTCCTTTACAGGGAGCCATTGTACTGGATGTCGGTTATACACAGGCCAGTGGGGCAGAACAACCTGTAAATGATATGTCAGAACCAGTAGCAGTGACGTGGCAGTCGGAGTCACTCACCAGGCAAAGGACAATCACAGAAAGTGCAAAAATGCCGAATGTAACCTGCAAGGACTGTAGTGCAAAGCCAAGCAGGAATGAAAAGATCTATAGCAACATCAAACATTATACATTGGGAGAGTATCCTCTCAACTCACTGTCGAGCTGATGAGAGTTATTTTCACGATCTGTTCTACAAGCTTCTGCCCCTCGAAATCCTATCCATTGGCCACCGGCTGCACGTTAGGTTAATTCACCTCCAAGGCCAGATTACTCACAATTTTCCCATCTAGTAATTGCTGCAGGTATTCGTTCATGATGAGGATGCGTTCGGCGCCTCTTGGTCTCGCAGTGATGATGTAGTACCACGTGATCATAAAAGCTGCGTCTTGAAGTCGGACTCAGCTTCTACCACCGTACTTGCTGTACTACTACGGTCCAATTTTACTTCAGCCTGCAACGTGGAGCAGCGTTTACTATGGAAGAAAAGACCGACGTCAGTAAGTCCCTTCCGGAGTCCAAATATTGCTCGCGACCCAACTTACCAAGAAGCAGGCTTCCAGTTTACTGTACTACTTTGACAATCTCGCGTTCAAAGTTGTCATCAATACATAGCGGGTGGTTCGAGTCTTTCAGACGCATCTGACACGGTCTTGTTCCTAATACCTTTTCGCCGATTCGTCTGTGTGCTCAGCAACGTGTCTCGCTGTGACTCTAGGCCAGCAGGCCGGGCAAGAGCGACGAAGGCACCGCTATTCGCTCATTTCCGTCCGCAACCTCAATAAGGCCTCAATTGAGGTACCCAAGCAGTACCCAAGCGCTAGAAACACTACTTATCGCCTGCTATCGCTGCTGGTGGAGACTCCGAGTCGGAAATATGCGCAGGCACGAGCCTCAGGCTTGCCTATACTGTAATGCTGTACTCACGCTCGTTCGCAATCAATGTGCAGCCACTATCCTATGGACGAAGCATCGTGGCCCTTCTTGAGGCGATATCTGGTGACATTTCCCAACGGACCAATAACTCTATGATGGACAAGAACTGGTTGCCAGTGTGCACCGAATAACGGTTGACATCTCGCTCTCCTCTGAGAGGGTATACCACTTGTCATGGTGCGTCCATTGCGACTTCGCCTGTTCTGCAGCCAGGTGAACCGAGTATTTCATGTGATGGTATCTGCAGATTCTTCCAATTTGACATCGCTGCATGCTAATCCCGGTTACAGAGACTGGTCGATTGTACGATGTAAGGCTCATACAGGAGCTCGCGTAAGAGTCTGGCGATAACAAGCTCACCGCTACTTCTCATAAGTCGCCCGACGCGTCAATCGTCTACGTCGACTTCCGAACTTGCTACTGCCTTCGCTACCGACCCGCGAAGTTGGGGAGCCCAGCCACATGCCACCAGATGGGAGGCTGTACTGTCCAAGAGGTGAATTAGCACATTGCTGTGTTTTCTTGGGCGCCCTGCAGGCTGCCTAGACCTTCCTCCCGCTCACAAAAGGTCCGTGCGCCCAAGACATGCTAAGGCAGTTGTCAAACTTGATCTCACCTTTAGTTCTTCCGCGTGGAGCATTGTAGCGGCGACTTTAACTGACAGGAACAACTTCCATTCTACATGTGATCAATCTTTTATTGTCAAGCCCTTCGGGCGCTTTAGCGCTGGCCATCCGGCTTGTGGGGAGGGAGCTGCAGGAAGTCGGCAGCAGTCATGTCTGCTGACAGTCTTCCATGTTGCATAACGAGACGGGTGTGCTAGAACCTAATATCAGTGGTGTACTCAGCTCAGTTTTGTCTAGATCTGTGGTCAGCCACACCCTTCCGGTATATTCTGGTACTATTGGGCGCTATGCGGTCATGATTGGCTGATAGCCCCGCGTGCTACCGGGGAGTGCGCAGTGCAATGTATCAGACGGTCTTGTGGTGTATTCCCACAATTGGCCGGTCTCTGGGTGTTTCTGCTGACGGTTTCCGTCGCGAAACGAACTTTCTCCACCTTTTTGAGGATTGGAATGAGATCTCTTGCAGTGCGGTCGCAGTTGATTGTCCACTGAGATTCCGTGGTCATGCCGCCTTCGCCAATCCACAGCGCTACGTGCTCATCGGTCTATATATCCCATAGTCTGCGCAAGGACGCAGTTAGTGGTAGGCTAGAGTAAAGGTATCAGTCGTCGATGATAACAGAACCGTTGTTGTGTTCTCTGCGCCTGAAGGGACGCGCGCCAGAGTGAGCGCCTATGATACCGTAAGCTCTCATGCATGCCATGGAAGATCTATCAAGAGAATGTCGAGCGCTGGGTGCCGTCCGTTGTAGATTCCTCTTGTTCGACTCGGTAATTATTTCCCCCCTTTCACCCGCACGTCGTCGCGTCTCCCTCAGCGCACAGCGTGGTCGGAGAGAGCTCCCGCGCGAAGCTGTCCAACGCTGTCTCGGAGCACGTGGTGGCCGGAGAAGTCATCGCCTCTGCTGAACAAGTTCCTCACTCGGTCGCGGAGTGGACAACTGTGGCGTCTTGTCGTTGACGACCAGTGACTGATATACCGTACATATTCTGGCCCATGTCGCACGGCGCTGAACCACTGCGAGGCCGGACGACAGAATTGACTGTGAATCTCCAGCGTCTGATTCCCAACCCCTCCACTGAACCCATCAATCCATCTCAGGGACAGTCCGGGTCTGAAAAGGCGCGGAAGCACTTACCTGCAGGTTTGCATCTGCCCTCATCCATTGCCAGACTCATCCCTACATGCTTTGACGTTCTGTTTAGCGGACCTTCCTGGCACCTGGACGTACTCCACCAGGAGCGCTTCGTCGCATCCTTCGCCTGGCAGCCAATTTTCCGAATCCAAATCCAGCCCAACTCTTCTGCATCAACAGCAGCAGCCGTCCTCAATGAGTGGGGCACCTCCGATGTGGTATGATCCCGACCAGGCAGTCGTCCCATACGAGTCAAATTATGAACAATGGGTGGAGAATTACGAGCTGTCGCAACAGTCGCAGCAGCATACTTTTAGTCAAGGCGTAGCCCAGGGTGTCAGTGCTGGCCAGGCTTCCTTTCAACCGCAGCAGCAGCAGCCGCACATTCAGCCACACCCGCTGTTACAGCATGCGCCCACGCACCCACTCAGTATTCCAGCGGAGCGCGTTCAGCCGCCTCCACGAAACCAGTACAATTTCGTACCGGACCCATACGTGCCGCAGCCAAGCGGCCAGGACAATTACACCGGCCACTACCCACAGACCTCAGCGGGCAACCGTCCACAGCGAAGTCGTCTCCCCAGAACGCGACAAGGGCAAACGTCTGCGGTACCTTTTACTTTTACAGCCCCATTACACGCTGGAGAGTTGGCCGACAGTTTCAGCGTTTCGGGCTCTGACTACCGACACCAGCACCAGTCCTTCCCTCTCCCACTGTCGGCCCCCACGAGCGATACTCTCTACTATCATGATGCTATGCAGTCCGATCTTATCTCTGGTACTGATCCCCCGCCGCAGCAAAACTTCATTTTCACGGAGCATCAGCATCCAGGTTCATCCTCTGCCCCCAGGCCATCTGTAACGCCTTCATCTGACGCGACGAATGTATCCTCTCTTTCTCCGAGGTCGTGGGTCGGACCCGATGACCTTTCGTACCAAGGCGATACGTCCAGCCAGCAAGGAGGAAGTGTCACCGCTTCTAGCTCCCAAACCCGTATGGGTACTTCCGCTTCGCCGTCTGCTCCGACACAGACCTTTGGTGGGGCACAACCTCACAACTCTACGAAAGGCAAGGATAAGTCGCATCGTCCGAAGAGACCTCGCGTTGACAGCGACAACCTCTCCGATGACGACGAGCCACACACTTTGACGATGAATGTAATCATGCCACCCCAAACTGGCGCCGAAGGTTATCCGATCACAACGAGACTGTGGGTAGTTTGCCTCGCGCCGTATTCATACTGGTTTGCTCATTTCGTGCCTCTTAACTATCGTTCCTCTGGCCATTCTCACTCTTCCCTGCGGGACTGCTTTTCGGAAATATTACTTTCCATGCCACTACACCTCGACCGAACGATCTTGGCACCGGACATTTCATCTCACCGGTGCTATTTGCACTCTCCCTCCGATTGACTCGTTCTTTCGACATGAGCCAGTCCTGGTGCTTGCAAACACTGTAAGAAACTCAAGGCACGTAGTCATCATCACTGAGCTGTCGCATGACTCCTAATGCCTTATTTGTGCTCTACCATTTCTCCTGTCTCCGCTCCGGATCGTTGTTCCATGCTCAGATGAAGTGCACCTTCCCTCCCGGGGAGAACACGTGCAACCGCTGCAGGGGGACGGGACATGTGTGTGTTGTCGAAGGAAGAAAGCCTAGGAATGCCCCAAAGTGAGTGTTCTAACATTCCGGCGCTTGTAGGATGCTTGCGTCGATGGTTTGGTTCCGGAACATCGATGCTTAAGTATCTGAGACTCTGCATTGCCGGCCCCCCTGTCCTCCAGTGCATTGGTGGCTTTACCCAATGACTTCACGTGCACCGTCATCTGAGCGAGAAACGCCGCCTAGTTACTCATCAGCGCCATCCTCTTGCAGTAAGCGAGAGTATCTACTCGCACAGATTCGCCAGAAAGATGCGATGATTGAAAAACTGCTTCGAGAGGTTCGTAGCTACTTTCGCTGTCAGTCCCGATGGCTCATCTTCCGTTAACGCATCCCCATTTCGGTCCGGCAGCTCCATAATCCGTACACGGCAACTCCTTTCTCCATCGCGTCATACCGGTTGGCGACAAACCCTTCAGATCGCAACAAGGAGAGCGTCATCGACTGGCTGGATCGCCTTGAATCTAGCGTACAGCACAGCGGCAAGTCGAAGGGTCTAGAGGCGTTCACGGAATCGCGTGCCGGCAATGACACGGGCGATGATTCCGAAGACGAAGCGGAGGATGGGGGCGGCCGCCCAACCGTCCGGGGCAGCGTTCTCGGGTATGGTACCATAGATGATTCGACCAAAGAAGCGCATGATCAGATGCAAGCCCTTCCGGATGTTGCCGTACCCATCGGTCTCCTCGCAAACTTGGCCATCAGCAACAGCCCGAAGGACAAGAAACAGAAGAATTCGAACCAGGCCACAGAGGCGGAGGACCCCGAAGATGACGATGTCGTGAGTTTTATAACTGGGTGCGAGCATTATCACCGCGCTGAGAATGCGACAGGGCTTTGCGAACAGACGGTATTTCATGCCAGGCAAGTGACTCCACCCGATAAGCCGCAACTTCATTGACGTGCGATTAGGTCCTGCGTATGATCTCGGTATTCGGGCGTCGTTGATCCAGAGCCACTCGCCTCCTGAAATCTTGGTTCACGGACTCGTCACGCCAAGTGATGTCGAGGAGCTCTTCAAGATGTGGGTTTATGTGATCTTCGTCGTTCTTAATTGTACTAACCATCCCATCTCAGCTTCTATGAACGCTTGAATGTGCGTTAAGTTTTCTCTGGCGGAAGCACATTAAAGATTAAACCTGTCTAGGTCCACGTTACCTTACTTGACCAGGATATCCATACTCCTGCGATGACATTCGCCAGATGCCCATTTCTGTTCACTGTTGGTCAGTGTTTTGTGGCACGCACACCACAATTGCCTGATAATTTTCAAACAGTCTGCGCGATCGCTTCTCGATACTACGAGCCGAAATCTGAGATTTACCCCATTGCCATGCACTTCGCGAAGCGGGCAGCCGCGGATGGTCTGCTCAATGGATGGAAATCAGTCGAGCTCTCTCAAGCGTATATCTTGTTGAGTACCTACGGTGTTCCAGCGCGCCGATGGGAAGAGGACCGCAGTTGGTTGTACATTGGACTGGCTATTCGGTAAATCCCCTCTCTTCGTTTCGAGTGCTTATCAATGTTGGTTGTCAGCATCGCCACGGATCTGAATTTGCAACAAGTGTCTACCGTCCAACCGAAGAGCGATTCGCATGAACGTGAGATTATAAACCAGACCCGACTCTGGATGATTTGCTTCAACCTGGATCGTTCGATGGCTACTCAATTCGGGAAGCCCGCCACGATCAAAGAGAACTAGTATGTCGATGCCTCAGCATATAAAGTATTGTATCTTACCGTCTCCGTCCGTACAGCACTATACGGACATCGGAGAATTGGTACAGACGGTCGCGATTCAATCATCCTGTGGGCTGGGCCGCCATCTGCGTGTCGATATATATCTGATGCTTTGTACTACGCAGTATGACGTCGGCCTCTGCGCTTACACTCAGATGTTACGGATAATGGCCCGCTTCCATGAGGAAATCTTCTCTGACCCTACAGCACCATCGGGTCTCAATCAGGTAGCGTTCCGGCGTTTTATACCCCTTTGGATCGGTGCTGATGAGAGATAGGCTATCGACTTCCACGAGGTTACGTTGCGTCATGACGAAGACATGACAAGGTACTTTGAGGATTGGACGCGAAGATTTGAGGAAGATTCCGATTTACAAGGTGTGGGTTGAACCTATGCCTATCTATAAAGCTCTTATCTGGGTTTTCAATTCCACAGAGCCGGCTTACGCTTTCCGCGCATCGCTGTTGCCGTTGTCAGTTGTTCTGCTTTGCGCTACTGCATCGCCACTCACAAACGATGGGACAGCCTGACCAACTACTCAAGACTTGTCATGTATTCGTTTGGATTCCAGCAGGCCTTTAAACGTGGGATGCAGCCAGGCGATCAGATTTTCCTAGACAAGGCTCGTTTTTATTTTATTTAAATTTCTTATCGCTGACCATAGCTATTCATGGGAATTCCAGTGCTTTCAATCTGCGAAGTCCGTTATCTTGTGCATGATCGAGTCACTGTCCCCGGAATATATGCGATACTCCCCTGATGGTGAAGTCAATTCAACTCGCATAAATGCCATTTCGTTCATCTGTCTACAGGGCATTTTATCTTCGCATCATTCGCGTCCGCGTTTCTGCTCAAGGTGTGCTTCCCTCTGGCCTTTTGATGAACCATATATTGAATTCGTATCAGCTGATGCGTCCAGAGTTCGCGAACCTTATTACGAATGAACAGGTGGCGGAGATTTTCGACTTAATCGAAAAGTTGATCCGAAAGCTCAGTTCACGCGAGATTGCTATCGACATGCGCCACACGCCCAACCTACACGCTCGATTCCTTGCAGGACTGTTGAAGAAGTATCGTCGTGATGTTGCCGCAAGTGGCCGTCTCCATCCACAATCTCCTTCCCAAGGCCCAGTAGCGCACGGATCCCATGGCGTACATACGACGTATGCGTCACAGTCGCCTTCCGCTTCATCGTCTACCTCGTCACAGCCTACCTACCAAACTGGCCCTGCTCCGGGGGCGTTCCATGCTACTCAGGATATCGTCGCTAATCACATAGATCCTACGGCGATGATGCAGTCAGAAGCAATGTACGAGGACGCAGCCTATCCAGCTGGAACGGGTCCTATGGACTACAGCTCCGCTGACCTGGTAGAAAATTTGGGTGCCCTGCTCGCGCTCCAGAGTCCATCTTATTGGAATCACATGATGATGCCCGGGTGCGTGTTCGTTGTTTTTTTATGTATGATGGATGTTCATCTGCGATCAGGTACTCGTGGCCGGAAAGCCCGCCGAACATGGCGCACGAAGAATTCTTCAATGCAGCAGAAGGCCTCAACGGCTTCAGCAATTTCCAGACGGCACCGGTTCTGCATGGCTAATACATACGCCGCCTCGCTTTTTCTCGCTCTCGTTTCTTGTATTCTTGAGGAACATGCCTGTTCGACGACTTTGACGATGCACTCGTCGGTGTATCCTAGCATACCAAACTGTTTATTTGTAGTTGTAGATGTGACTGTTTCATAGGTGTCCGTCCCTCTGGATGATAATGCGAAGGTTATAGACCCGATATTTCGAGTCAAATACACGGCCAGGATATACAGACATATGAAGTTCCGAACTTCGATGTTAATCATTCGGCAGGTCGCCTCTGAGATTCTCATAGAAATCCGGGGTGAGCCCCGCGATACCGCGAGCCTCCACGTTGAACGGCCCCTTCACTTCGGCTTTCCAACACCTTCGGACATCCTGCCTGAACGTCTGCACGGGGTCCACGCCTTGCTGTGCGCATATCCAGGTAAACCACCGGTGTCCAGTCGCGACGTGCGTCACCTCGTCTTGGTGTATGATTTCTAGTGCTTTTACGCTCTCCAGGTCGCCCGCGCGCCTAAATTTCTCAATCGTCCCCGGATTCACGTCCAGTCCACGAGCTTCGTGTACCATGTGGATTATTGCCAACCGCGCACGCAGTGAAGAAAAGGTGACGCTTGCGGAACTCCACAGGGCAGCGTGGACGGGGAGGGAGCCGTACGGCGTGCTTGGTGAAATCGCGGCGAGTCGCGCTACGAGGAGGGAGAAATGCTTGGACTCGTCAAGCGCCATCTTGCTAAAATCGGAGAAGAAGGCTGGCGGAAGTTCTGGGTGGTCAGGGCCGAAGCGAGCAATGATGTCCCATCTGTGACGTCTCCGGGAGTAAGGACCAGCAGAACGGGGGAGATAATGCGTGCTTACGCCAAATCAATTCTGCGTGAGAGCCCCGTTACATCCATTTCAGCCTTGCGTCGTCGATCAAATGAAGACAGCACTTACGCCCACTGTTCCACATTGGCCAATGCGTGTAGCATCATGGCTTTGTTCTTTCGCTTACCGGCCTTTCTTGGGTCTACGAGATTGTTTGTGTATGAATCGTGGCGGGGCGGAACGTCTGGAGGTCGAGGGGCCGTTGACGAGCGATGGCCGATAGATTTTAGTTGGCCTTTTCTGAACAAGTGCACAGCATGTTTCGTTCGTTGGACCTGTGAGATGATGTCACGCTTACTCGGCAGCAACGGACCAGACTGCTTGCGAAAAAAGAACCGACCTTCATGGTTGGATCTTTAGTGTTCAGAATGAGAACCGCCCACTGCATGAGAGTTGACGGCGCTCCTTCAGTAGGCACGACCTCTTCTGGCCGCGTGAAATTATCGCCGCCAGTGCCCTGCGCGGATAATGAAAGGCGTGACAAGTCAGGAGTGGTCGGCGGTGGGTCAGCAAATTCTGTATGCAACACAGGATGTAATTTCGTTATAACGGGAATATGCCCCCAGGATCGCGGAAGAATGACATACCTTCGGACACGGGTCTCAGTTCCACGAGTCGCCAATTGGTACCTCCATCCGGCGTCTCAACCCATACGTTGTCTACCCCTTCATCGTCCGTTCTCACCTGAGTAGCGTATGTACAGGCCTTCAGACCTGTTTCACTTTTGCCGGTTCGGAGGTCAAAGTCATACCTTACGGATTCTGAGGTGAGAAAAAGGTGCTACGATATGCGCTCAACGTACCTATGCCAAGGACAGACGGCAACGGCACCTGTGTCGCACTGCTCGATCTCAGCATGAGAGAGGTCGGCACCGAGATGAGGGCAGCTGGCCTCCATCGCGTAGAGCTGCCAATCATCGGGGTCAGCTGGCCGGACATCCTTCCCGGTCAGCAACTCTTCTGCAGACTTCTCTGACGAAAGGCGGAAGAGAATGAGAGAATGGTAACGATCCCCTTGTGAGCGGAGTGTAAGGAAAAACCGAGAATGTGACAAGAGGTCCTTGTAAGCAGAGACTCTAAGTATTTCCCGTTAGTACGACGGTTCTTCGAAAAAGCGACACGACGTACTGCAGAAATCTCCCTGCCATTGAATTATATATGTGACTCCGCTGAGTTTTCCTGATAGATTCAGTTGAGCTGAACGTAATCCGGAATGCCGGATCCGGGATGACCTCGGAGGTACTCGAAGTTAGATATTTTTTCCCAGTTACGCAATATATTGGGAGACATATATCTACGGAAGCCCTACTCTATGCAGGCTGCGGTGATGTTGGATATCTATCCACTCTTGCGAAACAAGTTAATATATTTGGCTGAGATTCAGGCCTCAGGGAGCATGAGGGAGCTCGCGTGAGGTGAGAGTGTGGGGAAAGACCCCGGGGGGCGCACGCAGCCCGCGCGCCGGGAAATAACTTGTAAATGTGCATCCGTTGCTTCGTAGAATTTGAAAATTTGACCCTACCCTTCTGCACCAACAAGTACACACAGGCTTCCTGGCCTACTAGCTAGGCTCCCTGCGAGCGCTCCAAAGCATGCGTACGATAGGATCAAGAAATTCAATGATTGAACGCTTTGCTGCCAGGCGTCGAGGATCGAGGTGTGACAGGGCGTCTTAGCGGCTGCGACCAAGCAGCCTGACGATGTAAAACAATATGCATTGCTGAAGTCATGGTGAGCTCGTGGTGAGCTCGTATTGTTTCTCGCTTGTTTCTGAACCATTTGATTTGCAGGCATTGCGTAATTTACGGCGCTATGGCTCTGCGAGACGAAGTTTAGGTGACCTTAGCGGTGCCCAGTCTCTATCCAGCTGTAATGCAGATCTCAGTTAGGATCGTGTGAGCCGGTGCGCTACCGGCGAACACTCGGAAACAAAACAGGAACGAAATATCTTCGTGAGAGCGTACAGAAGAGATCTCAGTAAGTACGAGGTAATGTACAACTGTAGAGCAAATAGCACATACCTTCGTGAGAGCGTACAGAAGAGATCTGAGGCTCTGACGAAGGCGCGAGTCGAAATATCAACCAACACGGGAGATGCCGCGCTGTAACCCCAAGGCGGGGTTACACTCCTCCCCACCGTGAAAAATTGGATCAGGAGAGAAGGAAGAGACGAAAAAAAGGAAAAATAATAGACCGGAGTTGTGAATTAATGCGGGTGAGAAAGTAAGTAGGAGTCGAGCGTGGCGAGTTCGTTGACTTCTCGGCCTGGGAGCCAGACGTCATGTTCAGGTCCATAACCTTTGAAGCGTACTAGGTACTGGAAGCCGCGACCACGGGGGCGGTGGTCAACGATGGTTTTGACTTCCCACTCCTCGACACCATCTTCAGTGATAAGCGGTCCTGGGTGACTGTGTTGGCGTGAAGGGAAGAGTGAGGCGTCGTTGTCTTTCCAGGGCTTGAGAAGCGAAGAGTGGAACGTAGGAAAAATGTGCATGGAAGGGGGAAGGTCAAGGGTGTATACGGAAGACTCGGGGTATGCATGTAAAATAGAATATGGACCATCGAAGCGCACCATGAATTTAGCAACACGGTGGTCCCCGCGTTGCATGTAATCTCTCCGTCGGTGGAAGGTGGAGAGAAGGACGCGGTCACCTACATTGTAGATGATCTCGTCGCCTCGCGAACAGTTCGCCAGTGCCACCTGGTTCACCTTCGCGAGGAAGAGATTATCTTGCGCCTCCAGAACATCGGTTTCGATGGATGCAATGAGTCTGGAGGCGAGGTCCGCTTCTGATGAGGGATCGTCCGCCAACGATGTCTCGAGAAGCAGAGGTATGATGCGAGGGGAATGGCCCATGAGTAATTGGAAGGGGGAGAACCCCGTAGACTCGTTAACGGTATTCATGATGGTGAAACGAACGCGTGGGAGAGCGCGTACCCAGCCACGTTGGTTTCGCGCAACATGATAACGGAGGGCCTGGATGACGGTCTTATTGGAACGTTCGGAAGATCCGTCGGTCTGGGGGTGGTATGCGGAGGACATCTTCAACTTCACGCCTGTCAGTCGATGAAGCGATTTCCAGAAGCGACTGACGAATAGCTTGTCGCGGTCAGAGATGATGTCGAGTGGTAGCCCGTTCTCGCAATACCAATGGTCGAAAAATTGAGCTGCGAATGCTTCAGCTGAGACATCCATCCACGTGGGTATCAAGCGGATGTCGGAATTGAGATGATCTGTAATGGTGGCGAGGCAGTCGAAGCCGTCATCTTCGGGGAGTGGTCCGACAAAGTCGATGGCAATGCTGTCGCAGCGACCGGGTGGTACAGGTAGAGGGTGTAGAGGTCCGGGAGGTTTTTGAGTGGATGATTTGTTGCGTTGACAGTCCTCGCAGGAAGGGACATACAATTCCTCGAGCTCTTTACGCATGTGAGGCCAGTAGTAGGCATCGCGGATGGCTGCGTAGGATTTATCGAAACCGAAATGGCCGAGTGTATCGTGCGCGAGGCGGAAAATCCCTTCCCGGATTTCCTGCACGTGCGGTATGACGAGACGGTCACCGACATAAAGTAGGCCATCCTGTTCGCGGACGCCAACAGATGGCAAATTGTCGCGAAGTTTAACGCACCACTTGTCGTCGTGATAACCTGCATGGATTAACGTTAGCCAGGATGGGTCGGAAGCGATGGACAGGCGGGACGAAGCGCAAGCCATGGTACAGGTGGCCTCTGGTATAGCACAGAGTGACAGTGTGGCGGTATGAAGAAGGAGGATAGCTCCGCAGGACAGTGGGTTGATGATCTTGGTATCTGGCGGGATACGCGAGAGGACGTCCGCAGCGATATTCTCTTCGCCTTTGATATATTTGATATCAAAGTCATATTGCGCGAGGAACTCCTGCCACCGTGCTTGGCGTCGAGAGAGCTCCTTCTGGCGGAAGAAGTTCTCTAGGGTCCTGTGGTCGGTGTAGACTGTGAACGGTACTCTAAGGAGGTCCACGTGCCATTTGCGCAATGCACGGACAATGGCGAGCAGTTCCTTTTCATGGACAGGGTAGTTGAGCTCAGCGCCTTTGAGTGTGCAGGACTCAAATGCGACGGGGCGAGCAGTCTCGAGCGTCACACCGTAGGAGAGTAGGGCACCAGTGCGGAAGTCGCTGGCATCACAGGTAATAAAGTCGCAATATGCAGACCTTGTAGGGGACTCAAATAACAGGACAGAGGAGCTGGGCAATACAGCTAGAGTCCAGAAGTAAGTCACTCAGTAATATTGAGGACAAAGTACTCTACTCACCTAGAGTCCAGAAGTGAGTCACTGAGGACTCAGAGTGGACTCTAGGGGGTTTATATCTACCTAGAGTGTGGCTATACAAACCTGTGAGTAACACAGGATTGTGGCTATGAACATAGGCAGGCATAGCTATGCATAGCTTCTACATAGCAGTGCATAGCGCAGCCTGATCAATAGGTATCTAGGTGTACAGCATCTTGCATTGCTTTGAGTCTAGACACTTAAGAGACTGATGGATTATCTAATCTAACACTCCCCCTTAATCCAACGAGTCTTCCCTCTTCAACAGAATGCAAGAGCTCCACATACCTCCCCCTGAACCCACTCATTCCACTACATCCCAATGTTCCTCGTCACACGATTTAGACTTGAATGGATGTTCGGCTTCCATCTCGCTCTCACGCAGCATCATAGATGCAAGGTCGTCCAACTCATCGAACTGCTGAGTGGTGAAGTGCAGTGAGTGTCGCCGAATGTGAGCGCGAGGTGGCATAGCCGGGTGAACAAGCATGTGATGAGTCGGTTGATTGGATGCCGGAATGGTAATGCGTTCCAATTCAATGTCGAGCGGGGGTGGTGCTGGCCAGATACGGGTGATGGCATAATAAAAAGAAAGAAGGAGAATGGCAGGGAAGAGCGCCCCTGCAGTAATAAGAAGGGCAATGGCGAAGGTTTTCATAGTGGTGGAAGGGGCAAAGAGATGATTTGAACCGCAGCAGTGAGAGTGGTATATGTGGCAGACAGATGATCCGAGAAAACACCGATCCGACAATGTCCGAGTTATATGCTCTATCCGACAAGATCCGGGTTTTTGACGATTAGATCCTCAAGCCCATCATCTTGCGGCAGTAGATAATCTTTGTCGCTGGCAAGGGCTTTGTCAAAATGTCCGCTATCATCTCTGCAGTAGGAATATATACTGGTGCAATTCGACCTGCCTCCACGGTGTCTCGAAGCCAGAAGAAGCGCAGATCCAAGTGCTTCATTCTGCCATGATGTTCTGGATTTTTAGAGACACTGATTGCAGACTGATTGTCCATGTAAAGTGTAGAGGCTTTGGACACTGTATACCCCAGTTCTGTGAGAAGATTACGCATCCAGAGGATTTCCTTTCCTGCTTCAACTGCAGCAATGTACTCGGCTTCTGTGGTGGATTGGGCAATAAGGGACTGAAGCTTGCTACTCCAGCTAATAGCACCTGTGCCCACTTTTACAAGGTAACCACCAGTGGAGCGACGGTTATCCCTCTCACCACCAAAGTCTGAGTCCGTGTAGGTTAGGAAGAACTCCTTTACATCACTGGGACCATAGTGCAGCCTTAAGTCCATTGTGCCCTTCAGATAGTGGAAGACATGCTTCACAGCAATCCAATGTGCAGGACCAGGATTGGCATTAAAACGCGCAAGACATCCAATGGCAAACATGATGTCTGGACGAGTGGTGATGGCCAAATACATCAGTGCCCCTACAGCACTGAGATAAGGCACTTTGTGCATATATTCTGCCTCTTCCTGTGTCTGAGGTGCAAGGGCCTTTGAAAGCTCTGCTCCAGGATCCATAGGAGTGCTGACAGACTTGCAGTCAGAGAGACCATAACGCTCCAGCATATCCACTATATACTGGCGCTGTGAGAGTGAAATGGTATGCTTTGCACGGTCTCTTTTGATGTCTATGCCCAGCAGAAACTGGGTAGATCCAAGGTCTCGGAGTTTAAAATATGACTTTAACTCCTTGACAGTGTCATCAAGTGCCTTCTTGGACTTTGAAGCAAGTGTCATATCGTCTATAAAGACTGGGACAATAATGCGCACATCTCCCCTAATGTACACATAGATGCTTCTGTCAGACTGAAGACGAGTGAAGCCCATTTTGGTGAGCACCTCATGAAGCTTCTTGTTCCACTGGCGTGCACCTTGCTTCAAGCCATAGAGTGACTTATTTAGCCTGCAGACCATTTCTGGACCACCCTGGTGAAACCCCTCAGGTTGTTGCATGTAGATCTCTTCCTCCAAGTCTCCATTTAGGAAGGCAGATGAGATATCCACAGAGTGAAGTTCTAGATCCTCTGCTGCAGCAAGAGCTAGAATAAGGCGCAATGCAGGTTGACGGAATGTGGGAGCAAAGACTTCTGTGTAGTCAAAGCCAGGGCGTTGACTGTAACCCTTGGCGACTAGTCTGCCTTTATAGTGCTCTACAGAACCATCTGCATTGTGCTTCACCTTGAACACCCAGCCTGAGCCTATTGCCCTTTTGCCTGGTGGCAGTGGAACAATGTCCCATGTGTTATTGGCCATTAGAGACACAATCTCTTCATTGGCTGCTTGCTGCCACTTATCAGCATCAGGACTGCCCATAGCCTGTTTATAGGTCCGAGGGTCTGCTCCAGCAGATAGACCAGCAAACTGGACTTCAACAAAGTCAGCATCTGCATCTATCACATCCAACTCGTCCTCAGACTCTGCATCCTGCATAGGTGGTGGTGAAGTTCGCATTTTCCAGGTGGGCCTAATGTTGCGAGGTACCCGGCGCTGAGCAATTGGACGATGATCTATAGGTTCAAATGGAGGAGGAGTTGGAACTCTATGATGCTCTGAAGGATCTGGTGGTGGTGGAGTTACTGGATGCTCAGGTGCAGGTGGTGCAGGTGGTGCAGGTGGATCAGCTTCTGAAGCAACTGGACCGGGTATAGGATTTGGCACATGTGCACCATCTCCCCCTAAATCCTGTCCAGGTACAGGTGCTACAGGTAGAGGAATAATGTCTGCAGGTGGAAATGACATAGGGGGTGGAGGAGGAATATCAGAAGTGCATTTGAGGCCAGGGAAGTAGCGCTCATCAAAATCAGCACGTTCTGAGATTATAGTCTTTTTGGTGTCAGGATTGTAGAACTTCCACCCCTTGTATCCTGCAGGATAACCAATAAACACGCATTTCTGCATGTGTGGTCCCAGACCTGTACGCTGATCCTTCTGCACATGCACATAGGCAGTACAGCCCCAAACACGAAGATGGCTGACATCTGGCTTCCGCTTGTACCACAGCTCATAGGGAGTTGCACCCTTCACCACTGCTGTAGGCAGACGGTTCCAGACATGCACCATAGATCCAATGCATTCTCCCCAGAAGGAAGGAGGCAGTTTAGACTCTGCTAGCATAGCAGTGATGTCATTGTCCATTGTGCGATTAGCTCGCTCTGCAACTCCATTCTGCTGTGGTCTATTGCGCGTGGTATGTCTGCGCTCAATCCCTGCCTCCTGAGTAAACTGTATAAAGGCATTGGACATGTACTCCCCACCCTTGTCATCCTGGACAGCCTTGATTTTTGCTTCAAGCAGATTTTCAGCATAAGCTTTATACTGCTTGAAAGCATCAAAGGCTTCACTCTTAGCCTTTAGCAATAGCACAACCCTGAATCGGCTGTAATCATCTATGAAGGTGATCCAGTACCGATATCCTGAGTGTGTACACACAGGCAGAGGTCCATGGACATCTGTGTGAATTAATTCTAGGGGTTTGGAGGCATGACTGTCCGATGTAGGGAAGGGATTGGCATGCATTTTACCGGCCAGACATGGTTTGCAAATGGGGTCAGGCTGCTGCTTTGAATTCAGCATAAGACCAGTCACTAGCTCCTCTCTAATCATCTTTTGGACATCGGCATAGTTGTGATGAGCAAAGCGACGATGCCAGAGATTTAAATCAAGAGGGACTGTGGTTATAGCCTGTGCAGACTCTGGAGCTGGTTGTACAGTTCCATCAAGAAAGGCAGTGTAGTTCTCTGTGATAGAGGCAACAAATAGAGTCTGACGAGAGTGAAGGAAGGTCATGAACTTGGACTCTATGTGAATTCTGAAGCCTTTCTGACGAACTAAATACAGACAAGAGAGGAGATTGTTCCTGAGCCTTGGGACATGCAGCACCCTAGTGAATTCCACAGGCCTGACTGCTTTCCCTGCAATCACTGGATTAAATACAACTGTTCCCACCCCAGCAGACATGACAATGGTGTTATCAGCGAGTTTGATTGGAATGACCAAAGGTTTGTAATTTCTAAGCCAGTGGTGATGAGGTGTCATATGAGAAGTGGCGCCTGTGTCTGCATTCCAGTCAAAGTCAGCATCAAGCTGAAGTGGGTCAGAGAGACTTGCTTTGCCAGCAGACTCTGTGACAGTGGTAGGGTCAACCTGAGTGGTATTCTGGGTGGCAGCAGCAGCAGCAGTAGCATTTGCCTTGTTTCCACGCTTAGAGCGGCGCTCTTTGCGATTTTTCTTGGCTTTCTTTGAAGCATTCTGGAAAGCATAGCAATTGGACTGTGTGTGTCCTTTGCCCTCACAAAAATCGCAGGTGAGCTGTGAGGAGGAAGCAGTGGTGAGTGCTTGATCTGCTTTGGGAGGGGAAGTGGTGCGATGACGACGATTGATTTCCTCTGTGACAAAAGCCTGGGTGACAACATCTTTGCTCAGGATATCACGCTGAAGTAGCGCAGAGGTAAAAGCGCCATATTCCTCCACAGGAAGAGCACGAATCATAGCCATGGAGGTTAACTCTTCATCCAGCTTTGTCAGATTAAAGTCATTAGGGCGAAGGTCTTTAACACGCTGCATGGCAGCATTGACCTTATTGACAAGCCCTTGAAGTGATTCCTCTGGTTGCTTTCTGATGGAGAAGACATCATCATAAGCATTGAAACGCGCTCCAGGTTTCTTCTGCAGATGAACAGCTGCAAGCTGTTCCCACATTTTGATAGGGTCATCCACCACACCAGCAAAGTGAGTGCGCTGATCTGGTTCCACCATCAAATAGATTTGACCAGCTGCTTTCTCTGCATTGGCCTCCCAAGTGTCTAGCTTGGTTTGCTCAGCTGCTGTAGGTGATCCAGAGAGCTTTGGCTGTGGAAGCTTGCCATTGACAAGTCTCCAAAGGTTTGCAGAGCGCAACCACGCAGCCATTTCACCGCTCCAAGTAGGGTAATTGGAGTCATTGAGTTTGGCAAAGTTGGGAGTGTGGGTAGAGGTGGAAGACATGATGTGGAAAGGGGTAAAGGGTTGTGTGTGATTATGTCTGGTGCTTGAAAAAGTGCAGGATAGTCCTCAGGAGTGTGTGCAGGAAAGGAGGTATAGTAATTGTAACCAGTAAGTATTTACTAAACACCCAGTTGTACAACCACTCAGGTCACTGGGATGATTACCAGGATGTTCCCAAGAAGGTCAAAGGCTGGCCCACTGAAGTGCACAGACCCAACAGTTGGTGTCTTTGTAAATAAAGGATATGCAGCACACTATAAGGACAAGAAAGGCACAGAAAAGTGACCAAGACAAAGCAACAGCAAAGGGGCTAGAGCGCGGGGCTCATAACCTAATAAAGTCGCAATATGCAGACCTTGTAGGGGACTCAAATAACAGGACAGAGGAGCTGGGCAATACAGCTAGAGTCCAGAAGTGAGTCACTCAGTAATATTGAGGACAAAGTACTCTACTCACCTAGAGTCCAGAAGTGAGTCACTGAGGACTCAGAGTGGACTCTAGGGGGTTTATATCTACCTAGAGTGTGGCTATACAAACCTGTGAGTAACACAGGATTGTGGCTATGAACATAGGCAGGCATAGCTATGCATAGCTTCTACATAGCAGTGCATAGCGCAGCCTGATCAATAGGTATCTAGGTGTACAGCATCTTGCATTGCTTTGAGTCTAGACACTTAAGAGACTGATGGATTATCTAATCTAACAACAGGAGACAAAGATATGATTGTCGCCCATGTTGTCATGGTCAATAACAGTCAGAACCTCGCGGCTACAGACGAGAGATTTGATGTTATCAAAGGTGGTTTGATGCTTCGTATCCCAGGTGGGGAAGTTGAGTTCAGCTTCCTTGGTCGTAAGGGGGTTGAGTACGAGCGTGAGGTCAGCGAGCTTGGGGAGGAAGGGTGCGATGTATCGTACGAGACCAAGGAAGGCACAGACTTGGGAAGCATTGCATGGTACTGACCAATTCAAGATCTTCTCGACTTTCTGCAGGTCAGCCTCAATCCCTTTAGAGGAGATGCAATGCCCAAGAAAGGACAGTTCAGTTAGGAAGAGGGAAGTCTTCTTATCTGAACAGTACAAATGGTTTTTGTGCAGGGCCTGGAGAATGGTGCGCACATTAAGGATATGTTCCTCCAGGCTCTGTGACCAAATGACAATGTCATCGAGATAGACGTGGCAGATCTTACCTATCAATGGGCGGAGTGCAGCAAACATCTGGTGCTTATGGGTAGAAGGTGCATTGCAACAACCCTGCGGCATAACGAGCCATTCGTAGAGGCCAAAGGGGGTGGTGACGGCAGTGAATTTGACATCGTCGGGGTGGACGCGAGTCTGAAAGAACGAGTTTGTCATGTCGATCTTACCCCAGATCTTGCCTTTAGCACAGTCAGTGAGAATGTCGCTGATGAGGGGGAGAGGGTGCATGTCAGGTACGGTGTTGGCATTGAGCGCGCAATAGTCATTCACCCATCGAGGTAGAGCTGTCGGGTCAGCGTTTGGAATGAGAAATGCAGGCGAAGCATACGGGCTGTCCGAAGGTCGCATACAGCCTGCGGAGAGATGTCCGTCAAGCAGGTGCTTCCAGGCTTCGCGATACTTCTTTGGGCACGTGTACTGGCGATGTTGTATGACCATGTTTGGGTCTTTGAGGGTGAAGCGGTGGTAGATGTTGGTAGGAAGGTCATTGAGGTGAGGGATGTCATCGGGGAATAGGTCATGGAACTCATGTTTCATCGCAGTGTTGTGCGACTTTAAGCTGCCCTGGTATGCAAGGTCCTCTGCGCGTTGTCGAATGGCTTGCACAGTGGCGATGGCATCAGTCGAGGTCACTTCGCAGTTGATTAGATGTTGTTGAGTGCATTGCTCGAGTTCTCTGAGAAGAGCTGTTGTATCGGGCCTGGTCGCCACCGGGATTGTCTCGCGAGTGTCCAGTTGCCGCTGGATGGGGAGATGTGGTGGTGGCGCAGGTTTACAGATATCACGACCAAAGGATTTATCAACAACGGTGTCAAGTTCGTGATCGACAATGAGGCGATTGGATTTGAGAAACGGACGACCGACAATTACAGGATAACAACAATTCAATACAACGATGGCGCGACATGTGCGGGAGGTCCAAGAAGCATCTTCCGTGGAGACATGGAGCTTCACCCATTCGAGAGAATCCTTCGACTCAGTCCCCCAGACATCTCCTAGAGGGAAGGCTTGAGGGAGCTTGCGATGATGCAAGCCGAGGCGGGTAACGAGTTCTGATCCAATCAGAACTGCAGGTGATCCTGAGTCAATCAGCATCGGTAATAGCACAGAGTCAGAAGAGGTGCCATGAATGATGCTGGACCAAGGGATGTGCTGGACTGTGAAGGGCGTGAGAGGGGACGGTACGTACTCACTCTCGCTGGCAGAGCCAGTGCCGAGGATCTCGGTGGTGGCTGCGAGCGGCTCGGATTCGAGGTTGACTGCACCAACGCTGTAAACAGTGTCATCCGGGATTTTGGTGACAGCGGCGACAGCGGTGCGGGGGCGAGTATTCTCCTTGTTGTGCTTAGCAGCGTCGACGTCTGCTTGGGTGAGGGTGCAGTACATTGCGGCGTCAGGGAAGTCGTTGGTGCACTTATCACGGCCGCGCTGTTCCTTTGGTATGAAGAACTTGCGGCACTTGAAGCAACCGTCGTTGTCACGCAACAGTTTGAGTTCACCGTCGGTCAAGCCTGGGAGCCGAGGGCTCTTAGTGTTGGAGGTGCCTCTGTTGGTAGGTGCAGTGGTGGCCGATTTGGGTTTGTTGATGGCACCGGTGATACGCAAGATATGGGCGCGTTCGTGCATACATACAGTGTCAACCTGCAAAACCTTGTCCTTCCAATCTTTGAAGGAGGCAATCGTGTCTTCATCTTCACATGCGAATCGGAGGTCTTCGCAGATGGAAGTGGCGATTTGGACACGGAGGCGAGTGTCGTCGAGATGAGAGAGGGTGCCACGAAGGACGGTGTTGAGTTTCTCTATGGAGAGAACCCAGTCCTCGAAGGATTCGTCTTCCCATTGGCGCGATCTGAGGAGCTGTGTGAGTACAGCAGAGTCCCAGCCTTTCGGGAGGAAGCGGGCGCGGAACAGGATGAGGAAATCCTTGAAGGACATGGCATCAAACGTGTCTGCGTCATTGTAGTACCAGTCGGAGACGATGGGGTCTTGGAACCCGCCCGTCACCTTGCTGACCTTCTTTTCATTCGCCATGTCATTGTGCTTGAAGTATTGGAGACAGGCGTTCTCCCAAGCATGAGCAACAGCAGGCGTGATTTTGCCAGCAGTGAGGATCGGGGGATTCTTCGAGGACGACTGAGTGACAGAGGCCATGTTCGTGTTGTTAGACATGGTGATTACAATGCGATATCCCGAGTCGGAGCTGCTAGAGGCAGAGGACGTGGAGCGGGAATGCGAAGCAGGTGTATGCGGGTGCTGCTACTGTGTGAGGAAAGCTCGGCAAGATCGCTGGAGGAAAGGCAGGAGATTGCAGACAGTGTGGATGGATCTGAATATGTGACCTCATGTATGTTCTCCACATCGGCAAATGGGAGGATATCGTAGAGGTCGCGTATCAAGGCACGCGTATTGGCCGGCAGGTTGGGCGAGCAATGATGGTTGCGGGGGAAGAAGTGTGGGGTGGGCGTCTGCAAAGGGCGCTCCGTTGGGGAATATCTCAGATGTGTTGGGGCGCTACTTCGGTGGTTGTGCTCGTGCACCGGTAGATCTGTCGGTAAGATGCTTTTGTGGCTGATCTGGCACGCAGATAGATCCAGTGTAGCCTTTTGGCTCGGTGAGTGCGTCCACGGAGGGGCGCCGGTATGGAAGGATAAGTTGTTTAATGTTTTTAAAAAAGTGTGAGCCAGCGCGCTACCGGCGAACACTCGGAAACAAAACAGGAACGAAATATCTTCGTGAGAGCATACAGAAGAGATCTTAGTAAGTACGAGGTAATGTACAACTGTAGAGCAAATAGCACATACCTTCGTGAGAGCGTACAGAAGAGATCTGAGGCTCTGACGAAGGCGCGAGTCGAAATATCAACCAACATGGGAGATGCTGTGCTGTAACCCCAAGGCGGGGTTACAGATTGCAATGACCATAGATATCATTGATAAAAATACCACGGCACCAGAGTCAGCAAAGTGAGTCGAATTCCTACTCGTTCCGTGTCATTTCTCAGGCTATCGCAGATATTATGTGTCTGAGACATCAAGTCCTCGCCGACCAGCCAACTTCTGCCTTCGCTATCGATTATTACCGCCTCAGTTTCGTGGTTCAGAGCGTGATGATGGTCATCATCGATGTCCAGGAAATTCTGCAAACATCACGATGACAAAGGTAAGTGATCGTCCCGTGGCATGTCCTATGCATTGGATGCGAATTCAGCAGTGGTGACTCGACGTCTTGAATTCAGACGTCGAGTTATCGCTGCTGTTTCCAACCGAAGATTGCCTCTGCTCTCACAGAATTGTCTTAGCTTGGTCGGACCTTAGATGTTGATATGGGCGTGTCCGTCCTGACTCTCTCACCGAGTCATAATTCCTGCATGCGACTTCCTTGCACTCATCGATGGACCGATATCGTGGCAGAGGGTCTCTAAATGGTTGAACCCCTAATTCTCATCACAGCACAACGAACACATGTTCTACTGTTGGAGTTCTAGAAGCACTAGCATTGTGGGTCCATGTTGGACAGTGTAGATATGATGGTATTTCCAGAGTAGAAATAAAAGCAGTAGCAACAACTTTAGTGTGCTCGAGCGAAAATGAGATATATAAAGGTGAATGGCAGGATTTAACGGGCTAATGTAGGTAAGGTAGGGAGAGCGTGAAGAGGATTGTCAGGTGGTACCTACTGATAGAAGCAGATAAACCAGAGGTAAACACAATGGAAATCGATGAGCTCGGCGCCTGGCTCGAGACGCGTGCAACGTTGGGCGCCTGCACGCTCTGTACCAGACATACACCACAGGCTTCAGCTATTAAAGAGCAGACTGCACTCCCCGCCATGGCTCCCCAGTTTTCCTTCATCACTGTCTTCCACCGTATCTACTGTCACCTCAGAAACATCATGAGTGACCTGCCCCCCAGTCCTGAAAAGTCCTGGCTCGACGGCTTCCAAACCACCCCCAATACCTACCTCCCCTTCAACATCGATAGACTCACGGACGACTACATCCACCGAGGCTGGCTTGCATCTGACCTGCAAATCAGCCTTCTCGAATTCTTCAAGCATAGGAAGGGCATTAAGCACGAGTTCCTCATCACTACCCTCACCAACTCTGCTACCGGAAAGATGGCTGGATATATCTTAGCCGAGCGGCAAGGAGTGCGCCCTGCTCATGCTGAGAATGATCCCGCCTCATCCACTCACAGCTTTAGCAGCATCTCAAAGTCGTCCTCGGTGTCGTCTACTGCTGCTAAGGTACTCTCCACCAGTTCTACTGAATTACCTGCTTCCAATGTCTTCTATCTGGGGCAAGACCAGAAAATCATGTTGACCTGTGCCAAACATACTGTGAAATCGGTTGTTGTCCGCCACAACCCAGTGTCGCAGAAAAACAGCACAGACTCCATGCTGCTTGTCATCCGGGTCATCCGGATCATCCTCGACTTCAACACCTGTGACGAGCTCATACACCATGCCGGAAAACCAGTACTAAGCAGTTAGTGGTTTTGATGTTATACTTCTGATTAAACTTGTGTGTGACTTCACTGCTTGAAATGCCAAGGGATCACTGACAACACCGTCAATTTACACTGAAATCACAAAAACCAATTACTACATACTTGAGGACCGCCCAAAGCGCATCAAGCCCGCTCAATCGCAGGTATTTCCGGCTCACAGTAACCCACAATCGCTGCGTGAACGCCATAGACACAGCGGACGTAAAGAAAGTCTTCGTAAGAAAGACGAACGCGGTCGCGACACGGAAGACGAGAGTCTGGGATGGGACATTGAACCAGCCTCCGAAGCTGAGATCGGAGTCAACTGCATGCCCGACAAGGTGCGCATTAAAGGCGTGGTGTCCCAGGGCCGAAGCGAGACCAAGGAGAAGCAGTAAGACCATGATCGAGCTAGTGTGCAGGATAGAATGGCGGCCGATTATGCCATCGTGAAGGGGGGGCTTGGATGGAGAGATATCGTCGGATTGTAACTCCGGCAGGTCCTGAGTATCTGGGACGACTTTCGCCAAGCCACCATAGTCGTCCACCGCCGGTACCAGGTTTGCTGGCGTTCGCTCGGATGGGACACCGCAGCGAGGCCAGATTTAGTTAGAAAAGTAGCAGATGACTGACGTTACTCTATGTAAGGGAGAGGGACGTACTTTTGCACTGCGGCGTCCCCGCCAGGTACAGGCTCGTATTCTTGCAGCCCGAGTTCGCGACTTGGGGGCGGCATTTGGATAGAGGAGAGATGTCCTCACCTCCAGGGTGAGGCATCCCACTGTCCACGGAAGATGATAAGGTTGTGTCTCTAGGATCCAAGTAAGAAGACTGCCTACCTTCTTCCGGTCATTGGCAGAAGAAGACTCTCATTGGGCGTATTCCTCTCCCCTTCAAGCTCCTGCAGAGAGATGGACTCATCAGCACGTCAGCGGTCAGCTTGAGGTATTGATCATTAGAAAATAATTTAACAAGATGCACGTAGAAGACTTGACATGTGAACTGGAACGAAGAGCAAAATGAAGCAGTAAAAGGTCATGATCACTGGACGTCGGACACGCACACCTATCCTGAGGTCCGATCTCTCAAATGCTAAGGTTCAACGCATCAACATGACCAGTGCTGTGCACGCTCGTACATTTTGCCGACAGACGGTGGTTGTCAACGTTAGGACCAAGGACAATAAAGCATGTAATTTAGATGACTACACCGCATGAAAACGATCACTACTCGATGACTCTGTCAGCCGTCTACATATGAATCGGCTTATCCCAAGCCGCCATCGCCGCCTCCTTAAATGCTTCGCTCAGTGTGGGCTGCAGCAGTGTTTCTCGTCAGAAAGATCGAACAGGATCCAATCAAGCGACTTACATGTGCGTGACAAGTTCGCGCGATGTCTTCCGAGCTCGCGCCGTACTCGATCGCCACGACCGCCTCCGCGATCATCTCACCGGCGTTGGGGCCTACACACAAACCATGAGCCTCTACCCTATCATGCGCATAAAGTACGCGCGACTCACCCATGATATGCACGCCAAGAATGCGGTCAGTCTCCTTCTCGGTGAGGAACTTGACAAGACCCTCGGTTTCGAGGTTCGTCTTCGCGCGCGAGTTGGCCGTGAAAGGGAACTTGCCGACCTTGTACTCTACGCCCGCAGCCTTTAGCTCTTGCTCCGTCTTCCCTACCCACGACACCTCAGGGTACGTGTACACGACGGCTGGGATCGCGTGGTAGTTGACGTGCCCGTGTCCACTCTTGATGTATTCGACCGCGGCAATACCTGTGCAAAGTCAATAGACGGTCCGAAAGTACCACGAAGAAACTGACCCTCTTCTTCCGCCTTGTGCGCCAGCATAGGGCCAAAGGTTACATCACCGATGCACTTGATACCGTGTACGGACGTGTTGAACTGGTCATCAATGATGATGCGACCCTTAGGGTCCAGCTCCACGCCAATCTTGTCAAGGCCAAGTCCAGTAGTATAGGGGCGACGTCCGACGGAGACGAGAACGACGTCGGCTTCAAGCTGCAGACTTGTCAGAGATGACGAAAGGTGTCCATGAGGTGCGCACTCACCGTCTCCTCCTTGCCGCCCTTGGCTGACTCAGTGTTGACGTAGACCTTGCCGTCGCGCTTCTCCGCTGCAGTAACTTTCGTGTTCAGCAAGAACTTGATTCCCTGCTTGCTGAGCGTGCGCTGGAACTGCTTGCTGCACCGAGCTGAGCACCAAGCTATATGCATAGTAAGACAGAGACTTACGCGATCTCCTCGTCAATACCCGCGCCACCAATTCCACTCAAGAACTCGACGACGGTGACCTGCGCGCCGAGGCGGCTCCACACACTGCCGAGTTCAAGCCCAATGACACCACCGCCGATGACGACCATCTTCTCGGGCACCTTCGGGAGCGACAGCGCACCAGTGGAGCTGACGATCTGGTCCTCATCGATCTCGATGCCACCGCCCGGGAAGGGCGCGACGTCGGAGCCGGTCGCGATGATGATGTTCTTCCCCTCGACCTCCGTCTCGCCGCCCTCGTTCAACTGCACGTTCAGACGCGTCGTCGACAGGAACGACGCAGTGCCCTTGATGTAGTCGACCTTGTTCTGCCGGAACAGGAATTCCACGCCGCTTGTCAGGCTCGTCACCGCGTCGTCCTTCGCTTTGAGCATTTGGGGGAGGTTCAAGGTCACGCCGGCGACTGGTGAGCATAACGTCAGCGCGGGCGCGCATACACAAACGGAGTGGGGCTTACCGTCGATGCCCCGGCGCTGGGTGTCGTGTTGTGTTGAGTGGTAAATGTGCGAGTTGTTGAGCATGGCTTTTGATGGGATGCAGCCGACGTTCAGACATGTACCACCAAGCGCTCCGCGCTTCTCAATGCAGGCAGTCTGCGTGAAAGGATGGTCAACACGGGAACGACACCGGTCGGACAGATACATTTCCCAGAAAGTACACCAAGTGAATTGCGCAAACCGCGAATGGCCGTAAGATCGAGAGTGCGAGCACTCATAGGAGCGGCACGGACAATGCGCGACATACAAACCACAATACCGAAAGTACCCCCATTAACCCGCAGGAATCCCTTGCACGATGATAACAACCCAGAGACAAGAACGATAAAACACGTTCGTCAGGCCGGCACACGTCTGCAGCTCCGGATTCAATAAATGGAAGTAGACGGGCCTCAGCTGAGAACCAGGTCCAGGTCGAGTAACACTCTCCCCATCTCACCGATCATGTCAAGTCACAGCGAAGTAGTCGCTCTGGGAGAAGCTCCAGCGACCGACACGCCACTGCAGAGAGAAGCAAGCTGTGAATTTGAAAGAACCTACTTTCAATCCATGTTGTGCCGCCTTGATTGCTGCAACGTAGCCACCGGGGCCTGGGACAGCGCATGAGCACAAGCTCACACACGACATCCAACAGCTGCATACCTCCTCCAATAATAACTGTATCATATGGCTCCGAAGCTGTCGCAAGCCCCCGCACAACGCTCCATCGACCAACCGAGAGGTGTGCATGACGCAACCGCCGGATGGCGACCTAACCAGCACACAATATTAGAAAAAACAAATCGAGCGGTTTTCTCGACACCCGCACCTGTTGCGAAACCCGCTGTACCTTCAACATCCGGTGATTTTGGTGGGGGATCAGAGAGGGGGAGTCGCGGTCGACGAACGGTCGCTGTGACTTTGTCAGAGCGAGTTGGGCGCCCCCGAGTTGCACCGGCCGAGGGCCCCGACTCCGGGCCAGGTCACGTGGTCCACTCTCCTCCATCTCCCCCCATGGGCAAGACGGGTCTCGTCAAGTCCAGTCAACCAAGCCGATCTCATGAGATTGAATAGACACGCGAATTACATGAATTTGTAACAAAGGCAAAACAAAGGTATAGATGGGACGGGGCCCCGCAGACACCATATCAACCCACAGAATGCTTCCTCACCCGACGAGCGTGAACTTGAGAGATCCTGCCAGGAGCTCATTCAAAGCTCAGTGGCTCCCAGCTGCGGATACGTGCGGAAGGCGCCAGCTGAATCGAACCCTTGAACACGCCCGTAGACGAAAAGATAGGAGATGAGGCCAGGCGCTGCGAGAACCGCGTGTGCGCACTGCCAGGCTGCACGCCGAGTATCGAGCCCTACAATTGACTCCACAACAATCAGTATCGGGCCGTCCACACGGTAGTCCTTGAGCAGACGCTAGACCTAGACGTCTATGAGAACCACGAGCGAGAATCTCATCTTGATGCCGAGATACCCAATTCGCAATAAAACGACGTCACATCTGGACGTATGCAATTGAGTCAAGTTGTACTTGGCCGCATTCCCGAAGTTGAATGTGGTTCGCTGACGGCACCTGCTGTATTTTGAGTCCTGACGGGATCTACTTCTGCGGATCGGTCCGTCCATCTACTCGAGTGCGTCAGCTTGCCTGGTATGAACGGCGCCAAGTATACGTGTTTTGGTAAGACGGAAAAAGGTATTCGTACCTGAGACGTGTCATACATATATCGGGTGATGGAGGGGAGCTCGAGGGGAGACGAATAGAGGGCATGTAATATATTTCGTCGCATCTAAAGTCGCTCGTCCACGTTGAACTTGAAGCTTGAAGGCCAGGACAAACAGGGACCGACTTGGACCTGCCCGCGAGCGCAGCGTGTAAGCCGAAAGCTGAAACAAAGTCACTACAGCAAACCCACCGAGAGCTGAGTGCTGTCGTCTCCGCGCGTGCTGAATGGCTATCCTAGCTTGTCGAGCTGCGAGCGAACAAGTATGGCCCGGTAGCTGGAGGTCCGGCCTGGCGCAATTTAACAAAGGCAGAGACTTCCGTCGCGCCACACACTCTCAACAGAATACCACAGCGGCAGCGGTCGAATACACCGGCACTCAATCCGCCACTGCACCTGGCACAGGGTGGAATTGGTTACAGGGACGTACAGTCTGATACAGTTGCAGGTACTCGAGTACAAACCCAACACAGTCCTTGAATACATGAGGGGTCGCGTCCTAGTCGTTCTTCTTGTCGGTCGGCGCTGGTCCTTCTTCCTGATCCTCCCGGACCCCGCCCTCCTCTGGCGCAGGGGCAGGGGCGGGTGCAGCAGGCGCCTCAGGCGCTTCCTCGGGCCTAGGCGCGGCACCGCGGTGCCCGCCCTCGTCAGGCTTGATGCTCCAACACCCTACAGGCCGTGTCAACCATGCACGCGAAATGGACCAAGCGCGGAGACTCACCGAACATGGCGGCGATGTGCCTGCCGATGTTGCTCTGGAGGGCGGCGAGGAAGAGGGCGCAGCGGACGAGGGGGGCGAGCGGGGGGACGAGGAGGGCGACCAAGTCGTCCGGGTGGTAAAAGTCCTCCTGGGACTCGATGTAGTACAGCGTCTTCCCGCCGTCTTCCTGCACGGGGCGGAGGGTGAGGTGCACGGTGAGGCTGGGAACGGCATAGGGGTCAGCGCGGCGGGCAGGTCGCGGGCTGGGAGGGACACGCACTGGGACGGGGCGGGGGCGAGGGGCGACCAGCGGAGATGGAATAGCTGCTCGATCTGGAGAAAGAGATGGGTGGGGTGCGCGGGGTCGAGCAGGACGCGGCGGACGGTGAGGTCGATGCGCGGGGAGATGACGCGGTACCACTGGTAGATGCCGAGCACGGCGTTGCGCGACGGCGGGGCCGTGCTCGGCGGGACCGCGCAGACCGGGTGCCGGAACGACGCGTCGGGCGTGTAGTACCTGTGTGCGCGACGGTGAGCGACCACGGGAGACTGGGATAGGATGTCGGCGGGAGACACGGCACCTGAGAACGGCCGCCCTCTGGACCTCGGGGCTCACCGCGGCGGTGAGCAGCTGGACAACCTGGGACACTTCTTTCGCGGGGTCTTCCATCTTCTCGACGACAGTCTCGGATGTGAGCAAGATGCCCAACAACTGCAGCCAGGAGCATCATGACGTCATTCTCTGTGCACTCTGACGTCACCCATGCCTCGATCTATTCCATATTACGAGGGACGATATATTTGAAGCCCCCTCACAACATTAAATAATATTCACAAAATGACACTATATAGCATGCGCATCGCGACCAGCTGCAACAATCGTCTGTCGCGCCTTCGCCTCACCTCACGCGAGACCCTCGAACGACTAATGATCCACAACAGCACACCGCTCACACCTTCGCCTCCGTCTTCATCCACTTCGCCTCCGTCTCCACACGTGGAACAGCAGCAGCCAGCTCGCGCATCAGCACGCCAAACGCGGGCAGTGAGAACGAGAGTGGGTTAGCTGATAGGTATATCTGTTCAGCTGGAGCTCTGGGACTGTGCAACTGAAGACACTGACCGTACCCAAAATTTGATGTAATCCTCCTACGACAACGAGCATACCCACCCCACATCCGAGGACCTCAAACCATTCTGCTAGTGTTCGCGTGTCCGTTAGCTCATAGAGTAAAGAGCTGATAAGGGATTGACCTGTCGTCATACGGTTGATCGGAAGAAACTATGTATCTAAGTTTTCCTGACGGCTTGACAGAAGTACTATGTAGAGGACCAGAGTCAGTTGCTGCACTGGCTGCCCTGGCAGCTCTGAACCTTTTGGATCTCGATCGCTTGAATCTGAAATCGTCGGACTTTGCCGCGAACGACTAATGTTTAACGACTCTCTGACCTCTGTTTTCTGCCAGACTGAGCGGTCGTTTTCTGTGAAACAAAAGTCGAGCGCATTGGCTATGGGTATGTATCACATAATATATGTGGTCAGCATCTAACTTCTACTGCCCATGGAGTCGCCGAACATAGCCCGGCGCTAGTACCTAGTGTGTAGCTCACTCATCCAGTTGAAGATGGCGCGTACTTCTGTCCCCAGACTCTATGATCTTCTGTGCTTATATTTTAGAAGAACTATAATTGGGCTGGGCTTCTGCTGGTTGTGCTCAACACTTATCTCCCGGGCCCCACTCCGCACTGCCGTGACTCGTCTTAGTATATTCGTCTCAATGCCGTTGCAGCTCATCATCACAGTACTTCCACCAGGTAGTGATCCCAAGGTACAGTCATTCAAACTGATAGACAGTAATCAGGTGAGAATCAGCTTGCCCTCAATGCGTCGCGGGTGCATATCCAGCGCAGTGCTACTGGGCGCTGTATTTCTCCACTACCTCGCCGAGGGCGCCCCGTAGGCTTGAGAATTTCTCACTCATGACTGACCAGGAGGCGCGCTGGCGTCAAAGGCCACAGGCCGAGAATTTCTAGCTGCGCTGAGCCGCTTCTCGCGGCACAACTGAGTGTGGCTCACAATGCAATTTTGTGTCCAGAACAAGATAAGTTCCTCTGGAACTCTTCTCTGTCTTGGATCGTACAGGATACTCCTCATTTGCGACGTAAGGTTCCATAAGGTAAATATTTGTTCCGTTCTTCTCCAAATCAAGGGGAGACGCTCCCTCGTGACAGTTTAGAGAAGGCTGCGCAGATAAACGCCGGGGCTAGTGCTGCGAAGAATAAAAGGTACCGTGGTTCGATCATAGTAGATTCATAGGAGAAAAGCTACTCCACGCTGCCAGCAGTGCGGCCTCCATTCTGTAAATATGGTAGCACGACTTGTGACTCCGGGCATTCCAGTAACCTCTTCAATCCCCAGATCGCATGTGCAAGTAGGGTGCTATCTTCTCGTTGTGTAAATGACGGCAACACATGGTCGCAGAATCGCTTTAAGGTGCTTTAACCAATATGTGTAATTTGAAACGGGTTTTTTCGGTTTCCGTCTGTTCCAGCTGTTAAGTACTTGTTTTGGAGTCTCTGCCAAAGATCGACAAACACAGGTGGACCAGCTGTGGCGCCATGCCGCCTTGCTCCTGTGTCCTTGCGACGCTCGCGTGCTAATTTTTCTTTCCACTGCGTTGTTTCATCTTCCGAACGGTCTGATATCTAAGTACAGAACATTGGGGAAGGTATTTTTTTTGTTGATAAGGTTCTGACGACGGTCGGCTGGGAAACTGCGGATTGTTCTATTGTCTTCGCCTTGACTCTGGAACAAAGCGCATTTCTCTGTTCCTGTTTTTGCGCCGCTGGCCTATATAAGACGCCCGTCTTCTCGCCCATCGCCCATCCGCAGCCTTTTACAATCAAGAGCCCCTTCCCTAACACAACACAGTTCTATCTTCATGAGCGCAAGAAATCAGGGTAACCGCGGAGGTCGTGGTCGTGGGAGAGGAAGAGGCAGCCCTGCAGCCTCTATCGCAGGACCCGACGCCGGGCTCGGCGGCAGAGGCGGCGGTGGCGGCGGCAATCCAAGAGGACAAGCACCCGGAGGACGTGGCGGCGGATTCCCTGGAGGACCTCCTGGAGGAGGTCTTGCCAGAGGCTTCGACACCCGTGGACGTGGAGATCGTGGCCGTGGCGGACCCGGCCGCGGAGGAGCGCGCGGGTCAGGAGGGCCCGTTCGTGTCTTCGCTGCCGCGACGCCTGCAGTGGTCGATAACCGCTTGGCCACCGCTGACCAGCTAGTTACAGCCTTTAAGCGGCTGAACGTGCGCGATGAGATGCCCGTGCGGCCTGGCTGGGGTACTTTGGGTATGGAGACCAAAGTTAGGGTGAACTTCTTCGCTGTTAAGGTGACAAAGAACATCGTATACGACTATGATGTCTCTATCACTCCAAAGGCGCAGGCAGGTGCGGAGCGCAAGGCTCGCATCTTTGAAATCTTGGAGAGTAACCCTCTCTATGCTCCCCATGTGCGCTACGTTGCCCATGACCGTAGTCAGAGACTTGTCTCTGCAACGAAGCTCCCCCAGCCCCTCTCGATAACCGTTCCTTACGTTGAGGAAGGGGCTACAGCTCCGCGTCCCAATGCTCTCGTGTTCACAGTGGAGATTAAGCTTACTCGTGAGCTCGACATGCGTGAGCTGAATACGTAAGTGCAAACATCTTCTCAAGGAATTAATCACTACTGACGATGCATTATTCTAGTTACATGGATGGCCGCCCAGACCATAGCGACGATGATACAGCTCCCATGATCTCCGCTTTGAATATCGTGTTACAGCAGCATGCAGCCTCGCATGGCACCCGCGTGGGTAAAAACAGGTACTTCTTCCCGACTTCAGATCGGTATCCGCTCTCGCTCGGGCTTGAAGCATGCAGGGGCTTTTTCATGTCGGTTCGCCCAACGTACAAGCAACTGATGGTGAACGTCAATGTCTGCATGACCGCATTCTATATCCCTGGAAATCTCGCGGACGCGATGATTGCCTTCAACAGGTCCTCTGGGGGAATGCCCAACTCATTTACTCAGAAGCTCAAGGTGTCGACCAGACATCTCGGTTACACGAGGAAGAGAACGGTCCAGGCTGTCATGAGCACTACTGCTCGTCAGACGCGTTTCCAGTGCGACGAGTTGAACGGTGTAGTCACGGTGGAACAGTATTTTCAGCGAAGTGAGTTAGTCTCTTTGTGACGGTTGGTCTAGTCTCATTCCATCCGATACAGAGCACGGAATTCGCCTCGATCATGCCCATGATCTGCCGGTCATCAACGTCTCCGCTGACAGGAATAAACCAAACTACCTCCCTGCAGAAATTTGTGAAATTTTTTCTAATCAGCCATACCGTGGCAAGTTGGGTGACCGCGAGACTGCGGAAATGATCAAATATGCCTGCAATCCACCGTACGTGAATGCAGAAACCATCGTAAACCAGGGATTCCCAGCTTTAGGTCTACGTCCGGACGCACAGGGAGTGCCTCTACAGGACTTTGGAATCACGGTGAACCCGGAGATGGCTATCGTCCCCAGCCGCGTCCTTCCTGCTCCGAAAGTCACGTACAAGTTAGGGAGTCCCAACGTTCGCGATGGGAGCTGGAACATCCTGAATGTGAAACTTCATGTCGGCGGAGATATGAGGAACTGGGCAGTTCTCCTAGTCCAGGACGGAGGCGATGGGGAGTTCACTGGAACGAACGATCCTGCGCTGCGGCAGTTCGTAGAAACGTTCTCCGCGAAGTGCAGATCAAGTGGAATGAACGTTCCGGGATTGCCCACTCCCATTGCGACGTCCCCGTTACCACATCCGCGAGATGACCCATCAAGGACTCAAGCATTGGAGCAGATTCGGAAGGCGATAACGCAGAAACTCGATAAAAATAACAAACCCAGCTTCGTGCTTGTTTTGCTATCCAAGTTCGACAACTACATCTATCCCGGTATCAAGAAACTCTGCGACACTGTGCTTGGTATACATACCGTCCACATGCAATTGAAGAAGGCCAGAGTCGAGTCGAACAAGCAGGATCAGTACTTCTCAAATGTTGCACTCAAAGTGAACGCCAAGCTTGGGGGTATGAACCACTTGCTGGACCCGCTGGCGATGAAATGGTTAACGGAGAAGAGGACGATGCTCGTGGGCATCGATGTCACGCATCCTGGGCCCACGAGCAAGCCAGGTGCTCCATCGATTGTTGCTGTTGTCGCCAGCGTGGACGACAAGTTCGTACAATTTCCTGCAAGTCTGCAGCCTCAGAAGCCCGATTGGAACAAAGATGCCAAAGAGGTGTGTGCGGTGTATTGGCTTATGCTAGTAGTATGCGTTCACTGACGAGACTCTACTTTAGATGGTAGAGAAACTGGATGACCTGATGGTAGAACGACTACTCCTCTATCAAAAGAAAAACAAGTCTCTCCCAGACCGTATCTTTGTATATCGCGATGGCGTATCAGAGGTTGGTGTCGTACCTTTCACCAGCGGCGTTTCACTGATAACAATCCATGCAGGGACAGTACAATTTGGTCCTTCAGCACGAACTTCCGAAACTTCTGGCTGCTTTTAAAAAGATCTCCCCGAAGGCGCCATACCGCCCGAAATTGATGATCACAATTTGCGGTAAAAGACATCACGCACGCACTTATCCGACGGACCCTAAGTTCATGGATCGCAAGGGCAACACTCCGCCTGGGACGGTAATCGATAAAGGTATAACGGACGTATATAGGTTCGATTTCTACTTGCAGGTACGTTGCGATGCGTATATCTGGAGTGGGCGCAAGGTGCTGACCTCTGTGTTAGGCGCATGCTGGACTGCAAGGCCAAGTCCGTCCCACGCACTATGTGGTCATCTACGACGAACAGCATTTGTCCGCAGACCAGCTGCAGCAGGGGACACATACGGCCAGCTATGGTTACGTGCGTGCGACGAAGGCAGTGAGCTTGGTACCCCCGGCTTACTATGCTGATCTTGCGTGCGAGAGGGGGAGATCTTACATCAACTCGATCATGGAAGCAGGAGAAGACAAGACTTCAACGAGAGGTGGCAGAGAGACCATGGAAGAGCAGAAGCAACGCGTTTACGACCAGGCTATGAGGTTGTGGGGCAATGGGGTTCATGTCGACTTGAGGGAGAGTATGTTCTACATCTGATGTAGCAGTGTCGTTTGTATGCCATATCGCAGCATGTACTACTTTGTTTTACGGATGAAATCGAATACAGCTTATGCCATTATGTCAATCTATCACGTACTTCGTATCGTCGAGCATTATCGAGGGCAGTAATTGTTCGTTGTGGATGCAACAACATTATATCATAGCTCCTTCTTCTCCGCTCCAGCACCGAACCCTTCCAAGGCTTTGAGCCGCTCCGTCAGTGTGGGGTGCGAATGATGATAGGCAGAATACCTGCATTGGGACTTGCGTCAGAAGAGTAACGTCATAACAGCGAGATTGAAACTAACAGCCAGTCAACCCAAACAGTGGATAGATTCTTCACATGTAAAGTTATCAGTGCACGACCAAGGCGGTCGCCCATGTCACTCATGCTCTGCTCCTTGAGCATAGTCTGTAGTTCGCAGGCGAAACGGTCCGCCTGGTATTCAAAGCGGCGGCTCACAGCGTTCATCGCAATTCCGACGACAGCTTCAATTGGCATGATGATGTTCTGCGGAACAACGTTAACAACGTTAGCGATGGGGATCAGTATAAAGGAAGAAAAGCGTTTACTTGGAAGAGAAAGAAGGCTAGGATTGTGGGCGGATCTGCTGCAATCGCCTTGGAGAAGTCAAAGGAGCGTAGTACGGGGGGAGCGTGCAGGAATGCGGGGAAGAGCGCCAAGATGGTGAAGATGTGCAGCTGCGAGACGATGAGGAGCTTCGACGGATGCATATAATACCAGTGTCCGAGTTCATGTGCTATGTCGTCTCGTCAGATGAAGCGCATCTTCACGTACACGAGTAGAACGCACCTAGCACCGCCTCAACCTCGTCTGGCTTGCTTTGTTTAATGAGCGTATCGAAGATCACGATGTGCTTGCTCTGTCGACCAACCAGTCAAGTCAGGAAGCATCGAGAAGTGGACAGGACATACCCAGGGAAGCCCATAAAAATAAGCGTTGCTATGCGAGCTCCGCTTCGATCCGTCAATCTCATAGAGGTGCGTCAGCGGAAATTTGAGTTTCGTCGCTAGCGATTCTATTCTACTCCGCAATTCGCCTTCGCCAAGGGGAGATAGCTTGTTGAACAAAGGTTGGATCATCACAGGGTAAATTACCACCATAATTAATTGGAACGCGAGCCTGAACATGGGTGTGAGGCTTCAGTACGAGCGCATGTTACAGTGGACTTACAAAAATGCCATGAGCCAGGGTATAAACCGATCGCCCGCCCAGTCGAAAATGTAGAGGAAGACACCAAGGAAAGGCGGTAGTATCACAAGGCCAATAGCCCAGCCCTTGAGGAGGTCGGCGACAAACAATCCCGGAGTCACCTTATTGAACCCGTGCTTTTGTTCCAGCACAAACGTCTCATATATGGACAACGGAAGACCTGGGAGCGAGGACACGAAGGAGAGTACTAGCACGAATGCAATCGAATGGAGGATCTTTGCGAGGTGAGCGCTCGACTTCCACATGCTTCAAGGTGTAACACGATACATACTTTGTGCTCCGGCCCGTAACCGCCAAATTTAAGTAAACGTCCTCCAACCTCCCAAGTCCAGGGGAACAGCCCATATTGAATCGTTGCAGACTGAACAGCCTGGTGATACAGCCCTGACACAAGCTGGTATCTCGCCTTGTCCTTCCCATACGCTTGCGATTTTGCAAAAACATCGGCAGTGAAGTGATCTGCAAGCGATGGTGGAGGTGCTTTCTTTGAGTATAGCGGATATTGGCGCAACCTTTGACCTCGACATCAGTAATCCCTGCGACTGTTGGGTCACGTCACGTACAAGAGGTACGATTCAAAGAGACACACGCCCCACGAGAACGCTTGGACGTAGAACCTCCAATCAATAGGGTCGACTGCTACAAAGGCCAGGCGTTTCTGCAGCGCATCCAGCTGCGTATTCAGAATGTCCATGTCCAGGTGACCAGGTCTGGAGAAAAGTTTGGGTCAGACGGTGTAGATGCTACTAAGCAGACTAAACACTTGCTTAATCCTCTAACAGATTGTCACAAAAGTCTCTTGAGAAGTATCTGGTCGTGGAGTATAGGTTTGTAACCAGTAAACGAGGAAGAGGGGAGGTCGTACGCGTGTGTACCGAGTGCTCGCAGTGTGCACTGGTGCTAGGCGCTCATCCAGATGAAGCTTAGCGCTGGGTCTGGATCTGTATTTTTCGGGTCTGTAGTAAGTTCTTGCAGTACACAGTTGGTACACAGCTACGCGAAATCAAAAATGTGACCCAGATCCTTCATCGAAAAACAAAAGGAATCTATGAAGGACAATTTGTCTGGTAAGAATGACCTATGACAGTTGTACCGAAAACATGATGGATGAACTGCAGATGCTTCCGTGAGTGCTGCCTGGTAAAAGTCACCTCATGCTCAGCGCATGGAGGCGAATTCGGGCTCACCTGACTCGGTATATTCATACCAGACCCACCTCGTCTTTACCAGGAGAGAAACTGCACCGGATATATTCATATCACGAACCACTGTGTTCGCCATTAGCCTGCGAAGCACGGCGCTTCTCTGCCCACTCCTTCGCTCTTGCTCGCCTTGCTCGTCTCACATCGTCATCGGCATCAGGAGCGCCTGCTGCTGCAGAACCAGTATCAACTAGCACAATCGCTTTTGTCTCTTCGGCCCCTTCTGCTTCGTGTAGTGATTGAGCTTCCTCGTCGTTGTCCTCGTCGCTATCTCCGTATCCTGCTAGTCCCCCGAGAGATCCGAGACGTGCCTGCTTAAGCTTCTCGGCGTTCTCGTTCTCCATTTCCAGGCGCACGCGACTCTTGGCCGTCTTCCATGTTCTTGACCAGCGCCCTCGCAGAAATGCGAAACGTCGATCCGCGCCATGATTGGCAAGGATGCGCATCTCCAATTGCGCGGGATTGGGGGAACTGAGGACATGTGCCGCCGTGCGCTGCATCAGCTCTCTCTGCCGATCATCGGGCTATTGTATAGCACAATATTAGATAGGCCAAGTACGTAGTAGACCAGTAATTGCGCCACGTACCTCCTCGTCGCTCCCACCCCACTCTTCTTGTTTCACTTCCTCGTCGTCCCTTTCCTCTGCTCTGAGTGCTTTCAACCGCTCTTCCCTGTTTCTATCAAATAGACGTCTGCGCTTCTCTCGACCATAATCTTCTGCCTCCTCTTGCGTGAAGAAAAATGTGTCTTCCGCATCGGAAGGCAGATCTGACCAGCCCGTAGGTGAGCTCGGTTCTGCAGTAACCGCTGGTGTAGGCGCAAGAGGCAACGTGTCCAGTAATAGGCGTGCATCATACCTGCAGAATAGCAATTAGCTACATGTCGGCAGAAGAAATACAAAAATGAAAATTCCTAGACATCTGGCTCCTTCAGTTGTCCCCGGGTACTCTCCACACGTAGTTTGACAGCTCACGATATGACGGACATATCACTCAACAGCTTTTGCGGACTCCATGATGCAGTCCCAGATAACCTGACAGCAGGCGTGAAAGCACCCAAGAATGGGCATACCTATCCACCCATATCGCGTCCTGATCCTCCTCTGGCTGTGCCTTGCTGGAGTTATCTTCACGATGTCCGAGATAGACAGAATCCTCCTCAAACTCCATGCTCTCCCCTCGACTTTGGTTTCCGTTCCATCGAATGAGTCCATCTCCGATCTGCGCAACGCGCGTTCCACCGTCGGCATATTCTACTTCTAATGACTGCGCAGCCGCCACTGCTTGAGGGCCTCGGGTGATGTCAGCTTCATATGCTTGAATAAAGAGTGCCGGATCAGGTCCTTCGGCGTCGTTCGAGGTAGTAGCATGGTGGTCGCCATACGGACGAGAATGAAATTTATGTTTTCGCTTGCGAGACTGAGGAATCATCGCGGAAGAGACGTTGCAGTGAAAGATACCGATGTGAAGCTATGTGAGCAGTCGAGTTCAAGCAATTGGCACCAGACATTCGTTTGTGAACTCAGTCACAGGGAACGATGAGAGCAACGCCACGGAACGATCGAGGTTGAAGAATGATCGGACGATTGGAATCTGCTCAGATATCGATCCAAGCAACATCGCAAAATGAGAACAGATATCGTGACACGCGACACCTGATGCCCAGCAAGACATATTACTTCTTTGCATTCAAAAGGGCTATGACTATGACTAGAAATAAACGACTCATAGATAGTCGCATCCCCCACGAAGATTATCGATAGTTTGGTGAGATACCGGGTCATGACTCGCTGGGAGTCCATGAGACCAGTCCCCGGTTAGCGGGGTCCAAGAATCCATATTCGCAAAAATCCCCCACTCCCTGATGACGCCTTCAACTCAGAGGAATCAGCGTGTTTCCTTAAGTTTGCCATCCCAGCTCAATTCCTAGGAAGAGCGGAAAGCACAGTTTGTGCATTGCTTTCGTCGAACAAGATTACTGTGAGCGTCTTGCGGAATAATCTGCTGCAGAGCATGCTGCAAGATAGGTACATGAGAGCTGTATCGATGCGTTTTATGCTACTCTGGCGAATCTGGAGCAGTAAACAAAGGACTTTCGCACGAAGGTATCACTATACAATCTGCCAAGACTCACATTACAGCGACAGCCTACGCCGATGAAGCACGTCCAAAGGCCTCTCTAGTGATGCTGCGTCCTCTGCACGCACAGCGTCGTCTGCCGGATCGCCCCAGCCACCTCGTGGATAACCAAATCCCGACAATGAGGACACGTATGTCAAGCGGGTTTCAGCGGGCTCGAACACCTCCAGATTATCCAGTCCCCATCCCGAACGCAGCAGCACGCGGAACTGTACCAGCTGCTGCAAGCCAGCTTCGAACCGCTGGAGTAAGTTTGACCATCGACGTGGAACGTCGAGAGTCACCGTATCAGGAAAATAGATTGGACACGAATTGAGTTCGAGAGTTGCAAGTGTTGCGTGATGGTTCATGACGAAACGATCCAGGCGTTCCTCGTTGTCAAACACGACCCCGTTGAGGGAGAGGCTGCGAAGAGCGGGAAAACGGAGGGTGTCGAATTGTACCGGAGGATCCTGCCCTATAGGCATATCACTGGTCAAGGACAGTGATGCAAGCTGGGACTGGCCAGGCATAAGGAACCGCGGTATGAATAATGCAGTCCAGAATACTCCGTAGACAACGTCGGACAGATTGCCCAAGACGTGGATCCCGAGAAAGGATAACGACAATTCCTCCATGGAGGAGAGGAATTGCGTGAACTCGGGCTTCATGTAGACGGGCTTGATGTAGGGAGTGGCACGGTCAGTGACTGCCCGGGTCAGACCCGTGACCGACCCGTGTCACACTTCCGACCGACATGGTGCTTAGGATATTTTATGCAGGTTTTAAATATATATATATAATTTCCGGTTAAGGGCCTCGGAGGCCCCCCCCTCCCCAGGACCCTGGATAATCCCCCCAAAGGTCGTCGCCAAAACCCCCCCGATTTACAAAAATCTGTCCGGCCCATTTTTGGCCGATTTGGGGACTTTTTTGTCCGGAATCGGCGACAACCCTCGACTTGGCCAATTTTTTGTCCGGATCGCGCAGACGGCCTGAAAAAGGCGATTATTTTGTCCGGATCACGCAGATGGCCTTGAAGAAGTGACTTTTTTGTCCGGATTGCGCAGACGGCCTCAGAAATGCATTAATTTCGACAAGAGAACCACACTAACAGTACCGAGGTTCTCTGGAGAGGTGGGCAACATAGGAAGGCACCGAGAAGGATATGTTATGATGGAATTATACTACATCTTGTTCACTCTAATTGCTCATGTTCTCCGTGCTTTCCCCGCTTGCGGAAAAGTCGCATTGCTGTCTGCAATGAAGATTCCGCAGCACTTAGTTTCCAGATCACCGTGAGAGAGCTCGATACCGGTACCTGTCATAGTGGGTGCAGAGGTGAGCATACAGAGGAGAGACATCGCAGGAATGAGCGCAAATTGATGGGTCTGTAGGACAGAGGTTGCCTCGGTAATCGCATGGAACTGCTGCTTGTAGTACTGTTCGAAGAGCTGCACTCCTGCATATGAGATAGCCGTCACTAGAGAAAAGTATGTCACATCAAAGAAGACATTCTGAAGTTGGCGCGCTGCACCGGGCTGCCCGCTTCAATTCAAGGTTAAATGACCGCCTCCCTTTTCCGCGCATGAAGAGCATAGTTGCCCCAAGAAAAAAAGGTCACAGCGGGATTCGAACACAGAGTTATGTACAACATAAAACCGCTACCGCTGCCAACACCATACCGCTGCACCTACTGAACTGCATCAATTTTCCAGGCTCTCAGCTATCCAACCTCATGTCCGGACAAGAGGATGGCCTAGGATCCTCTACCTATTTTTGTGTCCGGATGCTGTGATGGCCATGGTGGCTTTGGGACCCTGATTTGTCCGGAAATGGCGATGACCTCGGGCCAAAATTAGCAAAAATCTGTCCGGATTTGGCGACGACCTTTGGGGGGATTATCCAGGGTCCTTGTCACACCCGCGGGTGTGATCCGTACGGGTCACGGGTTATCTGTCCGTTAAACCCGGTCGGGTTCGGTCACCTCAGTCGTCAGGGCCGGTCTGCCCGGGTTTATCCGCGTCTACATACCTATTATAGAAATTATCAAAAAATTGCGGTGACAGTTGTTGAAGTGCCATGACATGGCCGTACGCATCGGTAAGTGTGCCATATGCTGTGGAGCTAAGTCTTTGCTTTCATAGCTTGGACTTCCTTATGTACAATGTCAACATCAAAATCTCTTCGCGCTGCTGGACCATTCTGCGTTTTGTTCGGGCTGCTCACTGAGGATCCGCACGTCGAGTTACACTGGATGAACTTGTGTAAGGTATATGATCAGTGTATTTTGTTCATTCATGTCTCCAATTCTCACCCGTTGCACTGCCATGAGTGCATACTTGGTGATGCCGAGGCGCAAGAGCGCCCCATTCCTACGCGCGACGTCTGTGCGAAGCATAGCCTATCGCTGTAAGACTTGGTTTTTATTCATCGCAATCTTGTCATTACTCCCCGTCCTATCATTGATACCGGTTTGGTCTCTACTGCGTCCACGATTGGCTGAGTGCTCTGACGAGTTCTACCATGGTGTTGCCGTGAGTGCAACCATATGTTACATTTACATTATTGCCGCTGTGCTGCTGCTAGGTAAGTTCTTGGTCCAGACTCACAGTTTTGGACGGTATTGACAATGTGTCTCATGTTCCAGCTCAAGATGTGTACCCGTGGTTTCTTGCCCTGGATCGACTTCGGCCTACCCGCATGCATTATCGTTGCTGTCATGTCTCCAATATGCGTTCCCGCCATTATCGGAATCTGCTGACTAGTCCCCCTTTCACTGTCTTTGTGATCGGTGCCAGTAATGGACGCTCACTTCCAATCTGTAAGTGACCACTCTGATCAGCACCGTCTCAAGATATGATGCTAATTTTATTACTTGCGGCCCAGTAATTACCTCCGAGATGTCTATCAGTGACATCATGCACGTTCTGCATAAGCAGAGACTCCTCCCACTTACTTATCGTTCAAGTCATTACCTATGTGCTGCTGTACCTCATTTCCGCCAGCTACAAGATTATGAGTGTGCGGGTGAGCTTGGATTGGCAGCACTCTCACTGCTGCATCTTCGAGTTCGAGTTCGTGGTGGAGCAACACCGGCATCATCCCCTTCTGCTGGTTCAGAGCCCCGAACACCTCGCAAACGAGCGCGTGCCCAGTCACCCTCTGATGCCGCCTCAGATGACTCTCCATCCAAAAATACACGCTCGCGGAAACGGGCTGATCGCCAGCCGTCACCTTCGGTCGTCATCGTGTCCCCCAAGAAGACACGCGTGCATCGGAGTCACACTAGTTCAGATCTCGAAGTGTGGGATTTGACAGATGACGAGATTATTGGTACATTTTGCTGGAGCTTCTTGCCTTCTTCTTGCCTTCTCACCAAGTATTGAGTACTAAAAGTGCCGTTGCAGCTATGTCGCGGAATCACTGGAAATCTAAGGCTTACGACCACTATGTCATCTCCCTCGAGCGATGCTACACACCAGACAAAAAGCCTTCACATCTTATATTTCAGTTTACATGCAAGTATGATCCTAAAAATCATCGTTACCAACAGCGCGAGCGAGTCAAGACTGGGCAAGGTACCACCAACCTTGAGCGTACGGCCAAAATCTGCCTGAAGCGGAGAGGCGTTCAAGATCCCACGAGCACCAGTAGTGCTCAGCAAACCCTCAAAAATTCCATTTCCAAGTATTCCGCGTATGCACACCGTGCCATTATTGCCTTGCGCTGCGCGGCCTCGCGCCGCCCATTCAACAGTGTCACTGACGCTTTTTACCTTCAAGAAGTGGAACTACTTCGTCCAGGCATGAAAGTGCCCTCACCGTCAACAGTTTCGCGAGACGTTCAAACCATTTATCAGGTTGGCTCCAAGTCCGTCAAGGAGTACTTCACGGTATGCTTAGAAGTGACATGGACTACTACACTGGGACTGACCTTGATATACCTAGACCCTCAAAGGAGCCGTCCATTTAGTTATCGACGGTTGGACTGCCCCATTCGTCGCGTCATATCTAGGTATAGTTATTGTGTGGTTTGATGGCGTCAAGCTGTGGCGCTCAATTCTAGAGTTTATTCGGTGCGTATGGTCTTACTACTAAGCATACAAGTGTAATGTGTTATACAAAAGGTTGACTGAGAGGCACACGGGCCTCTACCTTGCGCAAATGGTTGCTCAGTGCGTCAAACGGTTCGGTCTCGATAAAAAGGTATATACATTGTTGTCATGTCCACTGTGTTTCAGTCTCAACATTCTATCAAGGTGCATACGCTCTGCATGGACAACGCCAGCAATTGCGACGCAACGGCTGTGGAGCTGGAGCCCCTTGTGGAGAGTTTTCGTGGTACTGTGTCATGTACGCGGTGCTTTCCTCACACGGTAAATCTTATAGCAAAGGTATGTCCTACAGTGTTCACATTAGTGTTGTGATTCTAACAGTTATTCGCAGGCCTTCATTTCGTTCTTCTTCCGGCAGCCTAAGAAGAAGAAGGTGGTCAAGGTGGCTGCAGGCAGAAAGCGAAAACGTAGCCAAGGTGATATGCAAAATCGACCAGAAGAATTTGAGCTATCTCCTGGAGAGGCCGTGGCAGACGGTGAACAGCTAATGGACGGAAACCACGAAGACGATGATATGTCTGCAGTCGATGATGGTAAGGCAGCTCATGATGACGCAGCAGTGAAATCCGTGCATGCACAAGCTGTGAATATTGCTCGCGAGGAGTTCGGTATTGAGATGACTCCTAAGGAAGAGAGCGAGGCTCTTGGCCTCTTCGCAAAGGTAATCTACTGTTTTCTATCATGTACGTGTTACAGCTCATTATCACTGTAGGTTGCCGGACTGGCTCGCCGTCTCCACGACTCACTGACTCTGCAGGAAAAATTCGAGAAGCTGGTCGATGCACAGCCAGAGCTTTCAGGGACGAAGAAAGCCCTTGACCGTCGCATGGTCACAAGGTGGAACAGTGACTTCGCCTGCCTCGCCGCGCACATCTACTTTGAGATCCCTGTGAAACAGCTCACCAGCGATGACAGAAACGATTTACAACCCTATGCACTTTCGCATGCGCAATGGAGGTTGGCTAAGCAACTGGAACCCGTACTGGAGGTGAGTAATGATTTTTCGTCACTCGCTCGAGGTTTGCTCACTCAAACCAGATCCTCCGCGCGCTCCTCATGATTGAGCTCTTCAAGCTCGTGAACGGTACACAAATCTAAAGACCGCCCATTGTCTGTGCGGACTGAGGCACCTTTTCTAGTGCCCACTTGTCTGTTACCTGTGAACTCGTCAAGGGCTTGTATCTGTTTAAGTCAAGCAAGGATCCAAGTGTTGACACGGTGGCGGCGACGGCAGAAGTCATTGACGGCACCATACAGTGGATCATTTCTGTCCTTGAGTCGGGCAAGGGTAATATCGAAGGCCTGTACCTCATCATAGATAGACGTGTGAACGCGACACACTTCAACGTCTAGCCGCTGAATTTCTTCACGTGCGCGTGCGACGCGTCGAGCCTGCTTCATGACTGCGCGAATATCTGGACGTGTCCAGGGCTTGTCGCAGATGTCATTGCGTGTATCGCGGAGGAGGTTGAATTCCTCGAGGAAGCTGTAGTGAGTGACCTTGCTCCAATCCAGAGTTGGGCGGGGTGGATCCATTTGACATGCGAGTGCATTGTAGACATTGACGGCATTCCGGATCGCTCTGCACCGAGTTTGCAGTGACTTAGCCATGTGAGTATGGACACGATAAGCTAAATAACACTGTGAGCATGGTCCGTGATCAACTACAAGGACCCTTACCTGTTTGCGCGAGATTAAGGTTGTGCAGCTCAAAAAGCCGCTGCACCACCAGGCGTTGCAAGTTGTCGAGTGCGCGGTGATACTCACGCAGCTTCACATACTGCAGGGTCTCGATATACTCTGTTGAGGTTGTCTGCCAGCGGTTGACAATTCCCATGTGCACCTCCATGGCGATGACATCACGTAAAACCTGCTGACGGCGTTCTGCAATATGCCGCCGCTGTGTCTCCAGTCTGCGCGTTTGGGACAATTCGTGATTATAGATGCGGCTGGGAGAAGGACATGTCGGCGGGGGCAGGAACTCGTAATCTGCCGGAGTGGATGTCAGGAAGAGAGAGGTGGTGTCGACATGGCGTGTTCTATGGAAGACATTAGCAGCGTCAATTAAATAAATAAAAACTCACTCTAATGCATAATGTTCTTGCAATAACTCGACGTATGCTACAGCGTGGACATCCCACTCAGGCTCTTGACCTAACACTGAGAAATACTCAGTTTCCTCCTTCTGCCACTTGTCGAGGTCGCCATCTCCAATGCCTAGTGAATGCACTGCTTCGTCAAGGACTTGCGCATCATTGTTGAGGATATCAAGAGCTTGTCGATAGTTATTGTAAAGAAAATTGCCCAGACTGAGGTACCGATCGGCATCCCACTGCCCGAAGAACATGTCGACGAATGTTCGCCGATGATAGCGGCTTGCATATCGAGTGACAGGTGCAACCTCATTGGACTTACTAAAAATACGCTCCATGGTCTCCAAATCCTCGAGCCCCATGCCTTCGATGACGTTCGGGTGGTTCTGCATCTGACAGGCATGGTTATGCGTGTAACCATGGAAGGCGTTGACACACAGGCGGGCTTGAAGACGGCGGAACTCGGGACTGAGCGAGCTGTCGTGTATGGTGTGCGCAAAGCTACACCCAATGTCGTACCCGCCCATGGATCGTGGTCTGAGAAGCTGGAGTACCTTGGCCACCATGGCCAGAGGGTATTTTGCTCTGAAAAACGGTCAGTAATGCATGACACTTGAATACAGAAATTACTTACAGCTCGCCACTACGGACCATGTCCACGATCCACAGTATGAAACTGTGGCGGCATGCACTAGCGAAGATCCCGGTCTCATCAAAAATCCCCCACATCTTCTTCTTGTCCTCCGCTGCTGCAGACTTCCAGTTCTGCGTACATCCACGCATCACCGGATCACTGCTGATTGCGTCCGTTGGGTCACCCTCAGCGTCATCGAGCTGTTCTTCATCCTGGCCTCTTGGGAGGATTTGCGGCTCGACTTCTTGTGCGACCTGACTGCGACTCGACTTCACTTCGTCCGCGAACTGGTTTACGAAGTCTTGCGATAGAAAGTAATCGCTGTCTTCAAAACACCGGGTGTCGCCAATGTTGCGCTCGCCGACCTTGGCCAAGCGCTTGAGGGAGTTGTTGCCATCGAAGCAGTACATACGGCCGATCTTCAAATCTGGCTCGTCCTCAAGCTGTTACCACATTAATTAGCAAGTGACAGCTGACAATACCAGGCAGACTCGTGCTCACCTCATAGCAGCATGCTGGACAGGCATTGAGCACACGCCAGTCCGGAGTTCCACGGCCAAGTTCTGCCTGAACACGCTTGTCGATAACGCAATGTATCGAGAGGTAAATGTCGAAGGCATCACTCAATGCCGAGTGATACCTTCGGCGATATGGAATCTATAGCACTGTAAGTAACAGCGAACATAAGAAAAATGGATACGTACCGCGTAATAATCACATATTACCTTGGTAAAAGCTTCTGCACTAAATGATGGCTTCCGAAGATGCAGCCGACGGAATAATTCGAGAGTTTTGTATAAAATTGCGAGAGTGGGCGAGATGGGTGTGGTAGGAAGATAGCCTTGAGCTGCAATTGCCTCAGCCTGCGAGCGGCTCTCCCTTGTCCGTGGTACGTGCACTGACGTGACGAGGGAATAAATGTCGATCACCTCAATTGTAAAGCTGTAGTCTTCATCATCTTGACTACAGGCCTCTGGATCATGATGGAGCGGAGAGTCACAAGGCTGCGGAGGAAGATGGCACCATGAGAGGTAGAGATCAGTAAGGCTACTGATGAGGGGAGCCCAATTTGCTTGTGCACGCTCGAGCCTAAGTCGCCAGGTGCGGGCGTCCTTGTACCACCGTGTCTTCCATCTGCGGAGTAATGAGAATAATGGTGACAGAGATAAGAGGAATACTCACCGACTGCAAATAATGTCCCGCACGGCATGTGCAAATGAGCCTTCTGCGTCATCCGGGAGGGTCTCCCAGTCCATTTGGTCATCCCCTTCGATTGGTAATGTTGCCAATTCGTTCACATCCCTGCTCGTCTCCGAATCTGCAAACTCCTCTCCACGAAGCTCTGACAGCAGCTGCAGGGATTCCCTGCTCAAACCTTCCTGAGGAGTCAGTTAGTGTTAAGGGATAGAAGTTATGTCGCACCTGCAACACTCCTCTCAACCACCTCCCGCATTGTATCCCGCTGCCATAAGATGTCCTTCTGCTTCATCACCTTACTCACAACTCGGAGAGTCCTGGTAGCCATCGCCAAGGCACTGTGACGGGTGGGCATAGAGATCCTCACTGATCGAGAGGATCCCTTTGATGTTCTTGAGGCTGTAGGCATCCTCAATTGTCGCGCCAGAATGGCAACGTTGGTGAGCGCGCCGCAAACGTTTAGCACGAGCCAGCGCCACTGCTATGCACAATGTCCAGGCAGCGTCAATGAGCGCCTATCCCGCGTTTAACACAGCCACGTGATATGGAAAGATTCGCAATGGTGTACGTGAACAGAAAGACCTTATAGTAGTATACATTACAGACAGGTTAGAGATCAGAAATGCCCTCTAATATGCAAAAGGAAAGAAGAAAAAATGTGGAAAACTGAGGGAGAGACTCGTGCTCATCGTCGGGCACGATGAGCGTGAGAGGACGCGCATCGCAGAGGGCACGTGCAAGGGGCGGGAGGCGCTGCCGAATGTACATGCAAAAGGAAAGAAGAAAAAGTGTGGAAAGATGAGGGAGATACTTGCGCTTGTCGTCAGGCACGACGAGCGCGCATCGCGGAGCGCACGTGCAGGGGGCGAGAGGCGCTGCCGGACTTATCCGGGGCGGGAGGCGCATCATCAGCACCGGCGCCACCATTATCTACGATGCCGACGCTATCTTGGAGATCGGGTGCGATAGCGATGACATAAGGCCTTGTGGCATAGAGGAGAGGCGGCGTTATTGCCCGCATTATTGGCAACTACAGGAGATATGATAATTCAGGCTAGTTAGCCCGGCAATCCAGGGGGTATATACCGGGCTTATTAGCTAAGGTACATGTGAGGTCCAGGTGCAAGCCGAGGGCATGATTACAAAGAAAGACAAAGAAGGAAATTTGCTTATATAAAGTGGAGCGTCTAGAACTGTATATATACAGAAATCTATTTTAGGACGCGGAATCACGCGCCCCGACACATCTTGACCCGCCATCACTACCTTCCTATTTGGGAACTAAGGCGCGATTTCTAACAGGTTATGAGCCCCGGCTCTAGCCAATAAATACTTGGATAACAACAGCCCCTATTGTGGCTACAAAAATTGTTACCCCCTTACTAGTACGAGAACAAATAATGTCGACCAGTGCTGATAATACGAGCAATAGCAATGCTTACCGGATCCCGCTCCTGAAGGAAGACAATTGGCTCCCGTGGAAGCGCCGCGTCGAGGCCATCCTTAATGATAAGGGTCTCCAGGAGTATGTGACCAGAAAGACACTGAAGCCGCAGCCGAGTAATGAACCGGCCAATAGGGCAGTGAGAGAGGCGGAGATTAGCGCCTGGGGAGAGAAGGACCTCAAGGCCCAGAACGTAATTGTGCTATCGCTGGGAGATTCCCAGATGGTGCACATCGCTGGAGCCGAGACGGCACGGGCCATGTGGGAGCAGCTTCGCACAGTCAAGGAACAGCGTGGACAGCATGGAATTCTCGCGCTGTGCCGGCGTTTTTACCGGATGCAAGCCAAGGAAGAAGATAATATCTCCAGTCACATTACACAGCTACGACAGATTCAGGAACAACTCCACCTAATGGGGAAGGTTGTTTCTGACAAGGATTTCCGGCTCATTCTGGCTACCTCATTACCGGAGAGCTGAGACTCTTTCCTCAGCTCTTACTTTGGTGCCGTGGGTGGCAATGTTGGCGCCGAAGGTGCTGACAACGTGCGCCCTCAGCTTACATCACAAGAATTGATTGCCATCATTCTTGATGGAAATAGGCGAAGGCACGAGCGTGGCGAGCACGGTCAATCCTCGGACCAAGCCATGGTTGCCAAAGGAAAGAAGCGCCCCTTTGGGGAATACAAAAAATGTTCGATCTGCGGAAAGCCGGGACATCTTGGTAACGAGTGTCGGCACCGCGACAAGGTCAAATGTATGAATTGCGGAAAATTCGGGCATAAGGCCACGGATTGTTGGGCTAAAGGCGGCGGCAAAGCCAGACAGGGCCCGCCGATGAAACGGCAAAAGACGGAACGTGCTTATGAAGCACGCGAGGTCGAATCAAAAGAGGATGAGGCAAAAATAGCCTACAATAATGATAGCGACACTGTATCTCTCAGATCTGATGGCGAAATCGCTTCTTTCTATGAGTGGTTTGCCGACTCCAGGACAACTTCGCACATTACAAATCATCGTGAAGTCTTCACGACCTATCAGGCGCTCGAAGATCACGCGATCACAGGCATCAGACTGCAACCAACGCAGGCATTGGGCCGTGGTACGGTCGATGTCGAAAGTGAAGTAGGAGACCGGAAAGTGAAATTCTGTCTCCACGGTGTACTGTATGCGCCGACAGCACCCAATAGCCTCCTCTCCATCATGCGTTTGGACAACGCGGGAGGAAGAGTACTTATGGGTAATAGTCGCGCAATACTAATAGATAAAAATAAACATACTCTTGCTATAGGCAAGAAAAATGGATGACTATATTCATTGAAATTGCGTCCAATAGTTCCGCAACCTGCACGAACCTATACTGCTAAGGAATATGGCCCGCATACCTGGGAAGAGTGGCACAAGATCTATGGCCATATCGGGAAACCAGTGCTTACGCGATTATATCGTGAAGGGCTTGTTGATGGCCTAGAGATCTCGCCAAGCCCAGATGAAATTAATTGCGAGGCGTGCATCCAAGCAAAGGTGACACGGAAGCCATTTCCCAAAGAGACAGACAAATGCAGCAAGGTACCTGGAGAATTAACACACACGGATGTGTGGGGACCTGTGCAGACAGCCGCTCTATAAGGGTGGAAATATTTTATTACATTTACCGACAATTACAGTCATCGAAGTACAGTACTATTTATGAGGCATAAAGATGAAGTAACTGAAAAGGTAAAGAATTATATTACCTATATCGAGCGCAAGTTTGGAAATAAACCCTTGCGACTCAGGCTCGACAACGGTCGAGAATATATGAACACCGAATTAATTAACTGGTGTCAAATGAAAGGGATCGAGATGGGTCCGACTGCACCGTACTCACCATCCCAGAACGGAGTCTCTGAGAGATTGAATCGCACACTGCTTGGACTAGTGCGCGCGATGATCTATGCGAGAGATCTACCTCGTTATCTTTGGGCTGAAGCAATTGCTCATGCAGTCTATATTAAAAATAGATCGCCTACCCAGGCGTTAAATGGGGCAACTCCCGAAGAAAAATGGAATGGGACAAAACCAAATATCTCGTACCTACAAGAATTCGGTTCCCCCGTATGGGTTCTCATGGAAGACGCAACACTATCAAAGCTAGCGCCCCGTGCCAACAAGTATATTTTTGTTGGATACATGGACGGACCCAAAGCCATCAAATATTATGATGTGCACACGTGCCAGATTAAAATCTCGCGTAATTTCCAATTTTCTTCGAATTCCCCGGACCATTTGCCCGGCAACGCGCCTCACGTGCCACAAGAGCAAATAGGATCCGACGTACCTATCCTCACAGCACAGCGTGAGGGGGAGCAAAATATATTTCCGGGCACTTTACCTAGCAATGTGTCAGATGTGCCGCATGCAGAAAGGAGACCCGAAGTCCCAAACCTCACAACGACCGCAGACGTGCAGCGCGAGGGGGAGTTAGGAACTTCTGCACCACAGTCACCTGCCAAAAATCCATGAAAGCACAGACAGGATGATGATTCTGATCAACGTGAGGAAAGCAGGACGGACGCACCAAGCCAGCCCAAACGAACCAGAAGAAAGACAGTTCGGCATGATTACCGTCTAATGCACGACCCAGAGGCAGACGAAGATCTGGATAATGATTCAGATAAATCAAATGCCGAATTAGTCTATATTGCGATGAGCACCCACGGAAATGCGGATGCAGACGAGCCAAAGACGCTCAGTGATGCCAAAAGATCACTTGAGTGGCCCAAATGGGAACAGGCAGTCCAGACGGAACTCAATCAACTACAGGGTATGGAGACTTGGGAGTTAGTGGAACCTCCCGAAGATCAAAAACCCGTAGGAAATAAATGGGTTCTAGTCAAGAAAACAAACAAAGAGGGTGAAATAATCAAATACAAAGCCCGCCTGGTTGCGAAGGGATATTCTCAGATCCCAGGCATGGACTATACCGAGACGTTCGCGCCTGTAGTCCACCTCGAAACCATTCGAGCTATCCTCGGGCTAGCCGCAATCTTAAATTGGGAGATCGGACAGATGGACGTGAAAGGTGCCTATCTTAATGGAACTCTCAAAGAAGAAGTGTATATGCGGCAACCCGAAGGATACAGCGATGGAACATACCGCGTATGTAAATTAAAGAAAACCCTCTACGGGCTAAAGCAGTCTGGCTGAGAATGGAATATTGTGCTGAACCGCAAGTTACTAGACGCGGGATTCAATCGCCTATTCTCGGATCCATGTGCATACATTCGGATCAAAGGTGATAAGATAGAAATCGTCACCGTTTGGGTAGACGACCTATTAATATTCACCAATGATTGCGCACTGATGGACCAATTGAAGAGAGAACTCCGAAATATGTTCGAAGTTACCGACCTTGGTGAACCCCGAAAAATTGTGGGGATAGAAATTGAGAGAGACTGTTCAAAGCGGACAATCAAAATCTCTCAGACAAAATATATTGAGTCTATCCTACACAAGAATGGGCTTACGAACGCCAACATGGTCGGGATGCCTCTTGATCCAAATACAGTGCTTGAAAAAGAAGAACCCGAAACTGATGACGAATGCAACCGAGACAACAGATATGCATCGCTCGTCGGATCACTGATGTATGCGGCAATTGCCACGAGACCAGACATTGCTCACGCCGTGCAACGGCTTAGCTCATTTACTGCCAATCCCGGAATGGCTCATTGGACTGCTGCTAAACGTGTCCTCCGCTATCTATCCGGAACGCGAGAACTTGGAATAATCTACAGGCCAATTGCAGATGTCAAGCCCGAAGATCAATCCATATTTGTGGGCTACTCAGATGCAGACTATGCGAACGATATCCGAGATCGCAAATCAATCTCGGGATATTTATTTAAATTAGGAAATGGCACGATCACGTGGAGCTCAAAGAAGCAAACCACGGTCGTGTCATCCACCACAGAAGCCGAATACATGGCATCCGCCGAAGCGGCAAAAGAAGCCGTGTGGCTCTGAACACTATTCAAAGAAATAGGTTTCGAGCAACAAGATCCTACAATTTTATTCGAGGATAATACAGCGGCGATCTCAATTGCACGTGATCCCCAATTCCACGTGAAATCAAAACATTTTGATGTAAAGCATCATTATGTGCGGGAAAATTTGAGGGATAAATATATTGATATCCACTACTGTCCCACGGAGGACATGATAGCGGATATCCTAACAAAGTCACTCCCTAAGCCGAGGCACGAGAAGCTCACAAAGAAGCTCGGAATGCCCATCAGCTTGAGGGGGAGTGTTAGAAAGCAGCGCCCAAATTTCTGGAGCTCCAGAAATTGGGGAGCGCCCAAGGGCAGACAAGCCGAGGGCATGATTACAAAGAAAGACAAAGAAGGAAATTTGCTTATATAAAGTGGAGCGTCTAGAACTGTATATATACAGAAATCTATTTTAGGACGCGGAATCACGCGCCCCGACACATCTTGACCCGCCATCACTACCTTCCTATTTGGGAACTAAAGCGCGATTTCTAACAGGATTGACAGAGTTTACTTGTCTGGGTTACTTGCAGAGCAGATGTGATGGATTCAGTTTGCTCTGCAATGTAACGGCCTGCCTCGACAAAGTATTTTTCTTTTTTCGATAAGTACTTAGTTTCTCTCAGTCCGAATTAGTGGGGACGGGCAATCCCTGTGAGCGTCGCTTGTATTTGCTCATATTTGTTTACTGTGGCAGATCCTCAGAAATCGATGCAGCACTTCAAACACGTACAGCGCTTTCTACCGCACAAGAATATATGATTTTTTTGTCTACACCAATATTTAAGGTCAAGCTCGATGCAACGTACAAGCCAGAAGCTGAAAAACAGGCCACCGAATGCTCATTATGTGACGGAAAGGCTGAAGTAAATGAAAATTAAAAATTCCGCCTTGAACGTTGCATTGAGAAAAGTGTTCAGAGTGTTTCTCCTCTGCAAAAGAAGTCGGGTTAGTGAAGCGTTGACGCTGCAGACGTGTTCGAAAGATGACACCGCACGTCCAGGTGAAGTCGCGTCTCCCGCGCGTCGCGCGTTTAAGCGCTCATTGTGGCGCACTTGTTCATGCACCCGTTTGCGCGACTTTGCTCCCTCGCTATAGTCTCGCAAGTTATTTCTAGGCCTTTCACTGCTTTCTTGGGCCATTTTGATTCAATCTTGGATACTCTGTGCTTGCACTAGTCTTGTGAATCTGTTTTAGTCACCGGCATCAACTTGAATCCGATGGGCTCCAAGTGCAGGGATAGACACGGCAGGCATAGACGCAGGACAACTGCCCAACAGCAAGCTCTCAAATGTGCCCGTGCAAACAAGGAGAACTCCACACCTTCCGCAGCCTCAGGAGGTTTGGAGAAGCAGCATCGTAAATTGGTATGTGGCCGATATCATATGCACTGTGCGATGAGTACTGATGGAATGCAGGGCATAAGAAGACGACTTATCTTGGCGGAGACACAGCTTTCAAGTGCACGCGAAGAGTTGCAGGTGGCGGAAGAGGCACTGAAGATGGCTGAAGACGATCAGAAACAACACCATGAAGACATCAATGCTCTTCAAAGTGAAGCGGAAGCTCACCGTGCATGTGCAGATCATCACTACACAAGGTATCGTGTAGCAAGACGACGTGCAACACGGCTAGATATTGCTAACGTGAAGCTACGGGCTCGGCTGAAGGAGATGCAATTTCTTTCACGTATGGTGAACCAATTGAAGACCGACCTTACATTGGCACAAGAAAAGACTCAAAAGACAGAAGAAGATGCATGTAATCTACTCACCAGAGCATATGATGAGAAGAGGCACCTCTCAGCATCATTGCGTGACTGTCACGGAATTATTCGCAAGCTGCAGAGACGTTGCAAGAGGGCTCCTAGTATTCTTGCAAGGGCCATTGAGAAGGCAAAGACACGACCATTCACCTACAGACTCAAACAGAAGGGAGTCTACACCGTGGAGGCTAGAGCACTGGCACGACTGTTATTGAAGAGCGGTTGTGCACAACGGAAGGTCGGGAAGACGATACAACAGATTAGTCACGTTTTAGGAGTCATGGTGCCTGAGGTGATGAGCGCGAAGACTGTGCGTCGGGCTGTTTTTGAAGGAGGAATTGCAGCAGAGATTCAGCTTGGGTATGAGATATCGCAGGCAAAGAGTACGTGAATGCTTCAAATCTGTAACATCCACTATGTTCTGACTGTGAGACTATAATCATACAGGCTTTACTCTCAGTGGTGATGGAACATCTCACCGGCATACCAACTACGAGTCACGACATATTGCTTTGCAAACTCCAACATACACTGACTCCATCGGCAGCACTTCTACTACTGCGCCAAAAAATCGCCTAGTTGGTGTCGACTCATCGGTAGACCACACCAGTGAAAATCAATTTGCAGGATGGCTTACCAAGTTTGATGGACTCTCCACAACATTCAATAGGTCATCACTTGCAAGACGCACTGAATCAACTCTTGAGCTCGAGGACTTTGCTGTGAAGGCAAAAGGGATGGCAGGAGATCATGCGACTGATCAGAAAAAACAATACCGCATATTCAAAGCATGGAAGGATGACACCATTCGGATGATGCTTGCCCACAAATTCTTAGAGAAGCAACCATCACAGACACTCAGCGACTTCCTTGCCCGATCAATGGACCTTACAGTGATGGCAGCAGGTGGCGAAGCAAAGTGGAATGAGCTCTCACACGATGAACAAGTTTCACTCAATCTGGCCAAAATGAAAGAGGAGTACTTGCAACTAGGAGAGAAGAGGTTTGGAAACTTGCCTGCGGAAGAGAAACGGGGATTCGAGCTGTTTCTCTGGCTGGGTTGCTGTATGCATAAGGACCTGAACAGCGTAAAAGGCGGGAACATAACAATGTCTGGAGTATGGCAAAAAAATGGCCTGACTCCTCCAATGTTGTTGGCAAACAAAGACAATGCCGCGACCTTGCGAGGAATCTCTCAGCCATCGACAAGTGCTGAAATTCGTGCTATGGATGTGTCAGCTCATGGCGGTGTCAAACTTGCCAGTCTTGCAGGTGCAATTTTCAACCATAAGGACAACAAGAAAGGACAACAAGATACTCAATTGTACTACTTCCGGCAAATTGTAGGGCACACAACAATTTTCCCCGATACCAGCAATACTCGCTACCAGACATATTGTGCTGCTGCAGAAGAACTTCTCGTACACCGCCTAGAATATGTTCACTTTCTCAAGGTCATTCGTGATAAGAAGGACAAGCCTGGATTCAATCATATGGAGCAGAATGTCTATGATGGACTCCATGACATTCCTACCCTGACAGAACTGGCAGTATTGGCCTTATATTCACAGGCAGTCACTCGCCCATACATGCGAGTTGCTCGCATTCGTCAAAATGGCTTGAAACTCGGACCTTTGCATGCTCAACTCAAGATGTTTGTCAAGCTACTCATTGATGATCCCGAGTTAGTCCTATCCTCAGAAGCAACATTTCATTCTGGGGCTATGGATCAGAAAGAATGGGACCGCCCAGAGGCTGTTGCAGCTGTGCATGAGCTGTCTTCACAGTTGCCATATCTCAAGGTTGCATTTGTTGCATTCTTGGAAGGTGCTTTGATAACTTGGGAGAGATTCACAGAGGAGTTCACACCAGGTGGTGCCATTGATCAGGCAACTTCAGAGGAATTAGACGAGGCATGGATGTTCTCAACAAATGATGACAACGAAGGTGCACTTGGTGGGCTTCGTTTGTGGAAACGCAGAAATCCAAATGGCACACAAGCATATTTCAATGCACAGAAGAAACACGACCACAATGATACAGCAAATTTTATGACCGCAATGCTCACAGAAGAAGATCATCAGCATATTCGGAGGGAAGCACGGATTCTTGATGAAAGCAAGCATGAGGCTATCTGTCGCAAACAGCAAGTAGACCACGACATTCAAGTGGCAGCAGCAACAGCTCAACAATGTGAAGAGAAGGAGAAGAAGCACAAGGCCAAAATAGCCACCATTAAAGCAACTCCTCTGATTTTTGCGGACACTGAACTTGAAAAGCTCAAGAAGACTCAGCTCGAGGCACAGCTTGCAGTGTACCGGCTCAATGACCCAGAGGTTCCACTCAAAAGTAAAGTTGGTAAGCGAGAAAATGTACTTACTGAACTGCGAAAAGCCATAGCACGATACAAGGCGGCAGAAGCAGCCGGAAATACAAGTCAGGCTGAGTCCAGCAATACAAGTGAAGCAGAGATGTGCATGGGGGTGGATACTGACCTAGAAACAGACTCCGAAGACTGAGAAGGGTAGTAGGTGCCATGGTAATCACATACCCTTGTATTTGTTATGAGATATCCTGTTGACGAGTGAATGTGACCGGGTGTTCAGCGCAAGTCGCGGTGCGTCACTTCTGCGGCGGGCGCTTGATGACTAAGCGTCCGTAGACGTTATAGGAATTGCCCGTCCCCAGAATTAGGCAAGTGTCGTTGAACGCGGCGTGACAATATTTGGATTTGTCACACATGTTCATCCACCGCAGGTTTTCCGTGTGTGCTTTATTCAAAGAAAAACGCTTCTTTTTATCCACTCTTTTCGATGCCATTCACTCGTTCTCATGCCCGGAGCAAGTCGCGCTCTCCCGCCCCTGCCTGGTCAGGTATTTCTCCTCGCACACCAACTTTTCAACCACCTGCGCACTATGCTGCTGCTGCAGGACTGAGTTATCCAAATCCAGGCCTGGAAGCTCGTGTATCAGACTTCTCTAGGCAGCACGATATTACTTCTGAGACTCTCTCATCTGCTGGTCATACACCTCGCGGGCATCTCGCAGACTCGCCGTACGAAGAACACAGGCCTTCGCCGTCTCAGTTCGACCGCATCAGCCGTCTGGTCTCTCGTAGCCCTAGTGGCTCATCTTCTGTGTCTCTCCACCGATCTAACTCGAAGGGCAGCAAGTCCGACAAGGGCAAGGAAGATGTCGACAAACGGAGGAGCCAGTTCGCTGACATCCCGCTTTTGGAGATGCAGCTGATACCGTCCCTCCGGGATACTGTGGACAGAATGACGCATCCACCAAAACCTGTAGTTAGGGATGCCGAAGACAGAGAGGGATGGTCTAAGGAGGCAAACGCGTCGGGCGTCCTGAGGAAACCGCGACAACCTGCTCCTGGACGCTCTCCTTCTGTTCCGCCGAAATATCTGTCCCCATCCCAAACGCCATCTTTTACATCCACTAGCACATTCTCTACTCTGGGTCGTGCTGCGATGTCTCCTTCTCGTACTGTCTCGCCCAGATTAGCATCGGCATCATCACCCAATCCCACTGGCACCCCAAGAGCAACGCTCAGTGTCGAGGAAGCTTCTCAGCCTATTCTTAGATCGGCTTTGCGTACAAATCAATCTTCTACTGCTACATCCTCCTCCAGTGCAATAGTTCAGTCTCGCAGGAAATCATTGCGCACAGTCAAACCCATGGTCTCTAAATCGCCCAATACATTCGTAACCAGAGATTTTGACGTAAGTGGATTATTTACTTAATGAACTCTACATAATACATCAATCTCTTAGCAGCCGCCAACTACGTCGACGATCTCTAAGGCTGGCTCTCGCCCCCGTACTGGAGAAGAAGCGTTACCGCAAGACCGCTCGAAGAGTCTATTACCTGTGCCAAAGTCTAAGGCCAAGTCTAACCCGAACACACCTCAAGATACAAAGAAGTTCCCAAGCTTTGCGACCCCCCAAAGCACCAATGTCACAACATTTTCACCCCGACTTTCGCCTCTTCCGCCGTCCAACCTGCCTAGACCTGCGTTCTCGTCTGCTTCTGCAAATGATAGCGGCTCAGATCTTGAGAGACGACTAGGACCGATCCGCGCTTCTAAAGTGGCTGTGTCGACTACGAACGCCATCCCGAGCTCGTCGGAAAGCGAGAGCGATGGTGAAGCAGCCAAGACGATGAACCCGGTTCGATCACCCATTTCCAACTGGAAATCTGGGATCCTTGCACGTGATAGATGGCGACCGTCTTCACCATCCCATTGGCAAGGTCAACATCCTCGCCCTAGCGCTGTCCACGAACGCTCCCCCATAGGACTCGGGCTACAGCTTAGTTCTCAGATTCAGGCAGCCCAGGGCAGTGTCGCCGTTGAGTCCGAAGCCGAGGATGGTGCCAGTGTATACGAAGATAGCGATGCTACTCAAGGTCCCAGGCGCGACGCTCTTGAACAGTATGGAGACGAAGATGCAAGCGTGTATGACGACGATGCCGCTGGCAATGACGCTCACGCTTCTCCTGAAGACTTCCACAGTACTCCTGTCCAGGAATATGCCGACAGCAGAGACGAAGCCCTCACGAGGAAACAAGCAGCGCTCGTGGGGATTGTCGATAACCTACGTGTGGACTATCGGACGCATACCTCATACGGCAGGAACTCGATACGTAACTCAGGCTTGAGCAACTATGCGTACGCGGAAGGGTTGGCTATCACTATCTCTGATGATTCCTCGGTTAGGGCGGTCCAGACGTTACCAGTGGCCAAGAGACAGAGGACGCAGCAAGCTGCTCAACAGAAGTGGGCTATACCTTCTTCATCACCTCCTGTCGTGCCGCGTAAGCCCTCTTCGCGTTCCAGGCAGTCTCGCTACCTTCCCCAATCTGCATCACCGTCTGAGGAGATACGACAGTATACCACTGGCTCAAGGAGTATCTCGCAAAATTCTACAACCCGGCGTTCCAGGCACGAAGGCGCATTCGTACCCACAGATGACCCCAAGGCGAACTGGCACGGACAAGACGAGCATGTCTCTTGGATAGGCGATGAGGGGTTGGTTAATACTGCGGACGGCGAGGTAGATATGCTGACAGACAGGGAAGACGTGGCCGAACGGGAGCGAGCTGCCTTTGGTATACCTGCGTCCCTGTCATATGGCGCTAACTCCTCGTCACAAGGCTCGCCTTCGGAACGAGAAGTTCAAACGCTCCAATGTCGCAATGTGACAAATGGTCGTGCGTCCACGTCAAGCGGAGATGACAGTTGGAAGGTACGGTATCGGGAGGACGAGCTAAGCAGAGGGGCCGAAGCGTTATTCGAGAGATTGACGGTTCACGACAATGGCCGCAGCAACTATCATGGTGATATGATGACTACCCCACAGGCGCCAGTGCAGGAGACCCCACATTCTCGGACAGACTTGCGTTCTGGTGACGACCGTGTACGGTCAAACTCGGTCGACTTAATCTCGATTACTGTAACCTCAAGTGCACCGTCTATCTACGAAGAGGGGCCGTCAGAGGATCAAGCTAGTCTTCCCGCACCAACTGCAACATCATGGCGGTCAATGCTTCAACCATCCACTTACGATAGTCTGGCCGCATACTACGGGCCGACCGAAATGCGACGGCAGCAGCTCGTTTATGAATTGTTTACGACGGAACAAGACTTCGTCAAACACATGCGCACCGTCATTCCTTCATTTATCCTACCTCTGCGACGTCGCGACAGTCGGGCCTGGCTGGATGGTGTTCCCGAGAAGGTCGCGAAGCTATTCGACTGGCTAGAAGATATCGTCAACTTTCACTCCGGCATTTCCCGCGCACTCAGGAATGCTACCAACCTATGGGCATCTGGCGCAATCGTAGAGCGGGTAGCAGAACCTCTGCGGAAACATATGTCGGGCTTGGAGGTATACCAACCGTACTTAATGCGGGTGGATGAAGTGAGGGAGATGGTGGCGGATTGTGTGCGCGACAGTGGGAACGTCTTTGGCGAGTACGTCCAGATGTGGGAGCGGGAAGGTGCGCATGAAGGCACAACGTTGCAACACCTTCTGGAAAGGCCCATCAACAGGGTGCTGGTCTACCCTGAAACCTTCCAGGTAATGTCCACCCTTGCTTTTGCCCTGTGTATCTATTAATCTTATTGGCGTCGCCAGCGACTCTTAGAGCTCACACCGCGGCGACATCCAGACCATTTCTGTACGCTGTCTCTTCTGTGTTTGACAAAAACCATGATCCACGTCCTAGACGAGGTACGAATCCGCGAAGAAGAGTATGAGTTCGTCAAGGACATGGCTTCTCGACTTGAGGGTCTGGGTTCACCCGCCGCTCTTGCGCGACGGGAACGGAGACTACTGCACCATGGCGAACTCCATTGGGTCCTCTCGAGAGACGTCCTCAACCATGAAATTAATTCCCTCAAGCTACCATCGAAGGACGGTGCAGGCCGATTGGCATTGCCTAATGAAAAGACACCCGATGGATCGCAGCGGACATCTAGACTCGCGTCCGCCATTCACAACTGGCACGTCCGGCAAGGGTCTGTCGGCTCGACTGCATCTTCCACATCGTCTTTGCGGTCGTATGGCACCGTGTCTGACGCGTCCATCGCGATTGCCTCTGTTGCAGGTGACTCACATCGCACACTGCATGCCCTGAGGTCGCCTGTGGGTGGCGAGATTCCATCTGGACAAAGACGCAAAGAGCGGCAGGATAAGTTGCCTAACGTCTTACCGGTACAAGCATTTATCTTCGCAGATCTTCTCCTTCTAGCTACACATGCAACGGCCCAGAGTGTTCGCACCCCATCTGATCGTGCCGAGAACAAATGGCGCTTACTCGATGATACAGGAATAGCGAGGGTAGTATCTATCACTATGGAGCATGAAGACGGCGGTGAGGTCTCACTCAAGAGTCTGATCCTACACGAATCTGACCGGTCTGCAGGACATGGCCGCGTTGTGATCCTTGACCTTTTCCCCATGGGCATCGATCAGATCAACAGCGGTGGCATCCCTCATTCTAACCAGCCAGTCGAGATGCGTCTCATAATTCCACCGTCCACGGAAGACTCGGAGGGGCTGTGGCTAAAAGCCCTGGACGGTACTTGCAGGTCAACAATTCACTCGATTTCCTTCCCTCCACTCTCGGGAACTACCCATGGCACGAACGTCGACCTCGAACTCGACACCCGGCAGTCCGTGATGGCCATCATGTCGTCCGGTCTTCCGATGCCAAAAAGTCCGTCTATGCAATTGGAACATGCAGCTGCGTACAAAAACGAGCCGACGCAACAGGAAAGAGAGGAACGAGGATGGTGGTCGCTTCGCTTTCAGCAAGTCCTCCGAGAGATGCAGAGGCAAGACCAGAACATTATTCGGCCTCCAGACGCACGAGGCAAGTATTCTCTGGCTTGATTGACGACGGCGGTGGATTCTGCCATCGTAAGATCTATGTACGCTAATCTATAGCTAATGGTTGTCTCTGTTCACGTTATGTAGCCAGCTGATGTATTGCACAAAATAGCGTAACCTGTGTTGTACCTAGTATATTGTTGTAGCCCTACTACTTATCGGAATGATAAGTTCTGAAATTTCATAAGCAAGGTCCATCATCAATTAGGCATCGAACGTGACGTAGAGTAAGTCGTGGATATATATGACATCCCACCTTTGCTTTGGATTTGGGCTTCAGTGTCACAAAGACTCTTCAACGATAATGGCCGAGCTATGCATGGGCAGTCTCTTCTCACAGTATTGTTCCACGTGATAGGATCAGTTGAGAAAGGGAGACAAAAACAACATAACAACATAGCAATTTCACAGCAACACATGGGATTTCTGAACGAACTGTCTGTCAGCCCTTCACTTAAGGCTTAAAGTTAGACATTATACGGTGACTTACATCGAGGTACTGTACGAATGCATTCTCAAACCGCGTCATTCTCTACTAGCTTCCCGCAAACAATATACTTGGTAGAGAAGTGTTCCATCCAGCCTGTAAGGATCATAGTGAGACACATCTTCGGCACCTTTAAGGGTGGGGGTCCATACCTTTCATGTTGTCACTACGCTTATATATCAGTATGATATAAGTAAGGTCAGTGAACATTCACTTACATCTCAGCGGGAGTAAGATCGTCTAATTTGTCGAGCGGTTGATCGATTGGGGTCAGCATGTCTGAGCATCGACGGCGTCCTAGTGAGCGATAACCAGGTCATAACATATCGCCAACACACACCGAGTTCGAACGATTGTTTAGCCATCCCGCGAGACGCGTCTCGACCTGAAAAGTTCGCGTACATCCCATCTAACGCAATGATATGGTGAACTTCCTGGACGAGACACCATCAAAGCAGCACCATACTGGGTCCATAGAAATTCCTCCCAGCCGTCACGTCATACACCACTCCGTCGATTGCCAAAAGTATGCGCTTCCCGTCCTCACCATTGAACGGTGAGAGTGTCTTCGGAGTGTAAGTCTGGTAGAGTAACGTGGGAGGGTGCGACTTGGGCATCCATGAGTAGCCGTTCTTAAACTCGGTTGGGATGGTTTTGGAGATCGAATTAGAGGGAAAAACAATCCGCTGCAGCAAGTAAAGAATATATATGAGTAGAGCAGTGTTTACCGGAGTACCTAGGTCGAACGCCATGTTCACAGACTAGATACGGAGAGAACGCGAGGTTGGAAGTCGAGCCTGGGTAACCGTCGCAGTGCTGTACGGACCGCGCCGAGCCGGCCCAGGATTCTTCTACGAGCACGTGGCAGGCGGAAGTGAAGTTGACGCCAACCGCCGCCGTGCCCAGGACCCCCGCGAACCAACTAAGAGCTCCGATCCCGGGGACGACATTTCTCAGGGGTGGCCAACCACCCATTTTCGGGGGTTTGCACACAACCTGGCGGCGGGTCGGCCATTTTCGGGGGTATGTGGGATCGAACATTCGGCCACCTAGAATTACGTTCGACGGCCTGCGGAATAAAAATTTCGCTTCCTGCGCAAAACCCAAGCTCTTGTGAACCAAATTACCAACACTTTTCGCCCAAACCACCACATACGGCTACATCCTCCGAAACCTGAGAGATCCGCCAGCCAATCTCGGTTTTCGGGGGTTCTGGACCTAACCTCAGGTTGGAAGGTCACATTTTGGGGGTGTTTCGCACCCAACTTTCGACGACTTTTTGGCCATTTTCGGGGGTCGAAGATCAAACATTTTGCCTCCGGCGGCCCAATTTTCGGGGATCGGTGCATCGGAGCTCTCAGTGGATTCGCGGGGGTCCTCCGTGCCCTCATTACTGTAATCCTTCTGCTAGCTTGCAATGTTCATCAATTCGATGAAAGTCCCAAAAAATTTGGTGGAATACTCCTGCGTACTCGCGGTGCAAGGAAATTAAGGTTCTGAACAAGAACGGTTCGTCGCTGATCATCAGGCGGCGGGAAGGCCGGTGGGTGCATTGTTCTTCTATTGTCTCTCGCTGTTTCGAAGAGAGTGGCTAAATCCTGTACCAAATTTTCACTATCGCGTGGCTGCATTCCTCTCTGAGTCGGTTCTTCGCTCTGAATTGTCAATGCCATTGCTGGAAGGCTCAATCAGTATGGATATGCATATGGTGGAACAAGAACAATGAACAGACCTTTATTCCACCACAGAAACGTCGACAAAGTATTATAATGCAGTGCTCTGAGTATAAGAACGGGCCGAACTTGGTTATCTTGTCTCACTTTCCCTCCACAGTTGTCTTCTCCGCAAAGATGCCTCGAGCTGTGAAAGCGAAATCTGCGCCCAAGGCTACTCGCAAGGCCTCCGGTAAGTGTTCCATTGACCTTCTGGAACCTGTCCCGATGAAGTAGGCTGCAGGTTCCGAAGCTGCGCCTAGCGATGATCCCTTCCCGCTGATGCGAACTCGCTCGGGACGAACGCTGCTACCCTTGGTGAATGGCGGAAGACGCCGTCGTATTCGACGCCAACCGCCCGAAGAGACAGCACATGCCCAACCCATCGATGATGGACGGACATCGACTCGCCCTGCAAGAAAAGGAAGGTGCGTTCCTTCTTTGTCCTGATCTCACCCTCTGAAGCCTATCTTGATTGACTCACAGGACAGTTGACACTCGAGCGGCTTCGCCAAAGGAGAACGATGCACAGAGAAAGGCTGAAGAGCAAGTCTCAGGCTCCAAGAAACGACAATCAGCTTATCGGCAGCGGGAGGCTCGCCCTTCTACCCCGGTCGCCGGTCCTTCTACCAGACCACCAACGAATTCTTCTTCCTCCCCACCGGTTGCGTCCGCCGTGCCTACAGCTCGCGTCGGCCGGCCCCTCACCCGTGACTTTAATATCCAAGCCGCCGACGCTTACGCTCGTGGCGAGTTCACCGACGACCCCAGGCTGTACGGGAGAGACACCGTCCCGCCTGATCGCCAGGGTATGGGATACGACGTTGTCTTTTACGCGGGGGAGTGGCGGCACCCCGACGCCATCTACCGTGGACCTGGTAGTGAGGACGTCGACCTTAGCCAGCTTCGCACCTCTAGGGTTGCGCCTGCGTCTCCTCGGACTGGAGGACCTAGGAGGGAGGGCTAGAATGGACGAAGGGGATCAAGGGGAGGGAAGGGATGAGGGGGAGGCTGGTGAACAGCGCCTACGACTTCGTCCTCGCAAGAAATATCCACGCAAGAAATATCCACGCAAGAAATAGTGGGACTCCGCTGCGGTCACGGGAGGCTCCCTCACACAACGTTGAAACATTATAAACCATCCCGCTTGAATAGGACGTTACTCTCGCCCCATACAGTACGACGAGAAGCAGTCTGGTACTGCTCTGTCTGACTCTGGGTGCCATACGCATGCTCTGTGTCAGCACGTGTTCCTCGACTTATGGTGTAGTAGCTCTCATGACAGTTTACTGTTTCTGTACCATTGCTATTGTAATTTTGCTTCGCGACAACAAAGCATGCAAGCTGATCGGTCGTTACTGTCTGGGGGACAAGCATTAGCTACCAAACAAAAAATTACGTAGTCAACTCAGTAGAGCGGTGCTCTGATTTCATGGCGGTGGTATTGCGACAACAAGAGCATGACGTAGTAATAGCTCTGAGATGGTATAAGGTATGGAAGTAATATGTGTGTACAAAGAGTTGCTCATCGAGGTGCTGCACAATCGAGTCCACGCAGCAGCTGGAGCGCTACGAGGCAGTTTCCCTCAATATTAGCAGCGCATTCTGTAGATGGAGTACTTTCGATCTGCTGTGTCACCGGTTGAGTGAACAGTCGGCCAATACTACACCTGCCACATTTGGATGATTTCTACCAACACGTGGCAGACACTGGCCACTGCCCCTTCTCCGAGTCGCAATTATCAGTCGGTCTCGATGACGATCTTCGTCTGAGCTGGTACTAGTGCTTGTGATCATGCTACCCATGGAAGCCATGCACTTGTGTGTCTGTAATTTTCCGGGCACCTTCCGAAAGCTGGACGTCTCAGGATAAACTGGGTGTCGGAGGTTTGACATTACTTCAGGGTCTCTTGGACGATTATGAGGTATCGCTGCCCTACGCTGGGTGATACTCAGTGGTTCTCTGTCTTCTTTTGAATCTATCGAGATGGTCCCCAACTTAGTCATGACGACAAGTGCATGACTTGTTTCGTCCAAATTCGAGCCTTTGTTATTTGTCTTCCAGGATGGACAAAAAAGCATTGCAACATTAGTGTTTTGCTATTCTGGGTTCAGTCTCCAGTGTTCTCCTTATCCTAGGACTTGTTCGGTTTGTTATGATAGGTGACCGTGGCGCTGCCACCCTACAGAACAAAGAACGACGAGCAACATAAAGGAGAAGCGGGGTGTGAATAGTAGGTTTATAATAGCCGGAACGTATATATTCTCTTGTTTGTTCAACCTTCCTCACAACCACTTCCACTTCCTCCCCAGAGCCACCGCCACTTCTGCACCACCTCCACCTACGTGCTCCACAAACGATGCGCGCAATTGTGAAACATAAACTGAGATCCAAGCTCAAGCCCGCCACTAAAGCTGCTGGTGCGCGTTCCACTCTTTGTGCTTAGATCGCTGCATCTGATACGTAGCACAGATGCGACTCAACAACCTCCTCAAATTGCAGAGGCGGGGCCCAGCAGTACCACCACAAACAAGAGAAAGATCTGGCCTGCTGAAGATTCGAACCAGCCACCAGAAGATGTTGAAGCAGGTCCCAGAAACCGTCCTGCGAAGCGGACAAAGACCCACTCAGATCGAGAGATGCACCCGCCACCCGTGATTGTCGAGGCCAAACCTCCCAACTCGCCAAGCCCGATGAAGACTCGCTCAGGTCGAATAGTGGGCGCGCCCGCAGAGAAACCCGCGCACATACAATCTGCGACTGCGCGTCGTGGCCGTGGTCGACCTCGGAAGGAGAAAGCCGCTCAAGCACGAGACACTAATGACGTCTCCACTGCGACGTTCGTATGCTCATTGCTCTCGTGCCATTTGCTGGGCCTCATACAATGTACATCTACAGGACTGGCCCCAGGGCCCCAACCTCGAAGGCCGTGCTTCCGCCATCCACACCTCCCAAGGCCGCCTCGTCGACGTCTGTGGCCCTGCCCGAGCCCAATACCGCGACAGAAGACGTCCGACATATAGCACCTCGGTTCAGGAGGCCAAGGCCCAGGGGGGGTGCGCCGTCAGCGGCACCACGTCACGCGCCGGAAGTCGCACCACAAGTCACAATGCAACCACCAACACAAGTCGCAGTGCAACCACCAACACAAGCTGCACCACAGCCTGCACCACAAGCTGGCCCCCACATAGCACCCATGCTCGGGAGGCCGATTGTCAGGGCCTTGCCACCGCCTAGGAACATTGGTGGCCACACTCCTACCCCTCTGCCAGTTGCTGGTTCCTCTCGATTGCGAAGGACCGAATCATTTACTATGTTGGATGTCGGTCCTGCCCCCATTTCGCAGCCCCAAGCAGTGGCCCCTTCCCATTCCACGGTCGTCAACGCCTCTAAGGCGCGGCCACCGCAGATGCATGCAAATTCTAACGCGTTGACTCAGGGCATGGCTATTCTTCCGCAAGTTAGCCCACCCTCTCCACCGCAGAAGCCAATGAGGCATCTCGCGGTTGATGCTTCGGATACCTCGAATCCCTCAGTGCAGATCTATAATGCTCTGATGAGGGCGGATAAGAAAAAAGAGGATCGCGTGCAGCAGGAGACCAAGACGAGCGTGGGCCCTGTGCCCCCTTCACAACAGGACGGTCGTACCGTCCAACCACCGGCCCTTCCGGTCCCTAGTCCGTTAGCATCTTACAAAGGGAAGGGACGCGCAGACGATGTAGGTATCAGAGCTCGCGGTGCGTCGCTCCCTCCCGCCGACCGTGCAGTTGAAGAAGATGATGGGAAGGGGGAGAAGCGTCGTCGAGAATCAGAAGAAGACGAGGCAGATGCTGGTGCGCAACGTGGAGCTCCTAGACCTCGTACAGAGCTGTTCCAAGGCGTCACTCGGACTGGTCCATTCAAGCTGGTTCTGACGGTGAAAAGGCCGGCACAATCTGAGAGGGTGGATGTCTGCGGCTAGACGGCGGAGCTTGATCGCTCAACGAATGTGGCCTTGGATGCTCGGTGCACAGACCAGTTACCGGACATTCCGTGCGGGGCGCTCGGCGCCGTCGCATATCCTTAGCTAGACATTGTAGACGAAGACGCGCAAACTTAGCAGCTTTCCTAGGCTTTGCTATAACTTGTTGTATACTTGCTGCTGTCTTCGTTTGGTTGTGCAGTTTGCTCGTCATATACCATGGACCAGTTGAGACCTTTTATCTAGGTTATTTCTGGCATGAAGTCACTTAGTGAGAAAACTGTGAGCAGTGTTGAATGTCATATGCTGTGGGTGTGAGTACGAGCTATGCTACTATACCCGAAAGGTGGTGCTACTTAGGGATGCACACAGTGGGGACATGATATAGCTGAACTTGCAAGTGGTCTTCACTCGGAAGGAGGTGTAAGATGAGCAATGAAGTGGATGCGGTTATCTGACGAAAGCATTGGAGTGTTCAAGTTAGGTAGTCAATAGTGTATAAGCTCAAGGGTATATCGGTCTTCGATCGTGAAATCTGAACACCTATAGGCTAATCCCAATCCGCGGTCATATTCAGATGTCGTTTGCCGCCGCTGTAAAGAATACTACAAATATTTCAGCAGGAGACGATGCGAAGAGACGACTACTGCTCACCATAGCCTCCGGGTAAGTGCCTTTATCGGAAGCCTCGGTTACGCGGGTCCGGCAAAAGAGAGAAACGTAGAAGGCCCTGGGTGCATAACTCGGGTAGCTTCGCCTCTATGACAGCACGGTGGTTGTGAAAGCCAGGGTCTACAGAACGCAAGCTGCGACCTCCAATCTCAAACATCACCGTTTCTAGGCGTGGAAACTCGCTGAGTACCTGTGCAATTATTGGCCAGTCGTAATTATCCATATTTTCACAGTTCTTTTTGACATGGACGACGGTAGATAGAAGCTGGAAGGTGATGTTCTGCACTGTGCGTGGCATCATCCTGATCATGGCAAGGGGGTAGTTGAACGGATCGTGCAGGTCGTCATAAATGTCGGAAACAACCACGACGAGGAAGACAGACTGCAGGTGAGAACACGATGACAGATTGAGGTCATGCCACTGCATTGGCACTAATGTCCACCATTGTTAGCATGTGTAACAGAATAATACCAAACTAGGTTGCGAACTCACGGTCAAACTTTTCCAGTTCATTCAGACCATCGAATGCCAAGTGCCGGATTGTCGGTCCTATCGCCTGTAATAATCTCCCGAGAGTTGCGACATCGTCCCAGTCAAGGAACTCGGCTCTAATCGAATGCAATGTATGTCTAGACGGAGCATACCGAAGGATATCGCAAAAAAATTGCATGAATGTGGCATCCCCGAACGAGGCCCTGAGCTGCAGGGATTGTACTCCGAAGTCCCCTGAGAAGCCCTGCGCCAATGTGTTGAGGTAGTCGGGGTCTGCATCTCCCCAGTCCCTCATGGACACGGAGTTCACGTGCAAGTGTTCCACCACGGAATAGAGAGAGAAGAAGGATATCACGTTCTCGAGTGTAGTGAATATGACTGTATTGATTGACAGCTGCTTCACGCTGAAACACGAATTCGAAATGGACTTCGACGAACGGCATGTGCAAGAAGAGCTAGTGGACCATATTTCTTCCAAATCCAACCTGCGAAGGCGTGGAAGATTGGAGAGAATATCAACCAGGACGTGCAAGCAAAGAAAAGTGCGACGAGAGCTATTTCCTAAGAGGCGCAAGTGTCGTATCAACGTGGAGATATGAGGAGATTCTTGCAAGTATTTGACAAATGGTTCAAACTCATCCACGACACCACTGACTTTAATAGTCTCGAACAGATAGCGGCGACTGGAGTACGTCCATGAGGGCGATACTAATGTGCATGAGGATAGGGTGCGTTTGTCGTCATGCAAATTGTCGATGATCATCTCGTGAATGTCCGGAGCCAGTTGCGGGATCATTGTGGACGAACAGGCTGATTATGTGCCGCTTGTGGCAGAACTGATTAAGCTCGTTCCGAGTCTGTCAGGCTCTCCCAGGAAGGATTCAAGGTGTTGTTAGCAACGTTGAAGACAAGGTGCAGTTCTGTCAATGTTGAAAAGAAAGGCACGTAAGTGGTGGTATTAGATCGCTACGTCTCAAAACACGCATGAACGTACGGTTGTAACCACAAGGTACATTACACCTTTTTTCCTGGAGAAAAAACTTAAGAGGAAAACGAAGTAAAGTTGCTCGAAATATCTGAGGAGAAGCGGGAGTCGGGAAAAAATGTGACTTACAAGTCACGGAGGAATCCCTTCTCGGTCAGTTCCGTGAGAGATCTGGTAAAATTCTCATAAAGTAATCCTTTCAGGGAAAAGTTTCAGGGGAATTCGGTAACTTATGTACATTTTCACGGTGTCGCCTTCCTGTTTCCGCAACATTCAGCCATCCAGGCTTGCACCGATCTATTTACGCCTCTTTTCCCATGCCCTGCTCGATAGCTTGTGCAACCTTTGTTACGTCCCCCTTGCGATGTAAACCTTTGCATTGTGCGATGGTAGCGCCTGCACTCACCAAGGGTATTTATTTCCAAGTGAGCAGAGCACGGACACGAACCTACGACCGTATATGGTGCAAATACAGGAACTAACCTTATGCATAAACAAATCGGTCAGAGAGAAAGGTGTCTGAGATTTTCAAAATCTGGATAGCCCAGAAATAATCATAGGGAGATTAGTACATACAGCGGATGTTCGTTACATAAGACTATGCTGACACACTGCTCCGCACATCACCGGGTGGGGCTGGGCGCTAGCCACTAGATGCCATCGACTTGTTGATCCAACCACGTCCACAGTTTCGATCCGACAGACGGGTCGTCCGTTTCCGTCCTTGGGGAGACGACACGAGCCCAAGGCATCAGATACTATGTGGAGAGGTCAGACAGGGAAGCCTGCAGGAATCACACATGACCCACCTTTCCACCGAGATCAGCGCCCTCGGGAGAAGTGCCTGCGTACAGCTGTGTGAGTGCTCCAGTCGAGGAGGGATACGCGAACATGAACTGCAGGCATCAACGTTAGGAAGTATCACGCATACGGAGAGGTGATGTATACCATAAGTTGGTTCATCGGTAACCATGAATGCCGTGCGAGCTCTGTTTTGATGATCCCCGGATGGAGCGAGATAGAGACGATGCCTTGAGAAGCGTATCGCCTATTAAGCTCATTGGAGAACACAACGTTACCCTGACGTGCACTGTTCAGTCAACTGCGTCGAAAGAGAGGAGCGATGCCTACAAATTTGCTCTGGCAATACAGCCGATATGTACCCAACTCCTTCCTCCGCGAACCGATGCGCAGAGAGTCGTAGTCAATTCCAGACGCATGCTCATGTGACATTGACGAGGTGTTGATTACACGAGCCTTTCCATCGGGAGATGTCTTAGCGGTTGCGATAAGAAGAGGGAGGAGTAGCTTCGTGAGATAGAAATGACCTACAAGTAAGACCATCAATTCCCATAGATGCGAGTTCAGCTCAAGTCAAGGCACACCAAGTACGTTGGTCCCAAATTGGAGATCATAGCCGTCATAAGTGAGTTCGTCAATGGGTGGGGTCATGACACCAGCGCTGTTGAATAATACATGCAACTGCGTCTCCTTGCTGCAGCGGCGCACGTCAGATCTGCATCGTGTGAGACCGGATTGAAATACTTGCTTGCGAAACTCCTCCACCGCCAACTTGATAGACGTCAAGTTTGCAAGATCCATGTGAAGAAACAGAGCCTCCTTCCCGGTCTCGGTTTTCAGCTCCTCGATAGCAGCTTCCACCCTCTCCTGGGAACGACCAGCAATATACACCTTCGCATTGTGTAAGAGAAGTTCCTGTGACAAGACACTATGGTCAGAATAGAGAAACAAGATATTTTTGAGACTAATACATACTCGGACGGTATCCTTGCCAATGCCTGTGTTTCCTCCGGTGACAATTATGACTTTGCCAGCGAGGTCAGGAATTTGATCCACCCCCCAAGTCGCTTTTGGAGGAAAAAACTTCGTCCAAATGCTAGACATGATGATAGACAGTTCTTCGCCGACTGACGTTGGAAAAGAAGTAGAGCGCAGCACAACTATATATATACCACAGGAGTAGGCACGTAGGACACACGGTCTGGAGAGTTCCCTGTCTTCCGATAAGTGACGACTCGGACGAGAGTGCGTAGGCTGGAAGCTCGTAGACAAGCCCTAGGATAGCCTGGGTTCAGAGGTGAGTATGTAGAATACGTAGCCATTATTACCAAAACAAAGTCAACAGTTCTTCATAAAATGGACTCGCCTGGAAATTGCCGGCTATCGGTGTTCGAATCAAATATGGACATCTTATTGGCTGAGATCTCCTGCCTCTTAAGGAACTTCTCTTCGGTGACCGGTGAACCGGTGACCTTTCACACTCTTTGATTCACGCCTTCAATATTTGTTAAGTCAAGTACATGCCTCGAGACACTTCGAGTTCAGGCTGAGTCCCAGTTGTCCACATCTTGGCCGTTCATCTGTAGATGGCCGCCTAGTACGCCAATTTTATTTATGGGAATATTACCGCCGTTACTAGTCGCTAGATGGTCAGTTTGACATAGTTGATATATGGCTTAGTGCTTACGAGCCCTATTCCCTTGTATCTGAGCAAGTGTTGACAGAAGACGGCCGATCTTTAAGAAGAGTCACGGCCAATTTCCCTGGCTGCTCAAAGTCAACTATCAGATTCATCACAATGCACTGCAGGATGTTTGGGACTCTCTTCATCCGCTTCATCGCCTCCGGTGTTGTGGACGTCCCAGGCCGCCCTTCGGAGGTGGTTGAAACGGTGATTTATGCGTCAAACTCAATCGTGCACATATTCAGTATGAAGCCCTCCGTGTCGGGAGACAGTGCCGAAGCAGTGAAGGTAGTATGTCTCTCATCTTCTCTCAGCGCTGAATGTAGGTGCAGGAGAAATTGCATATTTCTCAGGCTCCTTCGGGTGAGCATTTGACGTCAATCTCAGAAATCTTTCACTATCCGTTACTGCGGGCCCCCGTTGTCCGCCGGGGGCTTGTAGCTCCCTGGCAGAGTTTACTCAGAGCACTGTGAGTATTTGTGCCTCCTCACATTTTGACTCAACAGCCGTCTATATCGGACAGCCCTCAGTTATTCTCAAAGTGACGGTGCTGTACTTCTCATCGACGTTTGTCACTGACAGCAGTGGCCACGAGTGGGCTTCCGCACCATGCGCGATCCGAAGGGCGAGCGGATGAACCTGAAGGTCTGAGGCTCCCACCGTGGACATCATCTCAAAGCGCGACTCGGTGCTTCTCCGGAGAACGATTGCAGCGGCTTTCCTCAACGGTTAACGTCGCTCAGATGCTTACAGCCTATTCCTATCGGGGGACTGAGTCGGATGGGCATCATACGGCCTCTGAACCCTCGTGGCCGATTGATTTTGTCGTGCCCTCGCAATTGCAACGGACACCAGTGGGCTCGCGGTAGGGTTCTATGGGACGGGCAATTATCCATTCGAGCGTCATCGAGCTTTCTTATCCCAGTCACCGTACCTCAATTGACGGAGGATCCTTTAATCCGCGATCCCAATAGAAGCGGACATTTTCAAGCGTAGCGCAGTGCACACGAATATCTCCTGTGTCCCAAATAGTTTCACCGTTTACTCCAATTGCATGGACGTGTCATTCGGTGCACATGTTAATGCGAAGACGCGTCTTTTGGGTCCCCCGCCGGCGTCTGTCCTGACCATGGCTACCCCGCCTTTTAAACGTGCCCCAAAGGTGGTGTCTTCCCAGCCTCCACATTCCAGTTATCTGCCGCATGTTGTGGTCAACTGTCCAAGCAGCAGGTGTCGAGGCCGGCGTTTGCGCAAGTTCTTGAACTCTCCTTCCTGTGCTCCTTGCTGGTAGACAGCAGTTCAGGGACCAATGTACGTAATCCTTCTCCACGCTTGTGTTCGGATGACTTTCGGTGGTCAGACTTCAATGCATAGACGATGTAAATGTTGCATTTATTCAAACGCGTGCATCAAATTGTGGTATTGCCGAGATCCTCAGGCTGTTCAGCTGTCAATTGCGTGCGAATCTGGGAGTTGGCACTATGGACATCAAGCCGCATTCCGCGAAACTGCGCTGTTCAAAAGCTGATTTCTACTCTTTGGCAGCATCTATCGACTCTGCGATGCATGTAGAGACTGATTTCCACAAATTCCATCGAGGGTCTGCCGCCAGCGCTCGATATCGTGAGGATATGGCGCTGAAAGTTCGCTTGGACCGAGCTTCTGTGTGCTGCCATTCCCTCCACTTATCTGACATGCTTTCATTGCTTCCCTGGAGAAAGTTCTGACAGATGCCATAACTTGTACGTCCCAGGGCAGCGCACAGGTGCGTGCCTGTCTATCCTGGCCTTATAACCAGAGTCATCCCATGTTTCCGTCTCACTATCCACACATCAAGATGTTTAATTCCCGCCTTCTCGTCCTCGTCGTCCTCGCATCTGGTATTGTCTCTGCGTTGAAGACTGATCACACGGAAGTGGTTGGCATTGCCACTTGCACGTCCACTGTGAACGGCGTCAGCGTACAGTGTGAAGCTCTCCGGGTCAGAGACCATATTGGCGGAGTTAGTATCTTTGGCCAACCTCTTGTCGATGGCTGTGTTGACCATCTGTTGCAGGAGACACCTCACCATTGTCCCCTATCGGGTGAGCATCTCCAATAAATCCTGTGAAAGATGTGCCTCACTACCTTCCATGACTGTCGAACTTCAGACCGTCATGAATCACTGAGACCGTGTCCCTGTGATGTTTCTCCAAGCCCCGGAACGGTGAGCATATGTCTTCTACCCGTCACATCGGTCTCAACAGACGCCTAGATCGGGTCTCCGCAATCGCCGTGCGGATGCCAAAGTCACGAGCCCGGGCTTCCCGCTGGAGTCGTCGCAATTGCCCTCAACGATGACGCCCATCAAGTCGGCTTCCGTACCATGCACGATCAGAACAGCGATTGCTTGAATCTCAGATCGAAGGCTTCGACAGTCGAAGTAATCGAAATGCACGATTCGGTGCTGCTCATTTTCCCACAGAGAGACTGCTTCGGCATTCCTCAGAGGTTCACCTCAACCGGGAGATCGCAGCTGATTAGGAGCGGGGAAGGATTGAGTTGGATGAGCGTCAAGGAACCCCCGCAGGACCACTACGTCGGTGTCGCTGCAGTCGCGACAGCTGATAATGGTCATGCCGTTGGATACCACAAGATGGAGGATCCTAGCTTGGAGTGCCAGGACTTCGAGGGAGAGGCTTTCGATGCCAATATCGTCGAGACGCGGCACTCGGTGCTGAGGGTGTACGCGGACAAGGGGTGTCGAGGTCCAGCCGAGACTTTCCATTTTCTCGGTCATCATCCCTTGAGATATGGAGCGTGGAGCTGGAAGAGCATCTCCCTGCCTGGAAATCACCCTGTCTCCGAGGTTGTAGAACTCAGGGGTGACTGTTCGGACACTCATTGTCACTGCAGCAAGTACTGCACCAGTACCGGGCACAGCGAGAGCGAGCAACTCCCTGCACAGGCGCAGGCGGAGCCGACTCCGATTCTGGTGGTTTATACCCAGTGCTAGAACGGATTGTTGGATGAAAGGTCAACCAGTTTTACGGCGAGTATTGTAGAAGTTGAGGGAGTTCCTATTACAATTACTTTCCATCCGCTTGACAATTCCTGCCGTTTAGTCCTAGTTCATAAATGTTTGCTCTGACATGGTTCAAAGCACAGTAGTTTCGTTCATATGACAATGCACATCGCTTACCAGAAGAAAGCTCTATGTCCATTAGTTGTCCTTACTCACACCTAGCACATGCGGTAGTGTAACCTCGCATGGCCCAAGGAAGACGAAATCTGCAAGATCGTCACCGCTGCTCGCTTCAAGGTTGAATACTGCAACAACCCCATTGTGGCGCTTGACGCGGTACGCATAGCCAGCGGCTGGGTAAACCTGGCGCAGAGATCAGTAAAGGGACACAATGACGACATAAACATAACCCACGGTCGATGAAGTGCCTACGACGAGACACAGATCCGCTTTGTATACGATGCTGTTGATGTCATCGAGCCTCAGTGGTTTCTCTTCAAACCACACTACTCCCGGGCGTGCAAGTGCACCGCAGTCCGGACAACGTGGAAGCTGGCTCTCAGGTATGTCGTTCGCCACGGACCCTGCATCGTGGTAATCACCGAGCTTTGCGTCCGCCTCTCCCAGAGAAGGACATAGAGGACTGCTAAGGTTTTCTTCGCAGTAATTACAGGTTGTACATTTGACGTCGAACAATTTTCCGTGCATCTCGATGATGCAATCCATGCGTGGGCGATCAGCACGCTTGCTGCCAGCAGGTACCTGCTCTGCGACGGAGTTCAGTGCGCGTACGGACAGCCTGTCCACGTTCTGCGTAACCAAGTGGAAGGACTTGGCCATTGGAGCCAGAGTCTTCAGGAAATTAGGTATTGCCAGCTTGGCAAGTAGGTCGTGGGCTATATTGGGAGTTGCAGCTAGCGCTCTATGCATCGACGATAAGTATATAAGTGAGCAGCGACGCAGAGTGAAGGTTAGGACCAAGGGCTCACTTGACTCTGCGGTGGTGGTAAAACTGCCACACCAACGACGGGTTAGCTGCGAATGCGCTCGGCGTAGCTAGACTCGTAGCATCCAGAGATCGCCACATGCCTCCTGTACCACGAAACGTGGGTATCCCTACATAGTCGGTAAGTCTCATGGACTTCACGCATTTGGATCAATGGCGACTTAACGAACCTGACGCGGCTGACAGACCGGCACCCGCAATGACCACGATGTGCTGAGAACGGCGAAGCGCCTCCTGAAATTCTGCTTCACTGTCACTGGGCGGCATAAGGTACACTCAAGGGGCTAACGTCGAACTTCGAGGCCGTCAAAAAGATATCTGGATATAATCTGGATACTGTAGGCTGAGGCGCGGCCAGAGTATGTTGATTCGGAAGATGCCGGTAAGTCCGGGCCGAAGTGAGAGTCCCGATTTGGCACTCGTGGTGGAATGGCGCACCTTAGAAGAGTCACCGTTGTCTACAACATAACACCACTTGTGGGTGAGCGGCGCTGCATTCGCACGCCATGTCCGATTCCCTAGTCCCCCCACGTATATTCACAGCATCGATTTCTGCGAGAGCGACATGTGATAAGGCGGTAGTCATAGTAATAGTATACAAGAAAATCACGTAGTCAAGCCATGTAAATTTACGGTGGCAATCACTGCAAGCGAATAGTGGGGAAGAAAATAAACGTAGGTAGTGCAGATTACAAGCAGTAGCACAGGCTCATATAAGATAGAGGCTATTTAGATGAATGATGAAACTTCCGCGCGCGGGACAACAGCTCTTATCTCCTGGGGCCCATCATACAGATGCGCTATAGTGACGAGTTCGAAACCTGTCCGCCACTTGGTCCAGCCCTTCTCGTATGAAGCCTTACCTTTAGCATTGACCCTCCAACGAGTGACGTTACATTCGACCAGGACGAGATCATTTTTGTGGATGTCCGTGGCATGCATCTGTCTCATAGTGTTCCTGGGGCCGAACTTGGTGTCGGCATCAAATACGTCTTGGAAGGCTTCCACCTTAAAGCAATGAATAACAAATATTTGTTGAAAAGAAGAAATTCAACATACAGAAGCATACTCTCCACTCCCGGTGCTCTGGAAGCATGATGCTTTCAAAACATCTGAAGTGTTTGAACCGATCTTGATGCTCACAACGGCCAAGGGTTCACCGCGAAGTTTGAACCAAGATGAGTCGACTTCTCCGACGAGCCACACAGTAGCTGGTTTATTGTCTACGATGAGGAGAGGATATAAATCCAAAGCTGCAAGTGTCGACATCAGCAAGGGAGAGAAGGAGGGAGGAAGTATCAGGCACACTCACATCTATGCAGCATACAGAATCTACGTGAAGAGTGAATGCAGCTGCGAGAAGATAGAGGATGGGTGCAGAGATGCAGACAATCACCCCTAGCCATCGGTCCTCCTCCAGTCTTTCATCGGAAATAAACTTTCAAGGAATGCCGGCCGACTTTGTGTTGCGAAAATCTTGAACAGGAAGCGGGAAACCCGAAGTGAATCGGGTGGCCTAAAGACGGAAAGTAAAAAAAGCGGATAACCATTCTAAGAGAAAATTACTATATGCGGCGCGGGTACAACTTTATGTCAGCAACCACCATACGTGCACAGACTGATAACCGATTCTTTAGGGAATCGGAATACTGTCAGCCTTCTCTTTATCCGCCTAAAGACACAATAATGTGGCAAATTTTTCTACTCCACCATCCTAGTAAGTATCATGGGATAAAGTACTCGAGTGAGTTCGTGATTTTCTCAATGTGTGGCAGAGTACGATTACTATCTCGTGGACGATGAACACAACACCGCATTATTGCCGTCAGAGGACGTAGCTTTTCGGTGATGGAAGTCGTGAAAAAGTATTAGTGGTGTCAGCTGCAATACCACTCACCACGATGATCATGCACTATCATCTAGTGCCCTAGCGTCCCAACGCCATGGTAACGGTAGGATTAGACTGACTACTCGGGCATGTTTCTTAGGCTCAGTCTGCATTGCAACGATAGAACTTCACGGGTGTTGGATCAGTGTGAAATGCCAGCCGCACATTCCCATATAAATTCAATGCTGAGATCGATGCACCTTGTGCACGCTAGTTTCGTCTCGTCGAGTATAACTGGATTATACTCCTGGTCTTGGGTGTATTTTTTTCCTCGCCTTGTCCGTCGTACACCATGTCGTGGTTTCTGTTGCTCTCTCTTTGCTCCGTGCTCCGGCTTGCCTCCGCCCACGGCTTTGTCACGGAAGTAGGGATTGACGGTGCAATTTACCAAGGGAATCCTCCGGGACACAACGAAAGTGAGCCTATTGCACTGCTCCGATCCGCGACCCACATCGCTTACTATGTATCGTTGTTCAGCCGTCAGTCCCATACGAATAGTGTCTAGCAATAGCCCGGTACAGAACACGTCCGACGTCAACCTGGCATGTGGACTCGACGCACAGAGTGCGCCGATAGACGTGAGGACACAAACCGGGAGCAACGTGACCTTTGACTGGGTCTCTGGCTCGGGCGGGCATGTACGTGCCCAATACTTCATACTTCTGGCAGAGTGGAACCTTGACGATATATCTCCCAGTGGCCACACGGCGTCGGGCCGATCCTCACCTACATGGCTTCCTGTGGCGGCCCGGGCTCCTCCTGCACTGACTTCAACGCAACGGACGGCCAGTGGTTCAAGATCGACCAGGTTGCCAAGCAGAGCGACGGTACATGGGTGCAGGCGAACATCAGTGTGTCCCCACGCCGACTCGCCAGTCACCCACTTGTCTGACCCCTCCTTGTAGTGAATGGCGCAAATTTCACCGTCATCCTGCCGAGTGATCTCATGCCGGGGCCCTACCTGGTCAGGAACGAGGTGAGCCCAATCTTTCCTCTCTTTTCGTGGAATCAGTCTGAATGGGGGCGCGTCCACCACCAGCTTATCGCCCTGCAAAATGCGATGAGCGTAGGCGGCGCAGAGTTCTACCCCTCCTGCACGCAGCTGAACATCGTCGGCGACGGCACGATGGTGCCCTCGCCAAACGACACAGTGTCGCTCCCAGGGGCGTACGCAGCCACTGACCCTGGAATACACGTCGACGTAAGTCTCCTTTAGCTTGTCTGTGAGTATATATGTATACGCCTGTACGCATAGGTCTACGACAACCCAGACGCACCGTACGTCTTCCCAGGCCCACCCATCGCGACGTTCGTCCCACAGACAACTATGGGTGTGCCCACTCTGACTCAAAGTCAGCCTGATGCACCGGCGGAGGCACCGGCAGAGGCACCGGCGGAGGCACCCGTGAGTACTCCTACCGATCCTCCTCCATCAGCGGCCAGCCCCACAGACAATTTCAACAACGGGGAAATGGCGGTACTGATTGTTCCCGGGGTGGGGTCCCCAAACGTCCGCCGCCACACTCTGGTGATCGATCCACGTTGGTCGCGATGAGTTAGCATTCGGGGCATGGACGGATCCATATGCCGTCGCTCTGTACTTAAGACCTCACTTATTCTCTGTCATTCGTGCGAAAGACAAGCAGTGAGGGGCACACGAAGTCGATACAACCGCGGTCCAAAGGACCGCTGAAAGATTACACCGTTGAGCACAGATTCTACGAGATATACAACTAGTGATTACAGGGGTGGCGTACAAGTACTCCCGGCGTTGTCATCTATCGTGCGGGCACAGTCGGCGTGCAGCCAGTGCAGGGTTCGTTAAGGTCGTGCGAGGATAGAAAGTATTCATGCGTGTCTGGCATCCAAGAAATCAAGAAACATTGTCCGTGACGCGGTCAGTCGAACCTGCGAAACAGTTAGACACCTCGTGCAAAACTCGCAGGGGAACACTCACAATCTAAGCGCAGATACAAGCACAATGCATGAGCAATGATTCGGAAACCAGTACACGAGCAGAGTACACTTACCCTACAACCACCATCGCGCCCACGCCCAAAAAGAGGCTGCACAACGCCAGCGCCTGCCGCAGGACGCTCGCCCGCCAGAGCCGCGGGTCCATCACGAAGTCCCCGGCCAGCATCTCCACGCACGCCGCGTAAATAAGCATCCCCGCACTTAGCGCTGACATCAGGCCCTGAACCAAGAGGAGGTGCGCTACACGAAACCAACATTGACAACAAGACAATGAGCAGTGTGCCATCGGTAGGAGATCAGGACACACGTACCTTCGTCGCCGCCAGCAGTCCCCGGTGCGAAGATGCCCAAGCCGAGGGCGATCCCGATGGGCGTCGTCAGCGCGAAGGCCAGCGTGAGCGTCGGCTTGAGAGCGCGGCTGAACAGACCTGCGAACATGGTCAGCGGGATACACATAGAATGTAGGAAGATGGGGAAACGTACTTGTAGCCGCCCCGGAGTCGGGCAGACCCGCGATGCGGATCCCCAGCGAGAGTCCTTCGAATAGCTGGTGAAACGCGATGGCGATGACGAGCGAAGCTAACTTCGGGTGTCAGAAGCGGCCCATGGTTACCGGATGGTGAAGCAGTTGGACTTACTGAACTCGGGCCCGGAGGTGATGGCGAGCGTGAGCCCGATGACAAGCGAGTGTAGCATGATGCCCACTTGCAGCATCTGCCCACAGAGCCGCGTCAGCTCTTCTCTTCTCGATTCAATTTAAAGGAGAAAATAGAGGCGCACCAGTATCCCGACGATCTGCCGCCGCCGCCCCACCCGCACCTTCTCTGCCTCCTCCCTATCGCCGATTTCGTCCTCGACAAGCGTACTCAGTGCTCCCCCTTCATCCGCTCCATCACTGAGGTACCCATCTTCAAGATCCAGGTGCGCATGCGAGGGCTCATGAGCCGCTACCTTCTTGTGCGCACGCTCCGCCTCGCGCCCACGCTCCGCCGCTGCCGCTGCCGCCGCCTCCGCCTCCGCCTCCTCGTCCACACCCCCTTCCCCGCCTTGCCGCAGCCCAAGCCACGTCCGCCAGGCCTCCCAGTACTGGTGAGAGTGGTGCCGGGAATGCGCGGTGCGCTCCTCGTGCCGGTGATGCCCGCCCGCGAAGATCTCGTCGTCCGCCCCGTCCCCGCCGTCCCCACGGCCGAGGGGCAAATGCGAATGCGAATGAAAATGTGCGTGTGGGGAGAAGCGCGGGGTCCTCACGTGGTCTAAGTGGTTTGAAGGAGCGGGAAAGGTAGAGTAAGACGATGGTCTCCGCTGCGAAGAAGCGGCGGCGGAGGACATTGGCGTGTGCTCCGTCACCGTCGGCGGGCTGTTCGCCGAAGAACATTCCTGCTGTGAGATGTTGTCTGGCGCATAGACCAACCTTTCCAGATTCTGGACCATGATCGCAGGGGATGGGTCCGCAAGGCCATCGGGCGGGGGCGAGGGTAGGTGTGTTCGCGCAGCGAGACACGGACTACTCGGTTTCGGCGAATGTGGAGGTGAGGTGGATAATGGGGATGGGGGCTCGGAGGAGTAGGAGTGCAGGCGGTCGACGAAGGACGTTGAAATATCTGCTGGGAGGTGAGTATTCTTTTATTTTTTCGCGGATAAGTACGAAGCTCACATTCAACCAGGAAGATGGAGAGGAGCGAGCTGAGACTGTTAACAGTTTGAAAATATGATTCAGAACATAGGATGATAGTCAAGAACGCACACTATCAGCCCTGTCCACTTTCCGATCCCCCAGCGCTCCTTGACCTTCTCGCTCATCAGCGCAGCGAAAGCATCTTGCAGCAAGTGTGCAAACGCCGTTGCAAGGATAACGCCCGTCCCGAAGTGCTTCCCGACAAAGAAAAGGAAGGATGGGACTCGGAGATTGCGCCGAGAGCGTGCTACGGCCGGGAAAGAGACAGCGAAGAAGGAGACGATGAAGAGGGCAATCATCAGGTATATGCGCGTGAGTATACGCGTCCGTGTCTCGTCATCGTTGTCGACGGTAACAAGAAGAGGTATGAAGGTCATGGTCACCGTTATCGCCGTCGTGGTCCGTCGTGGTTGTTTGTAAGTCGAAGACGGAAGACTTGGAGTCGTATTTTGGGCGATGACTGCATATGAGGACCGCGTCAGTCACCGCCTTGCCGGGATCGATTTATTTTAAACTCCGCCAATATACGCCTCATCGTCTAATGGATATCCACCAATTTCATAAAATGTTTCTACAGTATGCAGACTTTAGACAGAGTACTACGAGTACAGTCGCACCGTGCGCTACGTAACGAATTGTTATATGAATGAGAAGCTCAAACTTGGATCGAGCTGAATTTGAAGCTTTGCACGACTCGATAAGAAGCAGCTCTTGTGGCAGTCTCGACAAAACCGATGAGCTCTTGCCAAGAGAACGTTGAGAGTGTGAGTGGTGACTTGTTGAATCGTAGAATTATGAGATTCAACCCAGGATAAACCAGTGTGCAATGCCGTTGAAGACTGGAATACGAAACAACGGAAGGCAATTCGGATATCCGTCGGTGGCTGAGAACTCCGTATTCCGGACAGACGGAGGCGATGCAATTCTGCCAATTTCTGGCGATGCTAAAAGTAGTATGGCGGTTGGATTTCAGAATTCCTGGAAGGCGTATATCAGCCTGAGAATGCATGTAGCCGTAGGGACCACTTACTAATTACTCAGGAAGTTCGAGCCGTATACTCTAACACATGGGATTTGGGTATCAAAAAAGTCGTAGGATGCAGCTGTAGGGGACCACGAGGACGCCTGACGCTTTCTGCACGTCCTGGAGTGCATGCATGAGCACAATTCTACTGTTTCGGCTAAGTTCCGTCAGCACACGAAGGAGGACTGATGTAGTACTAAGATACCACCGTCCACCTGGGATTTCGGTGGGTAGTAAGCTACTGCACCGACCTAGGCTCATGAAAACAACCCGCAGTCAGAGAAAGGCAGATGTTCCTTTCTTAGAGCGCCGCATTAACGACCAGGATGTCGCAGAACATACCCACCTCCTGATTGATGCTATTTGACGCCTGTCTACGTCCTGGTTACACGCGTAGCGCAGCATAGAGATCCCACCAGTGCCTCTCGTACGTTCCATGCCGTGTCGATGGCCGAGATAAAGTGTCTTCCACCACTGCAAGGCTCAAGCATATACATTCTGTGTAGTTCAGTGCGCAAACCACGAGACCGGATCGTACCAAGTTTAAGCTGTTCCCACAACTCTATATGTCAATCAACCACATAGGATCATAACGCAAGGCGTGCACTTCCGTGACCGGCGGGCGGCTCTGGAGATTTCCCGTGAACATTCAATCTTTGTCAACTGCGTGAGATCGTGAGATGTGATCCTGCCTGACTTATACACTAGACTATAGACGCGCACCGCGTGCTCGACCAACTACTTCTCCAACGTGTATCTGGTGTGCAGGGTTTGGTGCAGGACAATTTCTACCCTACGATGTTGACTGCGTCCAGCAACGTCAAATTTGAAGGCCGCGGCGCTGAGCGCTCACTCTGGCCGCGACCACCACCTCCCGTTATCTCCTACCCGCCACATTGCTATCTCTCTCCCAGTTCATGCATACTTTTGCAGCTGTAGAGTATTCATAGACTCATACGGACGGTCTATCCGTTCAAATTTTGCAAGTCCTCGGTCGTCGACGTCGTTCTGGCGCGTTTCTGTCATCATGTCTCGTCATATGCTTGCCCCAGGACGTGACAGCCCCGGGCCCTCTGGATCACCTCATTTACGGGCGGACGAAGACGCGAACGTGGACGGCCGTGGCACAGGGTCCCTCTCGCCCGTCGAATCCTTGATTCGCCTCAGTGCTTCCTCAGTCACTCGCGCAGGGTGCGGACAGCTGATCTCTCAATTACGCGGTAGCGCTCACGAACCATCCACAGCCTGCAACAGCCGAGGAGCTTCGTCTCGACCAGCATCAAGTCGTTGAGGCCCCACCCCGCTCTGCTGCCCCACACGCAGGACCATATCCGGGACAACACCATGCAGATATCCAATATGCCTCTTCAGACGCCGAACACACTCTCCCCGCGCTCGCAGGATTCGTTCATCTTCCCCAACGCGGTCGAATCCGAGGACGACGCCGAGGCGCACCTCCCGCTCCAGCTGTCGTCCATGTCCGTGCCCTCCGTTCAGTCCATACGCTCCGACGGCGCTACCGATCTCTCCGCGTCCGCGACGTCCGTCTCATCCCTTCGCTCGGGCAATTTGACTCCCAAAGGATATCCTGGGTCGGTGCACCACCCGTCCGCACTGACCCTGCTGATGGCACGCCAGACTCAGGATGGCGAGCCGCCCTCGCTCGCGAGCTCGTCCATTCCGACGCCTACCGCGGAACTACCCAATCCAACTCCGACGTTTCATGTTCACCCCGCCACGCCAATTGTTGAAGCTACGCCGTACGTGCATGCCATACCGCATCGGTCACCGAGTACCAGCAGTGTCTCGAGCGAAGCTTCTGAAACGGCGCCGCTCCTCCCAGACGTGGAAGCTGCACAGCCGATGTACAATGGCAACGGCCACCCTCACGAAGATCGTAAGTCACGTCATCTTCTTGATGCTCTCCGAGAGGGCAGTTGGCGCAAGGTTGCATTCTCGACTATGCGCGACTTCGGCGCGACTGCGGTCAGGTCGCTCCCTGCGGTCGTCCTCGGGACATTGCTCAATATCCTTGACGGTATTTCATGTGAGTTCGCGTTGTGTTTGATCAAGTTGGGTCTCTCAATATCGAGGTAGATGGGATGATCACTTTCCCTGCTACGGGAGTGTTCTCAAACCTTGGTGGGGCCGGCGTGTCCATGTTCTTCGTAACGTGCGTATAACTCCCGTCTGAACGACAGGTATAACTTTGACCGCAGTCTGTTTTCAGCGCGATTATTTCACAATTGATTTATTCTGCGGGAGGCAGCGGTTTTGCCGGTGCCAATGGCAGTATGATGATTGAAGTCGTGGTATGTCACTTGACCACTTCGGACTACGCGTCTTCCTGAATCAGGTGGTCGTGACCATCAGCCCTTCTTCCACATATTGGCCAACAGCATAGCTGAGTACGTTGGGGAAGACAAACCACGCGAGATCATTGCGACGACCGTCGTCGCATTCGCATTCTCGTCTATAATAACTGGTGCGGATCTCGATGCCCATCGTCGATTAATCGCGGCATTCACTTTGCCTCACAGGGCTTACATTCTTCCTATTGGGCGCGCTGAGGATGGGCTCTCTGATTGGCTTTTTCCCTCGCCATATTCTCGTCGGGTACGCTACAGTTATCGCACAGTAGTCAGCACTTTACTCACGTTCTGAAGATGCATCGGTGGTGTCGGTGTGTTTCTGATACTCACAGGGTGAGGCTCTGCCCTTGATTGAGAAGTGTCCACAATCTCATGCCCACGCAAAGTTTGACCGTCAGCACGCGCATGGCGGACGACGACTTTGCGCTCGACTTTGCTACTTTCAAGTACCTCTTCCTCAACGCGCACAACTTGGCACTGTGGGCGCCCGCTTTCGGCCTCGCCGTGCTCCTGCGCGTCATTACTCACAAGTATGAGCACCAGCTCATCTTCCCTATCTGTGCGTTTCAGCTGGCATTCGTCGTGAGTACTGTGCCGATGAGCTGAGAACGGGGATGCAGATTTCTTGATTATTCCTATTGTATTCTATGTCGTCGTCGCCGCTGCGCACCTCGATGTTGGAACGCTCCGGAGTGACGGGTGGTTGTTTGATATGGGGACGAATCCTGAACCGTGGTATCATTTCTACTCGTTCTATGGTAAGCTGTTGTCATCATCTCATGACATGATGGAATCCTGACCGGGATACGTAGATTTTAGCGCGACTCATTGGAGAGCCTTGTGGAAAACCCTTCCTACACAATTTGCTTTGTAGGTGCTGTTCACTTAGCGACTGTCCCTGCTTGACTGATGATATGGGTTGGTAGATTGTTTTTCAACATTTTGCATCCTCCTTTGAACGTCCCTGCGCTGGGTGCGCCTTCTTATCTTGTAGCCGGCATCGCAGGCAACTATCTGACTACTGGAATTCAGCGGTATCTTTGAACCACGATGTCAAGACGGATAAGGAGCTCGTGGCACATGGATATTCGAATCTTATCGCTGGAGCACTGGGCACTGTGTATGTCTCCGACTTTGCATGAAGTCGTACGCGTTTTGTGGATGTTGACATACTCCTTGCAGACCGAATTACTTGGTCTACGTAAATACATTGCTGTACGCCTGCTCTCAAATATGTGGCGATTCTCCAGCTTAATATTGGTCATGGTCAGATTCTATCGGGTCGGCGGTGATACACGCACGGCGGGCTTCATGCTGGCGGGAGCAACAACCCTTTTACTCCTCATTGGTACCGCGCCGATTGCATACATCCGTAGGTTCTTCTGATGTCCAGATGTCATCATGCGTTGACAGTGGCATGTAGCGGTGATGGTCGTGGGAGCTTTGATTTTTGTCTTAGGTATTGATCTCGTGAAGGAGGCACTCTGGGACACCCGACATCGTGTCAACAGGTAGGCATATGGGTTCATGCCGTTGCTTGAGTGCATTTTCCAACCTTTAATTCAGGGCGGAGTATATCACGATCGCGAGCATCATGATTTGCATGACGGTGTGGGACTTTGTTATCGGCGTCCTCTTCGGCATCGTCGTCTGCTGTATGTTTATTTAGTATTTTCTATACTTTTATCGACTTACCTTGTGCTAGGCTTCTTTTTCGTCGTACAGAGCTCTAGGCGGAGAAGCATCCGTGCGCTGCATACAGGCGAAACGGCCATGTCGACGGTGCGGAGACCGAGCGCCCATCGGGCCTATCTCCGAGAGGTTTCGAAGCAGACGACCATCTTGAGGCTGCAAGGTGGTTCATCTCCTTGTGTTCATGGTCAATTGTCACTCACTAGTACGATTTTCAGGTTTCCTGTTCTTTGGTACCATTACGAACGTGGAAGAAACAATCCGGACACTCGTAGAGGGCCCAACCTGGCAGCACAACCCGACGCGCTTCCTTATCCTCGATCTGTCTCTCGTTGCAGGTGTGGACATGTCCGCGGCGGAGGCATTCGTAAGGGTGCAGCGCCTACTGTCAACAAAGCGGGTCGTCTTAGTGTTCTGCGGCTTCTCTGTGGAGTCGCCCGTGGGGATAGCACTGCAAAATGTGGGGTTACTGGAGATGGATGGCGTGGAGCTGTTCTCGACATTCAATGACGCGCTGGAGTGTGCGTGCGATTTTCTTGCAACTGGTGATAATCTTATGCGGACTTGATATCATATCAGGGACGGAGAACGTCTATCTGAGGGCGTGGTTTGCCTCTCAGAAAGCCGATGTGCCAATACTTGGTCAGTCATACTGGAGCCGAAAGCTAGTGTCAAACACCTTGACTGAAATCGTATGTTAGCGCTGCCAGGTCGTCAGGTGGATATGGTAGCATTCCAAGAAACTCTATCGACTACTCCAAGAAAATCTCATATCCTCGAAGCTGGCTGGCGCACTATTGCCCGTGGTTCGTGTTACGTCGCCTCGCGTCACACACTGACTAAATGTTGCGCGCTTATAGATCACTCACCTCCACAAGACCAGATCTCGGCAGCTACAGAACCGTACAATACGCTGGTGAAGGTATTTTCGTCATACGGGCCTGTCGACCCGGAACGATTCGCGCCACTGTCACCGTACCTAGAGCGCGTCTGCGTTCCAGAGGGAACCGTCCTCTGGAATCAGGGGGACGAACCAGACGGACTTTATGTCGTCGAGTCCGGTATCTTGCGGGCGATGTACCGCTTCAACGAACACACTTTACCCATGGAGGAGTCGATGGTTCCCGGAACGCTAGCCGGAGAACTCTCGACACTGTCAGGGCTGTCTCGCAATGCGACATGCGTCGTGGAACGGCAGTCAGTACTGTGGAAGCTCAGTGTCGAGAGTTTGCGCCGGTTGGAGAACGAACAGCCGAAATTGGCGAGAGAATTCACGAGGCTGGTTCTCAAAGGTGTGTCCGGTCCACAGATTTTTCTCGAGCCAGGTACTGAGTCGTTCTTGTAGCGGCGAAATTGGATTATGATATCCTCATTTCAGCACTGGCAGCCCGACAATGACCCATGGGTCTACTATTACATCTCCAGCATCTTTTCTTTCAAGTCCTGCATATCACATACGAAACATGATAGAATGTATTGATACCTCTAGACTTTCATTTCGTGATTAAACTACATGGTTATGTACCTGCAGTTATTGTAGATCCCGTCCAATATGGCACAAGTGAAATAACATCGCGGCCCAGGATCTCAGAAGCTTCGTATCGACGTCAAGCTTGTGAACTGATGTAGAAGTTGTCAACTTGATGAGCTTCCTGACTTCCTGACTTCATCCTCGCACCTGTCGATGATAGGACTCTGTTGAGATCAACAGGCACAGCCGCACAACAGCTGTCGACGTCGACAGTTCCTACAGCGTCGTTGTAATGATAAATACCATACAAAAGTCGTACACTCGAGAGAACGCGACTCCGAATTTCACTGATACTTGTTCTTCATAGACGGTAAAGTCGGTTTGGTGCTGCCGCTTTAATTTTTCAAACGCGGACGTGCCTGTCCATGCTGCGCGCCAGCCAAGGAGTCATCGTCTTCTGGATCGCGTGCACGTTTCTTCCCCTTCTCTCTGCCCTCCCCAGTAGGAGTTGTGAGGTTAAATGTGAGAGAATGGGAAGGGGGTCCACTATCGACCCTGCTTTCGCCTGCGTCCTCGCCGCGAGAGACGCCTTTCCCTTTGTCTGGGAGAATCAATGGCTCAGCATTACGACCAACCGCAGGCGTAGCAGAGCCGTCAACGAATTGGTGACCCTGTGTCCCGTCCTCCCCAGCACCAAACGTGTTGTACTTGACATCCGAAACTGGAACTACGCGAGGAGTGGGTTTCTTTTCCAACTGGGTCGATTTTCGTGGCATCCGTGGCTGCGGTGGCATGACGGGTATCTTCGGACGAGGAGAAGGTACGACCATTGCTTCGATCACCACGTCAGAATACGCGCGAGTCGCCTCCAATCGCTGGACGGAGTAGAGCCAGGCCCTATCCACCAGAGTGTCGTGAGCAATAGTGCGGAGCGGGAACGGCGGGACACCTGCATGTTGCCGGTGAGGACAGGGACCGCGACAGGACAGAGAAATACGCTACCTGAACGATGGGTCCGCTGTTGGCCACTACGGATAGATCTGGAAAATGCTGCGCCTCCTCTGCGAATCAATTCGGTCTTTTCCTCCTTGGTTTCCCCTGGTATGTGAATGAATTTCGGTCTGGGATTAGGGCTAGAAGTTTGGTTTGACGTTGACGCCGGGTGGGCAATAGTGGACGAGTAAGCGGGGAGCGCCGAACTAGTCGGCGTTGAGGGTGTTACGAGTGCCGCTGTGGATAGGGCATTTGATGAAGTGGCAGTTCGCAGGGGCGTTTTTGCAGAGTTTAAGGCCTTGAGGGTCTCCACGCTGCTGGACGATGAGGCCAGAACAGACGTATTCCTGCGACGATGCTTTATGAAAGAACATTAATCTGAATAGAAGAAGACATACATTGCTGGGTAAGAGAATACTCCTTCATTACGGCCGATCATGGCGGTATCCTCTCGAGGCTGACCGCCCTCTCGATGTGAAGTCGTGGCATCATTTCTTTCTGGAGGCGGCAGTAATGTAGGATCCGAGCAAGACGTCATTGGGGGCAATGCCTCGTTGCTGAATTCAGTGTCAGCACCTTGATTTTGATGAGTTGAGCCTGTTGTACATATCAGAAAGGAAAACCAGAAATCCACACACTTACTGGCAGCTTTGCGGGTGGAATCATTGGATTTTCCCATGAGTGGCGAGATCGATGACTGAGGCAAGTGATCCCTACAGACTCATATTTGTACCCCGTGTTACCGTTGGTCGCACTTGAAGTTGTTCATCGTTGTCTTCTACGTTGTACTTGACAAAAAGTGGTCGTTCATCTGCGCCACCGCCCGGTGGTGATATTCACGTTCGACAAGAGCTTGCATCTCTCATGCAATTCTTCGTAGTGGTATCCAATGGACAAGAAAACATCTCAAAATCAGACAAACATGACCGTAACCAGCTGCAGACCAATTGACCCATGATTGTGTGGAGGTCACGCTGGCAACAGGCGTTACATAAGCGTTGAGTATTGGATCCAAATCAGGCAGGTGCCGAAGAACAACTCCAACAATTGCTTTGTTCCAACCCAGTGGCGGTGGCCACCCAAACCCGTCTGTTTTTGTTTCGTCTCCAAGTCTTTTCTAATCATGCCAGTTTGTCTATCTCGTAGATATCGATGTCGGCCAGCAGGAATGATTTTTCACCGATTTTCTTCTTCTTGAAGAACGCAACCTTTTGTTCTGGGATGCATTGTGAGGGCCATGCACGTGTTGCTTGGAACAAAGGAATGTGGCACCTTATAAATTGGCGGTCGACGGCCGACCTCCTCCTTCTCCTCAACCTCCATCCCACCACAAAGTCAAACGACTTATCTGAGAAAAAATCGTTGAAATCTTACTACTACTGCTTGTGCAAGCGCAAACACGATGTATCCACGTACGTTCTACGCCGTTGAAGTCAGAATAACCTCTTACAAAGCGATGTAGCGTATTTCTCCTGGTTCCGTGGAAGGTTTGAACTACGCCAACCTCGATTGCATGTCATTGACATTGCCTATACCTTTAGCTCCTCAGTCCTTGCAACCGTCGCGGGACTCGGTGGTCTACTCCCCGGCACGTTTGTGGTTGAGAATAACTCCACGTTGGGAGGGGGCGACGCTCAGCAAGAGTCTAGCGCGCCACAAGATGATTCTGATCGTAGCGAGACTGCGTCTGAAAGTGGAATACAGACCCTGGATCCTGTACATCAACCGAGGCAAGAACCCCCAAGCACATCGCTCGGTGTGTTTAACCTTGATCGCTACCTACCGCCGCCGATTTTGCCGTCAAGTAAGCCCTTCGCCTATGGTTGAACATTCACTAACAGAATATCTAGTGGTTCCTCGACACCCCGGTCACATTGATCATATACCCCAGCCTCCATCTCCTGCTCGGGCACCTTACACAATTCCGCCCGCCACACTCTCTACCGGGAATCGTGCTGGTCCGGAAGGCAACTACCTTTTGTCATCGAGACATGACCGGGAAAGCGCTGTGACAGCACTCGGGTTTGACCTTTGGTCTACTCCACCCTATGGTGAAAGCTTACGCACCAGCTACATTGCATCAGAACTACCGGCTGATGATTTCGCACGTCGTGAGTACCTAGATGTCTTATATTTGTGTGATTAGTGCTGATAACCTCTGCAGCCCGATACGGTTTGAGTGACGGTCCCAGCAATCCTGGTCCGTCTGCTGGCAGGCCAAGTCCCTTAGGACCCCGTACTCACTCTCACCATTCAAGATATTCCCCATATTCTGTGTCGAGATCTTCTCCAGTGGGTGTCGACAGCCGGCATCGCCGTATACCCCACCCCGTCTCTGATGATAGAGGTGCTGGATCTACCGCTGGATCTACCTATCAAAACGCTAGTACTGCCCATAGTCATCCCGGCACATCCAACGACGATAATGTAAGACATCGTCGCACTCGTCTGAGGCGTGAATACGCTTTCGACGAATACAGCCACCCAGAGATGCTCAGGGATGACGAAGAGGGCCGTGCACGCCGTCTATCGAGGCTGAGGCGCCAAGAGATGGACCGTGCTGAGAGCACGTTGGCTGCATTAGAACGGAACCTTGCGGACGCGATGAGGCATTTCGACGAGTTGCGCGATGCATCGCGCCCACCACCGTCTTCGGAGGCCCGACCGCCTTACCGGCAGAGGAGAGACAACCAGCCACATACGCGGCATCACACCAGCACGAGTTATGCCGAGGATCCTCGTGTGGAGCTTTCAGAAGGCGAAGAGGAGAGGGATGACTGTGCAGCATGGGAGGAACTGCTGCAATCCTGCCGACATTTGCGCCGGCGCGCGTTGGAGCTCGAGGAAGACGTTGTCTCGGCTTACCCGACTCGCTGTAGGATTCCGGGCAGACATGGACCACATCATGGCCCATCCGGTTCTACGACTCGTGATGGAGGTCCAGTACCTGCAGGGAGGGGTCGGATGCCTCGGCGTCCTCGATCTGTATCTGTGGAACCAGTGATTCCCCCACCTCAAGGATTCGCGGAGGGTCACGCGCAGGAAAGGCGTACTCCTCCCACCCCAGACTTACTTCCATTCGCGGAGAACATGTCTCCGGACGATTCTCTCGACGACCTTTATACCCCAGGCCCTGCCGTTCACTTTGGAGGTGCTGCAGCAGATGCTACCACCGCTGGACTGTCGGGGACATCAGATACCCGCGAGCCTGTCCCTGGACCTTCTCGCGCAGGTCCTTCACCAAGTCACTCAGGCCCTTCACCGAGAAAGCGTTCTCGTAGTAGGGACTCGGAGTTCGAGGTGGTCGATTTTATACCAAGGGACGAAGATGATACCCGCTCGCCAAAGCGCAAGAGGATGAACGTTTGAATGTTGTGTTATCTTTGGTTTATCTTACTGCTACCGTTTTCTTTACCTCGATTATTTTTAGACTTTGCATCCTACCGTAATCACAAGTTCTGACTCTGTTAGCATACCGGCCGGGTCGTGTAGTACTATTGCTGTAACAGTTTACGTCGAACTCGCGTCTCTCGGATTGATAGTTTGAACTAGACCGTTCTCGTTTGACACGACACTTCAGGTATGTGGGCCAAATGTAGGCAAGACATTGGACCAGGATAACGACTACTATACCTTCCTTTTACGTCGCTAATGCATGATCCTTGGCGTTGAGTTACTACCATACGGACACGATCATCTCTTCGGAGACCTTGCTGACCACCATGTCTCTGCTGGTACTCTCCGCGTCAGATGTGGCCAGGGTTACGTCGAGATTTCACCCCGACGACCTTGTCGATCTCATGGCGCAGGTTTTTCATTCTCTTTCCCAATCACACAAATGGACATCATCAGGGATTTCGCAACCGCACCGTGTTGCACTTCCGATGGAGAATCACACGTCTCTTTTTATGCCCTCACGTATGGCTTCAGTGGGCACCACGATCAAGGTTGTCTCCGTGCCCACGTCTGCGGCACCACAAGCTGTGAAAGAACGCGGACTGCCGGCAAGCACTCTCGTTCTTGACGAGAACTCAGGGCGGGTGAAGGCCATTGTAAATGCAGGTCGCTTGACCGCGTTACGAAATGCGTCTGGTATGTATACTCCGGGTCCTCGCCTCTCGCCCTCCTCGCATCCGTGGATTCTTTGTGACTTGGTTTTATTCTCAGCATTGTACTATTTTTCGGCCGCTCATTGGAAGCTATTTAGGATCTCTACTCTCCGCTCGCCTGCTCAATTCTCCTGCCTCTCCACCCCAGGTTCTTTTGACTGTTGGTGCAGGGGCGCAGATATCCGCTCACGTCTCATTGTTCCTCTCATCATATCCGACCATTCACAAATGCATTCTTATAAATCGTTCTTTGAGCTCACGATTTTCTGCTCTGTCATTGGCACTTCGGGAAAAGTTCCCAAACGTCGAATTCGAAGTCGGAATTTTGCCATCAGTACCTAACGCCACTGCGGAGTCCCAGCAGAGAGAAGTTGTTGACATGGAGAAAGCAGTGAAGAATGCGAACATAATAATAACGGCCACCGGTTCTACCACCCCCTTCTTCCCGTCTGCGTATGTTTCACCCGGCACGCACTTGTGTCTGATAGGATCGTACACGCCTGCAATGTAAGTCTACTGGCGTGCACCTCTCGACTTCCAAATGTTTGGTATACCCATATTTTCTGTATTCAGGATGAGCGCTCAATTCCCTCATATTTCAGGCATGAGATAGACAGCGATCTCGTGAAACGGGCTGGCAGAGTTGTGGTTGATTCTCGAGACGCATGTCTGGTGCGTACCATTTTCTTTCGCTCTATACTGGCTATTTACAAAGTCACACCGTCTGATATCTCAATCAAATGATGTCCAGTCTGAGGCGGGTGAACTTATATCTGCTGGTCTTGGGCCGTCCGACCTCGTAGAACTGGGGGAACTCGTCAACTACACTCAAAGCTCCGAACGCGGAGCTGCGACTATAACACGCTCATGGGTGCCGCTGGATGAAAAGATTGATGCTGTGAGGAAGAGCGGCGACATCACCATCTTCAAATCTGTCGGTGTTGGCATCCAGGATGTTGCCATAGCATGCGCCGTGGTGGCTCTCGCAGAGAAGGAAGACATTGGAGTATTGGTGCCAGATTACGACGAGACTGATGGGACTATCCCTTTGTGAACAACTGAGAATTTAATAAGGTAGGTTACGAGTTCAATGTCCAAGATGGATTGTGCTGATAAGACTTCATGCGAAAAGCGACGGCGACGGCGACCAGCCATATGTCGGAAGCTCAACACATATCACATGCTGAAATATTAGATCAAGTATAAAATCCAGTATAACGACTCAGCAAGTGTATTAGGGGTACAATTAAGTTATCCCAGATTTCAGTGCACTCTGACAGCCAGCAGCTGAAAGAAAATCCATGGACACGCTCCTAGAGACACCATCCGACAGCCACGCCAATATCTCGCAACCCTCTTGCCTCGGACAACGTCAGAGCAAAGCTGAGACAATCTCGTTCCAAGCTTTTCCTTCCCTGCAAGCCACAGTGCTTTGCTAGGAAGTACCATGCCTCCGGTACGTCCCATGCAACTCCGCGGGTCAGGTCGGATAAGAGGCCCACTGACAAGTCCACGTCGTCACGATCTGACTCGACCGCATTTTGTCGTGGTCGCGACTGTGAGAACGTGGATGGAAGATGCAACCGGCAAAGATGGATGGTCGCGGAGATGTCGTCGGGCGAGATGAACAACGCCTTTTGAAACGCTTCCAATGCACGGCGCTCATTGTCAAGAGCCATGTAGTACAGGCCGAGCTACGCAGCGCGTCAGAGGAAGCAAGGGTAAGGGCGGATAAACAGCACACCTGTACCCACACAGCAGGATTATTCTCATCCCTAACCTCCGCCTCCTGAATCGCTGCTCGGGCCTGTTCGATCTTCCCCAGCCTTCGGAAGGTCGCCGCAGACATCAACCATAGATTGCTGAGCAACCGCCGATCTTTTGCTGCCCGGTAATTTTGTCTGTAGGTGGTGGGTGTAGAAGATTGCGAAGGCGGCGGTGGAGGTGGAGGTGGAGGTGGCGGCTGCAAAAGAGAGAGGTCCTGTTGCGACGCGTAGATGCTGAGATGTTGTCGCAGGTGTATTGATGAGGCTTGGTAGGGTGTCTGACTTAGCACAGCGTGTAGATCTAAAACCGAACCGGTATACGTGAGCAGAACTCCGTCAACCTGGTCTCCAACTCACCAGGCGCAGAATTCGATCTCTTCATGTGTAGACTACCATGCCTTCCAACATTGTGTCCAATTTTCCTCGAGATCGTAGTTATTGTTGCCTGACCCTTAGATACACGGCTTTTGAGGACCTGTCGCACCTTTTTCCCCCTCGACATATCCCTATGATTGCTCTCTCCGGAAGCCCGATGCTTCTCAAGCTCCTCTCCTGGCTCGGGCTGCGACGGCGTCGAAGATTCTGCGGAGTATAAGGGACTTGTTATACCAGGTGAAGCTGGCGTGACGGTAATGGGTATGGGCGTAGAAGGGATGGGTATCTGATCGACGAGGCCCTCCGCCGACGAGGGTATCGTTGGCAGGGATCTTTCGCCCATGTTCGGCGTTGTAAGCCTTTCCGCGGAGAGAACTTCAGAAGGTGCCTTGAATTCTTCAGAAATACGTCTGCTGTCAATGGACATCCTCCCTGGATTCGGCCATAGTCAGCACGAATCCCACTGGGTATAGCAGGGACGTGATTTGACACTTACTATCATCCATGCCTACTTCTCTTCGCTCAGAAAACCATTGAAACACTTCAACCCATTTTTCTCCCGCTCCCTCCGGACCTTCCACGAACTCGGACAGTGTGAGTTGCGTCATGCGCAATTGCAAAGCATGTTCAAACGACTCTTGGCGGGAGGGAGGTGGATGATCAGGAAGTGGTTGTAAGAGTGTAGCAGAAGGAGGAATGGTGGTAGCGTCATGGGCCAGTACTGTAATCGAATGATTATCGATGTGAGAGACAGATGGGTTAATGTGTCCATTTGGTGGGTGACCGTTGGCCCCGCCATTCGCTTTCAGAGTAGCTTGATTAAGACCGGAGAGGGCAAAGTCTTGAGCATGAAGCCCGTCGACACTATGAAGCTGTGCGCTCTCCTGCGCTTCACGAGGGTCGTCCACAAGATCTGTTTCACCAACACCAGCACCAATATCAAGGACACCTCTTGCAGCTTTCCAATCTCCAATAGCCGTCAAAAGTAGCCCTAGTAGATGCCAGTGTCTGACACTCCCAGGATCACCTTCGACCGCTGTTCGCGCGTGTCCTATGGCAGCCTGCAAATCCTGAGATGGGCCTGGCCGTGCATACGCCAGCGCCAGGTGATAGTGAACGGAGGGCGTTGAGAACGATTCCCTTGAAGTAAGAAGAAGCTGAAGAGACTTCTCAAAGTATGAAGGCCGGGTGCGCGGATCCCGTTCTAGCATTGTCATGAGTTCGTCATCATGGCATAAAAGCATGCAACGGCAGAGTGATGCCTACCAATATTGGCCATGGTAGTATTCCAGATTCCCTCCGCTAGCTGTAGGCTGGCAACAAGCTGTTTGTCCCTGGAGTCCAACCGCGTCTTGGCCTTTTCGATCATCACGGCCGCTTCCTTAGCCTCTTCAACCGCTTTCGAGCCATCCTCTTCGGCCAATCCTAACCTACAGAGCATTCTCGCACCATGAATCAGTGCCTGTACCCAGTTCTGATCTGTGTCAACGTCACCCCCCAAGGTCACAGTGTCGTAATGCTCGCTCTCTCCAAGACCAGCTTCTCGTGCTTTGCTTACAACCTGCACATACAAGCGCAACGTGCGTTTCGCAAGCTCCGAATCGCCGGAGACGTACAGAAGACGGCTCATGTGGCGAAAGACCCTGTAAGAGTTGAAGGTAAGTCGCGTTGCCCACCACAATACCTGTGTGACATCAATGAGCCAGATGCTCACGCGTCGATCGGTGCTCACTCACGTCGATGACCCAGCCAGCGTACTCGCCGACAGCGCCGTCAGCTTCCCAGATGGCGACGCAAAGGTCCACAAGGTCTTCTACTCTCACGTTCCGCTGGCGAGCTCGAGGGAACTGTGTGCTGATGCTGAGGATCGCTCGATATTCTTGGATGACAGAGCGCGCCGCACTGATCCAGCGGTGACGTTTGTCACTTCCGGATGCCGGTTCTGAATAGTCAGGTGATGTCAAACGTCCATATCGAAGCACGAATGCGCGAAGATGAAGCACAGCAATGGTCGAGCGCAGCTCTGGGCGGAATGTTGGTGGCCAATGACCGCTGCAGGTGTGATAATGGTCGAAGAGCTTCCAGAGCACGCCACCTTCTTGTTCTGTCTGGCGGACATCGCAGAGATATGAACCCAAGATGATAGCACGCCGGAGCAGCCGCTCGACCCAGCGCCAAAGTTCGCGGTAGCGCGAGAACGTGTTTGGACTCATCATGCCCGCAGAGGGAGTCGCCGGAGCCTTCTGCGGAACAGATGCAGGTACCTCGGACGCAACATAGCCAATGAGCGAGGACGCCGTGAGATACGCGTTGAAAGCTGTTTGAGGGTCGTCTGGTGAAATTACTTCATACGACATGCCTAAGCAAAAAATGTGGTGATGAACGACCAGAGCGACTAGCACATAATTACTCACCTTGCAAACATATACTGCGGATGCTCTCCGTTACAGCCCAAGAGCTGCCGTCGCTGATGTCGGCGACCGATGCGGTGGACAGGGTGGTGGTAACGCTGCCTGTCCACGGTGAAGAAACGGAACTGTCAGAGGTGGCTCCGGGAACTGAACCGTTCGTCACTTTCGATCGTGCGGTGCCGGACGGTGCAGTATAATCCTGAACGTCTGTAGGAACCTTCGCCTGCGCGAGAGTGGCGAGACATTCCGCAGGTCGCCTAAGTGCGTATTCATAGTATGCCACTGCGAGTTTGATAGACTTCATACCTATATCAATGGCGTCTTAATGGCAGTATGATATGTACACTCACGTCTAAGTTTGATGATTCAATAGTCTTAAGTGCATTGTACCCAGCCGTCGCCTCTTCAATTCTCTCCTTGGGCAACATGCATTCCTGAGACAGTAAGAGAGGATTTCGTCCGCTAACATCGTTGCCGTCGAGGCTATGATCGCTGGAGTTGGCGGAGAGAAGAAGAGAGAGTGCCTGGGTTTGAGACGCGAGCTCGGCGACGTCGGTATGTCCGACGCAATGCTTATTGAACTTTCGAAGCAGCTCCGACCACGACAGCTGCGTTCCATTAGTCGCTCTACCCGGAGACGAGATATCCCACTTTCCGGCGGTCAGAGCTTCTCTGAGCTGTCTCCAGTAGTGTTTGTCCTTGGGATGTGCCATGGTCACGCACCAACCTCCACCCTCGCCTCAGACGGATCTAGCACTCTCCAATATCTCCAATAACACTCCGTTTAAAATTCCAGGTACTCCTTTCACCAGACGGGCACACCGAAGTTGATTCTTCGAACAACACTTAGGACCGCTGCCAAAGAAGGGGTGTCAGTGAAACTATCACTCAATTCACGATTCCTCGTACGCTCACCAGAACCGGAACACAGATGTGATGCTTCCAGAGTAATCTTCTGCTTAACTTACGGTCAAATCTGGAGAAAAGAGTTTCGTGTGACACACAGTACTGCGTGGGGAGGAAGACTGAGTGGAGGTCCTCTAAACTAGATCACGTGCCCATACTCATCGGGGAATTTGCATCTTTCTGGTACGGGTCTTATCAGCAATTGTAAGTCATTACAAGGTGTAAAATATATGGAAGGTGTAGAAGGCTTGTAGCCCTGAGTATAACCACAGATAAGACTATGCAGCTTCTGCCAAGAACAATAAGAATTGTGAACATCCGGAATTCTCGTGCAACTCAAGCAGGATGATAGCTCTTATGTTTCTGGTAAGACCTTACATTTCACCGTTAGATGCAACAGCACCCATTCTATGCACAAAATCTCGGCTATACTGCTAGCCCCAGTGCTCACCACTACACTGGACATGAGATACCTAGTCAACAAATATATTGGACCAAACCAAAGCCAACTCCCAAATATATGTGCCTACGTGGCATGGAATCACCCCAATCCAGACAAACATGCAATGAGGGCGGCCAGACTACCAATGACCATCAAATATTGGTGCACGCACCCTTGGTATCCTGGAACCACAGCCGCCCATGACGTATCGCGACTGAAATTCACAGAAGATCTGTGTAGGATGAGGTGTGAGGGTGAATATAATGGTCAAATGGTGTGGACACCATCCATCCCCTGCACACAACAACGTGGGCAGTACCCACGGAGCTTCTCAGCTCGAGGATCAGGAACGTAGGCACACAAATATCTCCCCATACAATGACACAGATGAACATGTCTGCGGAGCACGATACAGCTCGGGAGTCACGTCACTTCATGCGAGAGGTGGTGGGTGGAGCAGAAGAGAGACAATACAAAGAAAGATGCACGCGCCGAAAGTTCAACATGCCGATCACTTTAGGGCCAGCCGTAGGAACTCGTACGATAGCTAGGGCAAAGGGGAAGGCACGGCGCGTCGCGTTATCGGTTATCTCTTGTCCAGAGGAGTCAAGCTGAGGAGAGTCTGACATGACGTTGCAAGCCGAACATCAGGCTTGGCTGCGGTCGGGAAGGTGTTACAAGATGTATAGGATACAGAGTAGCTCCGGAGATCGAAACGGAACAGCGATGGCCGGTGCACATGCTCTGTACCAGGGCGACGAAGACCCACAAGCTGTGTATCAGCACGACGCGTCGATTGTAAGCTCTTACACGCGGTTACAAACTCGCGTCACACTTGGTCACACTTGTCAGCGCTGCAAGCTCAAACAAGATTCAGGCGAATTCCCCGATGCTATTCGACAGAGTGGCGGTGAAGTTTAAATAAGCCGCCGCAGTCAATTCAATATCAACATCGTAGCGGCGCTCGCGCCATTCCCCGACTCCGACGGGGTGCTCACGGTTTTTGTATGAGCAAGGGTGTGTGATCGATACGTATAGTACAAGTACAGGCATTTGTGATAGTTACAGCAATGAAAAACTAGACGAGCGAGGCATCGTCGTCGTCGCTGTCATCCGAGTGGTGTTGGTCAGGCTCGGAATTCGGTCGGAAGACTCCGAGGAGGGGCATGGGCTCGTCCTCGAGGAAGCCGCGGGGCATCAATCCTGGATTGGCGAGAAGGACGATGGATTGGATGTTGAGGGAGATAGTGGTGTCGGCGTTTTCGTCATCGAGTTCAGGGTGGCTCTTGATGTACTTCCCAAGAGTGAAGAGCAGGAGGACGGCAGACTCTGTGGAGAGATCGTCGTGGATTTTGGGAAGAATCAATATGGAGCGCATGGAGAACTTGAAGGGCTTACACCCGTCGAAAGTCGGCACTGCGGGAGGAGTGAGTTAGGGCGCATGTGCGAGAAAGTTGGGGGCGATCTTACCATCTCGATTGGCCGGCAGCACGGGGGGTGGACCTGCAGGGTGCGTTAGCGAACATTTTGTAGTGCGAGACGTCACGTACCGCGTTGTGCGTTCACCGGAGTGGCGGGAGCCATGCCGCGGATCTTGGTTGGAGTGTTTGAGGTGCCGGTGGTCAACCTTGTCGAGAAGGAGAGGCCGGCATGGAACGACGGGAAGACGAGTGTTCGTCTGTTGAGAATGGCACCCAGGACGGCAGCCGCACGTGGCCAGGTGAGTGCTGATGGTGCAACGCAGAGTTGACGGCTGCGACCGCTCGGACTGATCAGGTCGCTGTGGGTAACAGAGCCGACGACAGAGAAGAGCATGAGATGGGTGCTCGTCTTGAGCTGAAGGTAGTCGGAGGCTCCAATGGTGACAAAGTGGAGTGCTGTGGGGTCTGCAGTCGCGAGATTGATGATGTCGTGTGCAGTGGCGATCGAGACGTGGTCCAGACGTCTTTGGGGTTGATTAGTAGTATGGCAGAAAAAGCAAGGGCAAATGGATGTCCTCGGCAATGTTCGAAGGGAATGCCCTCTTGAGATACACAGGTTGCACGAGGACAAACACGTTGTTCATGGCACGTGTCACGGCGAGTGTTTCTCTGCAAGAAAGTGTCAGTGTGAGTCACAGTGGATAATTGCCAAAGGGTGTACCTGAGTTTCAACAGCGACTGGAGCACTTCGGTTCTTGTATATATGGTGCAGTTAGCAGAAGTGTCTGTCTGGTGGCAAACAGCGACTCACGGTGTCCTGGTTTTCTTGACGCACTTTCCTTTGTTGCGGTAGGGCTTACCGGGAGTCTCGTCGGGTCGGTGACTGGCGTGAGCATCGTCTGCGAGAGTATCGGATGCGGTGGAGTCGGTGTGTGCTGTCGGCGAGAATTTGCAAAGAACTGCATGTTGGCTGATATATGGCGGTGAGTGGGTATGAAGACTTACATGTCGTCGCTGTCTTCGGGCTTCTGCCTTTTTGCGGGTGAAGGCACTGGCGCGGACGGCAACAGATGCCTCATCTTGCGTTTGCTGCCAGGGGTGGTTGCAGGAGCATCAGTGACGGAGGCCATGGTGGCAGTTGCGAGAGGAAATCGGGTGAGGTGGGAGTTGTTCGCGGTGCGACTGTTGGGGCATGTCCATCGGCATTCACTGTCTGGGCGCGGTCCCGAAACGGGGGTGAGAGTGTGGAGGAAATTGCGTACGCAGCGCAGGCGCGTGCTTTGCGAGGGGCGAGGTGTGGCCTTGGCATTCGAATGGGAGGTCCGGGCGGCCCAGGCGCGATATTGGCATTCGAACAGGAGGTCCGCGTGGTGGTCCGGTTGGCGAGAGTAGGTGGTGGAGGGTGTCAGCGGTCGAGGTGCTGTGGAGAGGGGCGCAAACGCGTGCGGAATTGCGCGCGCAGTGCAGGCACGCGTTTTGGTCGGGCGAGGCACCGTGTTGGCATTGCTGGATGTCAGCAAAATGTAAGCAAAATAGCAGAGAAAAATACGCACCGAGCGGGTGCACGTGTTGTGCGATAGGCTAGGTGCAGCATTGGGATTCGCGCGCTGGGAGGTCCGCGTGTTGGTTAAGCCGCGCGCGGTCATGAAGTGTGAGGGAGAGGGTTGAGGTGGCGGCACGCGCAGCGGGGCCGTGTGTTTTGCAGTGGGCCAGGCGCGGTATTGGCATTCCAACAGCAGGTCCGCATGGTGGTCGCATTGGCGAGAATGCAGGTGGTGGAGGGTGTCGGCGGTCGAGGTGCTGTGGAGAGGGGCAACGAACGTGTGCCGAATTGCACGCACAGTGGGGACACACATTTGGGTCGGGCGAGGTGCGGTGTTGGGACTGCTGGATGTCAGCAAAGTGTAAGTAAAATAGTGGAGAAAAATATGCACCGAGCGGGTGCGCGTGTTTTGCGAGAAGCTCAGCGCGAGATTGGTGTTGGCATGCCGGGAGGTCCGAGTGGTGGTCAAGCCGTGCACGATCGCAAAACCTGAGCCAGAGGGGGGAGGAAACTGCGTGCGCAGGGGGGGCGCGTGTTTTGTGGTCGGCCAGGTGCGGTATTGGCATTTCAACGGCAGGTCTGCATGGTGGTCGCATTGGCGAGAATGCAGGTGGTGGAGGCCATCCGCGGTCGAGGTGCTGCGGAAAGCGGTCGCGAACGCGCTCCCAGTGGGGACGCGCGTTTGGGTCGGGCGAGGTTCCGTGTTGGTATTGCTGCACGTCGCGGCCGAGTTGGCGATGGTGGTGGAGAATGTTGGCGACCGTCCGTGTCAGTGGTGGAGATGTGGCTAGAGCGGTCGTGAACGTGCACCGAATTTGACGCGCAGCAGTGGTGCGTGTCCACAATGAGCTGGGCGCGACGGTAAGATTTGAATCTGATGCACGAACAGTTTGTCGTGCGGGGGCGAGCGTTGGTCATTGTAGATGGCTACTTACCTCCACAGGTGTGTTCGTTCTTGCTCGTTGATTGTGTCTTGCTGGCAATTGACACTGATGTATAAAGTTTAGTAAAAATCTTGCTGCTTTCGATCAAAATGAATTTGGAGGCTCACCTGAGTTCTGACACGATGGCAAAGGTCTTTCAGGATGCGCGTTGTGGTGTGTCGAGTTTCTGTTTTCGTGATGGGACTGGATGATGGCTGAATCTTGGTCAGTGAAATTATTCGACGAGTGGACCACACGTACGAAGGCACCGAATTCGGAAATGGGTGCCGATGGACAGGGATCGCAGTTCCTGCTCAAGACGTATGATCAGTTTGAGACAGTTGAGCGTCAATTTGATGTTCAGGTCAGTTCGGGTGGGTATTTGTACCTGGTGTGGCGAAGCTCGTGCGAGGAGGTTACACTGCGTGTGTCTGGGTTTGTTTCTCAGATGAGTCTTCTGCCCCCTTTCAGGCGCTCATTCAGATTTGTCACTTCTGCACTTCACAAGCTGCTTGCCGATGTGATTAATTCGTATCTAGGCTGCTGAGGGGAAATCCGAATCTCGCTCTGCAGACTGTTGTGGTTGCCGGTGAAGGTCCTGCATTCTGGCGAGCCATCACTGCCCGATCAAACATCTTATGTTTCATGGAAATGCATGCACGCCGTGGAACGACATCTGTAATTGATGATGTCTGGCTTGGCGCCATGCCGTGTTTTGTTGCAGAGACACGTGTGCTCACGCCTATGGTGGAAGCACCATTGTTTGACAGTGCCAATCTGAACATGGTTATTGACCCGTATGGTGCATTGGCAGAGCTAGTTGCTGGTGGGAGGCTCTCGTGGACATCAGACAATGTCGTGTCATGCATGGAGCTGAAGGGCGAGTATGACGACAGGTATGTCATAATATGAAATCATCTGTCCGCATTGCTTGAGGTGATGTTGTGTTTATGTAGGTGGTCTACTCCTGTGCAGTCATCCCTTGACATGGTGCGTGCCGGTGAGCTCGTTGAGCTTTCAGTAAACTTTCAGCTTCATGAGCACGTGAGTCCAAATGGGGCAAATGTGGGTCGCAAGTTTCTTACACGACTTGACACTGTCATGATCGTGAGTCGCTTGGGGATGAAGGTGAGTTGGTGTTTGCCCGCATTTGTTTATTATCAGAAAATGACTTCTAATGGTGGCTATAGCTGATTGCGGACTGCGAGTCAGAGCACTTGTCGATGATGCGTATTGCTGCTGCAGCTGATAACACTGGTGGAGGTAAGGCTCCGAAGAAGAGACGGTTCTCTTACCTCCAGTCTGTGCCTTCTGTTTTAACCAGTACTGAACAACACTTGAATTCGCTGACAGTATTGGACAAGACAGATGATGTAGATCAGGTAATGAAGCCGGTGGGATAGTTGCAGTACTGTTACATATAGTCATATGATATAAGATACTGATGGTATGGCTGTCTTTTAAAAATTCAAATGAAAGGATCATCTGAGCATGAAGATCGTGTCGATCAGGTAATAAAGTCAGTAAAATAGGTATAGTGTCGTGATGGCAATAATACAATATTTTGTTGATTCAATTGATTCGATTGAATGGACCATTTGATGTATACACGAGGATGTGCGCCCAGCATTCATCGAGTGTAAGGAGTGGTGTAAGGTCATCGGTATCCATTCTGTTTTCATATTGTGGGACACCGTCATTCTGTTGGTCATCGTATATCCATTCTGAGTTGTCAGAGTGGAGGAGACGTGCTGTAAAGTGACTAGATCCAAAGTATATTACAGGTGCCAATGAGTAGGTGGTCTGCATATTGAATTCCAGATCAAATATGGGAGTGATAACTGTATGTTCCTGTGACAGATATTCAAAGTATAGGATGGGCGGTGGTGTAATGTTGCTTATATTATGATCAACTTCACTGTCGCATTGACATAGTAATCTTCTTGCATGCAGAATGGATGATGTCATGGTCTTACTTAACCAAGTTTGTATAGTTTGAGTTTCAGCAGAGGACTGCATGCCGGTGGACACAATAACAGATGGGATTCTTAGTGTGATTGGGCGTGTTTGATGACAGGCAAGACACTGTATGGTCGTGACTATATTGTTAGTGGTGTTTTCCAATGCACATTCAATTATGCTTGCTGCAGAGGCAAACTGTGGACCATATCTTGGATATTCCATAGGTGATCATCTACTAAGAAAATCTCAGAGAAAATCACGTTGCATGTTAAACTGCTCGGCACTGGAGTCTGGGCTCAGATTCTCAAAACAACTGACCAACAGACTAGCAATAGCCGACTGATTCTTCCACATTGCACACAAAGAAGAGCTCAGTTGAGAGTAGCTGTGATAAAGTGACATAAATGTGGCATCATATGCACATGAGTAGTCTGTGGATGACCACACAGCGCAAAACGCCGGATTATTGCCACGGCAAATTTTGAGATATCTTCAGATTTTCTCCAGTTATTCTCAGATTATGCCCCACTATAAGTTTTCCGTAATTATACGCTCAGCATAACGAGAGGGAATGAACATTATTCTAATTCACCGGTGCGTCACTGAAAGACTTAGCGAATTTGTGCATGCTCCCAGCACGTGCCACAACGCGTCGCGTCACTAGTACTTCTGTGCTCATCACCGTGCACAACATTCCACGCGTACCTGGCCACTCTCTGTGCACATAGCCATCTATTTTCAGCTTCAAGGACATAGTACAGCCTCCCTGGACGACTTTGACACGCATATAACAACCCGTACATGCCTCTCATACATTAAGATGGCTGCTCTTCGGGTACAGTGCCGTTGTGCACGCTGCAGCGCTACCCCGGAAGGATTTGCTTACCAGACGAAGCAGGTCTATCAGAGACATATGAAGCAATACCCAAACTCAGCGAAAGGCCAAGAATTTCAGCTCCAACTTGCGAGCAGAGACACCAGTCATAAGGCTGCAGCCGCTGAACTGGCATCATGCCGAGATCGCTCTGCCTCTGATTCTCATGTATCGCGTGCTAGGTCACTATCTTATGCTGGGTCACCATCTCCTGCTAGGTCACCATCTCCCGCTAGGTCACCATCCCCTGCCATTCACGCACCATCTCGTATCGGCTCTCCAGCTCCCGCTGCACTCCGCGTTTCTCCTCCTCCTCAGGCACCACCTCGTGCACTGTCACCAGCTCCTGGTCCACTCCCACTTCCCGCAAGAATAGAGCCAGATGACTACCATCCAGTGCAACCACCAGTTGTACCCGATCCTGGTATTGACCGTGACATGGAGGATCAGCCGTCGCTTCGGATCCCGGCATTTGAAGAAGAATCTCATGTGCGGATGGCTTATCTGCAAGCCGTCATGGCGAACACATTCAACAATGCTACCTGGAAGCACGCTACGGAGCAGCTGAATAATTCTCTTGATATTCTACTGATTGCTGGGCAACTTCCTGATTTTCCTCGACCTGTGCGAACACTGGCTAGCGCTAGAAGACGACTTGGGATTGATCCCAATGCTTGGATCATCCAGTACGCTATCTGTCCTGTCTGCTGGAAACACCATACGCCGAAAGGACTTTTGGAGCTAGACTCACCGGATTGTACTGTACCTGGATGCTCAGGCAAACTCTACACAGATACTCTCACTGCTAAAGGCCAGAAGCGTCGCATCGCCAACAAGATCAATCCACAGGTGTCGATAATCGAAAGTCTTCGGCGCATGATGCTGCGGCCCGGGTTCGCCAAGTCCCTGATTGACTATCGTGAATTTCAAGCAGGACGGAACAACAACAATGATTTTCTGATGGAGGATATGCATGACGGTGAGATGCTGTTCAAGCTAGAGACTGGGACAGTGCGTGAGAGGAACAGCGCTGGTACCGTACGTGATCGTCCTCAAAGCGAGCAAGCTCAGGCAACAAAACTTACGGCCCACCGGTTTGGCCTTGCAATTTCAATGAACCTGGATTGGTGCGTACTCATCAACAGTCGTGAGTATCGTACTACTAGAACATTGCTCTATTAGGTTTGGGCTTCTGGACGGTCGACCTCACTCAAGTGGGCCAATATATCTAGCAATCAACAACTTACCTCGTGATGTTCGGTATTTACAGCTGAATGTCATATGTCAAGCAGTCCTCCCCGGTCCAAATGAGCCCAACCAGCAGCAGCTGAATCATGCCTTGGAGCCAGGAGTCAAAGAGATGACTCAGCTACATAACGGTGCGTTTTTTTGTGTTCATGGCTGCAGATTTTGATGATTTGAGTTTCTTCAGGTGTTCGCATGGAGGTCCATGATGAAGAACCGGCACAAGTATATGCTGACTTTGTGTGCGCAAATTGTGACACTCCCGCAGCGCGCAAAGTCAGCGGAACCGCCGGTCATTCACACGACTTTCATCCGTGTCTGTATTGTGACACGAATATTGTCGACGTAGACAAGCTGACAGGCTACGACAATGGTAAATTCATATTCTCGTCCTCTCCTGTTCATCCACTAACAACACGGTACAGACTGGACTGAAAAGGACGACTACAAGATGTTGAAGCATGCGTTTCAATCCATGGGAGTAAGTCCCCAACGTGAGAATGCCATTTTGCGGGATTATGGTGTCCGTTGGTCTGTCATGAACCTGCTTGCGGGGTGGCGTATGTGTTCGCAGACAGTTCTTGACTTCATGCACAACGTCTTCCTTGGTAAGTGATCTTTGATCACTTCTGCAGCGCAGAATGATATGTTATCTCTCAGGTATAATTGCACATCTCTTTATGGAGATTCTTTTCAAGTCTTACATGTTCTCCGGTGCCGGAGGGACGACTTCACAAAAGCAACGTTTCGAAGATACCGTCAATGCTGTGCGCTGGCCATCGCATGTAACACGGCTCCCAAAGAATGTGAGCGAGATTTACTAACCATCTAGTGGCTTATGCAGTGCAAATAGCTAGGTGAAAATCAGTCTCTCAAGAAGGCAGATGAATGGCGACGACTACTTACCATCACGCCAATCTTATTGTGGGCATCATGGGCGAACCAAGCTGACCAGATTCCCAACATAGCTTCTCCTATTCCACCGAATGCAAAGTCTGTCCCAACTCACTCCCGGAATCCTCGCGCGATCTATTCTGCGGTCTTGTTACTATGTGCCGGCGTCCGTATTCTTGCTGCACAGAGAATCTCTATGGCTCAAGCTCGTGTCGGACAAGGCTTGCTGACTCAATACTGCCGTCAAGTCAAAATACTGGGTGTTCACCTCACAATCAATCATCATCTTTCCTCGCATTTCATCAAGTTCATCAAGCTCTTTGGGCCCATCTATGGTTGGTGGCTGTTCGCTTTCGAGCGCTTCAATGGAATGCTGGAGAAGGTCAACCTTAACGGGCACGACGGTGGCCGCATGGAACTAACACTTCTGCGGCACTGGGTCTTATGTCATCTGATCTACGAGTACTTGTTATCGCTCCCTGAGAATGCTCACCCGAAAGAACGGGAATATCTAGAGAAGATTATCAAATCTGAAGGCCGCAGTGAGCGTGGAGGCATGATGACGGAACTAGCTATATACAGGAGTGAAGCGACCACTAGTACGTATCATTCGTGCTATACATTTTCCATATTTCTGACTTGTACGCATCCAAGACCGAGTGAAAATTCCTCGTGTCCATGGCAGGCCGATCAACTTACGAAACTATCTGGGGCCCGGTACCAATCATCTGTATGGGATCGTTCTCCAGTACTCTCGCAAGCTGTACCCCGACTTAAACCTCATCAGCGACTTCTCAATGGATGACGGAACCATCTTTGTAGGCAACCAGGTAGCCCGTGCACTCACGTATATCCGGAAGGATGGCATTCGGTACGGCTCCATTTCCAACAAGCGCACCAAGGCAGATTCATATGCTTTTATCCTTGCACCATCGGGACTGCGTTACCCCGTCGAAATATCTGCACTGCTCGGCATCAAGATTGGGGAGAATGTGCCACACCTTTGTGCCATTGTCCGAAGAATGCTCGCTGATGAGAACATTCCAGTGTTCCCGTGGGATCTCTAGTACGTTGTAAAGAGCCCCAGGCACTCTTAGTCTTCCACGTTTTGTCGATCCTGAGAGTCCCTCTGCATAGTGCATCAACCCTCGGAATTCACGTGTCATATGCTAACCGTTTCAGTGACTACGAGATTGTGCCTGTCTCTGAGATTGATGCCCCGCTCGCGCTGATCCCAATCCATTCTGCACGCATCAATGAAGATCTCTGGGTATCGGTTTCATTTGACCATGTGAGTAACGACATCGGAGTCCTATCAATAAACTAACAAGAAATTCACATATTATACAGAGCGGAAACGAGCCAGATGAGCTGATGGACGAGGACGAGGACAAAATTTGACGTGAAGGAGGGAACACCAAGAATTCGACAGTAAGTGCAAAGTGTGGACATCAGTCCGAGTCATTGAACTCGGAAGAGGATTTCCCAGCATCACCGTCGAGTGCAGGATCTAGAACGTGCACATTTGAACCGCTCGCTACCTTCTCCTTCTCAGCCTTCTTCTCGCTCATCTTCCCCTTCTTCTTCCCCTTCTTCTTGTCTTTCTTGGCACGCCCTTCAACATCTTTTGTCAAGCGCAGCTTCTTGGTCTGGTTCATCTCGGCTTTCTCCTCACGGACTCTCTTCTGTTTCTCCACCAAGACTTCTGGGTCCTCTTCATCGCCCCAGGCCTTACCACTATTCACGATGCGAGACTCGACATCGTATACCTGATTCTGAGTGAGCCATTCCGGATCAATCATCCAGCGCCGGGCCCTGTTCTCCATCTTGTGAGATACTCGGGGAGGGACATCGACCGTCTCGGCAACCTTAATGCGAGGAATGTATCTAGAACTCGGCTTGTGGTCCTTTGCGGCATCGACGGCATTGAAGAGCTCAATCAGCTGATATCGGAGATGGTACAGTGAATTCATATGTTGTTCGTCTGAATGTGCATCTAGATCACTCACCTCTGCACTACGATAAGCAGGTGCTATAGATTTATACGATCCAGCGAATGCACCATTCACATCGAAAACGTCTTCATCCGCAGACATGAGAGTTTCAACGAAGGCGGTATCATACTTGGGGTTGCGGTACAGTGAATCACTGGGTAAGTTTCCGCGCTTTCGCAGCCGAACTTGAAGTTTCTGGCCGGCGTGATCAGCATTCTCACAATCCAAGACAGATGAGCCTGCATACCCCTTTCGCGCGACTTTGTAAGACTGCCGGTGAAAGTTTCTTGATCTCGTGCTTCTCCTCGGCTCCATCTCCAATTCCCTGGATGCCGCCTGCGTCGTCGGTTGGCTCTTCTTTCTTGGTGACACGATGTCCCTGCGCGTCCAAAATACCCGCATTACGGAGACCCTTCTGCAGCGCCTTGTACTTCTCGGCAACACGCTCCTGTATATCCCGTTCACCCAATGCACGAAGAGCGGTCGCAGCTGCAGGTACGAGGTCTGCTCCATGCTTCTGTACATATGCTGTGAGCTCCTGAATGACCGGATAATTAGCCTTAGAGTCCCATCTCTCTTCCCAGCGGAAACGGATGTATTGCTTGTTTGTTGAAGATTCAATGGGTATCTCGTCACCCTCATTATTCCACGGCAATGTCTTGGCCAAGAGATTGGGAATACCGAGGCGGAGCTGGAAGGCATGGCGCACGAGCTCCTATGTCGGGCAGAGCCAATTCTCGTGAGTATTAATCAGCTGTGCACGCATGATCCTGCTAACCTTGAAGCTTGTATCACGATACGCACTTTCCTTTGCTGCAACCTTCTTTTCATCTTCGCTTCCAAGTGAGTCGTTCAAACCTGAATCCGAGCCATCTGATTTTTCAGCACGCGCCAGTATGTCACTCCGTTCCTGCTCCAGCTCGGCTATGCGTGCGTCGAGGCTTTTCAGCCTTGTGTCATGCTCTACCAATTGCTTTAATGCTGAGGTATCCCCATTTCTACGGCTGTCCTCCTCATCACTGAACTCCTTCTGCAAAGCTTTCAGGTCGCCCATCATTTGTTCCAATCGCACCTCATGCTCCGCTAGCTGCGCGATGATAGCCGCCTTACTCTTTTTGGCAGGGTTTGCTCCGTCGTTCGGCGTTGCAGCTCCTGTAGATGACGACATGAAGAACGGGGGCTGTAATGATGTTGAAAGCGGGGATTGCGAGCGGTAGCTGGTGAGGCCGGGTATGTGGGTGCGTTGTGCAAGTTGGTTCCGTATGTTTTCCATCCTCTGTGCGCAGCTATAATCGTTTTCTTCTTTCTTCGCGCATCATAGATGTTATCCTGACAGCAATATATACTATTTCATTCAAAGAAATCGGACAAGATCAGGAAGTGCAGTGCTATATTAGAAGCCGGCGCGAGCGAGCGCGCACGCGCACGCTAGAGCGTCTAATACCGATAATCTTCAAGAATAATTCAAGAGTAACTGTGAGATAAATCTAAGCACAACTCTGGCAAAGTCTGTCATTGTCTCAAAATTTGTCGACAGGATAATGGACGGCATAGTTCTTAGATAATGTTGGAATATTTACCAATATTCTCAAAGTTCTCCAACAGAAAATTTAGCGGCGTTGCGCTGTGCCATTGGCAACCGTGCTTGTACATGTATGGTGATGAGTCAGAATGTGACATTGACATTGATGGCAAAATCCCTGATTCTTCCATTTGTGAGGCTTTCCGTTTGGTTCCTTTTGACTGTGAGCTACTGTCACTAAAGTTGACATGAAATGACTTTGTGGAGATGTCATCTTCACTTTCAGGATTTGGCAAAGGTACGAGGGATCCTGTTTTAAAGCCATAGTGAATTAAAGTATTTTGCTCAAGCACTTTAAATTTCTGTGTCTCATGGTATAGGTCAGCAGAAACAGGCTTGTTTAGCTGTTCCAAATTTACTGGCTCTGAGATGAATAGGCCATTTCGTGTGCATGCTCTCGATGCAGCAACGTAGGCTGCAAAGCCGCCCTCAGTCATGTTGTTAAGTACTTTAGGCAGTGTTTTGCCTTGCGACGTGTGGCCGGTGACCGCAAATGCAGGTTGTATGATGAGTTGCAGTCGGGTAACTTGGTACCTTTGTGTATCTCCATTGGCATCTCTAAGTGTAGTTGTAAACCGCCATGTTGTTGGAGCAATAGGCATATAGCCTGAAGGCAAATCAGGCAGATGTACCTTGCTTGTAGGAAACTCAACTATAACACAATCTGCATATGTGTATCTGACAGGACAGTGTTTAATCGAGATGTGCCTAACTATGCCTTGAGCACCATTGGTGATTCCAAGTTCTGTGGAGATGTTTCAACTGCGTAGTACCACAGGCATGCCTACATATAATGAAATGAATGCTGGGAGGGCACCTTCAGAAGTAAGTGGTGTTACATTGAGCCACAGAAGTGCATCACGAGTGGATTTCTCAGGTACCTGACCATCAATCTTATCGACCGCTGTGCATATTATTAAGCTCAAACCATTGTCTGCATCACAGTTTGCCTGTGCCTTTTCAGTATTAATAACTTGTCGTAGCAGGTTGGTATTGACAATTACTGTAGGATCATCATCATCATCTTTTATTTGAAGGCCATCAAGATGGGTCACTGACTTAACTACCCGTGTATTAAATAGGTCAACATCTCCCATTGTGCATTCACGTGTTCGCAATCTGTTGACTGCATTACCATACTCAGGATCATCTTTCATACGTTGTTGCTCAGTCAAATCTACCACTGCGTTTACTTGCTTCCATGCAAGTCGACCAAGCCTCTTGCTGAGTTCATCTGATGTCTGTCTTGCATATGCTGATATAGGTGTGTATAGCGGTGTGTCACCTACTGGAGGATATTGATAAAAATCTCCCACAAAAATGATATTAATACCTCCAAACCATACATCTGGTTTTTCTTTGGCATAACGTAATGCATGATCTATCTCAGAGAGTAACTGACAGCTAACCAGTGAGATTTCATCAATAAGTACAAACTCAACATGCTGCCATTCATCATGCAATACTGTACAATTTTGAACACTAATTGTTACTGTATAGTCCTGTTCACTTTTGCCCAGTCGCCTGTTGCCTTTACCCTTTGTCTTTAATTGTATCTTCAAACCAAGTCCTTTGTGAATTGTCATTCCATCGATTAGAGCAGCAGCAGAGCCGGTAGGTGCAAGAAAACGAATTTGGTATAAGCAGCCAAAGTATGTCATCAATTCTTTCAAGGCTTTGACAACATGCATCTTGCCTGTGCCACCGGGACCGGTGAGCAACAAGTACAGCAGTTCCATTACAGTGTCTGATTTGACTACATAGTTTTGAATAAAATGTTTTGCACAAATCTGAAAGGCACATGCCTGCTTAGCATTTAAACTGTAGGATGTCTGAACAGACTGTAGAACTTTCATTGGGGACTGTTCAACTAATGCAGTAGTATCACTCATATTTGGGGCTTCTGTGGATGTGGTTAATTGTTCTGGTATTGTAGGTGTCATGTAATACTCAGTGTATGCAGGAGTTTTTTCGAGAGTAAACTGAGAGCTCATGTTGCCAGCATTACGTCTTTTCTGCATTACTTGCATCTCTTGCTCATGTAGGGCTGACTTCCACTTCTGCAACTGCAAGTGGGTTATATTATATTTAACAGTGGATAGTGCAGCTATCTTGTGATAAGTGTTGTGATGGAGCCAATTGCACTGTTCAAGTAAAGAGACAAACTGCTGTATCTTAAAGTCATTAACTGCACTTCATCTATCATGTGATGTAACATCAACATCATCATCTGTGTCTGCTGTAACAGATGAGTACATGGATTTTGTCAAGTGACGTGATTCTGCTAGCAGCGTCGCTCACTTGCGCAACTGTTCACTGTCTCTTGCATCTTCGCATTCATATGCTGCCTCCCAGTTGTGCATCTTGGTTTTGCTGAACTCACTAAAGTCATATACACCGAAGATATGCTGAAAGGTGTCACCGTACTCTACAAGTGGAACTGTATCACTGAATGGTTTAAAGTGTGCCAGCATAAATATTGCATACCTTTCACTATTTTCACGGTGAGGGATCAGTGTACCAATTGGACGTGGAACATGCTCCATATTAAAGTCAACATGCATTGGACTGAAGTGCTCAACAAGTACATGTGTATCTGCAAGAGGATGTTGTTCCTTTACAGAAAGACGTGGAAGTACACCTAGTCGATCATCTGATGTATGATGGTTATGCTGTGCTGTTTTAGACTCTAATGTGAAGTATCTGCAGAAGTCATAGAAGTTTAAGTGAGAAAGAGTGTCTGGTCTGTAGATGTAATCATCAATTTGGTTCCGTTCGAGTAGCTGTCCATTTTTATTCACTTTAATATTGATAGTACACTCTTCTATGTCATCAGCATCAGAATGATTATCCTCACCACTCTGACTTTCAATTTGCATAGCAAATGAATAATGCTCTTTGACATAAAGCAGTCACAAAATAGATAGCAAGGGCTTTGTAGGATGTGATAAAATACTATCGCCTCTCTTACGTATGTACCAGGCTGCTTGCTGAGAGTGAATCTGTTGTTGACGCAAGAATTGAGCCAAGCACCTATTTAGTAAGGTTTTTGTACTGTAACTAGTCAATTGCGAGGATTGGTCATTGCCACTGGGTAAACTTGCTACTGCCTTTGATAACAATGATAGCATCTGATAGGTTTTTAGGTCAACCTTAGTAATATAGTCTGTAATATAAAACATTGCAGCCTTTGCAGCTTTACCAGAAAGAATACATTTAATGTCATGATTATGTCTGCAAAAAACCAGAATATATGGATTGTAGTAGTTCACATTTGCATCTTTACACATCAGAATGACAGAGTTAGTATTACAATCAAAATATGAGCTCTCAACAACCTCATGGGGAAATAAAAATCTGCATTTACCTTCATTACCGTATTTTTCACAGACTTTACGGTGTTGATGACGCTGCAAGACTTCTCCACATTTTTTAATTTCAGTGACAAACACTGACTCCCATTCATTCAGAATATTGAGTGCCAATTCACCAACAATAGGTGGTTGTGGTGGTCGTTCAATACGAGGTTCGTACGTTGGATCAACTTGCATATCAATATTAGGCAAGTGATGAAATATAATGCTCTTCCAGTATCTGAAAAATCGGTATTCAAACTCATGACTGTCACGCAACCTAGCATGCAAATCAGAAGGATTCAGACCTCCGAGTAGCCATAATACAAAGTGACCATGCAGTGTACCACGCTCAGTACATTCAGGTGTACCATAAAATGCACGCAACTTTCCTAAGATTCCACCTTGCCTTTTGGAGTGTCTCTTAGAAAAATCCCAGCCCAAGAGGTCTTCAAATATAGTGTGTATACAAAAGTAGAAGAAATCGCATGCTGCAACTGAATCTTTGGCCAGCCGCAAAGCACGTTCATGTGCAGGCACAACTAGTGGAAATCGTTTGGCCAAGTCTACAGTAGTGTCACCATACATGACTTGGAAAATTGGATTATGTGCAGGCGAAGGATTTATGGTCATGTAAATATGTGGCATGCCAAAGTAACCAAAGTAGCTACGTATCTCATTTCTGACCCGAATTTTTGAGGCTTGAGAACCAGGAATATGTCCACCAATAGTGTTCACATGCTTTAGCAAGTCTAATGCATCTTTTTGCTGGTCAGTCAAATCTGCATATTTACCTTCATTCTCAAGATGGTTAGAGACTGACATAAGCAAGGAGGGTGAAAGAGTGACTAATCTTCTAGCGATAGTCTGAAAGTAGGGCTTTTGTACTGCAAAGTGTGTGTGTAAGTGAGCAGAGCGACGCTGCCATATATTAAGTGCAATGAACATAAACATGTGATGATACCGAAATGCCTTGTCTACAAGATCAAGATAGTAGTTGACCTGAGTATCAAACTCTATTGGCTTTGGCCTACTAGGATCTTCAAACCCACCAATGCCAAATGGATATAGTGTTGGAAACATACCTGGAAACAAGTTAGGATTATTGTATTCAGAGACAGGCAGCATACCATGATGAACTACAAGATCAGGTTGCGATGCAGTTGGATTAACTATACTTCTTATTGCCGCAGCAGTAAAGCTTCTCCCACTAAGTTTATCTCCTTCTAAATCTGACATGCCCATTTTCTCCATCATAAGTTGTGGTTCATTTGATGGAGGACAGCTTTTGGCAAATAATTCTGCAGGATGTTCTGAAAAGCCTGCCATTTCATCTTGAAATATAAGTGTAATATCCATTCTATGATCTTCGACAATTCGTGAACTAAGACCCGGTAACACATCATCTTCAGGATACATATCAAGTGCAGACAGATCAAAAGTCATATGTTTATACAACTTGTTATGACTCTTAAGCCACAGTAAGAAGCTCCAAATCTTACGCTTCTGCACATGATACATGTTTCCTACGTACTCAGGCTTAAACTTATGTGGACCAATAAAAACAACTGTAAGCATACCAGCAACATCGGCAGGTGTTCTTGGAAGCACTGATGCTGTGGAAACAACATTTAAATCATGTGCACATGTGTTTCCATGAAACACCTTTGGCTGTGCAGGGTCAGATGACTGGTAAATTCTTGTGACATGTGCAGTGCTACGGTAGATTGCACAAACCATTTCTTCAACCCAGGTTATATCATTGTATTGCTCAGGCAGACAACCACGATACAGATTATTAACTAAGCCATATTGTGGTGTAGTACGATGTTGTATTGCTGTATAGCAGCTCGAACAAATTTTGATAGCTGTGACCATGCCATTATCGTAAGTCAGCCCTTTCTTATCTAACATACAGCCGTCTAACTTTAAGTCCTTAAAAACAAACTCAGAGCTATTCTGTTTAACTCCGCAGTTTTCTAGAATGAAAGGATCTGTGATTTGGAATGCAGATAATACTTGCTTATTCAGCAGTAAACCATCCATCTTATATTCAGAAATATAAATCTCATGTGACTGACGAGCACATACAGCACAAATTGAAGGTGAATGCCACTGAGTATGAGTGTAATAATTGTTCAGACAGTTAAGAATCACATCGTGAGGAACAAGTTGTGGCCATGCATCAATATATGCTTTTGTCTCTGCACTGTCCTGTTCAATTTCTAACGCCTTTTCAACTCTACGCTGCTCTTTCTTTGCATCACTGTTTGTATGAGACTCCATGTTTAATTTATCAAAAATCTCAGATGGAACACTTGACTTTAGTAGCTTGAAAATCAGTTCACTACGAGAACTACATAACTCACTCTGAGATAAGAATGGTAAATGACACAAGATAGTATTCAAAAACTTTGAAGATTCAACTTTGAATAAGTACTGGGACAACTCAACAATATGCTCAACTATAACTGTGCAACGTGCATGACGTTTTACCGGCAATTGGTTTGTAAACGTAATACCATAGTTATAAAGTGTTCGCATTAACACAGATGACAAACGGTGAATGAGAACACTAGCTGGAGTGACAAACCAGGGTAATTCTATACATAATTCTACAGGCGGTATGGCATATCCAATTAATGGATGTTCCTCAAAAAGTGGAGAGTTTGCAGAACGTATTGCTAGTACTACAGGTTCACCATACAATTTAATATACAGAGCACTGAGCAGAGCATACCAAGATTTGAGAAGTTGATCATCACCATGCAGACACTTTGCTACATCTTCATTAGACATGATAGCAACAGATGCACAACTCAATTGAAAGTCAACAAGAAGTCTTCTGCAAATCTCAGACTTGTTACGATCTTTCTGAGGTATTAAACAGTGAGATGACACAGCTGCAGACTGCAGAGTATGAAGACTTAACCTTTGGAGTGTACGCAAATACTGTTCATCAGACAAATAAAACCATGAGGGATTGAAATCTGCCATGGCTAAAGTCAATCGCTTATGCTACTTCAGTCCGAAGATTTAAAGGTGTTTCAACACAAATCCTTAGTGTACTTGAACAGCGTGCTTGAAGACAAATACTTAATGTGCTTGAACACAAAATATTTAATGTGCTTGAACACGAAATGTTTAACGTGCTTAGACCAACTCAATCAAAACAGCACTGTGAAACTGTGAACACAGTATCACAAATAGCAACTGCATCGTGCAAATTAAACTGTAAGTATCCATTTGAACAAGTCAACAAGCATAGACGCACCTATTTTGCAGCTACACTTGTCCGAAACAGTCGCAAAAAACGCGAAAACTATGTCTTCAAGAGAGCAGGTCCGCGTAGATTCTACATGGTTTAGTGGTGAATCAGTAGATTAGTAATAATATGAGAAGAAGAATACACTCACGTGCAAAACAGAATGATGTTGTATAGCGACTCGTCGAGGAGCGACACTGAGGTGTAACATCGTCCAGCAGCGCCAACATCGTCGAGAAATCGAGCGCGCACGTGATGTTTGCGAGCGCCATCCTACGTGAATAGACCTGCGCTGGAACACCGTCGGCAGGTCGAGCGCAAGGGCGGAACGTTCGCGAGCGCGATCTTACGTAAATAGACCTGCACTCGAACAGTGTCGACAGGTCCAGTGCAACAGCGACGTTCGCGACCGGAACCCTAGACGGAGTCAAGACTCAAATCGTAAGTGTTATTACTCAACTTATTTACTGATGTTGTTTTCGCACAACTTCATTCGCAGAGGCGTCTGCCGTTTCCCCTTGCCAAAGCCCTCCTCCAGTTCCTGGAGTCGGGGACCTTCCACCACTGAGTACTGAAGCTTGACAGACTATGAACTCATAGTTCCAAGAAGATACATTAATAGAAACGAGCAAGCCCAGACTATATTCCTGAGGGCTAGAGTGGCAGAAGCCTCGATGCGAAAACCACAACATATGTGGTCCACCGGCAGAACTACGCTTGCAGAGATATCTGCTCCTCTAACAACTCCCAGAGCTTCCGGCCTAATTCCTGATCGTTCGTCTCTCTCTTAGCTGCACCGACCCGGGCCCAAGGTATCAAGTACTGCGTACGAGGACGGTTAGCAATCACCTCGTATTTGTTCACGATACACACCTTCCCACCAAACGTTGCGCCTTCCGGCATGGTCGCACCCCATAGCTGAGTGATTGCCCCCTTCCATACGGGATGGAGGAAGAGCACGTTCTATACACCGCTAAGCGTCAGATGACGACGAATCGCAGGGCAGCACGGGAACGCACAACAGAAAGGTTCAGCCACGCAGCGCTTCCTTTCCATATGTCCGTGCCAATCATGCCTGGATGCACGGACATGCAGACGATGCCTCGGTCAGCATAGCGCCGATGAAACTCGTTGGTATAGACTATGTTCGCCTGCACACAATAATTCTCATTGTGCTTGTATGTGACCGAATGAGTGCACTCACGAATTTGCTCTGATAATAGGAAGTTTGAGTAGACATGCGTCGTCTGGCCGCTGTGTCCTTCAGCGTATCGAGGTCTACCGTCCTGACAAACACATGACCGACAGAGGTAGAGTTCACTACTCTGACCGTCCCTGGGGGAGAGGACTTGGCCGTCAAAGAAAGGATGGGCAGCAGGAGCTGAGTGAAATAGAAGGGACCTGCGCTAGAAGTTATAAATGAGTACAATCGCGGGAAGAAACATGACCATACCGAGGACGTTGGTGCCGAAAGTACCGTCGTAACCGTCTGCCGTCAGTTGGTCGTTGGGGACGTTCATGGCTCCAGCATTGTTGAATAGCACGTGAAGCTCGGCCTCCTTACTGTAGATATGGGATAAGAATCTGAAGTTACTGCTGATAGAGCCCCTGTAAACACTGGCCCACCTTGTGAACTCCTCTGCGGCAGCCTTGATGGACTTCAAATCGGCGAGGTCGAGCTCGAGATAGACCGCCTTTTTCTTGGTCTGTTCGCGAAGGTCCTCAATAACATCGTGTGCCTTCTGTGGGTTCCGAGCAGCAAGGTAGACTTTGGCATTATGCAGGAGGAGTTGCTTTCTCCAGACATATTGTAAAAATGACACGGCGAAAAAAGTTAACCAACCCTCACCTTCACGGTCTCCTTGCCTATGCCAGCATTGCCTCCGGTGACTATGATGACTTTACCAGACAGATCAGGAATGTCTGCAAAAGTCCACTTTGGTTTAGGTGGGAACAACTGATCCATTGTACCCAGCATAAATGGCATCGTCTCGCGTTTTGACTGGAACAATCAGGTAAACACGGAGAACGCGAAAGTAGATGCGCCTCACCCTTGTGCACTAGGATATGCACAATGATGTGAAATGTCCTTTGGCAAGTCGTGAGACATCGAGTACGCGGATCCGGACTGATGTCCTGCGTTCTTCATCTGGCTCTCGGAATGCTTGCCGAGGCTGTTACAGTATCCCACGCTCCGTTGAGGTGCATCCCACAAGCAATTACCCCTCTATAGAGTATCCATGAGTTATAGGTACAGGCCTTCAGCGTTCTTCGGTATTTTGCACCGTTTCTATGCTCCCCCTTGTCTCGTACACAGGCCAAACACAGACAATGAAAATCGCCACACTGCCATATGGGGAAGGTCGGACTGTTCCGGGGCTCTCAAAAGCGAGGTGATCGCACCAGAAAAGAAAGCGCGACGTTTGCAAGGTTTTATGGAAACCCTGTAACTCTAGAGATCTACCCGAGCCCTGTCGTCGACGCGCTGGTTGAGCGGACAATTTGCAGAACTAACGCACTGACTGATATCTTAGCGAGAGGTCTGCATATATAACAGTCCAAGTCTTTTGTCGGCTCCATGGGTAGATCTGTTCTAGGCTCGTTAACCAGCCTCTAGTATATAGGAAGAAAGAGTCGTTCCTCTATATAGAGGCTGGATCCTCGTATGAGGGGCTTCTGAGAGGTCCCCCGTGGGAACGGCGGAGTTTGACCATGCCGACGGCGCGGCCAAAATGCGTACAAAACTTGAGATGTGAAGGAGGCAATGTGACATACGACGCATACAAAAATTTTAGCATAGCTTCCAGGAAATGAGTGGCAATTTTTTCAGCACTTTTCGCCTGCTGAACTATTGTGCAATGCATTTATTTTCCTACTGCACAGAGGGAGCTCGGCGTTCACCCGAGCAGAAGCTCGCGTCATGATCATGTGCAAATCATGTGAGGGCAAGCTGCCGTTGCGCCGACGTCAATATTCAAACTCAACGTTTCCCATGGGGGACCTCTCAGAGGCCTCTCATACGAGGTTCGAGACTAGATCTGTTCTGTCTTTGACTTCAGGCCCTCATCCAAGTCCGTCGAAGGCATTGCTGAGATCTCAAGACATGATGCATGATGCAAAGGTCTTCACAGAACCTTTCAATGCGAGAAACGCTTCACGGTCAAATGACCCTTGGCAGTCATTCCTGAGCTACCGTTGATGGTACAGACGTTCTGCTGCACAGTGAAGTTGGTCAGCTTGATTACAGTCGTACCGTGACAACGGGGTATGTCCATTTGTTGTTTTTTGGGTCTAATTGTTTTGCGCCACATTCAGAGCGCACGGATCCGTCTGAACGGTAAACGTGGTATGAAGGATCGTTATCTCTTTGTTCTGCGCCACACCAGGTCGGCAGAAGCGCGGTTCATATATAAACAGTAAACCCACTCACTTCACTTTTTACCTTTCACCCTGGCCGCATACTAATTCTGAGATGGCTGCTCCGACTACCCACGCTGAAGGTTTACCTTCGGACATGATGCACTACACCACCCGGGATAACAACATCGTTGAAGTTCCTGCACGTGCGGTGCGTGAGCCACTACCAGACGCCACAGAAACCGGTGCTCTGGTTGACCGACACATGGAAGGAAAGTTCTATCTTGACATCGAGGGGGCATCCAGTGTTGAGGAGGCGTGCGCCATATTGAAGGAAGATATAGAAGCGACGCGCCGCCTGGTATGCGGCGTCATGCAGAACCAGCGGGACCTGTTGGAGCGCGTGAACGAGATTCAACAGAAACTTGGATCGCAAATGAAGGAGCTCTTCGAGACGAATGACGGGTTGGTAAATCTCATCGTGAATGCCTATCAGGACTCGTCAGTACTGGAGTACGTATCCATCCTTCTGCGAATTCTCGGCGCGCTCATGCCGGTCGATGTCAGAACAAAACTGAAGAAGTTGCTTCCCATGGTGGTCAATCTGAGGACGATGGTGGAAGAGCTGGGGAACCCAGCCATGGCTGGCACCGTCTTGCTGCCTACGATCCCCGTCCCTCGCCCTCCTACTCTTGCTTCCTGCACAGGGCCTTTCCAAGCACTACCGAATCCCTCAGGGAAAGAAATAAACCTCATCGCTCTCTTCCGTACGATTGGCACGTCTCGAAGCATGGACGTGAAGCCCAATCTGCAGCATGAGGCTGTGCAGGCTAAGGCTGCTGCAGGAAGATTATCTCCACCCCCATCCACGAGCCCAGAATTTCCACTGCCGGCCATCCCTACCAAGCCTAGGCCAGAAACAGGGGTGGATGTTGACAAACCAGTCCGTATGCCATTCACACCACAGGTCCAGGATGTCGCCAATGCATTTTGTGCCATGCGCTCAGCGGTCCCTGTGATGTTGCGCAACAGGGAAAACTTGGAATCTCACTTGAATGCATTTGTTACGAATGTCAAGAATATGCAGGACCGCATCTGGTTCGACCAAGACGGACTTGTTGGGCACGCCGCGAGTATTGGCTATTCTCTGCGGAAAACGAAGTGGGTCCTTTTCCTCCACCCGCCGGGATTTTACTGACAGGTCGTCACGGTCGCTCAGTGTAAAAATGCAGCACCTAGAAGAGCACATGTCTCACCTGGTCCCTCCAGAAGGGCTACCCGAGCCATACGCTAGCGAGCCGCAGTCTGAGATGTGTTCAGTTACGATCGGGCTGGAATACGACAAGCCCGTGGCAGAGATGTCTGAAGAGGAGGCAAAGGCTGTCCTAGAGAAGCTCCCGCTTACCGTCATTTTCGATCACCGCAACGTAGCGAACAGCTCCTCCGGGGAGGAAAGATCTCTAGCCAGTGGTGCACCAGCAGGTCCATCTATAGACGATCGTGGTCCAGCGGCTGCATCGTCATCGCGCACGAGCGAGCAAGCCGCTGTTGACAGCCGACCAGACGCTTATTCCGACCACCCAAGAGAACAAAGTTCGGGCGCTGCGATGGCTGAGGCAAGGCCGAGTCGTTCGATCAAAGCCAAGGGAAAGGAGCGTGCGGACGAGCCAGAGGAAATGCGAGAAACGGCTGTGAAAAGTCAAGACGTTGAGATCGCTGGGGGCGTTCAGAACGCTGCGATAACTGGAAACAGTCAGAATATGGAGACAGCGGGAGACGTTGTGACCAAGGATAAGAAGGGGAAAAAGCGTGATAGAGAGCAGGTGGACGAGGGTGGCGCTAAGGGTGAAGGTCGGAGCACCAGGAAGAGAAGAAGAAAACATGGGTTCTGAATATGAATTCGAAAACGGCGTACTGTGACATTCAATGACAGTCGATACCCAGTTGATCTTGATAAGCTTGCGCGACGCTCGCAGACGTTACTTCACACTGAGTGGGGTATCATGTCCGGCATCTATTACAACTAATCTGTAAGGTAGCATATCTTCTGTCCGAAGCCGTCTACCACCACCGGATCTCTGCCCAAATCAGTGGCAGGAACACTATGCACGCTTTCCAGAGCTGCGAGCTCGTCAATACCCGACTGGCGAATTGGAAGAAGTAAAACCACTCACGACTTGGATGCACTTCATGAATAGCGCTGGATATTCGTCAATTCGTGGGGCCTCTAGTCTGGGCTTTTCGTCACCGGTGGCGACAACGCGAGGATGAGTGAACATGACCCAGATCGCGTACAGTGCGACCGCGAAGAAGTGGTAGAATAGCAGTGCTGGCGACTGCTTGATTCTGAATCTGATGTTAAGGTCCGACAGTAAAACACTCGGGCGGAGGGGACGTACCCTGCAAGGATCAGTACCGGCTCATATATGCAGTTCCCGCCCAGCTCAAAATACTTGAAGCAGCCGGTGCGAAGCACGTTCAACAATTCGTCTAGAAACTCAATACAGTCGGGGCTATGGCATAGCAGACTGGGCGCGCATACCTTCTGCACCAAACAAAGCATACAAGGCAACGCTCAGGACGTTGATCGTACTCGAGTATCGCTTCCGTGACCAATGCCAACGATGGAGCAAATGCGAGATCTCCCTCCAGTCTGCGAAGTCCTTCACCTCGCTGAAGAGCTCCCTTAGTAACACGACGTCGTAGAATGCGACGGTCATGCCACCGCCCGTCAAAGGATGCCGCATGTTCCACGAGTCGCCAAGAAGGAACACGCCCTCTTTTGTATGCCGACTTCCCTGCTCGGCAGCAGGCAGGATTGAATTGGGCATCCGACGTATTCTGTCGTTCTCCAAGGCTTCTTGGACAGTTACGCCTAGTGATGAAGGAAGCTGAGGAATGACCTCTGCGAGCAGGGTTTGCTGCAAAGCTCTGTCAGACATGGTCCATAAAAACTACGCGTGAAAATACCTTGATATCAGATGGCAGAGGATTCTTGAGGTTGATGAGCATGCGCGTGTCGTGTTCCCCGATCCGATAGAAGAGTACGGGACCATGCTTGTGAATCAGCGCGACGTTTCCATGATTCATCATAGGCAGCTTGGCGTCTTTGAGCACGACACCGACGAAGTGACTGCTTGCCTCTGGCTTCACGCCCGCGCCTCCCAGGACCGTACTCCGGAAATTCGAAAAACAGCCATCGGCGACAATGGTCAGGTCTGCGAAGAACGCCTCCTTCTCACCGTCGGCATTTTCGCCATCTTTACGCGTAGCACGCACGCCCAAGACGCGTCCAGAAAGTGGGCACTCGATTAGCTCAGTGACGGTGGCCTCAACGACGTCCACGCTCTGTGCCTGCTTGGCCTTCGCTCGCAAGGCTTGGATGAATCGGCCGTAGTGGAAACCCTTCCCCACGAGCGCGTCAGGATATGGTATGTGCACCCGCTCGTCCTGGAGAATGCAACAGTAGCCATGGGATGACGCCGCGTCAATGTCCTCGAGACAGGACTCCAGCCCGAGTTTCTGCAACGCCGCGATGCCTCCCGGCTGCAACAGTTCTCCAACAATGCGATCCGGCTCAGCGAGAGAGCGTTCCAGGACACATACGCGGAGAGGTTTCGAGCGCTTCAGTGAGGAGAGAGCATGGGCCAAGGATGAGCCTGCTATGCCAGCACCGACGATGAGCACGTCGTATGACACGGTCTCCATTTCTGTCGAGGATACCATCATGGACGTTGGGCTTTTAACGACGTCTCGGTGTTGCTCCAGCCTCTCTGAACGTCAGTCTCGACTTGGTGCATAAATCGCCAGTGTCGGCCCATTCTGCGTTGCCGCGCGATCCCGGAAATTTTTAGACCTTCGACTCGCCAGTCCCCCGATACACAGCCAGAAAGAGGGATCGGGGGACTGACCTTGAGGATTTCTGCCATGCCATAGAGAACACCCGTGCACAGGACGTCGACTGGGCAGACATCTTTGTTACAAAGCATCCATGTTGCGACGTTTTCTGCCAGAGGGAGTTGCAAGGCGGTTAACCGCAGCTCCCCTACGGAAGTCTGCGACTGTTCTGTGACTGCCTATTTAGGTGGTGGTACCAGTCACCCTCTGTAAAAACGGGAAGTCCAACAAAGTCATATGTAGTCAAACAGTATACAGTCGTTGTCGCATTATAGTCTACTGCTAGTCACAAAAATTGTCAGCTTACAAATTGAGAAAAAAATGCCAAGAAATTTGTCATACAGTAGTCTGCAATAGTCAAGAGATCTGCTAGAATGTATTAAAGCCTTCTTCTAGATCCTCTGCCTCTTCCTCTGCCTCCCTGGCCTCTCCCCTTTCTTCCGGGGTCAACCAATCAAGTCCTGGATGCTTTCTAAGCACATAGACAACAGACTTGTAGTTCCATACTCCAACAACATCCACAATTTCTGAAATTGGGGCAACTTTGATCTCATTAGACCACTTCCCCTTCCAAGTCTTCAATGGATGCTGTATATCATTGATTGGATGATAAACAGCTATTGCCTCTCCATTGAATTGGTAGAATGCAAGTGCTTCACCAAAAATTGGGGCTGTACTTCCAGCCAGATGACCCTCGAAGTAGCGATGAGATCTTGAGGGAATTTTGCCTTGGTGAAGCTCACCCAAATGGCTGTTCAAGACAGCACCTTGACTGCCTACACGTAGTTTTCCATATCTTGTAACAATTGCATCAAGATTGAAAGCAATCTGCTGTGACTCTGAGATTGCTTGTAATTGTTGATAGAATACCGTTCCTGGTTTACGCTCCTTTTTGTTCACTGCAAATTTGGAAAAAAGCAATGGCTTATTGGTGTCTGGTTGTTTCGAAGTCGGTGCGAGTGCAGGATAGTATAGAAGAAGGGATTCAACAAGTTGTCTTTCCAAAATTAGGTTGGCCAAATTTGCAAATGGTGCCTTCTTGGAATGAATTTTTGAACCAAGTTCCCCAATAGTTCTTTCCATAGTTGCTTGTGAGCCAAGGCGTATAGAGCCATACCATTTGATGTGGATGGGCATATGAATCAACTGAAAAATGCATAGCCGAAATCTTAAAATTTTTTCTGGATCGACTCCAATGTATAGTGTCTGAAAACCTATCAGAAATGTCTTGATCATATTGTGAAGCCAGTGAATATCGGCATCGCTTCTAGGCCTGATTGTCATGGCAAACTCTACAATTTCCACAAATTGGGAAAAATTGTAAAGGACCATAGAATTGAAGCCCAGTTCCAATCCAATTGGAAGAATATACCAATGAAGCAAAGCCATCCATTCGTAGATTTTGTACTGGCTTTGTCGTTTCAAATAAGGATCACGAACTGGTCCACAGAATGATGGAGGGAGTGAGGACATTGCTTCTGAGATCAGAGTTCCAAATAATGCTGCTTTCTCTTTGCTGAGATGAATTGGATCTTGAGGTGAACTAAAAGTAGTCCACAAATCCCATATAAAAGCCATTTGGTTTTCATACTGGAGGTGAAATGGATCCAAAGGATAGAAGGATGGATGTATGAATGCATGACTTGCTGCAGCTAGAGGCATACGAGAAATTCCAGTATCTCGTGTAATCGCAGCTTGTTCTCTCTTTGAGGTAGCATGCAGAAGCTTTGCAATGATGTCCCAATATTTTGTTCCAGTCCGCAATGGTAAATTGTCAAGATCATAGAAAGGGGTGCAACTGGGATTATATCTTGCATTATCTGGAGGTGATATAGGATAGTACTGTGCCTTTGCTCCTTTCTTGAGGCTCGAGCGTGCACCCTGTACTTCACTAAATCGATCACCATGAAGTCCAGAGTGTCCTGCCATTCCATTCATTTTTGCAGAGCCCAGCATATCTCCAAGGACCATGCAAAGAAAAGCATGGTGAACAAAATACGAGGAATCGATGGCATCCCACATCCAAATGCCCTCACTTGCCATAGCTAGATCTTCAAAGAGAGGTCGCAAAAAGGATTCAATGTCTCCTGGACTTTGTGGGCCTGGAATAGCCATAGGAATGAGAATGCGATGAGATTTATAGCGCAGTTCTGGAGGGAGATTCAGCAAGATCAGGATAAGGATCCATGTGTTTGAGTGTTTCTTCATTGTGAGCTGAGCACCATCTGTGGACAAGGCAAATGCAATATCTCGTGAATCCCGAAATAGATCCATCTGTGTATAATGATGGATGTGCACATTGGAATCTGCAAAATCTGAATAGAGCCTTTGAGACTAGAAAATTCTAAATCAGTTTCAAACATATTAAATATATATATATAAGTAAAACCTACCTGTGAAGCTTCTGCAAGCAATTTTAAGGTCTGCTGTAAACATTTATCCCTATATCGTAGAAGTCTTGAAGTCTCCACATTTGCAAACATGGTCTTGATAACTGCAGTAAATAGGGTATAAAGCATCTGTGCTCTGGGCTTTTTCGCAGCTCGGTACCGTGGCTTTCCACAGAGTTTGTTGTCTCGAAGAAATGGACAGGTATCCATCTTTTCGAATTGACCAGTATAAGCAATGCAGCTTTGTGGACACATATCAATTTGCAGTGGTGTGGTGTCTGTTAAGGTCATTGCTAGCTTGCGGACCAAATATAGGGACAAGATATCCACTTGGGATGCATCTGCCAAAACATTTGCATAATAGTTATATGCTTTCACTGTTCCATTGGACAGCTTCCAAGCAATATAATGTCGAAGAGATTGAAATTCAGACCTAGATAAATCCCGTGGTGGAGATGCAGAGAAAGGAGGCTCCGAGGGACAGGAATATTTATTCAGGAGAGCTTTCTGAAGATCCACTCGTGCTTGAGGATATTGAAAATGAGCAGGCTCCGCGATATCGTCTTGAGTCTCAGTATCACTTGAGTTGATACCACTTGTATCACCATCATCTGAATCTATATTACTTGAGTCAGTTTCTTGAATTTGAGGAGGAAATATACCACTTGAATCACCATCGTCTGAATCTATATCACTTGAGTCAGTTTCTTGAATTTGAGGAGGAAATATAAGAAGATTTTCATTCTCTTCCTCGACTTCTTCCTCAGCTTCTGTATTGGCTTCTTCCTCAGCTTCCTTCTCATCATCCTCCATATCTTCATCCACTTCCATAGCATATACCTCTTCCATATTTTCATCAACTAGATCTCTCTCCTCACTTATATTCAAACTGTCCTTAGCATTGGAGGCTATAATTATATTAGCTGTAAGATTTACCAATAACTAAGTAAAAAACATACAAGGATTCAAACTGTCTGAGTCTATAATTATATTAGCTGTAAGATTTACAAATAACTAAGTAAAAAACATACAAGCAGCCAATATTTCACTGGAAGCTTCTGATGATATGTTCCACAGTGTCTGAGTGTTCAAAGAAATACAGGTGTGAAGATGGTCACGAAACTCCTCTGTGTGAAACAGATGTTCAAGCTCTTCAATATCTTTGTAGAGGTGTTTTCGAATAGTTTTGGGACCACGTTCCTTGCCAGGGTGGCATTGACTGCACTGGCAAAGCATATTGTCTTTAGTCTCAGGAGTGTAGAGCTGGTCAGAAAAGTGTAATGAGATGTAGTGAGAGTCAGAGAGCAAGAGAGCGGTACGGCCAATAGCCGCGTTGCATCTGTCTGGTTACAACGTGGTCCATTTCCTAATTTGGATTGCTGACAAATCTCGAAAACTCAAACCTTGCGGACATGGCGCTCTCTGTGTTGGCCACCTAGCAATGTCGTTCCAACCCTCTAATTTTTCAGATTTCTCTACTAACTTCTCTCTGCCTTCTGGATCTGCAAGTCTTCATCAGTCCTTCACTGATCATGACATTGCAGGGCTCGAGCTCTCCGAACTTATGAAGAATCGCCACGTTGCCGACTTGTACACCGAGCTGCGCAGAACAAGTGCTCAGGTGGTCAAGTTATCTGATGTACAGACTGAATTGATGCAGGTTATGCAAGAAAATAAGCAGTTGACACAAGAGCTGCAGGCCTTAAAGTCCGAGAAGAGCCGATCCCCAAGTTTTGTCAGGTAAGCTTTTCCCCTCATATTCGATCCGATTAACCTATATACTACACAGTACTTCGACACTCATGCCAAGCGACTCTGTTTCGCATCGCGGTGGCACGATCTCACAAGATAGCAGCATCGTCTCTCCTCCTGTGCCGAAAAAGACATATCCATTCACGGTCCTCTGGAACAAAGAGGATTGTAAGAAGGACGACGATGTCCACATCACGGTAGCTAATCCTGAACGGATTCCTATGGATCAGGCCGTTCGACACGAGAACGGTGACCTCATCTCAAGCGCAGAGTGGCACGCAATTCAGACGACTGCACGCGTAGTCAAGAACGAGCTTCTCTCTCTTCCACCTCCTCGAGACTGTCAGTATCGCAACATAAAGCGAACAAAAAAGGTATTCAAGGCTGCATATCCACGCGAATGGGAAGCAGCCATGCTGAAGATGGAGAAGCAACAACCGTTGCTCGCCCTTTGCTCAGACCATTGGAAGGCAGAGTACATCATTGGTCCTATGCTGCTCCAGCAGCACAAACCCGACTCCGAACTCGACAATGATGATGATGACGTTAGTCACGTCAGCACTTCCGCCACCAACACTCGTGCATCTGAGCATGGTGAAATCTCCGCCTCGATGGCCTCGCAGGTCTCTGTTGCCAACAAGAGGCGCCATGTCCACTCCACTTCTTCAAGCAAGCCGAAGAAGAAGCCTGTCGCGGGTGTGGTATCGCAACATGCAGAGGGTCGAACATCTGGCCCAGTGGCCACACCTGCATTGGAACCGCAGCTGAGTCTAACGTCTGCCCCAGTGACCATGCCTGTGGAACCACAGCTGAGTGCAATCGGTAATATTCTCGGTAAGTAAATTTACATGGTCCTTTTGCATTATTGAACCTCATGGTAAATAGCCCAAGTGCCTTCTGCGCCTCCCTCTGTCGTTGCCTCTGTCATCTCTCCTTCGGTATCTGGCCTAACGGTGAAAAGCGCCATTGACATCAGCTTCATCAATGTCGATCCGTCAATCGAGAATTTGATAGGTACGCTTCGTTCATCATTATTGTTTGTTTATTTATTTGCTTGCAGATGCCTTGTCCAGTAGCCATCCGGATTTAATAAGTGGTTTGGAGCTGCTCAATTCCATGAAGCTCACACCTGTATTCGACATCAGTTCTCCGACATCGGAAGTCATCACATTCATCGAGCGCATCGAGAACGCTGATCCTAACTCACCCGACCTCTCGGAAGACAATCTTGGAACGGTGTGGGGCCATTACCAGTTTACAGCAGGCTCGATGACGTCCAGCTCCACGCTTGTCTCATGGGATGGCATTGGGAGTGAGGCCGCACGAAGATTAATTGCCACCACCATCAAGACGTGCAAGGTTGCAAGACATGTGTGTTTTGTCAGCGGGATCAAAACGAACACGTATCTTAGCGATGCATACTTGGAGATGACAGTCGAAATCCTTTGGAGGCTCTGGAAAGCCGCAGGAGGAGTAAGTGCTATATTATCTTGGCGGGTGTTGCTTCTAAATATGTTCACTACAGCCTGTTGTGAAGGGGAAGGGCAAAGCTTTCACATCATCGGACTCACGCACCATGTCCACTGCTGACGCCATCACCAGTATTCCTGACTCCTCTGCCGCCACTCTTACCCCCTCTGCCACCACTTTGGTCAATGTCTCTCAGCCCTCTGCCAACACCGGTTTGTCCATGAACTCTGATTCGTGCCCTTCCAACTCGTCTGGTAGTGGCAAACCTATGGCCAACAGCAATTCTGACCCGCGTGCATATATCACTGTACGTACATTTAGCCTTTACCGTTTATTTTCACTGATGTGCGCCACCGGATAGTCGCTCAACAGAGACGAATTGTTTGAATGGATCATCGATCGGAAGTTGGCGGTCAATATGAAGCTTGGAAAGAAGAGTTCCTCCATTAAGAAAGGTAAGAATTTTCCATTTTTTTACCTTCTGTATGACTTGGTGCACTCATTTTCGTGTTTACAGACAAGCTCGTATCAATCATTCTGTCCGCCGAAGCGACCGCCCAGCCATCTAAGGCAGAAGTCGACGTCATCGTGCAGCAGGTATGATACTAGTCCCATTCTTCGCATCTACTTCTGACACTTCGGTTCGCAGCGCAAGCTTAAGAAGATGGCCACTTCAAGAGTTTGAGCCTCATCGCGAGGAGGGGAGGGGCGTGTCGCTGCTGTGTCGCTAGTGCCAAATTGTTCTCATTTGTAGTAACTCTGCGTGATGAATTCATGACTTTTGATGACCTTTGATGACTATTTCGATGAAAGAGAGTGACTGGAGTTTAACTACTTTATGACTGAAATTTGACTATGGATGACTATGACGGACTATTGTTTGACTTTACTTGGTGGCTGCGGTGTCGTTACCGCTCCCCAACTCCAGACTAATTCTCGACTTTTTGTAGACTAAACCTGACAAAAATAGTCACAGGCTGGTAGCTAAAACACAAAATTCTGGCCAAATTGACTAGTACACGACTATTTAATGACTCTACATGACTTAGTTGGACTTCTCATCTTTACAGAGAGTCACCTGTTCCGAATCCCAGTCGCCAACTCTTAGGCTTTGAGGCCATTCAGTGCACTCTGTGCTCATGCATCTCATCGCCTCAATCTTGGAAGAATTTGTGAGTCGCCGTAGAGTACCATTTTGAAATCACGCGTTGTCAGTTGATTCGGCTTCAGGGACTCCTGCAAATGGTGCAACACCTGTTTCGTTCATGCACACAAGGGCCATGTTTCAATTGATCAATACTCTGTGTAACGAGCCTGATCCAGTTTCGTTCCAAAAGCAAGTGAATTCCAACTGTAGGAACGGCTCTGTCTTTTAAATTGTGGCGCACAACGATTCCGAAAATGTCTCGGATATCGGAAGATTGACAGCACAGGGCCAACTACACCCACATCTGGTGAGATGCATTCTAAACCAGATGCTTGTGCAGATAATCTGTAGCATCAAGAACTTTGAGGATGCCGTGTACAACTCATAGGAATTTGCTGCCGTTGGCATGCAGTCGCACTTTCGACACCCATGCTGTGGAAAGAGCTCGATATTCGCATCTGTTTGGACCGCTCGTAGAACACATTGCTGGACGTTCGGGCATCCTGTTTGGCATCCTAATTATTACAAGGCTGCGCAAAATGCCTGCTTAGTAGAGATCGTGCCCATGGTCCATCCAATCCTAAAAGTGGGTCAGCATCGGGATGAAGAGTTGTAAGCCATCTTGTCTATGTCTGATTGTCCCATGCATTCAGATCTAGAAGACTTTATGGTATCTGCCCTCTGGATTCATCTGCCAACCTTACGGGTGTCCGTGCCAATCCCGGATATGGAGCACTTTCCTCGTCTGCACACTCTCTCGCTACAGGGCTTATAAGTCTCCTCACTCCCTGTAATGCCAAGCCGTCTTGCCTGCTTCGGGTTGATACAATTTCATACGCCATCTCCTCCCCACAATTGACAGCTTCCTGGACATGTTAGAGGCATACCCTGGTCTAGGTCGAAACTTTCTCCCCGGACTGCTACATATCCAGATTCAACACGGTATGTCTCCTTCCTCCACTTCGAATATTTCTCTCTGTCCAGGCAGGTCATTGACATGGCGTATAATTTAACTGATTGTCCCTTCTGCTACACAGTACAATAACCAATATTCAATTGATTCATGGCAATAGTATCAACAGCCACGAAGATGCACACTCACTAGAAAACATACTCCCTCATAATACGGGAAGGGTTTCCATGAGGCTCAGTTCGTCCAGCTCATTCGCGCCGCCGGTCACTTAAGGTTGAAGCGTACGCAAAGCCGGATGTCCGTATTCTGCGTGTGGATTTGTGGCATGATCAGATATCGTCTCTTATCATCCCCCTTGATCTCTGGAAGGCCGCACGAATTTTCAAAAACTCGCCTGTGAGGTCTTATGCGACCTACAGAAGGTGTCGGAGTCGGACCGGCGTTAATTTCTCCGCCATTTCCCGCTGGACAGGTAGGAGGTGGGGAACTATGGCGAATATTTCCGATCTCCAGACAGTCCCAATGACGGATTGATCTTCCTCGCCTGCCAAATCTCGCGATCTCCGGAGCTACTCTGTACGACGGTACCGCCGCTGCCATGACTGATTGTCTCACTGTAGGCGCGGAGCGCAAACGCGGGATGCAGGGTCTTTCTCTCGTCGAATCTCGGGACCCGGAGCTCAAACTCGCATAGAAGGTTGTAGAGCTTACTGATGCAGTCTCGGACTCCTTGCCGTGGAGGGCGTAGAATTCCACAGGGTACGACTTCATTTCTGAAAACTCAAAATTTCACTGGGATTTTATGGTGGGTGATCAGGTCGTTATGTTCCTGTTCGCGGTTCATTGTGTTTTATCTTAATTTGTGGTAAATTTTCACGTTTTGACCTCGTACTTAACTGGATGAGTATGACCACCATAACTTAGAGCATATTAACGTTCACTACATATTACTAAGATATGCCTCATTCATACGCGACCACTCCACGTGGCAACTGATTTGCATTCTCTTCGACAACAACATTAATTAAAGAAAATCGGTTCCAGCAGAAATTATGGTATTCGCCATAGCTAAAATCGTGCGGGAACCGATTATTCAGAGCGTCGAGGTGCGAGGAGGAGAATGGACAAAACCGGCCACGTGGTAGGAGTCGTGTATGAATGAGGCATATCTTATCTACTTCCCGTCCTGTATTGTGAATCGGGGTTTGGCCACGCCTCTCCGATGACAAGATCGCTTCTACATATTCTCTTGATGGAACCACTGATGACGGTTGCTTGCAAGGCCAGAGAGGTTGAAACGTTGAAGGGCCAACCGCTCGGAACTTGAGAAAATCACGTGATCGCATTGAAACGCATCCATAAACCACAACAGTCGTCAACAACTGTTGCGCGCTTGCTCTCCGAAGCCTAACCTGCCTGAGTGCGTGAGGCCACTACTACTGGGTCATTCGTCTAGTAGCAAGTCCTATCCGTTGAACTTTTGTGGAACATAGTCTCTCATTCGTGGGACGCTACCTTGCTCCACTAGTAACATCTTAACTGACTTGTGCGTTGCATGACGAAAACTCTGATATTGCAATGATACTGATTTGTATGCAAGTTTGTCAGCACTTGAATGCAATCCTTTGACTCACATGTTGGACACCGTCTTTCCAAAGTTTCCCCCTCCCCTTAGTATTTCAAGCGATAACGCGACCTTGTCTGTCCAAGAGAATCAGCAGTATCACACCAGGTTTCTCAAGAATGCTTATTTGCCTATCAATCGACTTCCCGATGAACTGCTCGTGAATATCGTTCACGCTTACAAGGAGGGATATGATTTTAGACAACGCATCTCGCACCAGTGGTGGAAGCTTACAGAAGTTTGTCGTTATTGGCACGCCGTCATGGTTGATTTGCCTATATTGTGGACCGACATAGACGTGGGACTAGGTATACCCTTCTTGCATCTCTGGCTGGAGCGTTCGAAAAGTGCATTGGTCGATGTCAAGTTTGAAGACAACAGTTGGCCGGATATCCCTCCCTCCATTCACGAGGACATAGTGTCAATGCTTCTGCCTGTTAGACACCGTATACGGAACCTGCATTTGACATCGATCACGAAGCCTGCCATCGAGAAGTTGCTCTCCCAATTTACCCTTACGATGCCGAAGCTGGAGGGACTTTTCATCTTTCCCAGGAGTATTCCTCCTTAACGATGCTCGAAGGGCAGCTGCGCTCCAGAGTTGCCGTTGATTGTACGTGTTCTCGCCATGTTTTGTGTATATCCCCTTCTAACTTAGGATGTTTGACTCCTATGTGGACCAGGTTTCGTGATTATGATTATTTGGGGCCTTGTGCAAACCGCGGCCTGACACTCGTGGACCAACGCTGTAGTTTTGCTAAGGCTTATTCCTTTCTTAACTCCAGTCATGACGCTTTAGCGCAAGGAGACGACAGTCACTGCTGCCATCCACAGTTGATACTTCCACGTCATCCACGGCGTGATCAGGGCCCTGAAGCTGTACCATCACTGCCGCAGTCTTCACTGGCACTGGCATATTGGATAGAGCGTTAATCTTGTGTGCGGAGTCCTCGTCCACTTGTCTTATTCGAAAGAGCTTGTTAGCAATCACATAGATCTAATTCCTGTGACTGCTGCGAAATGTCTCATAAGCAAACGCCGCGGGTGCATCGCGGTAATATTAAGTCGGCAATTGCCCGGCGCGTGTAGACCTGTGTAGACGTGTGCACGGTAGCCGCCCATGTCAATCACAGTAGGGCAGGACCCCTGACTATAGGTGGAGAGGCCTGATGACTTATCCGGACGAAATTTGGGATTTTTGAGGCCTTAGGCCTGATCTCATCCGGACGTCGGAGGGCCCTGAAGGCCTCCGGAGGTGATCTCATGTCCGGCAGTTCCTGTCAGTTTCGGCGAAGGCCTGATCCTCAGCCGGCCATCCACGCCCCGGAAGCCGACAAGCGCCGACCTCGAGCCGGCGGCGGAGCCGCCGCCTCTCAGAAGCGCCCATACCTGCCTTATATAGGCGGTCGGCTGCCGAAAAGCCTGATGCGGTACCCGGACAGGAGCCCAAAAATTGGACGAAGGTCTGATCTCATCCGGAAGTATGGGCCAAAAAATCACAAAATTTCTCCGGATGTTTGGGGCTGATTTTCGGAATTTTGGATCAGGCCTCTCCACCTATTGTCAGGGGTCCTAGTAGGGCCCAGGCACTCAGGCAACAGTGAGTATTGACTACGATGTAGGACTTGTTGGAGGTCAACTTTCCACGCGAGGTTGGATACAACTTCACCGGTTTCCAGACATGAAACTGATCCTGGACAAGTCGGGAATCATCTTTCACCGAGCTGCACCACTAGTACTATCGGTGGCGCAACCGCGGGACTGCGTGACGCAAGGCGTCCATTAATGTAGGATTTCAGATGCCGACTGCAGCGGCGCACGCAACTCGGCCTAATAAACTCCTCGAGGACTCCTATCTTCCCGAATGGCCAAGCTCTCCTGATCGCATTCGAGGTCGCGGTGATTTTCTGTGCTACGACCGGTGAATTTAGATAGCGAGGAGGAGGTGGCTGGGCTCCTGGTGTATTGCGACTAGCTGCTCTTCAAGGTAAGCTCAATTTTTTTCTTTCAGCCCTCAAATCTTGCGATGGTTTTTATGAAATGATGTTTCTACAATGTAATTTTGTTCTTTAGGAAGCTTCAGTAGACCCCCGTCTCAACTCTGTGATCGACATATCTGAAGTCCTACGTAGATAGCGAACGTGAGTATCAACATTTTTTTCCTATCCGAAACAACGTTGCCTCTTTGAGCCAACGTTGTTTCAGTTGTGGTCGATGGGCCCAATTTCAGACCAATTTCAAACTACAATCATTAATACCGTATCGATGACTTATAAATCCCCCACCGAAACACCACATTGCTCATCTGGTTTGCCAGGCTTCTACATGGTTGCCAAATCTCTGGGGACAAGATGCAATTCAATCTCATCTTGGAACACATCACTCCCTGTCAATCGCCTTCCTCCGGAGCTCTTGGCTGAGATATTCCACAACGTCAAAGCTCATTCAGTCCCAAAGACCTATGCGAACTGGATACGCCTCACTCATATCTGTAGTTACTGGCGTACGGTTGCCCTGGGTACGCCGATACTGTGGACCGACATTGACCTCTCGAAGGATCCACGGGTTTTGCGACATTTTTTACAATATTCCCAGGATGCGGTTTTGGATGTCTATTCATCTGGTTCGATGCCCAACCTACTTTGGGGTACTGTTCCTACTGTTCCACCAGTGATTCTTTACATCCTGCCCCATGCCCATCGCATTCGAAGCTTACGTTGGCTTGGGCTATCTCGCTCTGAGATGCAGATCCTGTTGTCGAACTTGATATTCGCGGCTCCCTCTCTTGAGACCCTGGAGCTTAGCTGCTCCCACCACGGCAAGAGAGATGATCTATTGTTTGCTCCCGCTGAGAACCAATTTCCCCGCATTCGTTCCATCTCCCTCTCAGGAATATTCATCCCGTTATCCCTGTCCATGTTTCGCGGTCTCGTGAGTCTGCAGTTGGGCCACTTGAACTCAAGTCACACTCCATCCATGGATATGCTGCTCGACGTTTTGGAGGCCTGCCCGGATCTGCATGTCCTCTCGATCACGCATCCGCCGCGGAAATCGGCTCAGAATTGGCACTCAAACAGCATCGTCTCACTTCCCAGGCTTTCTCAGCTAGGGATCCTGAACATGTCGCCGGATATGCCGCGTCTTCTCGACTACCTCAGGATATCTGCTCAAACATGCGTGGACATCCGCGGGCAGTCTACCCTCGCGATGAGTGACGAGGAAGCGTGCGCACCCTTCCTCTTTTCTGGGAGGACGCGGCTGCCGAACCTCACAGACGTGACTGATGTCGCGATATCCTTATCCACACTCCTGAGCTTCGATCTAGAGCTCACTGCGACCGCGGCGAGTGCGCAGAAGCTCAGGGTGAGGCTAGCGTACACGCAGTTTTCCCGCTCGGCCCCTTCGAAGGGTGCATCCACGGTTTATCGCGCCTTCGCGCAGCTCTTCGGCTCTTCTCCCGTGCGCAGCCTCTGCACGAGCGGCATGGGTGGGACCGTGGACACATGGCGCGACACGCTCCGGAGCTTCCCCCTTTTGCAGCGTCTGCACGTCCAGTTCATCGGCGCGGAGGAAGCGGTCTCCCTCCTGCGGTGCCTCGCAGGGGAGGCGGAGGAAGAGCTCGTGTGTCCCGAGTTAGTGCACCTCGGTTTGCCGAACCACCTCGACCCGCAGCTCCTTGCGGCCGTTGTCGTGTGTCTGGACAGACGTGCGGCGCGCGGTTGCAGGCTGGGCACGTTCTCATGGAGGATACTAAATGGGTCCCGCCAGCGTTTCAGGCTGAAGATGGAGACGATAGAGATGATCAAGAGGAAGGTCGAGGTATTCGAATGCGATGCGTCGGAGGCTCGGAGGAGCGTATCGGCTGCTATACTATTGTGATATGCAGACATGCGCAGGTACGTGCAGTATGGCTGCCATGTGATCGGTTTCTAGCAGGCCAAGGCTGACGGTGAGTTGCGATCCTAGGACAGTTGGCTGATCTGTTTTGTAGACCTTGTTGGTTTCTTGGATTTGTTTTCTCAGATGTTGTACAGTGCTATGACGGGTTCGACTGGAGAGTGTGGTCTTTTTTACTGCTCTTTTCGAAATGATGCGGGATCGCAAAAACCGCGAAGCTGCCTCTCAGCATCACTGCAGCCAAACTGCTCAGTAAATAACTCACAGTCGTCAGCAGCTTGCGATCATTACTTGATACATCAGTATGCCAGGGAGGTGCTTAGTTGATTCGCAGGGGTCCATGTGACTGCTAGTATTGCCCCTTAAACTACTCGAGAAGCGCATGCTTATCAGCATGCACTAACCTCGCGATGCAGGTCGGTCAAAGTGATTTTGTATTCTTGCTGTATCACTACAGATCGAGAGCTACGTATTGTGCAGAGCGTGGCATATTTACCAATCAAATACACAACATATATCGTGTGAGACTCTCACAGGCAAACAACAGATTGTCTCATCGAGAACGGTGTATTTTCCAGTTCCAGACATTCTGTACCACTACTGTACCACTACGTCGCTAGAAATGTACGAGTCGAACACAATGAGTCATGTTCTCTTACACATACTCATATGGTGCTTTCTCACTGCAATGATTCTCAGGGGTAGAAAGGGGTTGCTGTCGTACACTGCTGTGGAATTATGGGGGAGGTCATGTTTGTCCCTCACATCGTCCCTTCACCGCCACGCCCAATATGTCTGAGAATGCCGTGGATTCACAAGAATACGGCCGCCTCGTTCGGCGGATCAAGACGCTCACGACAGTACTCTACACACTCCAGCTTTCTCTCAAGGCGCCACGGAACATTGCAGGCCCGCAGTCGGGACACACAAAAACATATTACCACATTGCCACTCTACTTGGCGGTGGAATTCAGGCTACTGACGATGCCCACGGTTCGAAGGTTATTGCCGTGACGGGAAAATCTACTTCTGAAGGCACATTGGTGGTGATCAGCGAACAGGACAGTAACTGGGATACTCCTGTGAATATGCTCGCAGCATCGCAAGACTCTCAACCGCTACAGGAGTTGGCGGGAGCGTTGGATATAGATTGGGTCCATCCCAGCAAGAAGACTTTGCACAGTCTTGGAAGCTCCAAGTAAGTTTCGACAGCCAATCTCGAGTAGACTTGATCTCCTCATCGCTTTATAGTGATTTGGAGGTCGGCATCGCATTGAAAGAGCACGCAAGAGACGTAATTGCAGCACTCCGGGAGATACCGCCACGAAGTGATCCTTCTTTCACGACTTGTCTCACTTCCTTCCTACGGCTCATTTCCAGGCGATCCTGCATGAGGATGCTGCAACGCTGCGAAATGAGGCACAAAATCTGGGCTGTGGATGTATTCGATATTCTCAAATGTTGGACTCCCCAGCGTGGGAGATATTCTTGCCGAGAAGTTCATACCGGCTTCGTCGGTTGGCGGAGCTCTACAGGAATCCGACGTACCACTGGTCCGTCGACAGGACCAGGATATGTATGTTGTCAATACCGAGACGGCTGCGTCCTGGGTTTGGGCACTTGCAGAGCACTTGTCCAAAGCCGACGATTCTCTGGAATCTATCGATAGCGCCATCCGAGAAAGTCACCAGCAGTTGAACGGGGACACATTGGACAAGGTGGTAGATATTCATGCCCACATTGACAAGCTCCTATCCACTCAAGTATATGAATCAATCTTCAAGTTACCCTGTCTCGCGCTACGTTTGTACAACGCGCAAATCAGTAAGTTCTCTACTATTCCCCATTATTACCTGACTCATAGCTCGGTAGTCTGGCAGAGGGACTTGCAGAAGGAGGTCAGTCTGAGGGACCAACAGATTTACGAAGGTACCTGATAATGTCTCTGCCGCTTTTCCGGCTATGTACTGATAGCTCTATAGAAATACAGGCATTGGATCCCGAATTGGAATTGGGTCCCGGAAAGGTATTGAGTTTAGGAAAGGATACTTTTCCTCTCAGATACATCCGCATGCTGGTGGCATGGCATACCGCTGTCCATTTCTTCACATCCCATAACGTTCTGTTGACCGGCCGGCCCCTGCAGTTCGCCCTTATTCGCATCCCACACCCCGACGGAGATATGGAGTCGGTGGAAGACGTGATTAATGACGAATTTCTAGCCTCGGTTATGCAGCGATTCTTCCCTCCGGGTGTGCATGTGTCGGATATCGCGACGGAGACCATTTTGAAGAATCTTCGGTATGCGATTCCTCAAATCAAGAGTTTCCGAGGCTCAGTACACTGCGAGGCCATTCTCATGGCCATCAAGGCCATGTCGAATTCCGGAATTGCATCATCTGGCATTGACATGTCCGCCAAAATGGCAATCTTCCAAGTGCGTCATAAGTTGCCTTCCTGCATGCATGACCCCTGACTCATTCTAGGACATTGACAATGTCATCGGTGTTGCTAAGAAATGCTGTTGGTGCTGCAATTGGCTGGGTGAGAATCTTCCTGTGCCAATGCAGGAATGTTTCATCTTACCGGGCTCCCATGGTATGATATTCCCCTGGTCTCCTCCGAGATTCGGAATTCCTCTAGCGACCTTGGCATCATTGGAGCGAGAGCTTATGCATAAGCTGCAATTGGTGTTCATGAAGCTGGGTGTGATTGTCATAGAGGACATATTATTACAAGTGCGTCAGTCATCTCGGGAGCCGGAAGTCGGCCATTGTCCCTAGCTTTGTCCGGCGGACGATCTAAGCCGAAGCGGAGTACGAGAAAGATATACCTCGGAGGTAGCATTTGGGTTCCTTGCTTGCGGTGACTGGACGTTGTCTTTCATGAATCAGCCATCTTATAATTAATGCCCACAATCTCCATCACAGTTTTACCGTGGTGGCTATATTTAGTGGGAGTCCTTGTACGTTAGTGGTTCGTCTTCATGCATTCATGCTCCTTGCACTACAGTTAGTCTCCCAAAGGCAGACCGACACTGTGCTTCAACCTTCGTTCCTCAGGATATCCATGCCTGGTGTCTGCTATCTATAAGGATACAGACTTGACGGTAACTATCAGGTATCGCATCAAGAGTGATTTCATTCCATTTTGTTGGAGAAGCCCGATTTGACTCCTTTGTCGTATGTTTTTTTTTTCCTTTGTTCCTCGCCGCCTTGCTATCATAATGCAGTCGCCGCAGGATTTCTGATACGCCGCACAGTCCTTGCGATCTCCATTGTAACCGCTCCGTTCATTGTCCTCGTCCGCCACCACAATGATGGATGGGGATGGGGAAACGCGCCTCTCCAACTATTTAAGGGCTACGGCGAGAATGCCCATTCTCATTACCTTCCGCTCGTCGCTCAATGGTGGATTCGCTCTGCAATGACCTGCGCTACGAATTTTCTGCGTCTTATATTTATCTTCAATTCGTTTCGCTCATATTCGTCTTGTCGCACCGCAAGAGAGTGGATGTCCTTCCGCGCCTCCCTGGCGCCGCTCACGGAAGAAGGCCGAACAAATGTGCAGATGCATGCCTACTCCTTCAAAGACACCCCCTCACAATCATGTGCTACATCATGACTCTCGGAATGGTGGGGGGCAGTTACATGGCACCTGCGGACACGAACTCGTGGCCGCATCAGCATCGTCGTCTCCGCTCTACATGCAACGACACAATCGATGTTAAGCCAATGCAGATGCAGTAAGTCCAGCCCAGCTTCGCCGATTCAACCTTGCATGACTCACTCGAACTGAACCAGCCATGTCCCGCCCAGCGTGGAAGGCCAGCCCAGAAAATGCCGGACCCCGTACGTCCATTGAGCATATGTGCCTCCATGACGGTCTCTGACGTCGATCCGTCTTGCCAAGACACCCCGCTGCGTAAAGCGCCGAAACTCCATGACGGCGCTCGATATAACGAACCCCTCTCTGACGCTTTCCGGTAGCTCGCGTTCAGATGAACTTACCACAGCAGCGGGGAGAAAGTGGGTCACCATACCCGGGGTGCTGTGCCTGCCCTGTGCTATGTGGATTAGAAAGCCACACCGGTCGCCGATGCAGGCACCGGCAGTGTCGGTCCTGGAACTTCCACTAGGCTCCCGCTCCGCGCTGCGCCCCGCAGGTCAGAGACTCACCTCCTCCCTCTAACTGTGCGACGTGCTGTATGAGAGAAGGTGCACTGGGTTTCGAGGTGCCCCCCTCCCCCCCAAATTCAGCTCTGATTCTGTGCTGTTGCAATCAGTTGGGATCTCCTCCTAATGCTGGATGAACGCGCGTTGATGGACCGTGTGGTATATGGTTCGGACGGGTGCTTTGGGGCCTGCCTCGCTGGCCAGAGACGCTGATCTGTCGAGAGCGTCTTGACAGATCGGTGCCCCCGACCGGCGAGGACGGTGCGCGGGCACTTGCCGACGTTGATGCTTCCGTTTCTCGATGTGCGGCGGCGGGGGCGGGGGGTTTGTATCGTTCGGTGCGTCCTCGATGGGAGTGCTTTTGCTTTTCTTTTTCTGTGTGTTTCTGTTTATGAGTCATAACGCGGTGTGCCCGCCGAGCGATACGACTCGGACATGTAAGCGGCATTATTCCTCGCCGTGAGTGTTTCGGACTGGACACCGCGGCCCCATCGTTGTCATTCTGACACTGCGGATGCGGCCTGGATCGATTTTGGTGCTGTTTTCTTTCTCCATCATTCCATCCGGCCTCGAGGCCTCACCGTCGGAATACACACCGCATGCTTGTCATGCATATGCTCGCACTCGCCATCGCACACCGATTGCCACGATGCAGTATCAGATGTTCAGCCACCGGCGGTAGGCAGCACAGCAGACAGCGGACAGCGATAGTATCAATTGCAAGCAACCTCGACTCTAATCTCCACATCTACAGTACTGACCTACAGAGCAAGATTGTGTACACTACTACCCAGCAAAGCATGTAAAGAGGTTCAATTGCAACTTGAAGCACCACACGCGAATCATACCCGCAATGAATAATTACGCGACGCGATCCTAGCGTACACCACCCACCTCTCGCAAGACAACCACGCACACAGACAGCAGAGCAAACGCAAACGCGATACCAGCACAAGGCGCACGCACCGTCAAGATCCCAAGTTCACGCCCGAGAAAAAAACGCGCCCCAAGAAGACAACGCAGCAAATTAGCACGGCGGGCCCCGCTCCACCTCGCGCCTGATCATCTCCGCCCACGCGGTCACAAAATACAGCACGCCCGCAGGAAGCGCGCACTTGCGCCCGACCTCCGCCCAGTCCCACCGCCGGCGCCGCCCGCGCTTCCACTCCAGCTCGTCCTGCGCGCCGCCCGCGATGACGTTCCCCAGCGCGGACGCGAGCGCCGAGAGGGGCGAGTCGTGTTGCGCGTGCGCGTGAGACGGGTGTAGGGGGCGGGAATGCGAGGCCGCGAGCGCGGGCGGCGGAGGCGGATGCGGCAGGGGCGCCGGCGCGATGTTGGAGGTGACCCAGAGCTGGATGCTCCGCGAGCAGCACGTCGTCGTGCCCACCACCGCCCAGCACAGCGCCGGCCGCTTCTCGTAATCCAGCAGCGTCAACGTCAGGTGCGTCGCCGGCCAGCAGATCGCTAGCACAGAGAAAAACGAGAATTGGCAGCAGAATGTGTGAAGAACAGGCCAAATTCGGCATTGGATGTGGACGAGCATGTGGAGAGTGAATAGATCAGTACTCTTGTCGTGTAATTCAGACTAGCGGGTTCAGAGAGTAATGTGAAAGAAACCAAGTCGGTGCTAACGTGACGCAGCGACACTCAACATTCCATGCTTCATGGCATAACGAGCCCACATCGGACCAAACTCCATAGAGTTTGGGCCATAGAAATCGCGGAGAATGGGACTAGCGCCACAGAAATGATTATCGGCTGAATCCAGCCAGTATTACGTCGCACGACACGCCGACGGAAAATGCAGACGAAGAGCAGAGGATGGAAGTGCCGCAGAAATGGTCATCGGGAGAATCGAACATGCACCTTGTTACACGACTGGCTGGCGAGCAACGCGACACAGACGACAGAGTGCAAGACGAAAGCTCGGGACAGACTAGTAGTCCCGATGGATGTAACGAGTAAACCAGATTCACAGGAAATGGTCCGGAAGAAACGAATAGAATATCGCCTTGTGCACCTCACCGATAGACACCAGCGGTCCACATCAAAGTGAAAACGCCCGACCAAATTGGCATCGGAACGCGAAGCGAACTTGGAGAGAACTGGAGAGGATGGAACGCAACTCACCCTGGAGTGCAAAGAGGCGAATGAGCGTGGCGAGCGGGGAATAGTACACACGCCAGCGCTTGAGAAGGCCCGTCGTCATCTGGAGACACTGCCAGCCGGTGAGCACGGCCTACGGTATGTCGTTAAAAAGGCGACCGCATTCGGTTCAGACCCGCATGTACTTGTGAAAACGCGATCGCTTACCCACAACGCCGCGACGAAGAACTCGGCTTTCCAAACGTCGCTCTCCCCTCCCAGACCGAGCATGCAAGCAGAAAGATATACGGTCCCGAACACGGCCGGCACGATGGCAAGGAGACGCGAGAAGGATACGAGGGCGGGCATGACGGCGGACAGGGTATGGGGCAGCGGACGGAGAGACGGCCCAGTTATGCGCGCCGTGGGCAGGTTTCGCGGCTGGGAGAGGTATCAGCCAAAAAAAATTCTGGAAAGACGCATACACTCACGGAATCCTCTCCATCGGTCTCGGTCTCGCCCGCGCATCGCACACCGGGAGCGGTAGTGATGGGCCTGAGGGTATCTTCGCGAGCCTTGCCCTTGCCGAGGATACGCGCCCGCAGGACGCCTGTAAACCCGGTGCTCGCGCTGGCCGATGTGGTATAGAGTATGTCGTCCTCCGACGCGGCAGTATCGTCGGCCGAGTCGTCGCAGTCGGACTGCACGAGGGCACGGCGGGCGCGCTGAGACGGAAGGGGATACTGGGGCTGGCGCAAGTGGGGAGACGAGGCCGCACGTCTGTTGCTTGCTGGGCTAAAGGAGGGCTCGGGCGGGGTGAGGGAGTACGGCGGAGGGCTGCTGCTGGGTGCGCTCATGGCGGAGTGACGGCGGGGTCGGGCTCGTACGCGACAGCGCGTCAGAGGATGAGGCGGAGAAGGCTGGCAGCCAGGATACGGGGGTAGCGGAGGTGGAGGCGGTGGCGGAGCAGAAATCGGAGTGAGAGCGAGGGCGCTGGTGGAGCGTCGAGGAGGAGAGGGCGCGTGCGGAGGGTCGCCTGGCGCCGGGGACAGAGGGAGGAGAAATAAGGCTGGCAGGGAAGGCTGCTGGCGGTGAAGAGACTGTGGAGCGAACATGGTCAGTGGGTAGAATTTCAGGGAGAGACACGAAAGAGAGTGCGTACTTGAGGAAAGCAGGGAGCGAGCAAAGGAAAAGACGGAACGCAGCAGACGCGCGTCGACACCGATGGGAGCATCACGTGGGCTTATCCGCCTCCTAACAATTTCTGGACGCGTCCTCGTCCTCCACCGCCAGCCAACGCGCCCCAGATTTAGCGTGCATATTCCTCGCCAAGGACGCCTCCTCACCCAGCAGATCGGATGCGCACTCCACTGCTATCTCGTACCAATCGACTCTGCGCGAATTCCGCGCTCTTCCTACTTGCGCTGTCCACCTTGTCCAAGTACTGGTCGATCCCTCCTCGGCCGACCAGAGCCCAACATCATCTCGTTCCCCTACTCGCCCTGGTACTCGTTCGGGTGTTCTGCTCTTGGTGGATGGCGCGCTCTGACAATGCACCCTCCCACGTACCTGCTTCCCGATAATCATTCCATCCCCCGTCATCACTCATTCGCCACCATACCTCTCTTTCTGATCTCTCTACTCCCGCTATCTCTCCCCGCCTTCGCTGGTCCCATCGCATGTCAATCGTGCCGTATCGCATTGACCGGGATTGTGTGATCCATGTCCACATCGGAGCGCACGCAGCGCGCGGTCTATTGATCCCTTGTCGTGAGGCGCGCAGATGACGACGAGGGCTGTAGCTTAAGGCACGCACCAGTGAGTCAATCCGACGTTTGTTCGGCAGTGCACCGTCCTCGATGGATGTATGCTCCACCGCTCTGTCCTCCCGGACCGTGTTCGTGTTCGGTCCGACTCCGAGCTGTGGTGCTCGTGCGACACTCCACACTGTATGCTCAGGCCGGAAGCCCGCGTTGGATGTTGCGGACACCAGTACTGACATTTAGGAGACGACTGCTGCGATCGCCCTCGAACATCCACCTTTCGCCCTCGAGCGACCAATTTTCGCCGCATTCCCGGGCAGGGGAACCCTGGAGGCTAGACGACCCCGCGTTGAACGCGTCGGAGTCTTGCCCCTCTCCACGACGCCTCCCCGCATGTCCGTTGCGGCTTCTCCCGGCGCCGTGAGAGGTGGGTGTGTTCCCGTCTGGGCACGAAGTAGACGCGAAAAACCCAGATGCAGCCGTGTAATCGAGGTCGGGAAGAGAAGGGAGCAGCTGAGTGTGGAGAATATCATGATCACAAATATTAAAACATGTCTTGTCCTTCCACTTGCCGCTTTGTGCTTCGAAGTCCGGGAACTTAGAGAGGGACAACAAAGTCCGGGGGAAAGTTAAACGACCACTCGAAAGATGGTAGTCCTCGTTATATACGAGCAACTCGTGCCGACGCAAACTCAGCTCGGCACATTCCTCGACCTCTGATAGGTGCGACACCGAAACGATGGGACGTCTGCTAAGTGGGATGAAGTCGATGACGTAGGGAGTGTAAGTGGTTCACCGTAAGGGGAAAGGGAGTTGCCAGATAAGGTAAGTGTGCCAAGGGACCTCGTCAGCGCTTTGGAAACAACCCGATCACATAAGTCCAACCTCCCTGAGAAGAAAAAATAAGCAAAACATTTCCAGATATGCAGTTGTATGAGGCAGTTGTTTTAAATAAAGTATTCAGTTACACAGCGAGAATCTTTCATGTGTACTTGACTACTGAACCTGGTGCATCAAAACCGAGTCAGCATCGACTGTCTCTATTGCGCCTGCGTTTAAGGGTGTCACTGCTGCCAATAACCCCGCCACACCTCCGTAGACTCTCGATGACCCCCCGGTGCTGCACCATGCGCAACAACGGAAGACATCGGGACCCACGGAGGATGGCGTAGATGGTCAGTGTCATCTTGGAATTGAATGCAAGCCACTCTCATATTGAGGATAAACCCTTCCCCTAATCTCCCAGCATCCAGAGTTCATCTTAGGCCGTACAGAAGAGTCCGCAACCTGAAGCACCACTCAGGTACCTATTCTTGAACACTGGTTTGGTGGCACGCTGATGAGTGAGCGGTCCAGCACACGACCAGAAGTACCACCACCCGCCCGTTCTTGAATGCCATAGTTTGGTGGCACACTGATGTGTGGGTGGTGCAGCGACATCCCACCCCAAGAACGTCCACGGATGCGCACGCGGGATGAAACCCTGAGGAGGACAGCGAGGGCACAGCGACAGTCGCTCTCCAAGTCAGATGACGGTGCACTTGCATAGGTGTGGATAAGCAGTGAGGACCAATAGCCCCGTCGCGCGCGTCGAAGCTAGCAAACCTAGTATCCATGGTGTGGCGGTAATAGCACACCCCAGAACATATGCGATCTTTATCGTAGTTCCCGGGCTGCACCTGGGAGCGAAGGTCAGCCCGAGCAATTGACGCGCAGGAAGGGAGAGGAGTGTGACCCGCTCACCTGCCTTAGGCTGGGCCGCGCCAGTGATGCAGTCGGTCGATCCATAACAGAACATGATACTGTTCTACCATGCAATGTGACGTAAGTGATGATGCCCACGAAGAAGCGACAATGAGCCATACCCCCAGTATTCGTTGGGAATCGAGCGCGTCCACCGCGTCAGGCCCACCATCCGCCAGCGGGACATCCACCATCTTGCAGTTGTTAGAGATGAAGTAGTAGAGCATTTCGACGAGGCAACGGGAGCTCGCAGGGAAGCTATTCGCACGAAGAAAGGTTTGCAGCATTGCGGAGAGACCGTGGACCGTCGTTCACCCCTTATATACAACGACGACGGGCGTGTGTGCATTCTTTCCGGGCTGCATTGTGTGGTGCTAGACCACAAGGTTACGAGACATTGCCGCACACCACAAAGGAGAGCACTGCGGAGGTTCCGCCCGGGAGCGGCGCAAGTACTGTCCACGGACAAAGGAGAACTTACCATAACAAGTCTCGGTTGTCTGAGGGAGGGGCACAATACAGGCGATTTTGATGTCCGTGCTTAGCGTCCTTTGTGTCCCGTAAAAGGCGCATGCACCGCTGAGAGAAGACAAGGAGGCGAATTCGAGGACTTGCAGACCGGAGCTTCGTTTGCGCACGGCAACAGGAATTGATGGTGAGGGCAGGGAAACTTTCTTGTGAAAGCTACTGGAAGCCGCCGACAATTTTACAGACACCGATATTAAATAAAAATTATTCCATCATGGATAATAATCTGGAGAACAAACATACGAAATAACTGACGCCATGACAGATTGAATTGCGCCTGCGAAAGCCGAGAGCCTACGCAGCATCATGATTCTATGAGAATTAGAGAGATGAATCGATGGGAGGATCATATAGCTCACCAGTCGAAGCGCAGAACAGGTGTAGGCGAATCAGACAGGGTTCATCAACAGCCTGGATCAGCGACAAAGCTACAAAGACTAGGTCAATATGATGATGGCCAGACATTCAATCAATATGCATCACAATACCTGAATTTGTCCACCAAGTGCTTCATCATCTTCCTGATCCTGTGGTACAAAATTGCGTCGAAGCCCTTAAGCCGTAACCGCTTCAACCGAGCCCCTACCCTCGCACGCGAGCGCAGACACGCTAGCAGAGCCCCAGCAGAGTGCTGCCCGAACGAAGCTGAAGTATTCACAAGGTCCAAATCCAGCACCTGTAGATGCGGGCAGACGACACGCGGTGGCCGAGGGGGCATTCGTATGTCCAGGGCATGGAACAGCGCACACACATTGCCCGCGTAGCCAACGCCCAAATGCTTCAAGTGCGGAAAGCAGGCCAATGCGTCTACCCAGTCCCTCTCGCGCATGAAGCCCAGGAAGCCAAAGACGCGCAGGGTGCTCACAGGAGCTCCGATGGACGCAAACAGCTCCGTGAATTCGCGGGTGGCTATAGGGAGCAGACTTAATCGATTCAACTCCTCCGGCATCCAATCCGGGAAGATGAAGTTGCATCGCATCTCGAGGCGTACGGACGATTCAGAGCAATCAGGGCTGTCATACGCTACGAACTCGCAAGGTCCCTGACCATCCACATGGAGCGCGATAGCACGGACCTCCGACAAGTTGGTTAGATGGGATGTGTCTTGTGGGATCACGGAGAGGATCGTCCTGGGGAGAGATAGATCCAATCCGGGATCCTCTCCACCCCATGGGTAACGGGCCATCAATAACAGCGGTGATGGTAGCCTGGGGAGGTATAATAAGATGGCTGAGCAGCGCGGAAAGCGTGTCAGCGTTATCTTCGAGAGATAGCCTCTGGAGCCTCGGGAGAGACACAAAGCGAGCGGGATTCGATGTATCTGGTACCTTTGGTCCGCACCAGATTAGTTTCAAGTCCTCCAAAGAAAGACAAGCCTCCAGTGCGTTAAGGACTGTATCCATTGAAGCTGAGTCGTACAGTCGTCCTTGCGGGTCAAAACTGTCATCGCGGAGTTGAATAGCCAAGAAAACTAGATTTTGAAGCAACGCGGACGTCCACAAAATGTAGACTCCTGAAAGAGATAGAGATCGGAGGCGAGGAAACTGGTCACTTGCGGGCTCGAAGGGAACGGGCGCGGATTGAGTAGAGACGAAGACAAAACTGAGGGCCTCTAACTCCGGCATGGGAAAATCCAACGCAGCAAGCACCATCTCCACCGGGGAGCTTGACGGAGCGGAATACCAGGCAAAGAAGTCTGAGAGGTGCAATGAATAGATGTGGCTCGCATGTGGAGATATCATGTCCATAAGTCGGCACACACTGTTGTCGTCCACGAAATGTCTGCCCCCAATTCCTTTGTAGGATAGTTTCACAGGCGCATCGCAAGAACGCTGTAGCTGTAGACGCAGTAAATCAAGATTGCTCGGGATCTCGATATTAGTCCACAACTTCGGCGCCATGATGGAGACTTCGCGCCAGTAGTGACAGACCATGGTGAGATTCAAAAGCATGTGGTGCGACTGCATGGAGTCATCGCAGTTGACATAGGAGAAAATCTCCACCAGCAGCTCATTCGGAAGATGGTTGACAGCGGCAAACGAGTTGTGCAATGCGTTCAGATTTTGCGTGGTTTCATCTTTCTCGCCGGCGAAGTATCCACAAGTCTGCTCCGAAGACAAGTTGTCTGAAGCGACTTCACCAGACTGTGGGAGTTTGAAGGCCGATACTTGCTCAACCATGCCCTACTTGCTGAATACAGAATGCAATCCAGCCATGTCATTTACAGGGTATGAGAGATGGTGCATGCATCCGTACCTGTGTTATTTACAATGCGTCTCAGTGAACGTGAACGTGGCAAGAGACAATCCAGAGGTGGTTAAGAAAGGTGTGCGCCTGCCGATATCCCGTCGTTAACTGGATGGTATACCTTCGGGTGAACAGCGAATGCACTCACAAAGTGGAAACAGATTATGAGTAGTTGAAAAGGTAAGAAGTGCGTCACAGCCAACCTTGTCGTAAGCCCCGTCTTAGGAATCTGGAATTTGGAGTAGTTCTAGACCTGCACCCAGAGCCTCGGAGAAGTCGGATGGCTTCCATAGTTATTCCTACATTGCTGGGGAGAGTGAACCTCTCAACGATGAGTTCAGGATGGTTCCGGCCATGCAGCCACTGGATCCAGCTTACACTGCGATGAGATTAGCTGACTACGCGGGAGCGCCACGGTAACACGACCACGTGACGTGCCCGCGTCTCCTCCTGAGAGTGGGACTTCGGAATGCTTACGGGTACTTCAAGGAGAACAGGTGAATAGCAAGCTTCAGCGGAGCTGCAGAAGGACTTTACTGTTGCATTACTTTACTTTACTTTACCATACATACTTTAGTTGTAGCTGACGAGGTGCCTTTCTGTACCTGAGCCACATAGTTGGCGTAGTCAGCTAATTTCATACGTTTCCACGTTTCAATGTGCGGCGCTGCGAGTACACATTAGTTGTTCATCCATTATGGAGTATGTGCAGTACATCGTTCGTCTCAACTAATCTTCACAGCAGCGCTTTGTCGCGTTCTCATTACGAGTGGATCCCCATACAGCCCATTTAATAGGCGGAGGACGACGCTCGAGCCTATCTGTCACCTCTGCGCTCGTCAACAACAGCTTCGACCCACTTCAGAACAACTGTTTCTAACATATGCTCCCATCCTTTCTCTTGGCGCGCCACTATAGCAGCGTCGAAGACGAGCACGTCCTCAGGGTTAGTGCCTGGAAAATGCACTACAGAGTGGGAAGGTGAAGCGTGCGGTGTCGACGCGACAGTGGGGGTAAGGCCTTCCTTCGCCAGCTTCGCCTTACTAGTGGAGGAAATAATCGGCACAAGGTAACGTAGTTTCAGAGCCCTAGTGAGGAGATAAGTTGGGATGAGCGAGGTGCCTCAGAATATCGAGCCCGTTTTACATACGCAGTCCAGAGTTGCAAGTTATCCGTTCGTCGGAAAGTCCAACCACGCTTACCATTATCACTCTGTTGTGCCTCGCCATTGGACTGCGCCTCCAGCGCAGCAATGTCGTGAATCGCGTCCTTGCTCACGAAACCCCACGGCTTACGCGAACGGCGCACGCCAACGTTGTACGCCACGCAAAGCAGCTGGCCGGAGGAAAGGGCTTGCAACAGAGCAGCCTGGTCTGCAGAAGAGGACGGCAACAGAGGCTGCAGGGCCGACGGTAGGTACGCCAGCAAGAGGGCGTGCAGGCGACCTGGACGTGAAATTAGCGCACACTCAGCAAGCAATATCAGTCAAGAAGCACCTAGTGGATCGCCCGTGAAGCTTGACCGTTTTGCCCACTCTGGCAGGTCTTCGTCGTCTACGCTGTCCTCCTCCGTGAGAGATTCCATAGCTTCTGGCTCTTCAGTAACGACCATGTTTCGCATTGCATCCAACATGCCCGTCGATACGACCCTCCGGCTCGATCTGTGCGACTCCGTCTGCCCCTCTGGTCGTGTGATTCCCTCGCTGACTCTGCGCTTTGAGCGGTGGTCCTTTTCCTTCTTCGAGACGCGCTCCCGCTCTCGCTCCCAGCCCCTCTTGCCGTCCGACCCGCCGCCGAAAAGCACCTCGTCAACAGCGACTACGTATTTTCCGATTACCATGCGTTGGCGATCGAGCTGGTCCAAACGCACGTCCTGGCGGTACAGCCATCCTCCACCAAGAACAAGCCGCTCATCCCAGTGGTCGCGCTTATCGCGTTCCTCCTCGCTAAGGTTATTCACGTCGTACATTGACGCCTCATCCTCCCAGATGGGTATCGAGCGCTTACGTCCGCCGACATCGACGAGCGAGATCGACACAGTGGGTTCTCCATCCAGGAAATCGTGGTCATCGAGGGGGGTAATCGGGGATGTCCCTCTAGAGGTGGCGGTTGCGTCCGGAGTAGAATCGTTCTCGCTTTCTGAACGTGCATCGTACGCATCGTCCTCGAGTGGAAGGCGGGCATACTCTTCCAGATCGCGTAGCACGGTCAGTACTTCAAGGGCACCGCGACGGATGCCGGTGAGAGGTTCCGAGGCAGAGTCGGGTTGAGAGACGAGTCGCTTGGGTAGAGGGGAGCTGGCTAGGTTCTGGGGACGGAAGTGCTGCTGCTGCCTCGGCGTGGCAGATTCGTCTGGAAGGGAAACTAGATAGTTCCGCACGGTGCGCACGGCGCGCGTAGTAATCTTGAGCAGCTCAAGCACGTCGACGTGACCGCTGATCTTCCCGCCCACACTAAGCAAATTCGGATCTGGTGCCTGCGTGCGTTGCTGGCCATCCAGATTCCATCCCGCTGCGACCGCAGAGAGATCGTCGATGACTCCCGGGCGCAAGTTTGCCGGGTCCGTCTCGTACGTTTTGACGAAGGGCGGGAATGCCGGTGGCACAAACTCCGGCACGACAGGTGGGGGCGGCAGGTCGAACTCTCTGAGCCTCGGGAGAAACGGCCTGTTGGATGGGCCTCCTATGGCGGGCACCGCACCACTGGGTTTGTTTAAAGGGCTGGCGGGCGCACTCAGCATGAGCGGTTAGTTAGGTTCTACTATGTCACTCACTTGCTTTCAGCTGCGATTCCGGACTTCGTGAAGTAGTGTTGAAGGTGCTCTATGCTCCCCAATGCCATCACACTCTCCCGTTTTGCGGCACTGCGACTGAAAGGCTTCTGGAGCTTGTTGGACGAGTTCATATTAGGGTAAAACGCTACTGAGCGTCGCACTGATTTCGAATTCCTTGATCCAGCAACTGAGTCCGAGCCGGGAACATCCAGCGTGGGTGTGGTTGGTATCGATTGCGAGGTATCCATGCTGTGAGGTATATTAACGTAGCAGATAGAACTAGGAAAACGACCTGAAGTTCGTAGAGAGTTTACAGCCTGTAAAAACCATTGCAGCCGAAGAAAGTGTTGGTGGGTCAAGGTCAACGTCCCGTGGTATCGGTAAGCGGCGGTCGACCAAGTCTGTCATAAATTCTGACAACAGCAACGTTCAACATGTTCAGAACTCTATTTAACAAACAGTAATAGACGAGTCCATGTGTCCGTGAAATTTACAAGTTACAAAGTCAAGCGAATGAGCGTAGATCGGAAGTTTAGATCTCGAATTCAGCAGGCCTCTGGTCATCAACTTCAGGGTCACACACTCCTGCTTCTCAAAACATGAGCAACGAAGCTGCTGCTAGAGGAGAACGAGGAGTTATCTCACCGACGTCCTCCGTGACTGGAAGAGGCCTTCCACGAGTAGTTTCGGTAAGCGCGTAAGAAGGACTGGAGGAGAAAGGTAAGCGAAGCAGGGAGGTGAATGAAGAATTAACTCACCGATGTCCCCCATGACTGGAGGAGGCGTACCACCAATAGTCTAGATATGCGCGCCCGAACGACTGGAAGAGAAAGGTGAGTGAGGCAGGGAGGACATTGTACGACTATCTCACCGATGTCCTCCATGACTAGAGGAGGCCTACCACGTGTAGTTTGGTATGCGCGCCGGAAGAAGCGAAAGAGAAAGACGAGCGCTGCAGGTGACTGAGTGGTCTTCATTGAACATTGGAGAGGGTAGAAAAATCGCAGTGTAATTCGCGCAGGGTAGGGAAGGAGTGTGGTGAATCGCGGATGAAAGAGCGATCGCATAAGGAAGGAGTAGAGCAGCAGATGAGCTGAACGAAACAGGTGCGGTGACGTCCGCAGGACGAGGTGTGTACAGAGCGGGACGATAGGAAGAAGGTAGGTAGAACAGAGCTTGGCTACCGGAGGAAGCTGTGATATGACGAAGGGGTAGAGGTGCGAGTAGAGATACGGTGATGTCCACAGGACAAGGCGTGTACAGAGCTGGAAGATGGGAAAAAGACAGGCAGAACAAAGCTTGGCTGCCGGAGGAAGTAAGGATATGACGAAGGGGTAGAGGTGCAAGCAGAGGCGCGGCGACGCCCACAGGACAAGGCGCGCATAGAGCTGGAGGACAGGAAAAAGACAGGCAGAACAAAGCTTGGCTACCGGAGGAAACAGCAATGTGACGAAGGGGTAGATGTGCGGTGATGCCCACAGGACAAGGCGTGCATAGAGCTGGAGGACAGGAAAAAGACAGGCAGAACAAAGCTTGGCTACCGGAGGAAGCAGCAATGTGACGAAGGGGTAGATGTGCGGTGATGCCCACAGGACAAGGCGTGCATAGAGCTGGAGGACAGGAAAAAGACAGGCAGAACAAAGCCTGGCTACCAGAGGAAGCAACAATGTGACGAACGGGTAGAGGTGCGGTGACGCCCACATGACAAGACGTGCATAGAGCTGGAGGATAGGAACAAGACAGGCTGAACAAAGCTTGGCTATCAAAGGAAGCAGCAATGTGACGAAGGGGTAGAGGTGCGGTGATGCCCACAGGACAAGGCGTACATAGAGCTGGAGGATAGGAAAAAGACAAGCAGAACAAAGCTTGCCTAGCAGAGGAAGCAGTAGAATGACGAAAGGGTGCAAGCAGATGTAGTAAGAGAAGCGAGCAATCTGTCTGTGACAGAATTGAACAACGGCCTGAGAGAGTTGTCGGGAAAATGCAACTTACTGGGACACCTTGAAAACGAAGGACATGGACATCGCTGGACGACCGCCGGCAGTCAAATACGGTCAAAGGAGTGTAAGGTTAAAAGAGAGGAAGGTTTAAGGAGAGGAAGTGCCGAGTAGCAAGAGACCGTCCGCTGGGAACGAAGACAAGATATATCGTCCACCGCCGTGCAGTACGCAATGGAGAGTAGCACACATTTGTGTTCAGACTGACCATTTGGCAACAGCCTGGTAATTTTGATCTCAACTGGAATCGATCGGTCGGTCGAAACGTGAGGCTTCCCCCACGGCAGCTTAGACTGGCGATACAACTTCAGTTGACTGACGCTCCCTAGGGTCATTGAGGAACACTTACAGCCTGTGAAGTCCCCACGTGTGACCTGAATAATCAATTCAATGAGTCGAGTTTTAAGGTACTTGCAGCTGCACTAACACCGCTAATATCTCTGTTGGTAAAATGATAGAAAGGAGTGATGGGCGTTATATTGAATGGGACTAAGGTAGGTAAGTGCGACGGACGAAAGCTCCACTAATCGACTCAGCATCGATATATACGAATCCATTTGCAGGAACGTCCACAACATTAGTGTTACGCATCACATCATGTTTCTTGCCATCTGGTTCAGCTGGCCAGCCATCGCCGGATAGTTCTTCATGAACTCGACTTGAGCGGCCGTGGCCTACGCGAAGGTATCAGCACCGATATTCAAGCGGACCCACGACTCCGCTCACAAATTGATATGTGAGTGCATTCATAAGCTCCGGTTCGCTTCGAGCGAGATCCGCCTGACGCTCGAACATATCCATCGCAACATCAATCTTACCCTGTTGCAAGCTAAGCTGGGCAAGGGTCGCCACTGCCGCCTCGCATTCTGGGTCGATCCGCAGCGCCTCCTGGCAACAACGCTCGGCAGCACCGATGTCTTGCTTCCATTGGTACAGCGCGAGCCCCTTGTTAACTTGGGGCAACGCATTGATCGGTGGTGGCCTGTGACACAGCCGTAAGTAAAGACAACAGAAAACAAGTGAGTTCATCCTCACTTCGAGTTCTCGAGTTCGATGGCACGATCGAACTTCTCCACGGCATCTTGGAACCGCTGCTGATCCAAGAGAAGCTCGCCGCTAATCAAATAGCATGCCTATTAATTTTTTGCCTTCCAATCTTCTGGAGCGAACTCACTAATAGTTCTGTGGCTCGCTACGCCCCGGGAACGCCTTGAGCGTCCTTCGGAATGTCGCCATGCTGTTCACTAAATTACCAGCTTTGTACTGTGCGACCGCGAGTTGGATGTGGCTAAACACGAATTGGTCATCCAGCTCAGTGGACTTCGTGTAATTTTGTGCCGCTTCTGTGAATTCGTTCATGATGAACAGGACTGAGCACATGATGGTTGGGCATGTCAGTATTAGTCAGACATAAATTGTACTGGCGATTTGCCTTGACCACGATGGTAGTAGATATCAGGGTCATCGGCGTTATGCTTGATGGCTTCCTCGAAGCATTCAAACGCCTTCTTGGGATCGCCCTGCTCCATGTATACGCTGGCAATCTTCACCCAAGTCTGAGTTAGTGAGGGCTGCAGATCAATTGACGCAAGAAAATCCTCCTTGGCACCGACGACATCGGTCATCAAGAACCTAGGAAAGAAGACGACTGATATCAGGTCAAGCATCACAAATGAAGCATAGAGATACGCACTTGTACGTGCCACGAAGGTTTAGCGCCTCTGCTTTGCCCTCGTTCCAAGAGATTCCCTGCTCAATAGCCTCGTTCACGAGTGACAGTGAGTGAATGTAGTCGCCCGCCGTCAATGCCTGAAGAGACAAGATCAAAGTGTTATCTCCGGTCGACAAATTTTCCGGGAGGACGGGCAGCGATCCTGCCAGAGGCATTAATAGCTGTAGAAAGGAATAAAAAATACAAGACCCGCACTTGACCGGAACGCTCCGAAATACGCCGAAACAAACGTATGGGACGGAAGACGTTGGACACGAGTCTTGAATAGGATAAGTATCAATGGCCCTTGTCTGGGACGAGACGTACGGATAGTATATCTGTCGCCTTTTTGGATGACAGTTTCTTTAATACCCGTTCAACTGACTGCGCTGCAGACTCGTTCTGGAACTTGTCGAGGATTGTGGCGGCAGTGTAGTCTGACCTGTTAATCAGCCGCACGCATTACACAACATGGAATGGAGCGTGTACCGCGCAATGCTCCTTCAAATTGTTCCAGCGCTTCGAGCGCCGTAGCCCGACGGTTCAGCGCCTTCACGTAATTCGAGTCGAGCTTTAGTGCCTCATCGCAGTCTTCTATCACCTTCTCGTGTTGAGGAGGACTGATGTTGACATAGCCTGAAACGCGTCAGCTGCGAATAACACGGTTAACCTATCGCTCACAAGCCGCACGGTTGCTGAAGAAGACAGGTTCCGGTTTTGGTGTGACTTCTATCGCACGAGTGTAGAGGTCAATGGCGGTACTGAACTTGCGCTGCTGGTATGCTTGGTTGCCCTTCGCCTTCAATGACGCGGCAGCTTTTGACCGTTCCTACGCCCGCACTTTAGAACCGAATAACGTGCATAATTCAACACATACCTCGGTTGACATCTGGGCAATCTGCTCCGCTGTAAGCTTGAGCTCCTCTGAAGTAGTTACCCATTTACTATCGCATGACTGAACGATGACTGCACCCGACGCACCCGTCTCTTCCTCAGCAACCTTGGGCGAACGCTCCTCAAGAATGGGGCCATCCTGATCCTTCACCGTTTTGCGCTTTTTTGAAGACTTCTTCTTGTCCTTCTTGCGCTCTCCCTTCTCAGCATCTCCTTGGGAGCTCCGTGACGTCGAGGCAAGGTACGCGACACCACCGATGGCAACAACAATTGCTGCTGTGCCAATTATGAGAGTACGCTTGTTCTCGGAGACGAAATGCTGGACACGGTCAACAACGCCTTGCGACGTGGAGGAAGACATGACGGTGCGGATCGGCCTGGCGTGCGCTCGGCGCGAACAGGACTTGGGAAAATTTGGTCATTCACACCGTGGGAATCAATATTCCGAAAGAGGGACGTTACCGAGGGTCCTTTCTCTCTGCCACGAGTGTCAGCTATGGATGCATTCAATCTGTCGCCCGAGAGCACTGCTTTTTCTGCATCTGGTGAAGATGCTATCACGCGAAAGATCGACGTCGCCGTGGACCGTACTCGGGATGATCTACCCGTCGAAGATTTCAAAGGTTACTATGACATCCAGCGCACAGTGGAACAAATCAACCAAGGAAACTACAAACGGGTGAATTTTTTCCATTGCGTATACTGAGGCGGAATGTTCAATTGTTGTTATTCGCCGCAGATAGCTCTCCAATTCCCTGACGAGCTGCTGCACGACTCTGTCCCCATATATCGGCTTCTAAAATCGCGGATTGGAGACGGAAAAGAACTCTACGTGTTAGCAGATACGTCTTATGGCAGGCAGGCTATCATTCTGTATCTCAGAACTACTGCCCTAACGTTTTGTGCATCAAAATTTATTATCAATGAAGTTGCTGTGTAGACGAAGTTGCTGCACAACATGTCGATGCTGATGCAGTAGTACATTATGGTCATGCTTGCATGAGCCAGTACGTTAACTATGCGTGTCAGCAAAATGTTGAAGCTGATTGCTGTTTTTATTCACGGTGGACGCGCTAAGAACGTCTCGTCTGCCTGTCATATATGTTTTTGGGAAGAAGGAAGTTGACCCGTCGGACTGCGCTGCTAAACTATTGGAATCCGTAAAAGCTTCTTCGTCAAATCCTCTTGAAGGACGCATCTTTAGGCTCAAGTGCGACGTCACATATGCACACAGAGCGGGTCAGTGTACGACCGACAACGATTAGTTCTTATGGCTGACGTCATATTTGTGAAGATTCTATCGTCGATGAGCTCAGAAGGACACTGCCATCATCAACACGACTGTTGCACAGTCCTGTACCGCTCTGTTCTGTTCCTGCGGTCACGGGTGGCGATGCGAATGAGCCAGAGAGTCACCGACATGAAGCAGACGATCAAGTCCAACATTATGACTCGCCTGTGGAAGAATCCATTATCCTGTATATCGGTGGAGAGAGCTTGACGTTAACCAACGTGCTTATGACACATGCAGAGGTACCCTATTTTGAGCTGAACTTTTTGAAATACTGCAACACTTGTCATCACAGGTACACTCGTATGACCCAAGGACTAGAATTGCACGCCTAGAATCTTCACGAACAAATAAACTTCTGATGAGGAGATACGCCCTCGTTCAAAAAGCCAGAGACGCCGACGTCTTCGGCATTCTCGTCGGAACTCTGGGTGTTGGTGAAAGATCATTTCATTCTTCGCCAGAAAACTATTGCTCACCGCCGTTGAACGGTTGGCAGCGTCGTATCTACCTGTCATTTCATACTTGCGCACTATCCTCTCGCGTGCACAGAAGAAGAGCTACACCATCAGTGTTGGCAAGCTGAATCCTGCAAAGCTAGCCAATTTCTTAGAGATCGAATGTTTCGTTCTTGTTGCATGCCCGGAAAACAGCGTGATAGATGCAAAGGTAAGGTGGAACTAGTTCTACTTGGCCTAGCAGCTTATGGGACATCCCGACCTTATGCAGGAATTTCTGCGGCCAATAATTACTCCATTTGAATTGGAAGTTGCTCTTCAGACCAGGACGAATTGGACGGGGAGATATGTGCTCGACTTCGATAGACTGCTAGCAGTGCAACAAAGCTATCCTGAAGGTAATAATTTCTCCTTACTTGTAGGTGTTGTTGACCAAGGATATCCTAGCGTCAGAACAATCTGCGGAGACAGAGGAAGAAGATCCCGACCAACCGATCTTCTCGCCAGTGACAGGAACATATCGTCATGCGAAGCGGTATGGAGGTAGGATATTGTTCACTTTCGTAGTGCCGAACCCGGTTAAGAACATCGTCTTTCTGTAGCAGCTGGAAGAACAACCGATGTCGAAGATGGCGCAGGAGTCGACTCTGCAGTCGTGTTGCGCAACCAGGGGAATACAGTAGCGACACTCACGGATAGCGCAGCGGGTAAGAAAATGTTGCTGAGATGATGCTAAGATATTGTTACTCATTCTTGATGTCAGCCCAGTATTTGCAGAACAGGACATTCAGAGGGTTGGAAGTGAATAATGGACAGGATGCGCCGAGCGTATTAGAGCAGGGACGCAGTGGTATCGCAAAGGGGTATCAAGACGATCACAAATAGCACTACTTTAGCGAGAAGAGCGGCATGATATAAGACTTTGTGAGCGGCACGGAGGCACATAGCGAAGTCAGTACTTAGGGTTTTCTGACCGATAGAAACCGTTTACAGCTGTGGCCTGAGCGAAGAGTCGCATACCAAGGGAAGCTAGCGTGAAGAATACTCGGATCAAAATCTGTGTGCATCAGCCATGAAGTATCCCCACAAATTTTTGTAGGCAGGGCAGGACCCAGTGACAAACCATTGCAGCCATCTCCATGACTTCGGGACTCTGGGAGTATCAAAGTATCTCTGCATCCCCACCGCCTCCAGCCAGTGAGGGAAAAATCCGGCATCCGCCCAGTCGATGATCCATAACACGCCCTCTTTCGACAGGATCATATTTGATGGGCCCAAATCGGCGTGCACGAATGAAAGAGACCAATCGCCGCCGACTATCGGAGGGGGTGGAATAGGTCTTTGCTCCGACCTAAGGTGTCGCACGTAACGGGCCCACCCAATATGGGCAATCATCTCGCACCGCAGCCGAAAGCTTCTGGAGGAGGGAAAGGGTCCGTATTCTGTTTCATCAAATAGAGCACCACTGAATGACCCGCCGTCTACCGGACCAGGAACGTCCCGAGTCAATTGGTGGAGCTGGGAGATATATGACCGGAGAGTGCATGCAACACGGAACTGCATGAAGAAAGACAGAGAATCCCAGCAGTCAACCAGCATCTGGCCATCCACGAGATCCATCGCAAGCCAGTCCGAGAGATTGAGGCAACGCGGCTGCGGGACCGGAATTTTTGTGTGTCTGCGCACGTAGAGCATGTTCTCCAGCTCCGTGCGCGTAAATCGTTTAACTACTAGTGAAGGCGTGATTTTGTGAACAGTGCTGGCATTCCAAAAGGTCGAGTAGGTTTTCAGCTTATCGTCCCAGGCAACGGCTTCGGGGGTTTCCAAGAGAGCGTCTACTTTGGCGTCGTCTAACTCAACTGGGTCAGGTGTCTGTAAAAGCCATGCATAAAAATCAGATCAAAATTATGTTTTCAATATATGGTCAAGATGTTACCTCTTTGTTTCCTGGTACCGGGAGCGAAAATGTTGTTGCTACGTGGCCTAGAAACCAATTTACCAAGGTATGAATAATGACTGCAGTTGACCGTCTCTCCTCGATGGGGTGCGAATGGTTTACTGTACAAGGGGAAACATGTTCCAGCAGAAAATGTGCCATAGTTGCGGAATTACACACCGATGAGTTCTTTGAGATTGTCAATACCTTGATTAGTGACACTGCTCACAGCTACGAAACGCATGTCGTATTGCCAAGGACATTCTGCAGCATATTGGCGAACCTCCAGGTCCATATCAGAATAGTTTTGTGGAATGAGATCCAGCTTGGTGCCAACGAGCCATATCTGCAAGGTGTGAGCTGTTTCCAAGACCTTGCGACCCAAGACCACTGCCTGCGACAGACCAGCGTACCCTTCCATGAGGTCGAATGTAGATAACACAAAGTGTGAACCTTCGCATGAACTGGCAAACTCGACATCATCGCCACAATCCGCCATACTGAACCGAAAAACACGTCGATCGCCAGCTCGCCTATAAACGTTCTTGTTCTATGTCCAGAAAATAATGTAACTTTTGGGCGTAAGACATTTATGACAGAACTTAGGCTGCTCACCATGCGAGCGATGAGAGTACTTTTGCCGCTTTGCGGACCACCTGGTTTGCAATTTGAGCACGCGCTCTGTACAGGACGATAAAATTGATCATTAACCTAGCACAACAACATGGACAGGTATGGTCATGTTCCAATGCGGAAATAGCAAGGTCTATGAGACTGAGAAGAAAGTGACTTGAGGTTGGGTCGACGATTCTCGACATAAGCGGACAATCAGCGCCCGACTTGACTTGTCATGAATAAATAAATCGGCTAACAATATTACTGCATTTACTGAATTAAATAACAGGATGGTTTCTCAACAGTTCACTCCGACCATAGAGAATATAACACAGCCTGCGTTGTCAGCCTCACTCGATAGGTACACTGCGGCAGTTGAGTACACCTCCTGCGACGGAGGTATGTACATTGGCGTTGAGTGGTGGTCGGCCCGCGAGCATCCTCCGAAGCTGAAGCTTGGCCCAACACCGAGCATTTAGTGACTCAGAGGGTCCAACCTTGATAAGCCCTCAAGCTTCGTGCTTCTGATAGCACGTTGATGAACTTGGAAGCACATGGATTTCGACTCGTGTAGAATCCCTATGGCCGCCGTGATGAGATCAGCCGCTGTGTGGGTCCAAGTTTGGACACCTGCGAAACTTGTCACCAATTGGGTCGGAGCATCGAGTCAACGCGAGCGTCAGCGCTTCGGTTGTGAGACTTCATTCTGTAAAAGTTATATCGGATGGTACTGTGGGTCCTCATGATGGCTTCTACAGGCGGCAAGAACGCTCAAATCCAGGGTCCTCTTACATATGTGTTATCAGATGCCTTACCTTTTCTCATCCCCGCCAATTGGGGCAAATATGACTCAATTGGCTCTTCCGAGTCCCCCAATTCTTCGGAGGCCAGTGAGTATAATAAGGAGCCATTTTCCCGTTGGTGCTTTACTCGCATTTGCAACCACTCACCCGAGTGATTACCGAGATCATACAGTCCACCGTACTTTTTACCTTGATCACTCACCCAGCAATACAAACTATGTCCCTTCAGGATACGGTGTGGCCGACATTGGAAGTCAACACAGACATCAATCCTGTCCTGGACAGAGTCCTGAAAAGTGTCATTATATGGGCACCTCAGAGTAATGGTGTCACACATTGGCGTACCAGCTATGAGTTTGCTGAAGTTGTGAGAAAAGGCCCCTTAGGCAAGTCTGTTGTGACTATACCTCCTTGTATGCTTCTGGCTGATGGTACTACTAGGCATATCCGTCGACATGTTTCAACCGAAGTCACATGTCTATCATACTACCAAGGGTACAGGAAATAGCTTCGGGACCCTCTTGATCAAGGTGTCCTTCGAGAAACTGACGAGTACACACAGCGTGAAACGCTGGATTACTCAAGGTGAGGATTGCGTGTGGATATGCTTATCCTACCCATATCCTGTGTAGATTTTATACGGATCACTCATTTTGTGTTATCACGCTGCGATGCCCTCATTATATACACGTTACTCCCGAGTTACAACCTGAGCGTGCACCTGCTCACTATAAGTTCGTCACAGCACTCCCTACACAACTCGAGAAATGGGTCATAAATTTGGTGATAAGTGGGGATAATGATGAAATCTAATCATTTACACGCGCACACGTGATATATACATTGGACGCATCTGACTCTAAGTCCTCTGAGTGCAGTCTCTCCCGTGCATATACTCAACTCGACATCCAACGGCAGGACCTTCGCATCGACCATCCACGGGCTCTTAATACTGCCGTTATGCCTTCTGTATGTGACCGGCTGCATATATGCATTGTGGACTTACTACAGATGTACACAGACCCGCCGCATAGGCTATCAACAGCAGACACGGCGCTGTAATTGTCTCTTCTACGGCTGCTCCAAGACACCTGAGGGGTACCGAGTACAAACCAAGCCCACTGCAACTAGACACGAGAAGAAGGATCTTGAGGTTGCGGCGCGTTCTTCCCAGTCGGTTCAGACTTCTCACCATCCAGCTGTGACAGCCCAAGTCCCTGCTGCACACGCTCGTTCTGCACTCTCTATCAATGAAGCTCTTGATGGTTCTGCTCCACACACCTCTACCGCTGCATCTGCTGACTCGGCAGCTGATTCTGATGGCCAGGTTAATCCTGCTGATGACTCCGGCTTTTTCTCTGACTTTGAAGATGACCATCCGGATGCTAATCCACACTCAGACGGCAATGCCCAACAGGAAGAAAATCCTCCACCGCAACCTGGTGACATCCAAGCTGAGGCCAGCGTGCTGGCTCCTCATGACAATGAACCTCCACCTGAACTGCGGGAAGTGACTGCTGATGCCTCCGCGGATGATGCGGCACTTGCGGCTTTACTGGAGTCTGACCTTGCTCCTGCGTTCCGAGAGTCTAAGGCTGTCCGCTTGGCCTATCTACAAGCCGTACTGGGGAATGTGTTCGGCTCATCCACTGTTGCTGCCGCTCAGGATCAACTCAACAACAGCCTCGACATCATCCGGCTCTGTGGCTGTTTCCCCTTGTTACCTAAGCCAGCCACCACTCTGATTACTGCCAAGCGACGACTCGGACTGGCCATAGATGATTATATCGAGAGGCGCCCCATTTGTACGGTCTGCTTCAAGTACTATCCAGCGGAGATGATCATGAAAATGGATTCTCCCAGCTGCATGCAAGCTGGCTGTACTGGCATTGTCTATCACATCAAGCGTCAACTTGATGTCAATTCTGACGACGCTGATGATCCTGCCAAGCGGATTCTGGCGAAGGTACAGCCGTACTCATCAATTGTCAAGGCTGTCCAGCGATTCCTGTTACGCTCTGACTTCATCAAGAATCTCCGGCTTCCATCTGTGGATGCAAACAAGGACCCACTCGCATCACACGAACTTATGCATGACTTCCATGATGGCGAAGCTTGGGGGATGTTGGAATTGGGCTTGAAACGGGTTGTGCGAGAAGACGGGACCATACATGAAGTTGAGGTGGAACCCGGCTCTCGTCGGACATTGTGACAAGTTGACGTGGGTCTAAGTATGATACTTAATATTGACTGGTAATCCTGTTCCTTCTCGTTATCGCATTTGTTGCATTATTGATGTGCATATACACAGGTTCAGGATTACTGACAATCGGCCTCATTCTGCAGGCGGCGTGTACTTGTCGTTCGCTGGCCTACACAGATCTGTTCGCTTTGCCCAACCATTCGTACATCTCATTACCAACATTCCAGGGCCGAAGGAGCCGAGCTTGGAACAGCTCGACCACATTCTTGAACCAGTAGTTGCTGATATGCGGCAACTATATAAAGGTATGCACTGTTCCACACAACACTATCTTACCTCTGAGTTATTGTAATACCTTTTAGGTCTCAAGATGGCGATGTATGGACGTCAAATTCCACCGCGTGTCCACGCGGGCTTTGAACTGCACGTCAGTGATATTCAAGCAGCATGGAAGGTAACCGGTTCAGCAGCACATGGGCACAAGAAGCATACGTGCAATATTTGCATGATAGTGCACGACGATCTCAACACAGAAGTTGGTTACGATATACCCAGTGAGTTGTTACAGACACAGCTCAATATTAACATTGTGCACAGTAAGAATCCCATCAGATTTTGTGCTGAGAGACGACTGGATCCAACTCAAGTACGCATTTGCTGCCAAGCCGCCAAAATCCAAGAAGGCAATCAAGAAGATTCTGGATGAGGGTGGCTCACGATACACAGTCCTTGACGAAATGGTTGGCTTTTTCCCAATCAAGACGTCCGCACTGGACTACATGCATAATGTTTATGGTGATGCTACCAACTTCGTGACATATATCTAAAATTATCTTATACTACTTGTTTCTGCAGGCATTCAACATTCATTCTTCTCTGATGTCATCGTCAAAGGGTACCTGCTGAACTCAAAATCGTAGAAGGTCTTGCAAGATTGCGTGAACGCTATCGTCTGGCCATCCGGTATAGGAAGATTACCCACGAATGTGAGAATTGTTTACCCTCATACTGCGAAGGTGCTGAGATCACAACTGTATGTAGCTCGGCGAAAATCATTCACTACAGAAAGCTGACCAGTGGCGCTGTTGGACCAGCATCCAGACCACTGTTCTGTGGTGATGTTGGCGTAATGCAAACGATAAGATTCGTCGAGACGCTCCGGATATACCTGCGAGAGCCAAAGAGAAACCTTCGTTCAACCGAAACTTGACCGAGATCTATCAGTGCAGTCTCTTCTTTTCCGTATCGGATCGCATTCTTGCTAGCAAGAGTATTTCCATGGACGAGGTAGATCGAGGTCAACGATACCTACAACGTTGCTGTCAAGGGCTGTTACAACTCGGCGTTCATCTCCTTCCAAACCATCACCTCGCTATGCATTATACAGATATCTTCAAGCGGTTTGGGCCGGCCTATTCATGGTGGCTGTTCGCATTTGAGCATTGCAATGGTGAGCAGGAACAGGTTAAACTTAATGGACATGCCGAGGGAGAGATGGAAGTGACAATGATGCGGAATTGGGTCGCGAAGCACCGCTTGCATGAATTGGTATGTCCCTCATGCTTTGTCTCATTGTGTGAAATCCTTACTGCCTTTTGTAGATGTTATCTTTGCCCAATGATGTGAGCCCAGAGGAAAGAAAGCTTATTCAGCGAGCGTGTTCTGATAAGGGCGCAACTCGTGGTACCCTTCGCACGCAGATCGCAGGTTTTACTTCTGGCTGCACAATTCTGAAGCCCAAGTCTGCCAAGAAATTCACAGACTTGCGAACGTTCCCCCATCCGACTGTGTACTCAATGCTGCTAGAGTACACAAGAAAGACATGGCCGGAGCTCAACATTGAGGATGACTTCACGACAGATCGCAATGCCATCCTGTTCCTTGCTGCACGTTCATCAAAGGCTCTCCCATTCATCTGTAAAGACGGCATTCATTACAGCTCATCAATGGACCACAGGAGTCAGGCTGATCGCTTTGCATGTATCGACATGGATGGTTCACGCGTCCCCTGCAGACTAATATATCATTTCGAGATAACTATTTCAGATAAACCACCAATAGTGTGCTCCATCGTGCAGCGCATGGTGTCGGATGATGACATTCCCACTTTTCCATGGTCTATTTAGTATGAGCTCTCTCAGTGGGTTTGCATAGGCTGACATATCTGTCTAGCTCCACAGATCTAGGTGTATACGTGGCCTATGCTGACCGTCTGCAAGACATGGAAGTCATTGCGACTGATCAGCTTGCAGCTGCGGTAGCCATAATACCCATCACTTCCAAACGACTCGGCAACGAAGTCCCACTATGGGTTGTCCATTCGTTTGACCGGGTAAGTTGATTCTCCTTCTCGTGTCTAAGTGTATCTGCACATACTAACACTGCTTATCTATCGTGGTATCAAGGCACGGTGATCACCCAAGACCAGCGAAGAGCTGGTTAATGTCCCCGCCATTTGTCAAAGCTTCCACACGCGACTGAGCCTGAGCGACTGCAGATGAATCAACTACTCGGCGACGCTTCTTCCCATTCCTCTCGCCGGCTTCGACACTCTTCCTCTTGAGCTCACTGTCCTCTGGGTCTTCGTCATCCCCCCACAGCCAACCACTTATCGCAACTCTCCCCGATGTTAGCCAATGCTGATTTTCTGCAAGGAGAACATCGTTCACTTGCCACGCGCGAATTCGATTCGCCAGCTTCTTTGCCTTGGGCCGCACAGCGTCTGGATACTCGGGTCCCCTGATTCGTGTCGTGGCTGCCTTTGCTTTATCTGGATCTTTGTCAGCGATCGCGTCAATGCTTATGTATAGCTGTTTGACCTATGGCAAAAATGGTCGTAAGTGCTTCCGGGACATGATAAGATCTTGTGCGTATGTTCACTTACTGTTTCACTACGATAGCCTGGCGCGCGACTGATGTACCGCTTCACCTCACCGTGTGACCAGGTGGGATCATCTTCGTCATCCGACATGGCGTTGATCATAAAAGCTGAGTCGTACTTCTTATCGGTGTAAATTGAGTTCTGTCGTTTGCGAACACGCCCCTGTAGCTTCTGATTGTGGCATTAAAATGCGTAACCAGGCAGCAGTGGTCATTCGAGTACTCACAGAGGCAACACATGAGTTCTTGTGCGCACGGTCAACCTCAATGACAGGCTCTGTGGCTTTCTGCCTTGTTCCTCTGGCCTGATGCTCCCCGTCCGCTCCGGCTTCCTCTGCCTCTTCTTCTTCTTCTTCCTCGACCTCCTCCTCCGCAGCTGCCTCGATATTCTCGTGCTCGGCTGCCTGCCTTTCTGACTTCCTGAACTCTCTCGCCATGTAGATGAACTTCGCCTTGATCTTCACCTTGAGGTCTCGGTCACAGATTCTCCTCAGCTCTGGAACGGCATCAGCAACACGCGCGGCACCCGTCGCTCGGATTGAGGCAAAAATATCATCAAGACCAGATGAGTTAACATCGTCTTCGGCATTGCGTGACCATCGGAACCTGAGGTATGGCCTTCCTGTACGTGGGTCTTTTGGCCAGTGCTCACTTTCGCGACCGATACCATTCGGATATGGCTGCAAGCTCTTCGCGTCGAGTTTCTTCAACCCCATCAGAAGCTGGAATGTGTCCTTGACGACGTCCTGCAAGCATGCTACTCTCGCCGATCAGGAAAATCACCTGTGGCCCTAGAGCAGCCTAGGCTGTCCTAGGATGCCCTGAGATGCTCTCAGAGCTGGCAGGGTGTCAGGGATGCCAGAGCGTCCCAGGTTGCTCTGAGAGCAAGGTCTCTACAGCATTTTTCCTGAGAGCGCCTAGGTCGCCCTGAGCTGCACTCAGGATATAGCTGATTTCCTAGGTTATGCTGTATTGATCATGCTCTGATATGCCCTCAGATGCTCTGGTTTGTCCTCAGTTATCCTCGTGTATTAGATGCCATTCTCCTACTATGCCAAAAGCAAGTATCATAAGAGTAAGAACTAGTATCAAACAGATACATGAATAAGAAGGTATCAGTACGAAATATATGTTTTCGGCAGCACTTGCATTCGGGAAAAACACGAGCAAAACCATCAGTGTCCAGGATCATTTAGTCAAGAAGTGCGTGTTTGCTACCAGGTGCGGAACCATCCTTGAGGACCTGAGTGAGATACATGTGGTCACCGAGACTGAGATGACAACCGGTTTCCTTCGTGATGGTGAGCTGATCACCCGTGACCATTTTGATGCAAACATCGAGAGCGATAGTGTTGTTAATGGTCTGCTTAATGTCATCACAGGGAGGGTCAAAGATGGAGAGCAGACCAATAAGCTCGAAGGCATTACCTTCACCCTCGGGATCTTCGCTATCCAACTCCTCATACATGACAGCCAAGGTATGGAGACCACGACTCACCAACTCCTCAACGTTGGCCTCAGGCCTGAACTCAATCTTCTCAGTCTTGCTGCGCGTGCAAAGCTCAATGATGATACCAGTCATACCCTTGGTGACACACTTGGGCTTGTTTGATGACTCCTTGGTACATGATCTCGGTACATTTGTTGAGGGGATTGAAAGGCTTGCAGTCAAGGAGCTTGATACCAGCGCGAGCGCGAGATGGATTGCCAATGGCGAAGATGATGCAAGTGTCGATGGCATCCTGGTTCTCCATGCATGACGTGTACGCCGACAGTAGAATGATGTCCTCAGCAAAGACAGGACTGTAGGTACAAATGGTCTCGCAATCAATGGTCAGCTTGTTGGCAGTGAGGGTACCCATCTTGTCGGAGAACAAGATGGTGACAGTGGCCAGCTCTTCAATCACAGTGATACAGATAATGATGGCCTTGTACTTTGCAAGCTGCTGAGCACTGACAGCGAGGGTGACGGACAGCACCGTAGGCATCGCAATTGCGATTCCACCGATCAAGAGCACTAAGATGTTGTTGAGACCACAATGGTACTGGAAACTGAAGCCAGCGTACAAGCAGAAAATCTCGGTGAGTAGGAAGATGCCAATAACGACAAGACAGAATGATACAATCTGGGCAAGAATCTTCTGCAAGTGTCTGGTAGTGTCATCGTCCTGGCCAACGAGCAACACCGTGCGACCGAAGAAGGTATTAGGACTGGTCAAGATGATCACACCTTCAGCCTCACCCTGCTTACATGTAGAACACCTAATGGAAGTGTGGGTGACAACGCAGAGCACATGACACGACAAAACTACAATCACTTACAAAAAGCACTGGTGGCCGGTCTTCTTGCTCTGAGGCAGCGACTCACCGGTGAGAGCAGCTTGATCAATGGAGACATTGATGCCTCCATCAGACGACAATATGCTGGTACAATATCACCAAGCTTAAATGAAACCATATTACCTGGAACAAGTCCAGCGGACTCGATCTCCTGCCAGGTACAATCCCGCTTGACCTTCACCTTGACCAAAAGCAATAGGACAATACTGACAAAATCTTGCCAGTCAGGAGGCTGGTGTTCACCATTTGAAAGTGCGATGGCAACCAAGGCGGCAGCCTCCATGACCCCAGAACAACAGGTTCCACATGAAACTTAGAAACTAATGGCAGAAATGAGTGCTCGCACGAAAATCAAAGCATAACGTACGCACCTGAAGAAACGCATTCTGCTCCTCTGACTCGAGCTTGTTGGGACTGAACAGTTCGAGACGGTGCTGAGCCTCCTCCGTCGCGCACGAAAATCAAAGTGTAACATACGCACCTGAAGAAACACATTCTGCTCCTCCAACTCGAGCTTGTTGGGATTGAACAGCTCGAGACGGCGCTGCGCCTCCTCCGTCATCGACCCATTGTCATCGCACTGGAGGAGCCTGAATACATCCTCCACGATGATTGTCTCAAGATCAACTTTCTCCTTGTCGTACAAGTCCTTGGCCCGTAATTGGATCTGAGAATGCAGGGAATGCAACTAGGAGTCTGTACCGTGGACACCTTAGCATCTGCGAAAACGTCAAATACAACGGAGCGGGTCAATGGAAAAAACTAACTCTTTGTTTGTGCATATTTACTGCTCTTCCGCATTTGGAACTTTGGACAGCTGTCCGAAATTGCTAAGTCCTTCAGCCTCTGCGACAGTACACTCCAATGTCGACGGATGGGCACTCGGATGGATGGACAAAGGCAATAAAGGTATGTCCTTCTGCTTTTGTGCTATTTTCACTAACTACAATGCCGACCGAGTGTGCTTGTTAAGCATGCTCGGTCGTCATTCCACCAGGATCCCGAGCTGCATGCACCACAAGGTGCCAACTCCCTCTCCGCCATCTCGCATCCCCCTGGGCCCTACCGTCCACCTCGCCCATCGAAGAGGGTGCGAAAAGAGGTGGACGCGCTCCATGTCTTCATGACATGGCGCATGGGCGTCATGCTCAGTGTAGCATGGCGCCTAGTTCCTCCGATTTCCCCACCGCCGTCTCATGCCCTCTCGGGCCCCACCGTCTGCCTCGCTCATCCAAGAGGGTACGAAGGGAGGAGGATGCGTGTCACATCATTACGACGTGGCACGCGGGTGTCATGCTTACTCGAGCATGGCGCCTGGTTTCCCCAATTCCCCTGCCACTGTCTCGCGTCCCCGTGGGCCCCACCGTCCACCTCGCCCATGCAAGAGGGTACGAAGGAGGATGCATGCCACGTCATCATGACATGGCACGCGGGCGTCGTGCTTACCCGAGCACGGCGCCTAGTTTCCCCAACTCCGTCTCCACCATCTCGCGTCCCCCTGGGCCCCACCGTCCACCTCACCCATCCAAGAGGGCATGAAAAGAGGAGGACACGCTCCACGTCTTCATGACGTGATGCGCAGGCATCGTGCTCGCTCAAGCATGGTGTGTGGTTCCCTCGACCTCTCTCCTGGACCTCTCCCACACCATCTCCATGCCCTGCCGTCTACCTCACCCATTCAAGAGTGGACGCACTCTATGTCTTTATGACGTGGCGTGCGGGTGCCCTGCTCGACTGACTCCCCTGCTACCGTCTTGTGCACCCCCGGGCCCTTCGTCCTCCTTGCCCATCCAAGAGGGTGTGAAGAGAGGAGGACGCATGCCACATCATCACGATGTGGTGCACGGGTGTCGTGCTCACTCGATGCGCGCTCTTTGATGAGGAGATGGAGGTGTGGGCAATGCGGTGCGTGCCCGCCATCTCTGCTCACGCCCTGCGTGCCGCCCAACTACATAAGGCTTGTCTGCTGTCACTGCTATGTAGCACAACCACCACTCTCTCTCTCTATTCTCCACTCTCCCATTCTCCATTCTAGCTCATATTCACGTTCCTGTTCAGCATGAGTTCCATTTCTGACCTACTGGTGTTCACCCATGATGTGCCCACCAAGTTCACCACATCTCTGACGATGCGGACACGTGCTCTGCAGCTGGTCATGATGTGGCATGCGAGCATTGTGCTCACTCGAGCATGGTGCCTATCTGTCCTCAGACTGCCTTACTTCGTTAGAGTCTGTCATCCTTGATGGCAGTGCATGGCACCCTGCATGACTGCCTCTGATGCAAGTAGATACCTACACCGTATTCAATAGTATATAGAAACTTCACTTAACATAGGTGTAAAATTAAGTGGATGCACTGGGAGCATCTATGACTCTTTTGGACACCCTAGGAGTTGTGCAATCTCCTGTATCAGCCTGAGTTGCTCTCAGGCCCCCTTGATCGCTCTGAGACATCCTGGGAAAGATTGACTTTCCTCACGTGCTCTCAGGGAAAAAGTGATTTTCCTGATCGGCGGGTTGCTCATTTTCCAGACAACAAGGTGCACACCTTTATACCTTTGCTCTTCGTTGCAGCTGCACTGAGCACGGCTGCGGCTTCATCTTCAGGCCCACTGCCAGCTTCCTCGTCCCCATCACCTGCAGCGCTGCGTGCCGCAGGTTCGTGGTTGACAGGTCCACCTTTGGCACGTTCACCATCAACCGGCTCTGTCAGCTGCTCTACCCCCTCGTCTGCTTCTATGTTGAGAGCTTCCTCTGCGAAAGCCAGCCTCGCCTTCAGCATCTGAAGCTCACTCTGCTGCAGCTGATTCTGTGTGTGTAAAACTTGCACACGCCTGTCGTTCTCGCTACGGTACCTAGCAAATTCAGCCTTCAAGTCCGTGACATCATCTACGACAGCCTTGAGCCTCGGTTGATTCATTTGCGGCGCGTTCACATTCGAGGGTGCGGGCATTCTCAGCAGACACAGTTCTTATTGAGGTCAGGGTCAGATTGCAGAGGTCGACAGAGACTGGTGGGGATGGTGGGAGGCTCATGAGCAGTCGACATCTGTCTTCACACTAATATCTATGTATTCCGGAGCTTCGATGTAATGGCAGAGAGTGTCTTTTCAGACCTTCAGACGCAGATCCGCAGCGACAGCTAACAACCTGGTACAAGCGCTGGAGCCCAAAGCAGTAATTGAGCCCTTGTCTGTATTATGTAATTACATTTATCTCGGCGACACTTTCTGGATCATAGCGGTGTGGAACTTCGAGGTTATGTCGCTGTAACCGGGTAAGAATGAGGTTGGAAGGTATACATCAAACCCTCATCCGGACTTCGGTGTAATGTGCACAGTATGTTGTCAGAATGAGGTTGAAATGCCCTGATCCCAATGCGATCCTCACCTTGAGTAATTCAGCGCTTCACGTGGTGACAAGCCCTGCCGTCCGCGTCGATATTCCGTTGCAGCAGGCCGTGACAGTACGGCAGCTGCTCGAGTTCATTGTAACGAGGAACATGCAATATTACCGATTCCACAATGCGGGTACATCAGGAAAAAATCACATGACTATGTGATGCTATGTAGCCTATGTAGGTCTCGTAGCCCGGTAGACAAGTCCCCAAAAATATAGCCGGCTGTAGCCACCACCAAGTGTATGCAGGCCGCTGTAGCGATCACCCAAGCATATGTAGCTCTACTGGGTCTGGTTGTAATCACCAGTAGCATTGTGTTATTCCTATCATTCTATATTCACTATACAGATTTTTACCCATTTCACGATAGCAGACTGTACGAAATAAATATATTTGCACTGTACCACTGCACAAACCCACAGGCTAATCATACGTAGCTAGGGAAGCTGTAGCAGACCAGGATGAGAACCGGGATAGTCACAGACAGTGGCGAGAGTGGAGTATCATGTGCAATCTCCGTATCCGTGGCGATCCTAATCCTGGTGTCGTCGTCATCATCGTTATGTGGTCATCTTGCATCCGGGGTGTGGAATGACTGGGATGGCAGTGGACAGCGACACATCTGAGAGGAAGGAAGTGGTAAGGCGCACCGTGCAAACGCGCATGACACGTGAGTCATCGTGCGATCTTCAGTGATTGCTAGTGGAGTCGCAGGACAGAGAATCCACACGGTAGCGGTGAGCCTATCGAAGAAGGCATGGAGCCCGGGAGTACACAGAGACTGTGGAATACATCAATGTGCTTCCGGTATATTTGGGCTGAGGGCTTACCATTGTCGTCCCAGTCACTCGAAGCACTGCCGGACACTGACTAAGAAAGCGGTGACACAGACGGCTGCGTCATCTATATGCTGCACAAGAAGAGGCCTGCATGCGGTGATAAGCAAGGAAGAGGAAGCGTGCCCACTGACATTATTGGCTGGCAGTAACAGTTCTATGAAGGAACAATAAGCCTCCTCAGGTTTAACGCTCTAGGTGGGTACTTATAGGGAGAGTTGGCCGTAGAAACTGTATGAGCAAAGGGCTTGTCAAATCAGTGCAGGAGGAGGCCATCGACAAGGCGCCATGCATGACGCCCCTCACACTGCGTCACGATGATGTACCTGGTTATCATGCCGCTCTCGAGAAATGTTGTCCTCATTTGGATTTCATCCTGCATGTGCGCGATGACAACAGCAACAGTGGGGACAAGGTCAGTTCTGGCCAGCGAGTCGCACAAGTACCAGAGCTGCACCAGGTGTCATGCACTGGTGCGCAGGATCCCAGACTCAGGCCGCTCTTACCGTTCATGACTGCAGAGTCATCGATGCTCTTATCTTGCGTCCTCGGAGAGCAGACAGGGGCAGCAGCAACTGGACGGCCATGCGCATGTGAGGAACAGAACTGTGAGAGGCACCGCACACCAACGTGCATGACGAACGCATAGACGCACTAGTGGTGACCCCAGAAGGTTCGAATCTTGTCATCCCAACTTCCTGTTTGCGAACGGGCTGGATAGCAAGGACTGCGGACACGAGTCGATGGCACGCAGGGTGCGAGTTTGTGCTGGTTGATTGAAGATGTGACAACTGGTTACTGGAGCCTGCCGCAGAGTGAAAAAGCCAAGAACACCTGGTGTGGCAGATGAGAGAAATGCACGCACGAAGATTCAAAGTATGAGAGCAACGAATACGTCCAGCAAGTTGAACTTCGAAGAATTTTCTCAACTGAACATACCACGTGACCAATGGCGCAATCCGCAGTCCTCTGCGGCCAATAACCGATGGCCCCAGAATGTGCCGGAGAGGCCGACTGTCATCGGCGACAGTGGGCGCAACCGTCGCGCGCGAAATATCAACGAGATAGGCTGACAGCGCCTCAGTGCGCTTCTTCAAATTTCCAGCCTGTTTGTTGACATGGTCGGGATTGTCATCACTGTTTTGCTGCGAGGAGGGCTACAGCAGAAATATGTTAGAGTTGGGATGGCCAATTTATCCAGTGTGTGGTGATGCAAAGCATGTTGACATTCACACAAGTAGCACAGGCCAAATAATCATTGAGGTAATATAGAGAATACTACAAATTAAATGGTCAACACAGGTCTCTGTATTGATAAGGGGGCACGACTGGAACCTATGTCAGCTACATATCACTGTGTGGAACCTACAGAGCCTACAGAGCCGTATGTAGACTGGCTGGGCGCTACCTGGGTCAGGGCTTTTTCCTGATGTAGTGGATGCATGTTCTGGCAGTTAACCTTGCTACAGCGCATGGGTGAGGAGGCCAAATGGATTCGGGTCGAGGAGTTTCTCCGAGTCCTGAATATCATTCAGGAGGCGCGAAACGCGTCCAGCGCAGTGGCTAGCTCTATGCCCTGGCCTCCTCGTCAAGGCACATTTTACACTCCCGTAAGTTTATCTGGTCTGCTACGACTGCGCCCTGAGTTGACATGCATTCTGTGCTGCAGCCAACTTCACAGGCTGCTTGATCCAGTACTATTCAGAATAACTCCTTTGTTGTATTGTGTTGTGTAAGAAACGATACCATTGTAGCCTACCCATATACTTGATTGTACGTCTTTACTTGGGTACTTGTTGTGTTTGTGACAATCTCTTGCAAATGAAATGCTGTTCAGTGGTAGTCCCAGTCGATGTGAGTTGGCTTTGACTCTACTGTCGCATTGCGCAACCAGGAGAAAAACACTTGTGATGCTCACAGATGGCGCAACAGGAGCGAAAATCTTGTTGACACGATGGTAAAATATGGTTATTCATTCCTGATGTCAAAGCAATTTTTGCATAGCCGGACATTCCGAGGGTTAGAGAGGATGTGGAGAGGATACTAGAGCAGGGACACGGTGTTATCGCCAAAGGGTATCAAGATGACCGCAAGTAGCACTACTTCAGGGAAAGGAATTATGCTTAGCATGCAGGCATATATGGAAAAGAGTCAGTAAGGTTATCCGAGCAATACAAGATGGTTACAACTCTGGCGCGAGTAATAAGTGGCATGCCAAGCTCAACGATTAATCAGATTGAAATCTGTGCGCACCAGCCATGAAGTATTCCCACAGTTCTTCATGGGTAGGGTAGGACCCAGTGACAAACCATTGTAGCCATCTCCATGACTTTGAGACTCTGGGGGTATCAAAGTATCTCTGCATCCCCACCGCCTTCAGCCAGTGAGGGAAAAATCCGGCATCCACCCAGTCGACACGGCGAACACAGAGATGACTAGTCCGCCGGGAGGAATGCCATCGAAGTTATTCAACACGGCACTGTAACTGGTTGAGTTCATGTCCGAGTCAGCATACTCAAGAGAAGACCGTAAGATAGCCTGTTCTCACAGGTACTGACTAGTGCAGAGCAGGGGTATGAATAACCCTCAAGGGTAAGGGGTAAGGGTATTGGAGGGTAAGGGTAGGGGTATGAACTTTCAGACCCTTATACACCTGGAGGGTATCACTGCATATAATATATATCATGTAAGCAGTAACTATAGGGTGACTAAAGCCTAAGTGCAGCCTAGATGCAGCCTTAAACTATGTCTACAGAAGCTTCAAAGAGAAAAAAAGGCTATTACAAGCCTTAAACTTAATGTCTATGATGTTATTTCCTCAAGTAAGGCAGATATTGAAGGGTATACCCTCAGGGTTTGGTACCCTTACCCATACCCTTACCCCTGGTGAAGGGTATGTACCCTTGGAGGGTAAGGGTAGGGGTACAGGTCAAAGTACCCAGGGGTATACCCCTGCTCTGCACTAGTACTGACTGTCCCGGAACGACGGGCGACTCAGTGAAAGGGCCCGAGGACTGCAGAAGACGATCAGGTTTTGTCTCTTCTTCTAACTCCGCAGATCGGACCAGCTCACTCACCTGTTTGAGTGATTACAATGCGTCGCGAGGTGCTCTTCGATGAGATGGAGGTGGTGAATGCCACACGAGGTTCAGGAGAAGCTATGTCTCTCAGGCATGTAGTGAGCCCCCTTTGGTCGGAGCGCTGTGTATGCTTGTCTCCATCTGATAATTATCACAAACTGGTACCTTGATGTGATAGAGTGCATTTTTTGAAGTACTAGTAAAATAGCGGTGATGCCAGCACGACTCACCAGATCTATACGGTGAGATGGTCGAGATCCGGACGCTAAATTCCCAGAAGGCAAAATGTGGTGGACGGACTTGGAGAGGCTCCAAAATAACATCAGAGTGTCAATGAGAATGTTGACTTAAGACAATTATTGTGTCTGTCGCACGGGTGAAGTCAGTGCAGAGGACAATAGGACGTCTGCAACGTCTGGCACAACAAGTGCAGCTCCGCGGCATAGGCACACTGGACACACCATTGTGTCTCTCTCCCCTAGTTCGTAGGCCTGGAGGAGAGGTGGATAAGAAGGGAACTGATGCAGGTGTGGACCGCTAGGCAGAGCGCAAGTACCATCCCCGGCGAAAATTGCATGTCGTTCGCAGGACCGAATGCAGCACCACCGTATTCACACTGGAAGGCTGTGAGAATGAGG